GATAACGTCAATTTAATGAAACCAAATACAATTCTTCATGTTTATGATTATCCACCGAGTTGAATCCACACGTAGGGTAGATTGTGACGGTGTAGCAATTGAGATGGTACTACTTGTATCCTCCAAGTTCAAGTTTCAAGGCTGATAGCCAATCTGGGCAGTGGTAGTGGCATTATGTAGTCGAAAATCTGCCCAGGCGTATAATCAATCCAATTGGTTACCCGGGATACGAGTACGAATATAACCTTAACAAACATTGTCTCCTACAGAATCCCTCTTATCAGCTGTTTTCTGGGGCCAATGGATCGCCCACCTGGGCACCTGGGCATGGTGACACCATGCGCTGCCACATAACGCTGGCGTATTCCTACACCGCTGAAAGATATATCCAATCCGCAGAATCACCCTTTATAATATTCCTCCCTAGCTTATGTTAAGAGTCCAACTCTTCCACAACTTGAAGTGCCTAGCCTTAATGTTCTTTTATACCGGGTCCTTTTCTTTCCAGTTAGACAATAGGATTTCTTTAGTGCACGACCTTGTTGAGACAACTCCGAAGAAACCCCTCTATACGGTGGAAATTGCTGAGTCATTCAGTAACCCCTCTAAAAAGCACCACGCCAAAGAGAAGGCGGCCACATAGAGCGGTGAACCTAGAAATGCATGGCAGAATGAACCACCGGCCCAAAGGGGATCCAACATGCGCATCGATCCAATCCCCCATCCTCTCAGTGCCAGAGCTTCCTCGCTACAGAGACGTATTTCTCTCCCTACTACTCCTTGTCTGTTGACAGAGTGACAATATCAGTCTCTAACCTTGCTTGAATTCTTGTTCTATCGTCGGCATCACCGGGCCGAATTTCCTTTGTACCAGGAGTACAATCGTGATTCTATACGTCCGCGGTTCCACATCGAGCATCTACGGCGTTCAAGCTCTAGTCTGTGGGAGCAAAGAACACAAAGCCAGAAAAGCTTCTTCCTTGCTGATTTGAACTTTTGTTTGCAAGCTTTGTCTTTGCAATCATCATATTCCAAGCACCTACCAAGGTAGGTATCAGTGCATGCGATTATCCAAGCCCGGCCTGAGCTATCTGGTCATGAGATACTAGCCAGCGGGAATCAAGTCCATTGAAAACGGGCTGGTAGTGTTGCGCTAGAGAATTGTCTGAACATGGAACAAGATGATGATATTATCATGGGGGGAGTCTCGACGACTCCCTTCATTGCCCTCCAATTCATCTCTGGCCCAACAACCTGGCTCTACTTCCGGCACCACTGCAGACCCCGCTCTTGCACCTTCGTTCTTTCCAGGAATTCAGAATGAATCTCCCTCTCCTGGTGCTGGAACGATGCATTCCCAAGAGAACCCCGCCCACACGAGCGCTGGACTTCCCGAGCATCTCGTGAAACAAAGTGATTCTGAGACAACCTCCGCCGAATATCTCAAGCGAGATAGTCTTGTTGAGTCTAATTCAGACTGGTCTGAGGAGGAGGTTACAAGCAGGCCTGGCCTCCCACTTGCTTCCTTAGCTACGGGTCTCTGCTACGACATTCGCATGCGCTACCATTGTGAAGTCCAGCCTACAAATGATGTCCACCCAGAAGACCCTCGTCGAATCTACTATATTTACAAAGAACTCTGCAAGTCCGGTCTGGTCGATGATCCTGACTCTTGTCGTCCCTTGGCTCCTATCCCTCTGCAGCGCATTGATGCTCGCGAGGCTACTGAGGAGGAGATTGTCAGCATCCACTCCGCCGCACACTTTTCCTTTGTGCGATCTACTCAGGGTATGCTTTTGAGCCTCACACCAACCCTCCCTTTCTTGATCCGTAAACCTAACACACCAAACTAGATATGGGCCAGGCCGAGCTTCTGCACCTGGAACAAACTCGAGACTCCATCTACTTCAACAACCTAACCTTTCAGGCAGCTATTTTGTCCGCAGGGGGTGCGATTGAGACCTGCTTAGCAGTTGCGCAGCGAAAGGTGAAGAACGCGATTGCAGTTATTCGTCCGCCCGGTCATCATGCAGAGCATAATACAGCCATGGGATTCTGCCTCTTTAACAATGTGCCGATTGCGGCCCGTGTCTGTCAGAAAAGGCTCGGTGATCAATGCCGAAAGATCATGATTTTGGATTGGTATGCTTCTGGTTGTATCGTTTTTGAAGTTTAATTATTGACCTGGACCTCGTAGGGATGTTCACCACGGTATATTTGATACCTCTAACCACTCTACTTGATTATGCAGGCACTTATGAATCTACAGGAAATGGCGTTCAAAAGGCATTCTACGATGATCCCAATGTGCTCTACGTTTCAATCCACGTCCATCAGGATGGAAAATTCTATCCTGGGGGCCCCAAGGGAGACTGGGATCATTGTGGTGAGGGGGCTGGTGAAGGCAGGTGAGTTCACCCCCAATTGCCTCAAATATTCTCAGCACAGCTTTCTCTAATGAAAACTCATAGAAACATCAACATCCCTTGGCCCGATCAAGGAATGGGCGATGGCGACTACATGTTTGCCTTCCAGCAGGTTGTGATGCCCATTGCCCAGGAGTTTGACCCAGACCTGGTTATCAGTATGTCATTGATCCTTCTGCTGTCACTTGAGCAAAAAAATAATCTAACATCCATATAGTCTCAGCTGGCTTTGATGCTGCTGCTGGCGATGTTCTGGGTGGCTGCTTCGTCTCGCCTGCCTGCTATGGCCAGATGACCCATATGTTGATGAATCTCGCCAACGGAAAACTGGCGGTCTGTTTGGAGGTCAGTAATTCAGTCGTCTACACGTCAACTCTTTGGTATTAATGAAATCACAACCAGGGGGGGATACAATTTCCGATCCATTTCAAAGTCTGCATTGGCTGTGACTAGGGTTTTGATGGGCGAACCGCCAGATCGCCTAACCGGGACTCAACCCTCCGAAAGCGCGATCAAAACCGTCAGACAGGTGATGTCGATTCAAGCGCCTTATTGGCGTTGCATGTTCCCTAAGCCAACTAAACATGCGGCATGGGGAGAGCGTCTTCACGGTATGTATCAGACCCGAGCATTGCCAATCATGCCTAATAAATGATATAGACATCCTCCGGAGCTATCAAGCCAACAAGCTTTATGAAAGCTTTAAGATGACTCCGCTTTACGTCTACCGAACCGCCATCTCGCAGTCATTCAAAAATCAGGTTATCGCAAGGTCAGTCTCCTGAGTGGCTCGATTAAATTAAATATGCTCAATATCTAACATTTGTCGAAGTCCCAATTATCATAATGCAGTACCACTTGTTGTGATATTTCACGATCCGTAAGTCATCTCGGTCCTCAGTTCTCCACCACGCCAGACTCACAATCCCACAGACCCGAGATTATGGGACAAGTTCATCCAATCACCAACAAACTCGACGCACACAATGTTTGGGTCGTAAGTACCTGGAAAATGTGGAGCCGGTCAGGCCTACGCTAACGAACAGTCAAGGCTGATGTCCAAAAGGATTATGTGAAATGGATTCTGAACAAAGGGTACGCCGTGATCGACGTCAATATTCCCAAACACATCACTCAAGAGCCGGTAAGGCCCTACTATTACCCTCCAGACCCCTGGCATACGCCAAACTCAAGATTTATCAAATTTAGGCGACCGGCAGATACGAGGATGAAGATGAGAACCGCCCTACAGCCACCGAGGAGTTGGCGAGCTACCTGTGGGACAACTACATCCAGTAAGGATGCGCAAAGCGTGCCTTCGGGCTGTTATTTGACTTTTAGGCTAAATATTTGACAGGCCACATTCCACCGATGAGCGCGAAATTCGCGAAATTATCTTCCTTGGCATCGGCAATGCATTCTACGGCGTCGCCAACTTGTTGATCAATCGAGGTATGCTTCACACTAACCACAATCGTGCCAAGTTTATTACCAACCGGACGATCTCTGACTCAAATTTAGAAAACCTCTACAAGAAAGTCAGCGGCATTGTTTCTTTCGTAGCGGAGAACCCTGTCCGGGCGGTCGCCTCACCAACCCAGGTGTGGTTGTCAAAATGGTATCGAGAGGTAAGCGGTCCAATTATTGTCTATGCCTTTTTACTATACCTCTTGATGCTTATATTGAAATAACAGAACTCACTGGTCTTTGTTGCACCCACACACGGTGTTTGGGGCAACCCAGACCGCAAACCATCCAAGCGGTACGGCACACTACGCAAATCCGACAGCACACATCTAAGCGAGATGCTCTCCGATCACAAGGAGGAGGTGTTCAAGTTTATCACGGACCGAACGGAACAGACAGATGACGAGGCGACAGAAGATGAAAAGGAAGATCAAGTGGGGGAGGGCGAACAGATGAAGGAATAGATAGGCGCCCAGTCATCTCATGGATACCGGCCCGATCTTTCTTGAATCCAGTGTCTTGGTTCTATCTTTACTACTATCTATTCAAAGTTATGATTCAAGAGTGATGGTCTAATAGTCGCCTTATTCCTGAATCTCTTGTCTCACTTATCAAAACCTCCTCTATCCCATATTATTTCATATTGGTTAGTTCAATCGGCTTAGCCCGTAAACGAAGATATATTTAAAAGAAATAAAAACCAAAAAAATAATAAATAGACGAGTTTCGCATAGTCCTTTACGATTAAAGCCTAATGCATTACCTCTATAAAGTACCCTAATTGGAATCTTCCCGTGATTCAAGTTCGATGGTGGGCCTGACGATTGCTCTTTCCACGACACTCAGGCTGTTTGCCCATGGCTCTTTCTTTGTGTCTCAGAACTGGCAGCAGCCTTCATTTGACTAAGACCACGACCAAGGGCAAGGCTAAGGGCAAGGGCAATGGCAACTATGGTAGGTATAAAAGACCGACTCCCTCACAGCTTGACAACTTGAACTTTCACACCCATCATCACTCTCAAGTCTCCGAGTCTACTTCCAATCAAGTGTTCAAGTTTACCCAACTCTACTTTTACTTCACTTCACTTCATCATACATATCACCAGGATGTATTTCACCACCATTTCCCTCGCCTCCCTCGCAGCCTTGACCCCAATGGTCAGCGCCCTAGGCAGCGCAGTTGTCCACAACAAGTGCGATTTCCCAGTCTACCTATGGTCCGTGGACAGTTCAATCAGCGACACAATGACCCTCGTCGCCAGCGAAGGTGGGTACTCCGAAGTATACCGCAGCGATGACACGACCGGCGGGATTGCCCTGAAAATGACACTGGAAGAAGACGGCCTGACCACCAGCAAGCCCCAGACCATCTTCTCCTACGCACTCAACGACGATGAGAGTAAGATCTTCTACGACCTCTCCGATGTATTCGGCGATCCCTTTACCGGCCACACCCTCTCCGTCACCCCGTCCGAGGACTCTTGCGAGGGTATCTGCTGGAATGGGGGTATCTCGGCCAGCTATGTGAGCAACACGGAGGCTTGTACCCAGGATGCTGATGTCACCCTCACCCTGTGCGCCGATTCGTGTTAGAGAATCGTATCTTTGAGACATGGCCAAGATTGAGGCTCTGTGTTGAGGTTCTATGACTGAAGGTGGAACCAATGCGAGACTCATTCAAACCACTAGTATATTACCTTTTTGTTTCTCTTGTTTTCTGTGGTGGGGCTGTGCTGCAGTTGCCTGGATTGATGGCGATGCGGGGGAAGAGCCTCATCGGTTGGGCCAGTGGGGGCTGCCGATTGGTCGGGGAATGTATAGTTAATGCATAGTTAATGCGTAATGAGAAGTCGAATTTCACTATTCTTCTAAGGTTCGACATGGTTTAATTGGATATATGTTCGGGTAGTTGGTAATATGTTTGTGGTGGACGTTGGCCTTGTGACCATGGCAGTGATGGGAGAGTTGAATGTTGAATGCCCAGGGATAGACTCGGAAGTAATCATATTACTATTTTGGAAGGTGGGTATTTTTCCTCGAGTGTGTTGTAATCATTCAAACATGCCCTGATGCAGCACTAGTACTCCTGGTTAGTAGTGTTGTCAATCCCCTCACCGAAGATAGCCGGCATATTGCAAAGAGCTGGAACCTCGGCATAATAATCCAGTTCTAGCTGCAGTAGCACATCTTTACTAGCCACCCTAGTACTAGACTCGTCCTATCACTAGCTCCCAGGCTCCAAAAGTACGTTCTAGTAACTGCTCTTGTAGTACAGTACTTCTCCACAGCAAAGCTACTCACCGCCCTGCGTTATCGTGGGGGAACACAATCCAGTTGGGCCGTTGTCTTTGCAATCCCACTCTCTGCTCTCGTCATCAATCTCCCTCCTTGCACCTTGTTGAATCTGCATCTCCGTGTTGATTTTCTCTCTGGAATTTGATTTGACTGCATTGGTCCCAGTGGAGCTTTGCACCTCTTCACTAACTTGCTCCCTCCTTCCTCGCTTTGCTCTATGCTCACAAGGTCCTTTAGAGCACGTCCATTGCTACTTTCGTTGCACAGGGGCCTGAAATCCAATCCAACTACTCGTCTGGATTTTCTGTTACGCATCACCTCTGCGACTAGTCCTATATCGTCCTTCCGGTCCCCTCTTCCGGTTTCCTCCTTCGACCACCGGGCCCGCTTCCTCTCTCATACCTCCCACCCTGCGTGTGCCGAGCCTCCAATCATGAGCCAGATCGAACGCATCACAGAACGCCTGGAGAAGCCAGAGCTCGACGACCGTTTCTACAGGGTCATTCGCCTCCCAAATCAGCTAGAGGCTCTCCTAGTACATGACCCTGATACCGACAAGGCTAGTGCCGCCGTCAACGTCAATGTCGGCAATTTCTCAGATCAAGATGATATGCCGGGTATGGCACATGCTGTAGAGCATTTGCTGTTCATGGGAACCAAAAAGGTAAGCATGGAAGGGCCATCACTGCCAATGCCCCTCCCCTCCAACCAAGAACGACTGGGCTGACCTCAGGCTCTCTTATCCGCATATAGTACCCCAAGGAGAACGCCTATAACCAGTACCTAGCCTCCCACTCCGGCTCTTCTAATGCCTATACCGCTGCCACCGAAACAAATTACTTCTTCGAGGTCTCCGCCACAGGTGACTCCAGCGAGCCGAAATCCAGCGGACAAAACACCCCAACAACCGATTCTACAAATGGGACTAATGGTGTCGTCAGTGATGCCTCCAGCAACACAACAGAGACGGAGGGTCGTTCCCCCTTGTACGGAGCACTGGATCGATTTGCCCAATTTTTCGTTTCCCCGCTCTTCCTGGAGTCCACACTCGACCGTGAACTGCGGGCGGTGGATTCGGAGAACAAGAAGAACCTGCAGAGTGATCTGTGGCGGCTGATGCAGCTGAACAAGTCTCTCTCGAACCCAAAACATCCGTATCACCATTTCTCGACTGGAAACTTGCAGACCCTCAAGGAGGACCCGCAGAAACGCGGCCTGGAGGTGCGCAGCGAGTTCATCCAGTTCTATGAGAAGCACTACTCGGCCAATCGCGCCAAGCTGGTGGTTCTGGGCCGGGAATCCCTGGATACACTGGAGCAGTGGGTTTCTGAGCTGTTCGCAGACGTCGAGAACAAGAACCTACCCCAGAACAGGTGGGATGATGTGCAGCCTTTCTCCGAGGCTGATATGTGTACCCAGGTGTTTGCAAAGCCCGTCATGGACTCACGCTCAATGGACCTGTATTTCCCCTTCCTGGATGAAGAGAATATGAACGACACCCAGCCTAGCCGATATATCAGCCATCTTATTGGCCATGAGGGTCCGGGCAGTGTTCTCTCGTATCTTAAGGCCAAGGGCTGGGCGAATGGCCTGTCTGCCGGCGCGATGCCCATCTGCCCTGGCTCGGCCTTCTTCACAATCTCGGTGCGCCTAACGCCTGAGGGTCTGAGCAAGCACCAGGAAGTGGCGAAGGTCATCTTCGAGTACATTGCTCTGATTAAGCAACGCGAACCGGAGCAATGGATCTTCGACGAGATGAAGAATCTCGCCGAAGTTGACTTCCGCTTCAAGCAGAAGACTCCCGCTAGCCGATTCACCAGTCGTCTCAGTAGCGTGATGCAAAAGTCGATGCCTCGTGAGCACCTACTCAGCGGATCACTGTTGCGTCAATTCGACCCAGAACTCATCAAGAAGGCCATGTCTTACCTCCGGGCGGACAACTTCCGCCTCATCATTGTGTCCCAGGACTACCCGGGCCAGTGGGACCAGAAAGAGAAGTGGTACGGCACAGAGTACAAGGTCGAGAAGATTCCACAGGACTTCCTGAGCGGGATTCAGAAGGCACTAGAGTCCACTGAGGGTACTCGTACATCCGACGTGCACATGCCTCACAAGAACGAGTTTGTTCCGACGAGACTGTCCGTCGAGAAGAAGGAGGCTTCTGAGCCCGCCAAGACCCCCAAGCTGATCCGTCACGATGACCGAGTCCGTCTTTGGTTCAAGAAGGACGACCGCTTCTGGGTCCCCAAGGCGACTTTCCATGTGACACTACGCAACCCTCTGGTTTGGGCTACCCCTGCGAACCTCATCAAGACCAAGTTCTACTGCGAACTGGTGCGGGATTCCCTTGACGAGTACTCGTACGATGCCGAGTTGGCTGGTCTGGACTACCACCTGGCGGCGAACATCCTTGGATTGGATATCTCCGTGGGCGGCTATAATGACAAGATGTCAGTTCTGCTGGATAAGGTGTTGACCACTATGCGCGGGTTGACCGTGGACCAAGACCGCTTCAACATTATCAAAGAACGTCTGACCCGCGCATTCCGCAATGCCGAGTACCAGCAGCCGTTCTACCAAGTTGGCGACTACACCCGCTACCTACTCTCCGAGCGCAGCTGGGTTAATGAGCAGTACATTGAGGAGCTGGAACACATCACGGCCGCTGATATTACCAACTTCTACCCCCAGCTGCTCGAGCAGACTCACATCGAGGCTTTGGCCCACGGTAACCTATACAAGGAAGATGCGCTGCGTATGACGGATTCGGTGGAGAAGATTCTCCAGGGCCGTGCTCTGCCTCCTTCCCAGTGGTATCTGCGCCGCAACATGATGATCCCGCCCGGCAGCAACTATGTCTACCCGCGGGCACTCAAGGACCCGGCCAACGTCAACCACTGCATCGAGTATTATTTATATATTGGACTCTTTTCCGATGATCTGCTGCGATCTAAGCTACAGCTCTTCTCACAGCTGACTGATGAGCCCGCATTCGACCAGCTGCGCAGCAAGGAGCAGCTTGGATACGTGGTGTGGAGCGGCTCCCGCTACAACGCAACCACCATGGGCTACCGGGTCATCATCCAGAGTGAGCGCACCGCGCAATACCTCGAGTCCCGCATCGAAAACTTCCTGCGCGGCTTTGGACCCGTGCTGGATGAGATGTCCGACGAGGAATTCGAGGGCCACAAGCGCAGTGTCATTAACAAGCGCCTGGAGAAGCTCAAGAACCTGGGCTCTGAGACTGGTCGCTACTGGTCTCACGTTGGCTCGGAGTACTTTGACTTCCTGCAGCACGAGACTGACGCAGCGAACGTACAGACTCTGACCAAGGAGGACCTGCAAAGCTTCTTCAAGCAGTACATCGACCCGGCCTCGACCACGCGTGCCAAGCTGGCGATCCACCTGAATGCGCAGTCTGGCGCCCAACCCGAAAATAGCGCCACCGACAAGCGAAACCGCCTTGTCGAGACTGTCTATAAGCAGCTTGAGACTTCTGGATTTGCCGTGGACAACGCTCGCCTGGCAACGGCCTTTGACGAGATTGACGTCGAAGTCGTGGACCTGGCACAGATTGTATTTATCGTTAAGACTTTCCTGGCTACAGACTTGACACTATCGCCAGCACAGATTGCCCCTGTTACCGAGGCATTGGAAAAGAACATGGGTATCCAGTTAAAGCAGCTTGGCCTGGAGGCTGGTAAAGACGAGAAGACTGTGGCCAGTGGTACCGACGTGCCCGCGAGTCCTCAGGACCCCGTCACGATTACGGATGTCACGACCTTCAAGGCCCGTCTGCCTGTTAGCACGGGTCCTGTTCCCATCACGGATCTCACCGAGTTTGAAGACTTTGACGCGAAGCTGTAAGGGAGCTGTGAGGTTTGTTTTGTATTGGTGTGTATGGGAATGGCATGGGCGCGAGTAGAGGACGGAGTTGATGAGCATCAGAATAGTAACCCCATGGTACCTAAGCATATGAATTAAATTTACTCTATCGTATATTCTAAGTAGGGAACCCTAAGTATCCAATAAACTATCTTCTAGCGTACTTCTACCTTGTTGGTATACCTGTTGTATAGGGTTCTAGGGTCCCTTCAGGCAGGCGGTCTCCCGATAGCGATAACGCGCATCCCCGACCAGCTTCAACTCAGCTCAACTCCCCGAGCTCGCCCTTCCTTCTCTCAACATCAACACTCCCTCAAAATGGCGACAGCAACAGAAACAGTGGTTAAGAGCAGTAGACCGTGAGTCAATCCCTCTCTTCAACCAGCCACTCTACTTCCACCACCCCGCTAACATAACATCCATCGACTCGCAGTCCCATCCTCCCCAAGGATTTCTCCGCACAGCAACCAGAGAAAATTCGCCTATACCCGCTGTCCAACTACACGTTCGGCACGAAAGAGACGCAGCCGGAAGAAGACCCCTCCGTCCTAGCCCGGTTAAAACGTCTAGAAGAACATTATGAGATCCACGGCATGCGGCGCACCTGCGAAGGTATCCTCGTCTGCCACGAACACAATCACCCACACGTCCTGATGTTGCAAATCGCCAATGCATTCTTCAAACTGTAATGCTCTCTCTGCGCCCCATCACCCCTTCTGTTCCAGGTAACGCTGGGTACACTCGAACAGAGCTCCGGCTAACCGTAACTACTTCGCTAGACCGGGCGATTATCTCCACCACGAAGACGAGGAACTCAACGGATTCAAGAAACGACTGAACGAACGCCTGGCACCAGTAGGCTCGCAATTCTCTGGCGAAGGCGTGAACGAGGACTGGGAGATTGGCGACACCCTTGCGCAGTGGTGGCGGCCCAATTTCGAGACCTTCATGTACCCGTTCCTACCGGGGCATGTTACTCGGCCTAAGGAGTGCAAGAAATTGTACTTTATTCAGTTACCCAAGAAGAGTGGGTGACCTAGCTGGCTGTCAGCCCAGCCCGGCCCAGCCCACGCCTGGCAGCCTTTTACCTTTGATTAGTTTGTATGATACTAATGGTTGATTGCAGAGGTCCTCTCCGTGCCGAAGAATATGAAACTGCTCGCCGTGCCACTGTTCGAGCTATACGACAACACCGCGCGTTATGGACCGCAACTCTCCGCAATCCCGCACCTCCTCTCCCGATACAACTTTGAGTTTGTGGACGAGAATGACAACGTCGTAGCTATGACTCCGGGCACGCCAGTGGACGGCCAGATTCCCCGCACCAAGGTGCTGGCGGGCGAAGAGCAAGAGCAAGATACAGGGATGACGGATGTGAAGGAAGAGGGGGGAGGGGAATGAGGTGCAGTAGAGTGGATTGAAGCGGAGAAGAGCCGTAGAGGAGTTCAATCAATCTATTAACGTTTTTTTCCTTCTTGCTTCCATCACCGGTTTTGTTGCTGCGTTGCTGCGGTTGGTCATTTTGGTATACAATCTAGCGGGAATGTCCTTCGGGCTGAAAGGTCATTCGGTTCAAGCGGACTTCCGTGCTGATCACTAGGAGATTTTACCGGATACGGCGATGGTGAAATCTACTCGTAGTACGGAGTAGTACGAGTACCTTTTCCAGAAGAGATCCAGAAGTGGGGGAGAAGGGAACTGGTGGGCTGGTCCACATGGGTACGGAAGAGTTGGTTATACTCGTAGCTACAGTATAGTTACACCTTACTGCACACCTTATTCTAATACCCTCACCTCTCCTTCTCTTCCCATAGAGCAGAGTCCAAAATAACCCCTCCATTCCTCCACCCCTCATGCATCCCATCCAGGCTGACAGTTACATTGTCGCGTGAAGAACTGCAGGAGTGCCGATCCTTTGAGAATCCCCACCACTCGGAGACGCCATCGACCAGTCCCGTGGCTAAACTCCGGACAACCGCCTCCTTTCGATCGACTTTGCCTTGGCGATTCTCAGCTGTTGGAGCTGCTGGAGCGGGATTCGCGGCACATGGCTTCATGTTTTATTCTTTCGAGTTATACCCCGCTTCGGGCTTTTATACTTCGTGCCTGTAGATACTAGGTAGTAGTAGGCACTGGGATAGTAGTGGTATATAGTCCGCATGGCGGCCTATCTGGATACCGGTTGGTTCTACTCAGGCTCAAGTTGTTCCTGTTCCTGCTTCTGCTTCTGCTTCTGTCCCTGTGCCTGTTCTTGGCTAATCACGACAAAATGATGTCTTCTCTCTGGTCTCTACTGGTTGTTACTGCCCTCACAGCAGCTGCACCAGCCCGTCCGGTGCCTCGAGGTATACTCCGAGTCCCAGACTCGCACCCATCCCAAGTGAAAGACTTGTGCTGACCGTATGAACTCTCAGATGTCTCATCTAGTGTACTGGATCAACTCACCCTATTCGCTGAATATGCCGCCGCCTCATACTGCTCAAACAATATCAACTCGACAGGCGATTTACTGACCTGCGCCGAGGAAAACTGTCCAACGGTGCAGTCCTCGGGAGCCACCTCCCTCTACGAATTTGAAGAGTAAGTACTCTAGTCAGCTTCCACCATTTCAGATCAACCACTCATCATATCCACCAGCTCAACCGAATGGGGCGATGTAGCCGGATTCCTCAGCGCCGACGACACGAACAAGCTCCTCGTAGTCTCTTTCCGAGGCAGCCGTAGCTTGAGCACCTGGATAGCCAATCTTGACTATGGCTTGACCGACGTCAGTGACCTATGTGACGGCTGCGAGGCACACGGCGGATTCTGGAAATCCTGGAACGCCGTTGCAGACGACCTCACCGCGCAGATTGACGCCGCGAAGAAAACCTATAGTGGATACACGTTAGTATTGACTGGCCACAGCTTCGGAGCAGCCGTCGCAGCACTGGGAGGAACTGCTTTGCGTAACGCCGGATATGATCTGGACATCGTAAGAATCCCCTCGAGTCTATCTGTGAACCACACTAAATTACAGTAGTATAATTTTGGCCAGCCTCGGGTGGGCAATGAAGCTCTGGCAGCGTATATGACCAATCAAGGCAGTCTATGGCGAGTGACGCATACGAATGATATCGTACCTCGACTTCCTCCTACATCCTTTGGGTTTAGCCATGCTAGTCCCGAGTACTGGATCACCAGTGGGAATGATGTGACGGTGACCACGTCGGATGTGGAAGAGATCAGTGGGATTGATTCGAATGCAGGCAATGCTGGGCAAGCCATTACGGACGTTGAGCCGCATAATTGGTATATTGTGAATATTGATGGATGCCAATAAGAGCTATACTACTATACTATACTACACAGCAAGGCATGGTATGATATGGTATGCGATAGCATGAGACGAGGGTACAACGAATGAATGAATACCATGAGCAAAATGAATGAATTAAGCAATTGCCATATATTTATATAAACATCCACTGCTCTGCTCTACATCCATTGAAATGTAAGTTTGTACTAGCTAGTGCTGTACCTGTCTTTGTAGTCCGACCCACTGAGATTGTCCAGCCAATCCAACTTCCTCCCGTCAACCAACACCAAACACCAACAGCTCCACGTTTCACCCCCCCTTCACACATCTTCTCCCTCCCTACAGACCTCCCATTCCAGGGAATCGCATATCTCGAATTCCTCGGGAATCCCCGAGGGCTTCATTCCGCCTCCTCTGCACTATGCGCTGACCCGATCCGATGCTTGACTCCCAACCGCCACCATGTTATTCGCTCCGAGCGGACCACAGAGTCCCCGCCGTCGCAATCGCATCAAGGCCATTTTCCTGACCATCTTCATCGTCTTCGCTCTATACTTTCTCTTCTTCGCCGGCTCTGAAACCACTGCTAAAGCCATAACCAGCGATAAAGCTCGCTATACCCCCCTCGCGCGCCCCGACCCCAGGTCCTAGCCATGATACCCCGTGGGACGCCTCTTCCAAGTCCACGGACGAGCAGGCTCGTCCCGTCGTTCGCCGACACAAGGAGATGGTTGTCGCGAGCATGAAATCAGATGATACTTCTTGGCTGCCGGAGTATTTTCCAGACTGGTCCCAGAGTATCTACGTGGTGGACGACAAGTGGGCGCCCTTGACAGTCACGAAGAACAAGGGCCGCGAATCGATGGTGTATTTGACGTGAGTGTCGCCATCACCAACTCGCCCGCATCCCAGATGATGCAGCGGGCTACTATTATCTATTCTTCCCCTTTTACCCAAGCTCACTCATGCTAATGCGTGACAGATACATCATTGACCACTACGACAACCTCCCCGACGCAATACTCTTCATCCACTCCCAGCGCTTCCAATGGCACAACGACGACCCATATTACGACGGAGTCGGCATGCTCCGCAACTTCCAGCTCCCCTACCTCCAAAAACAAGGCTACGTCAATCTGCGCTGCGTCTGGACCCTAGGCTGCCCAGGCGAGATCCACCCGTTGAGCGACACCCACCGCGACGACGTGCACGCGGGGGAATATTTCACAAACGGGTTCAAGGAATTGTTCCCCGGTGTACCTATTCCCGAGCAAGTCGGAGCATCATGTTGTGCGCAGTTTGCCGTATCGCGCGACAGGGTTCGCGAGCGGCCCCTGAGTGACTATGTGCGCTTCCGCGACTGGCTCATCGAGACTGATCTGACGGATGATTTGAGTGGGCGGATTATGGAGTACTCATGGCATAGTAAGCACCATCCTGTACCCGCAACCCTTTGTGTGATTCGATACTAACATTTTGCAGTGATCTTTGGAGAAAAGGCCGTCTTCTGCCCATCCGCCAAGGAGTGTTATTGTAATGTCTTTGGACTATGCGATCTGGACTGTCCCGTCGACGGGACCTGTGGGGGTCGCTACGTCCTCCCTCCCTACTCCTCATTACCCAAGGGTTGGCCGTATATTGGATGGAACGGCCAGACCCAGAACCCCAGCCAGGGACTACCTGAATCATAGCCATAGTCGAGATGCGCTCCGATCTCAGGCTATGATCGCAAATATGGTCTGCGGCTCTGGTCCCATGGCATTGGCATAACTGCTGTCTATCTACCTGTCCATCCGTGATTTTGATTTCATCTTGATCACCCACTCGGAGACGTCACCAAAAATTTGCATTGGGAAAATGATTGATTATTTGTATCAGTATGGAGTATATAGCGTGGTTTATTGCAATCTCTCATCGGCATAGAAAAACAATAGTTCTATGTAGACTAGCAGTTATTAGTGGTTGAGAAGATCCATGGATACGTATGGGTTTCATCCTCAACCTGAAGTCGGCCCTTCCAGAAGTATTCAAGTCTTCAAGAACTAGGCTCTTCTGGGCCTTTGTATATGGCATCTTTGAAAATTTCATTGGGCGGCATTCTTCGTCAACTCCTTTCATAGCCCCCCCCCCCCCTCCTGATCCCCGTCAACACACTATTCCCCCCAGGACTTCAAATTCGCCTTCCTTGGCGGACTTATTTCAACAAGCTGCTGGTTTTCAAACTAACAGCGTTATGGCTCAAAAACTATCTAGCGATTTGCTGATTGAAGAGTATATACATATGATGCACGATTCTTTTGGCCACTTCAAGCCTATTCGCGGATATGGGGAGACGGCGCCGCGCCTGTTTACATACGGTAATGGCTTGATAGTGCCGGCGGAGCTTCTAGAGTTCATCATAAAATGTGATCATTACATGCGGTCCTTTCTACAAGGCATAGAATATCTCGAACACAAGATACGACTCCTCTTGAAGACCGAACATAGTAGTACCGATGATGTACATCAACTTCGTCGGATATTTAATATAAAGACAATATATAGTATAAGAAGTCGTATAGCCATTATCACCAGTTATATCTCGGACAGAAAGGCCTGTCTGCTGGCCAACTACCAGGGCATTAGTTGGCAAGCTAGAGTATTAGCCTACGAGTTTTTGATACCCTAAAGCGAGGACCAAAATCCATTGTTATAGGAAGTATACGTACTTATCTATACAGAGATTTCACTGCTCAGAGATAAAGGATAAATATAATCTGACTGACTTTTAGTAGACAATATAGTGTAGCTGCCCCCAGGTAAGTATAAACCCCTACCCGCCCCGATCAATACTAATAGACATATATAGGTTCTTCCGCACCAAAACTCTCCCTGGCTTCGGGCCACTCCAAGAAAGAGATATCCGTACTAACAACCTATTGTCTATCGCTCTGAATGAGTCTACTTTAATCTGGCTAGGCTAAAGTAAGCCTAATCTGCTAGTATCTGTAGGCACAGAGTACAGTATAGCTAAGCAGCAGCCCTATTATACAGGGTCAGACAGGGTCTTATAGAATAGTACTATTGCTTACTTAATCTATATAGCTATCTTTTCTCCTTTGATAGACAGTAAGCAGGCCTTTCTGGAAGCGCTTAACTATATTTTCTATAAGATACAGGTAAATATTTACCGTATAAACTAACTACGCTATAGGTTACTTCTATAGTTAGACAATATAGACCAGCTTGCAGGGCTAGCTGAGTTATTATTCTGTATCCCTAACACTCTAGTTTATATAGTCTTGGTGACGGGGATATTATTCTTCAAACTAGATAGCTATCGTGCGATAAGGCAAGGGATATCCTTCCACGAGGGCTCTGTTCTCTGCATAAGTATACGACTAAGAAAGGTAATTCAATATATCCTTGCTGAGATTCTGGGTACAGAGTTCTAGATCAACCACCAAGGACCGCTTAAGTTAGTAAAAGATAATAGGTATTATAAATACAGATACTATCATGAAAGGGTGTTATTTACAGTCCAGAGTCTCGATGAAGTCCTAACCATCTAAATTAGTAATCTAGGTTTATAGATATAATTAGGAGGCTTTCCTAAGTCTATTCAAAGGCTCTTGGACAAGCAACAAATACAGAGCACCTTTGGCCGTCCGGACCACCGGACTGGTACCTAGCCTCCTGTAAGATAATGCTTCTGCCAGCGGGGAACTGAGAGATAAGTTAACTTTGTTGGACCTTCGCTGGGGGATAAGAGAAGATATTTATAAACTAGCTATATAATAATATAGCTACCGGCTCGAAGTCTCTGGACAGTATAATGCCTGACCTGGGTATGTACTATTTTGACCGGCTGAGAGCAAATTTTTTATATTCAAAGGTATGCTATATTAACTTAAGAAAAATCCCGGTGTAGGTTAAATAAGCGTTTCAGCTGTGACCTATAACTAAAGATGAAAACGGTGACCTGCAAAAAATGGATTTCAAGAAATTTGCTTACCCAGGTGCAAGTCAATGGCCTATAACCTCCATTCAAGTACAAGAAGCTATCGTCGTGCAGAATGAAAACCGCTGCTCAGCTACAGGTGTTACTGAGCGGCCAGCTCGGGCGGAGGACCTTATCCGCGATAGCGTCACGAACTTGCCTTATATCAACAGTCAGTGTATCAAGTTTTCCTCAAACTAACCAGCTCATTCTAGAAGAAAAAGCGAATAGAACATTCTAACCCTCAATATAGCCGAGCACTTGGTTGAACTGAAATTGATCAAGACCTTCATGAATTGGGCTATGAAGGAATGTGAAGGGATTGATTGCTGATTCTTCCTCGATTTCTTTGGCGGGAAGGTAATCAAAAACGCGCCTAGAACTCCCGGAAACTCCCAGAATCTCGAAAGACCCATTGACAGGGTCGTGGAGCAGCTCGGGACTAGATCCAATAGAGACGTACTTCGATTGCTACGACATAGCGTGAATGCGATTAAGGGTGACGTAAATACATTTCCCTTCCCTGACTTCAAACGTTGCTAATCTACTAAAATTCCAGCTTTGGAACTTGAGGGCCGAACCTGGGGCTACGGATAGTTGGCCGGGGATCGTACTTCAAGAAAATCCACGCCAGGCATTGGGTATTATACGAGATGTATGTTGACCCAGCCAATCAATCACAAATAGATTTGCTAATGCCAGGGACAGACAATTGCGGTTTATAACTATCAAAACCTCGCCAATGTCCGATCTCGCTTCAAAATGGTTAACGACGGGATTCGTGCTGAGATAAAGCGGACGGAGGAAGCCTACAAAGCGGACAAGTAGAAGGAAATAGGACTTGAGGAATGCTGGAATTAATTCTTCAAGCATCGCAAGGACAGCATGGTTCAAACGGGTAGGAGCTTTGTGAGCAATGCCATTGAACAAATGCGAGAGCGATAGGCCCACGACTTGGATGCCAGCCCGATGGAACAGCTTAAGGCAACGATCACACGCGAGGAACTTGATGAGCTAGAAAGACATTTAGATGAGATATACATGGAGGACCTTATCTAGCTCGAGACAAGATATTTAGCTATCTTAGGCAGAGCATATCGAATTTCGGCTTTTTCATCGACCTGACTTCATTTCATTCGGATTCGCTTCAAACAGATCTCAGTAGGTCGCTTGGTATGCCATGGCATGAAATTGTCGTAGCACTCAAGTCATCTCTAACAATTGACCATGGCGAGATCTGAAACATATCCTTGTCTTGTATTTCGGTCGAGTAGCCATCCGTAACAACGACCTTATCCGGTAGATTCAGGCCACATTCACCCCATCCCAATTCTCTAGGTGTATTATCTTCACAGTAAAGAGCAAACATAAAAAGTTTGTCAAGATAAACCCGAAGGCAACCGTCATAGTATTGACCTGTGTCGTTCTCTTCGTCGTCTGGGTCAAAGATACTGTCAATCACATTGACATAACCAATCTTTCCGGCCTCTTCTGGTTCAGCACTGGTCAAAATTGACTGGACTGAGCGGTCATCCAATGCTATACAAAAGTCGAAACGAACAACACCATGACTACCGTCAGTCTGCATATTATAATAGTGGCACCATCTATGATATCGTTTACGAACAGCGGCAACAGGTGCCCCTGCTAATTCCGAGTCATCGATAATCACATTCCGATATCCCTCACGAATCAATCCATCAAGATTTGGCTCATCCGGGAAATTGGACGGGACCTTGTCTATTGCCCAGTATATATAACGGTCAAGCTTGCTGATCGCGGCGGCCCATTCTTCATCCGACGTATGAGCATAGGCTGTGCGACAGATAACATAGCCCCAAGGCCAGCCAAAAAAATGATCCACTTGAGTTCTTAAAAACCTTGGTTTGCATCTCCCATACCAGCCTTCTCTCCATCCTGGCTTTTGACTAAATCGCAGATCTCGCTCAAGGGATGTTTCTTCTGCTGGAAATTCCGCTGAGCGCCAAGGCATGGTCCATGACTCATCATGAAACAAACCATTCCGAGCAAGGGGTTGAACAGGCGGATTCTGGTTGTTCATCACTTGAATGATTTGCTCTTTGAAGGCAAATATTGGGAAGGTTCCTCGCCGTGATTATGGATGGTTTTGTCTTCTACTTTCTTGGCGCCGGCCTAAGCGAGACGGAAGACGGAGGCAAATTCGTTGCGAAGACGCCAAATGTTGGAGCACTACAGCTTAGTACTAGTAGAGTGGGTCTTTTGCCTGAAGATGGGGTACAAACCAAGTTACCCCCGAGATCGGGGCTAGCTAGAAATCTAGGATACAAGGGAGGTTAGGCTGCGAGTGGGAAACTACACCAAACGCGGGTTCGGGGCGGGTTTTTCTTTTTCCAAGGGCAACCCATCGCGGGTTGTTGGATATAAAATCTCTTCAAGTTCATTACAGTAATACAATATTTGAAATAAATTCCTTTAGCCGATTTGTCCTTAAATTTAGAGTCAATGTTCTGTGTATGAAAAACATGCCAGCCTCACAGCATCGTTGGATAAATGAGGGCCGTAATGTTTCCACAAGGTGTCGTAAAGCTTGTATACAAAAAGTGGTACTTTTTAGTAATCGCCAATATTTTTGAAATAGAAAAAAGTGATACTATTTGGTAGTTACTAATTACCAATGCTTTTGTATGCAAAGCTAATTCCTGAGTAGTTATGCCAAGCGCTCGGGGGAGGGCTTAGGGAGGGCTCAGAGTACAATCAGGAGCAATCCGGGAGCAAATAATCAGAATGGTTTAGTTTCGATCATGTAATACAAGAATGGCTACCTAATATTTTGGTAAAATGAACGCTTAAATTGGTGTCGAGTATAGCCAAGTTCAAGTTGGGTGTTCGATTTACCATCACTTCAAGTTACTAGCAGTGTTGTGGTGGAATATATATAGTACCTTTGGAGTATAGTATATACTACCAGCAATAGCGGGAGTACCGGTATCCACCTGGGCACCATCACAACACACTGGCAATTTCTAGTATCGGGGTATACCAGGATTCAGGAATACTATATTTCTGCAACTGAGTATGAATTAGTACTGTGTCACTAGAATACAGTATCTAGTAACTATGCCAGCCGTACCTGACTAATTCACTAAGAATTCCAACGCGAGCCACAAAATTTGAATAGAAAAATAAAGGTATCCTATTGCCTCGACGGCCTTTCCCCTCCTTCAGCTACCTCATAGCCTTCGCGTAACATATTTTCCCGATACTTATCCTAATCGTTGTAAATATCGTCTATAATTCTCATATAATTATCAGAACCTTGCTTACAACCTTTCTTACCTAAACCAGCGTATTTCTTGTAATACATCATCAGGTCGAACTGGTACAAGCTTCAATCTATAAGCTTCTTGGTTAAGTTTTCAGTTTGCCTCGAATCGGACTGAGGTTTTTTGATGCGGCTCGACGTTTCTTCGGAGGCATCAAAGTCTGCTCTTTGCCTTTTATTTTACAGCTTCCTAGAAGGTCTGCGAACTTCTTCTATAGACTTATCTTTCTTACTTTCTGAAACCAGATGTTTTGAATTAGATTAGTTTTGTACAGGATTAGACCGAAACTTTTTCGATTGTTTAGAAGAGCTGGCCTAATCAACATCTGGATAGAAGGAAGGGTCTCTATCCTGATTAGCGATTTTATTCTCCTTTAGCTAAATCTGGTAGCTGAGGTCTTGTTCCTCTGCTTTTGTACAACCCTATTCATTAAAGAGCACTCTTTCTCTTGACTTAAGCCTCCCTATTATCTTCCCTCTAAAAGTCTAGCTTTGTTTATTTCCCAGGAATTTTGCCTTGTAATCTTCTCTAATATTATACTATTAGACCTTAAAAAGAATGGTAGGAAATATACAAACATCTTTTCCTTGTTTTTTTTTCTCCTTGGCTTCTATTTTTGGCGAGCGTTCGGTTATACATTAAGAAGAAGAGGAATCGGTCACTACACTGTTAATTGTTTGCACTGCCGTCGAAGGATTGGAAACTGGAGTGGGAAGAGGCATTCAATGAGTATATACTACAGTCTACAGTAGTTCGGGTGGGGCGTCGGCCGAGGTAAACCACGGAAGTGACAATCTCCCCGCATGGACTACACTCCATTCCTCCCTTCACTTCTTCACTTCTCCTCACTTCTCACTTCTCTTCACTTCACCTCACCTTCCAAGTTTGACCAGCATGCTGATCATCGGTCTGACCGGCTCAATAGCCACGGGGAAATCCACCGTCTCCTCAATCCTCTCCACACCCCCCTACTCCCTCCCCATCATCGACGCAGATATCCTCGCCCGCAAGGTCGTCGAGCCAGGCACAGCAGGCTACAAGGCAATCGTGAACTACTTCGGTCCCAGCACACCCGACCTCCTCCTCGATGATGCCCCAGATACCCCCTCATCCCCCCAAGGAAAACCCCTCAACAGACCAGCTCTCGGCCGTCGCGTCTTCGGCGACACAGATGAGCGCAAACGCGATCGCCAAGTCTTAAATGGCATCATCCACCCCGCCGTCCGGTGGGAAGTCTACAAAGCACTGATATACCACTACCTCCGCGGTCAATGGGCTGTCGTCTTAGACGTACCTCTCCTCTTCGAAAGTGGCATGGACCTTATCTGCGGAACTGTCCTTGTGGTCGGTGTCACTGATCCAGCCATCCAAATGGCGCGCCTCCGTTCACGAGACGCCCACCTCACCGCCGAAGACGCAGAGAACCGTGTCCGTAGCCAAGGAGATGTACGCACGAAGGCTGCGCAAGCTGAGTTCCGTGGTACAGCGGCGGCGCGGGGCGTGGTGGTTTGGAATGATGCTGATAAAGCCGAGCTGGAGCGTGCGATCAAGGGCGCGATGGTGAGTATTTCGGCATCGAGCCCAAGGTGGTGGGCGTGGGCTTTACTAGCTGCCCCGCCAGTGGGATTTGGTGTTGCCGCGTGGAATTTGATTGTAAACTATGCGACGCAGAAGGATTGGGAGAAGAAGAAGAGGGAGGAGAAGGCTCGTTTATAAGATGGGATAGTCCCAGTTCGACCGTAAGGCGAGGTAAGCCGGGGCCTGGAATGATACGATACCTACTATTTCACTTAAAATTGTACATTGTTAGAAGGTCCACGGGTGCTGGGTGCAGTCACCATAAATAGTTATCAAGGGTGTTTGTTCTGTGCTTATTTGCTTTCTCCTCAAAATATGTATCATTCAAGACCACAAAATCTTTACCAGCCGAAAAGCTATAACCTGTTGTACTATGTGTTAAGAGACCAAACGCCGTAACCCATGCTCGATATAACGCCATGCCAATCATCCCAGGATATCTGCCATCAAACAATGTCTAGGAGCTCTTGCGCTTCTTTTTATTCTTTTTCGAGGGCCCGCCCGACTCTCTGCGGTAGGAGCCCCCGCCACCCGAGCCGGAGATACTCGTAAGGTTTTTGAGATTTACAGTCTTGTTCTGGCGCTCCCTCTCTCTCTGTCGCTGCAATTTAGCCAATGCCTTAGCTTTTAGCTTCTCGCGATGGGCCGCGACCTGCTCGGGATTGGCAGGGTCCATGAGCTCGTCGTCGTCCTCCTCATCAGATTCAGCATCGTCGTCGTTTGACTTCGGAACATAGGCCTAAAAAGCATTAGAAATTAGATTAGAAAGGTGGGTGGGAGCCATGGCACTGAGACATACCAGTGCCTTTTTGCGCTTGAAACCGCCAAACCCACGCCGGCCGCCCACATTGGCATCGTCCTCCACATCCAGCGAGTCGGCTGCCACCGCATACGGTTGTGTGGGGGATACATTGGCAGCTGGGATATCCAACACCCATTCTGACTCGCCGGCCTCGGCGGCCTGGCGCATAACGGCATCTCGTCGCTTCTTCTCTTCTGCTTTCAATGCGGCTGCGATAGCATCGAGTTCAGCCTGCGGGGTTCCGGGGCTGGAAGGCTCAGTCGATAGTCGTTGGCGCTTGGGAATATGGGAATTATCATCTGATCCTGGCGTTTGGGTTTCGTTCGCAGCTGCCGTTGCTGCAGCGCGCTGCATGAACTATAGAATGATGTCAGATTTTGCGCATGATATAGCTGAATCGCGAAACAAACCTTCATGGTGAGAAGTCGCGAAGACATAGTCTTCCCGTTTTTAGCTGCAGTACCCGGTGAAGCAGACATGATGGCGGTTCGGTCGTACTGAGCTAAGAGGAGCAAGTCAAAAAGGTCGAACGGTTTTGAAGCAGTGAAATTCCCGGCAGAAAAACCCAAGCAGTGGGAGGGCGGTCAGTCTAGCAACCGCCAATCCAACTCCCGCAATCTTGATGACCATCAAAGTCCAGTGCCACCTCGACCTCCCTCGCCAATCTCTCCCAATTCACCACCTCCACCACCCTTTCTTGGGACTCAATCTGCCCAGCATGATGTCCTGCAGTCGCCGCCTCACGGCCTTGGCCTCGATCCGCCCGCGCTTCGCCGCCCGCACCTACACCTCCACCGTCCCTCGTCTGTCCGAGAACCGCATGGCCGCCAACGACCCCAACCCCCCCCGTCGTCAAGCCCAGTGCTTCCACCAGCAATGTTCCCACCGATACTATGAGCGCCTGGGATGGATCCCTGTCCGAAGACCCCGTCGTTGCCGAGCGCATTCGCACCATGCAAGCCCCGAACCGTTCCAGCACCTGGGCCGCCAGCCAGCAACCGCGCGAGGAAGCCATGGTCGGACCTCGTTTCGAGCAGACTATCATGCAGACTCAGGTGGGTGCTGCGCTATACCTTCAATCCCTGCCTTTCCCGAGCTCAATTGAAACCTAATCGCTTGATCCGGGGTGGCAACGGAGAAGCTAAAACCTAGTACTAATGCTCTTATATAGCCCCAACCCATGGCCGCCATTGAGCTCATTCACAAGCAACCCGTTCGCTGGACAAAGAAGCGCGTCGTAAGCTGTGACGGTGGCGGCGGTCCCCTTGGCCACCCCCAGATCTTCATCAACACCGACAAGCCCGAGATTACGACCTGCGGCTACTGCGGTGTTCCTTTTGTACGTCCCCTCGATCCAATAATCTTCCATTGCACCTCAAATTGTCCTTTTCTTTTCCTTTCTTTTCAATTGTTAACAAACTGAACGATAGGCCCACGAGCATCACCGTGCTTACCTCAAGTCTCTCCCCGCCACCAGCTTCCCCCTCGAGCCCACCAACGACCCCGCCGAGGTTAACGAGAGCCAGCGCGTTACGGACGGAAGCCTGGAGCAGCGATAGACGACTAGCATAAGATTCCTTTTGTCGGCGTTTATCTTTTCCCCATTGTGTTCCAATTATTGGTTTTGGGCCCGAGGCCATGTACAGAAATATCGATCAATGGATCTGCCCTTCGCCCTGCGATAGTCTAGTCGTGGCGAATATGTTTAATGTTCTTTTTGGTGTAGTTCGTAATGGCCATTTTATACCCTTTTGTGCGACTTGAATCGCCTTTCTATATCCATTGAGCGCATTCTTCCAAAGTCGCATTTGCGACCTCTTCGTTGCACATCTTCGTCAATCGCTTATTCTACTTCAATATACACCTTGAATCCAATCATAAATGACCCCGTAAATCATCCTCACGTATATCATCCAGTCAGGCCTTCTCACCCTGAATGGTCGCAACGACCTTTCGCGAGTGCCGACTAGTACGGAACTCAAGGTACCAAATTCCCTGCCAGGTACCGGTAGCCAGACGACCATTGGTAATAGGAATACTGACAGAGGCACCAATGAGAGCAGACTTGATATGAGCCTGTCGGAGGTATAATGCGATTAGCAAGAAGCTTTTCCGAGCTTATCTTGGGGTAAAGCTCAACTCACCGGCATATCATCCTCTCCCTCAGCAGAATGGCGATAAAGGTTTCCCTTCCGATCCATTGGCGCGATGCGATCGAGAGCATCACTCATATCGGCGCGTACATCGTCGTCCCAGTTCTCGTTTAGTGAGAGCGCACAGCTGGTGTGCTGCACGAATAGGTTCAGCATGCCAACCTTGTAGTCGCGGATCTCGGGGACTTCGGAGAGGACATGGTCGGTTATGAGGTAGGAGCCACGGCTACGCGAGGGTAAGGTGAAGTTCTTCTGAGTCCAGGACATGGTGTGGTGTGGGAGTTGATGTGAAGTGTGGAAGTGGGAGGGCGGGGGAATTCAAGTTGAAGTTGGAATAAGATGGGTTTGATTGGGTGGGGGATGTGATGTCATTTGGATGTACATAGAAGTATAGTAAACAATGGATTCGAGTTTGCATCTGGATTTACTAGGAATTATTACTAGTAGTTCTTTCTCTGGAACTCAACATCCTCGCGAAATAGGTTATAGATTTATCATGGATCTGTCCCTCAATGGGTATCTACATAACAGTATACGAGTAATCCAAAGTTGATGTTCGTCATATAAGTGTGCTTTATTCACAACTTTGCCTCCCATACAACACGAATGCATATTGCCCAAGATACTAAGTACTGCTAAGCACTAAGACGCATCACACACACCCGCCTGTACACTAGGTGGATTACTCGAGGCATGTCCCCAATCCGCCGCCCCAAGAGCCTTTCCCGCATCCGTGCTATCATCCGAACGAATATAATACTGCGGGTCAACATAATACCACCAGTCATCACTGCGAAAAGCATTGTCCAGTGACTGACTGGCGGGATCATTCCATCCTGTGTTACGCGTATCAAAGCTGGGGTGTTTTGACCACGCAACGTACACCTTGGGGTGATCATTATTCTGCACGCCATTGGGGTCTTTGGCGTTGCCGGCATTGACCTCATCCGTTGTGAGGGTATTCTGGATATCGCCCCAGGCTAGATTATTGTATCCACTATGTGCGGAGAGGAGGGCACGCGAAGGCGCCCAGTTGTTGCTGTCGTCACGGGAGTGGATGATTACCACTCGTTCCCAGTCACTGATCGCGTTAGAAGGAATGTCATGCATGCCTGTGATGATATCTTACTAGTCATGCCCCGTTTCAATAGACCCGAACTTTGCACCATCCTTCTCGTAGAAGAGATTGTAGACCACCCGGATCTCGGTATCATTGCATCGCTGATAGGTATAATAAATAGGGAATGCCGGACCGGGGTTCCCAATACCCACCCCAGGGTTGCGACAGTTACAGCCGACATTGGGATACTCACATTGTGCCGCTGCAGGAGTTTTGTGGCCATCATCGTAGACATCGGCTGTGTCGGGCGATCCACCAAAAGCCCAGGTGGGATAGCAGGGTGGCTGGTTCTGGGCCTGACCGAAGAACCAGATGGGGGCGTAGCGATCGGCGAGATCTACGCCGCCAGCATCAAGGAGTGAGTTCATCTCATCGTCGCCGATTTGTGACACTGCAGCCACTGGTCCGGCCAGGAGGGCGAGATATGCCCACGACTTGAGCCACATGGTGGGGCGAGCGGAGGGGAGGGTGGTGAATGACTATGGACTATGGCCTGGGGTGCTACATCGAAGAGGAGTCCTTGGGGATGATACTCCATTTAAGAACGTCAGATGTGAAATGAAAGCCAGGGCTTTCCCTACTCCGAGTATCCTAGTGGAGGAGACAGGGTGATTGACGTATTTCCTAATAAGGAGGTGAGCTGCTAAAGGTCACATCGGGAGGATGACATCCTCCGTTAGGGCCGCATTAGCATCGGAGGCGGGGTTAACTAGCCCAAGATTCAAGTGTAGAATAAAACAGCACTTCCCCTGCTTGGAATAGCCACAGGTCCACAAGTCCTCAATGGCCTCAGATGAATCTTATCTCAGCCCTGATGGATCGTCACGATCCAGGGACAGGCCAATCCCAGAAGACTTTGTGCAAACGTTCCGCCCCGTCTGATCTACATTGGACCATTTAATGGCCGATCCTTCATCCTTCGTCAGACCACTCGGATATAACTGGACTCTGTATGTTGTTTACGCAGGTTATCGATTATACTTTACTGCTAGGGAGCACGCCGAATCGCTGGGGAGCACATATATTAAGGCCTAGTTAGCTAGTGATGATCTGACCACGACATCTAAAATCTTTCATGATCTGAGATTGTCAAGGGACTTCCATCGTTCGCAAGTATCTGACGCAAATCAAATCCGATCGCTAGGCCATTTCCCTCCTCCTCTGCCTCACGAAAGCCAGGAGCATAGTCATCCACTAGATCGACTTCATCACCCTGGTAGATCTCCACAAGCGGCTTCCGCATATCGACCCTAAGCACCGATTAGTATATAAAACCCCATAACCAAGAGTGAGAAGACTCACGGCTCATCCTCTAAGATGATCTTCGGATCCCTATCCTCATCAAGATCACTATATCCTGACTCAATATACTCCAACGCGCGCTCTATCGCAGTCTGATTTCCAGGACCAATTTCACGATAACAGTCGGCCAACCCCGCCGACATCATTTGAGCCCGGTAGGCCTTTTCATAAATGCCGTTCGTTCCGAACTCAACCCAAAGCCCCAGTCCGGTCTCCAGGGTTCGGTCATCAATAATCAGCTTGGCATAACAATCCCTGAATATCACCATTCCATCAAGCGCCATATGCATATCGAGAAAATTGGGCCGGGCGACGCTTTGCTGGAGCTTGAAAGTATCGAGAATATCGCCTTGATTACCTTCCAAGGGCAAAAACATCACAATTTCGGATGCTAGAAATTCCCAGCCATCCTCCCATGGGAATAAACCCAGGATACACTTAGCCAGGAGGGCTTGTTTCTCTTCGTTCAATTCGGTGATACAAATGTAGACCATGCAGAATCTTTCAACGTCACTTTTAATGAAAGACTCGTCCTATTTTCGGATTAGAATCAGAATCGGAAAAGCAGGGGATATTTCGTACTGTAAGTTCGGGACCTTCGAAAAAACTAGGCTCGTCCTCTGGTGCTCGAGATTGATAGCTCTATTGCGGGGTCAGTAGAAAATCAAGGAGAATCTTTGTTTAACCAAGTCATACGTCTCGGAATTCTTGGTCTACTGTTGCCCATTGTTCGATCAGGTCTCGTTTCTGTTGATCTGCGGTGTTGCCGCCGACCCACCGCTCACGAACAAAATACCTCCATGCACGAGTGGCGGCACCGATATGTTCCCATTCGACAGGTTCTTCGTGTCGGCGAATAAATGAGGGGATACCTTCAGGCCACTGGCTATACGATCTTTTCAGGGACATGTTTGAATGGTGTGGTGGCAGTTGTGCGGTGAAAAGAAGTGAGGGACGCGAAGAGGGGCGGGTCGATATTTAGGTGACGAACGCCCGAGTTTAATGCATGCACCCAATTGACACTCTTAAACCTTGGGGACACGAAACGATTATTTCCCACTATCGGTACCTATTTTCTTCCCTCGTGCGATCTTGGAATTTGGACTAATAGCGCGGTGTTAGTGGTCCGGAGCCCGGAGATACAGACTTTGACTTACCGGGTTTTCGTTCACATAGGGTGTTGCTTCGCCAGCGTTCTCATATCTCTGGAACTCCTGGTCTAAAATCTGAGAGCATTGATCTTCCCCAGGAAACTGGAATTGTGGTCACTAGTGTCGTCGCTGGAAGGCCATACATGGTCTCATGTGTCAAGTGCTTCAAAATGTTTATAATTTTGTAACTTGACGCGAGGATGAATATCGATAAGGATGAAGATACAATGAATGAGAAACAAATTACTTGCGTCATTATGAGCGAGGTATTGTTATACAGACATGCCTATATGCTTCATTTGCCCCATCGGAGCTACTTCAGAAGCGCAAGTCTGGTCAGTAAGAGGCTTTAATACAAGCTGGTACAAATTATGTTGATTATAGGTGGTAAAATTGCAAATAAATGCAAATTATTGTTAGTTGAAGTAGCGCGGCGCAGGTCATTGACCACGCCGATTTGGATTCATCGAGTTTAACCAATTATATAACAGCATGGTTACCATCCACCCAGGGATCCAGCACTCATCATTATAATTGGAGAAATATTTCACTCATAGTAGTATGTACAGTTTTGCATAAATATAAAATAGTAGCCCCCCCTCAAGTTGCCCTCCCTGTCTGCCCGTTTCGAACCACTGAATGGCGAACGCATCACTGCGCAGCTTGTTTTATCTTGCTATATCATAGTTGAATTTGACGACCAGAGTCATCCAATCGGTCACTTTTTTCATTCATACCGGACCATTTTGTAATCCCGTCCGAAATATCCATGATACGTTGTTCATAAAAGATGTGGCACCTGAAATAGGTACAACTGTCAGCACAACATCTTTATGCATCAAATCAAGAGCTCTAGCATGAACATACGTAGGTTTAAAGAGTTCCCGCTGTTTTCTCTGCTGCTCAACTGAGCCCTCAAACTCAATTAACTGCGGAAAGAGCAGACAGACATTGCGCCCTTCATCCATGATCAAGGTATGGCAGAAGGCACACGAGACCTTGGTCGGAGTGTGATAGTTTTGACTATTTTTGGAGGAGGAGTAGAAATTCAAACCAGAGGAGCCAGTGTCAAAAGAGACGTCCTTCTTGTGAAAGATAGCAGCCCATTGGAAAGGAGCGCCATGCATAACCTGGCATCCGCGACAGTGACAGAATTTGGCATCGAGTGGCTTCTCTTGTCTTAAGATATATGAGATCTTTCGACATTGACAGAAGGCACGCAGCTTGACGGGACCTTCCTCTTCATGACTCTGACGGTTATAGGGTGGACGATGCTTCCAAGATTCCTTCTGGAGGGTGTTTTCTGGGGGATTGTTTGTGACTGCAGGCGTGGGGAGAGGTACCGCAGGCTCTAGGAAGCCCATTTCGGCCATTGTAACGGTGGCAGAGGGTTCAGTGAGATAATGATGATAATAATAATAATAATAATAATGGCAAAGAATGGTAAATAATAAATAATAGTAGGGATCAATTGAATGCGGATTTCCAAGTTTATACAAATTTTGGATTACAATTTTCAGATGATGTCAGGTGTTGTTCAGGCGGTTTCCTTGGAACAACCTCCAACGTCAATGATGTACTTCCGATTACCCCTTTCCTTTCCCCTCAGCACTACAAATGCAAATGCAAATGCAAATGCAAATGCAAATTCACTGTCTCTATTGCATGTGTGCTCCCATGTCGTCGAGTGATGTCATTATGGGGATGCCTTCATCCCATGGAGATGGGCTGCCCTGAGGCTGCATATAATAGTGCAGTAGGCCCAAACCCTGAGACCCTGAGCTGGCCCTGCCCAAGACAGCCGAATCAACCTGCCATACCTGCCAGTGTATGATGGAGTACAATTGGACGAGACTCCGCGTCAAAAGGAAGTTACGACATGGATCAGCACCAATGAAACACTGACCCTCGACTTTGATGAACGGGCGGCGTGGGCGTTTCATCTTTGATCCCCTGCGGCTCCTCTCCTCCACATTTCTCCATTATACCACTTCTCCCTCTCTTTCTCCTCTCGCCATCCCCTCTCTATCCTCCCCTCCCCTCCCCTTCCATCCCCAAGATGGGCCTTTTTGACAAGCTTCGGGCTCGTCCCCGGCGCAGTGCGGGGCACGCGACCGAGGCATCACCCGCCAACTCGCCCCGCCCATTGAGAACCACCGGCCGCGATTATACGCGCAAGCTACCCCGACCGGTGCTGGCCTACATCTTTGCCCTCACCTGTCCACACACCCTCGATGAGTCCTACGATACCTCCGAGGAGTCCATGAGCGATGGCTGTATGCTCTGTGACATGCGTGACCTTGCGCACTGTGCTCAGGTCTGTAAGCGGTGGTTCATCGAGGCCCGCGCGCTGCTGTAGGTACCCAAAAACAAAAGCCAGAACATTACCACTACCATTCTTCTCAGGCTGACCAACGTTACTTGTCTTTCAATAGTTATACCCATGTCCGCATCGACCCTGTCCACTATTGTGAACTCGAAGTTCAACTCGCCGCCAAGCGAAAGCGTCGCTCTTTCTTTGATCGCAATGGCGACCCTATCGATGCCCCTCAGGTCCGCCTGGAACTCTTCATGCGCACCGTCCGAGAAGATCAGAAACTGGCCAATATGGTCCTCTCCCTCCGGATGCCATACATGACTCGGGAAGCCAACAAGGCCAACATCGCCCGGACGATCTCCGTGCTCCACAACATTCGCTTCGTCGATCTGCCGTCCGGCCTGTTCAGCGATGAACCATCGTGTACCGCGTTGAAGCAAGAATTGATCGTCCAGTGTCCTGATCTCCGTCGCACTAGCTATCGGCATGGATCGGAGGGGAGCTTTGCCCGACTACCAGGCGCACAGCTCTGGACCAACCTGGAGAAATTGGAGTTATCCGGGCTACAGATCGAAGCCGGCATTCTGCGCAATGGATTGGCCTCATTCTCACGTCTGCGGGACCTGACCCTGGACGACCTCCCCTGGCTTGACGATGCGGCATTCGTCATGAGACCTCCTCACCCACCTATTCCCCCACTCTTGCATTTGACTATTCGAGATACCCCGAACGTCACGGCTGCCGGCCTTACCTCGTTCCTTTCTTCCCCCCACACCCAGAATACGCTGCAGTCCCTGACTCTCGCTTCCACCGGTGTTCTTCCCTCCACACTCCATCAGATCCTCTCCACCGCCCCAAGACTCACAAGTCTCTCCATCATCCAGGAAGTCCACCGGTCCTTCCCGGCAGAGCAGATCCCTCAAATGACTTCCAAGTCCCTGCGTCTACTGCACTACGAGATCACCTCTGAAACCGAGACACACGGGCTGCCCCCAGTCGCAACCTCGTACTACACATACCTTATATCATCGTTAATGTCTCGCTCTCTCCCCGCTCTACGTGATCTATACGTGCGGGATGCCAACTTTCCCGATACACTTTTGCTGGCCCCACCACCCAGGATCTTCGGTGGAGGCGGCGGCGGGAACGGACCGCAGCCGAGAAACCGAGGACTGACACAACCCCTGAATGTATATAGCAAAGGTCTCGACGAACTGGAGTGGAACTTCACCCCGTACGACCCCGGCGTCCTGCCCGGACGAGGCGGCACAAATACCCGTCCTATCAGTTTCCACGAAGCACAGCTGAACCGCTCCTGGGGCGGCGAGTCGCGCAAGAGCGTGCTGGTAGGTAATGGCTTTGGCGGGTTCCTGGCTGTGCCGGCGGATGAGGATGAGCGTCCGAAGAGTAGTGGGGGGTACAAGCGATCGAGCAGGGTGGATATATGGCGATGAGGGAATCAGTGGAGGGAGCGTGCCATTCATTTACTCTTTTTGTCAATTTGGGCCACGGATGTGACGGGGTGGGATGGGTGGGATGGATGAATGTTGTACCTAGGCACGAGAGATGTTCCTAATGATGTAACGAATCAATGCAAAGCAAAGCATTTATTGCCATACGGTGTCCCAGTTATATACTCCGCAGGTGCCCTGAATAATTACTAGGATTCCAATAAGCTACCCTATCAGAACTTGGAACACTTAATTGCCAACGAATGTCATTCGATTACACACCAGTAACTAGTACTATTCCAGCCCCGATCCAGCGGGCCCGGCCATATAGAATCGTAGAATTCACTATTATACAGCTGCGTCTCGTAAGGCCTGCCGTGAAGCGTCGCTGATGTCCGGCATTTCGTCGGCCAGGGCAAGACTTCGCTTCCGTGATGATGTCTTCGTGGACTTCTCTGTCCCTGCCTCTGCCTCTGCCTCTCTAGATAAATGTGCCTGTGTCGCTGCATCGGGCACATTCGGCCAGCCCTCCGGAAGAGTCTGACCACGCCACTGCCACTGCTGTTGCAAATCCTCATCGCTCATATCGCAGTAACCATAGGTATTGCAGAAGCACTGGCGAGGATCGAGACAAAACTCCGTCGGTTTACCGAACATAACTGTGGCACCGTTAGCACGAATCAACTTCCAAGAGGAAACCCTCCTGCAGATTTCGCAGATTCCGAGTCCAATCACATGGTGCGACGCGGATGCAAGGGACAGGAATGTGAACTTGAACTTACTATGCCAAGAATATTCAAAAATCCGCCCGGTAATCGACGCATCCAGCGACGAATTCAACAACCACTGCCTCACCCAAATATAATCCTCAAGGGGCCTCTCGTGAATTTTCTCCCTCGATAGCGCAAACTGACTACAACACGGCACGCCAATGAGCTCGGGCATCTCGAGATCCGGAAACAGCTGGGCAAAACTATCCGGGAACAAGACCGCGGTTATGTGGTCCTGGTCATCAGGCCGTTCGCGGTAGTATCGTGCTGGTTCGAGTTCGGCGGGACATCCGATAGCCCATGTACAGCGGAGATTGACGTAGCCCGCTTTCCGGACGAAGGTGGGTTGGAGGTCACGGACTGATATGACCGAGTCGTAGAGTGGGTTGTCGTTGTGCCATTGGTAGCGACCGCTGTGAAGGTATATGCTGACGTCTGGGAGAGAGTCGTAGCGATCGATTATATATCTAGGTGGGTGTTAGGGAAGTTCAAGTTCAAGTTCAAGTTGAAAGAAGAAGAGAAGAGAAGAAAGACATCCTAGGCATATCACGTACGTCAGAAATACCATCGCTTCATTGCCCCGATTGGCCGGGACGGTCAATTCGGCTTGTTCAGGTGATGCATCGACGCGATAGATATTGGAGTGCCATTCGGGCAGATTTTCCGTCACCCACGACATATTAGTCTTGAGCATGGCAGCAAACACCAATTCCTTCTCTCGAGGCGGAACAGCTGTCTGCGTGGGAGCGACATGGACGCCGGTGCTCGGGGTGGAAGTCGGGATGTCGAGATTGATGCTCTTGCTCGTTGGTGAAGATGGGAAGAGGGCATTGATAGAATGACTACCATGAATGGCGATTATTTTGTCATTCTCATTCTCATTTGTATCTGCAATTTCAATTCCACTCGCATCTGCAGTGTTGTCGGATGAATCGAAGCCCAGCGATGGAAATGCCGATTCACTGGCCCAGTCTGCGACCGAACCAAGTAGTTCATGATTGAGCACGAGCTGATAAGAGAACAGTAGGAAGACCGCGGTCAGGCCAAGGTAAATAAAGATGCGCGATTGACCAGGGACGTTGGAGTGTTGCGGAGATGGCCAGATCATAGTTGCCAGTCGCCGATCATATCATTTTCTGGGGAGATTTACCTTGAGGAATGTAGAAACCAAAGGTCAAAATGAATGAGAAAGAGGATTATTCCGTAGAGGACTAGAATGAAATTGAAATTGAAAGCAGAGAATAGGAGGGAGATTCAATTGAATCCGGAGCAGGCTGGACCCAGCAGTCCGCAAGCAGCCCAATTTGACGTAGACAAGTGGAGACGTGCAACTGCGATGGAGTGGAGTGCCACTAAATGATCACTCAATAAACCAGGGTAGACCAGTAGACTTATAGGCCCTAGGCTAGATGGATTTCACAAAAACAAGCAGAAGCAGTATGATAGGATCCCCCACGAGGTGCCGTGTTGGCCGCAGATTGGTGCACGTTGGTGCAGATTAGCGCAGATACTATCCGTAGTAGGTAACCATACCCTAGGGTAGTAGTAGTTCATAGATTGTGAGGCTGCCAAGGAGTACTCTAGGAGTTTGAGATGGAGTAACTAGTACTCTGGCCTAGAATGACTCGTGGTAACTACTAGTAGTTAGGTGTTGGTCCCAATTTATATACTCGTAGTACCTACTCCGTACTCCGGACAGTATGTAGGCATCTCCATTTCCTCCGGATCCGGAGGCTATCCCCTATCCCCTATACATCTGAAACACTTTGGACTGATCGACCCCCGAGGGGAGACAGATACAGAGACTGCCAGGCTTGCTCGCAATCTCCATGCATGGAATATCCCGACCATCCAGACAGACACCCGTCAGTTATCACACATGAACGCCCGTTTATGCTGGACCCCGATTCCGACCCCGGCCCCTGGCCTCAAGCTAAAGCGACATTCGTTGCTGGGCCCACATCAGTGCAGGTTGCCAGCGAGGATCTCCCGGACGCAACGCCCCCAGCAGCTCCGATACCAAAGCTCGTCCTGCATCGCGGGCCCACCACCGCCGTCCATCAAGCTCCCCCAGTAAAACGCCCCAATACATAAGGATCAGTAGAGAAAAGGGCTGGCGACATCGGAGTCCATCCACGAATTCCTTCCTCACAGCCGCCAGCCACGCTAACGCCGGTGCGGGTTCCGGCTCGAGCGCGAATTTGGCATAACAATGTCGCAAATGTGCGATAATCTCCCGATTGATCTGGTGCTGCGACTCGTAGATGCCCGTCATGACCTCGTCGTTTAAAGCGTCTATTTGCGCCAGCGCACCATGCGTATCCTCATCCAATTGCGTACTGGTATCCTTCCAGAATGCGCCCCGCGAGAATAACTCCAGGTTGATCCATGATTGACCCACACCGACCTGAAGGATCTTCTTGACGCCCTGCAGCAATTCAAAAACCACCACCATACTCTCCGTCATACTGGAACTTTCGTCCCTGATTCCCGTCAACCGAGGTGAAGCGATGCCAATGGCAGTCATAATGATCGAGTGCGCAAACACGGCATCGCAATTCTGCTCTGTAAGTGAGTCGATCGCATCGCGGAACGGTTTCAAACTGCGATTATACCGTTGAAGCCCAATATCAAGATAGGCGAGTGCCTCCGGCGGCTCCCGCGACGAGGCAATGTGCATAGCGGCAAGAGACAAGATGCCATTCATGAGAAAGTCATGCTTGAGCGCGAGGTTTGGCACAGTAGTCTGCCAGACCTCGAGCTCAGCGGCACTAACACAGAGACTTCGAAACGTCTCGGTTGAAAACTTGTGCATCAGCTCAAGGATAGCCAATTCCGATTTCTGGAATGGGGAATCGACGACCTCGTTCCTGGTCCCATTTAGACGGGTGCGACTGTTCTCCCTGGACACAGCCTTGACGTGGGGAAGTGGGGCGGGAGTTTCGGGCTGAGATTGTGATTGTGATTGTGAAGCCCGCGCCGCTGCGACTTTGAGGTATGTGCAGCTCAACTCGCGCGCGGTACAGTTCGAACAGGGCGGGCCCCGCTCGTCACATTTGACTTTGCGCGTGCGGCACTGGTCACAGCCCTTCCGAGATTTAGTGTGCGACCGGAGCGGCATGGTGGCCGGTGGCCATTGGGGGAAGGGGAGTTTTTAGGTGAGTTTGGACGTGGAGTTAGTGGAAATGCAGGCTGATTGAGATGATGGAGGTTGACAGGTCAGGCCCGTCATGTGACTGGTTATAGGTCACATTGGGATGTCTCAGTGTCATATTATATGAAAAGCGTCGATGAAAAGAGCTTGACGGTCAATTTAGGCATATTATTGTATGGAGTGGTATTAAGTATATTCTTTACTTCCAAGATTTGTAGGTTTGTTAGGATATGACAGGTTTATTTCCTTCCATACTAGGTTGTAAATCGTGTACTAGTATTCACACCACTATCATTAAAATTATCAACAGGAAAAAATAACATTTACCCCCGCAGATCATGAAGAATTATAAATAAGCGAAAAAAGTAAATGTGGGCCATCGTCCCCCTTTCAACCTTGAATCAATCCGACTCAAATATAGGTCAAGTCAAAGTCAAGTCAGTCCAGTTTAAACCAACATGGCGACCGCAGCGAAAAGACCCGCGCCCGTCACACCAGCCAACCCGACCTTTTTGTCATTGGCCCCGTTGAACATGGGAGTAGAAGAGGCCGACTTCGACGGTGAAGTGCTACTCATAGGACCAGTCATGGACGAAGTAGGTGTTGTCATACTACCCATAGCTCCCATCTTTTGTCCAACCTATCCAAACAAAGCATCAGCCATACAAATTGACGCAAAATGGGATCAAATTGACTCGAATAATCTTCTTTTTTCTAAATTACCTCGATAATAGCGGGACCGGCAACGATGTTGTCGTCCGTGGCCTGCTTGTTGCCCTTGGTAAGAACAACATAGCTCTGGCCAGCAATACCCTTGGGGATAGTGACGGTGTATTTGCCGCTTCCATTGGATGTGAGAGGGGCCCAGACGGGACCGGTGACGGTGATAAAGGCAGCAAAGAGGCCACTTGCGTCGGAGGAGTTCATGCCTTCACCGGCCATGAGCTGAACCTGGGATCCAGTCATAGCGGTACTCGTTGAGGTCATGGTGAGGGTAGGGAACGCCTTGACGGGAAGCTTGCCATTGCTTGATGGGCAAGAGGTGATGAAGGGGGCCGCAAGGGTATACACTTCGTTGAAATCGAGGGGGTTGTCGAAGGGCTGGGCGGAGGGTGCCTCGCCAAGGGCAGCACGCAGGTAGGCACTGTGGCGGGCTTCGACGGTGAGGATGCTACCGGCCGCAGTGAGGTATGTCTCGTTCATGATGCTGGCAGCGGCACCTAGGTAGGCGCTGACACCGACACCTAGAAGGTCATTTAGTTAGGTATCACTAGAGAAGGAAGGTATAAACTTACCCTCCAACACACTAGCGAGGCTAGCAAAAGACTTCGCATCTGTAGCAGGGAAAGAGTAACTACATCGTGCAACGGGGGATGCACCGGCAGCTAAATATTGGTGAGTAAACACAGCAAGGGTCAGATCATCGCCATGGAGTTCGTAGAACGTACCCTTCAGGGCCGAGGTGAGGAATGCCTCGTGGGACTGCTCGTCCTTGCCAACCTCCTGCAAGTTGGCATAGAAGGGGTCCTTGAGCCCAGCGTTGACAAAGTCGGCCTGGGTGTAGTTCTTAAGACCTTCCTCGTAGAAAGCAGCCTCGAGGTGCTCGAGAGTCAACGCGTAGTTGAGGATGTCGGCTGAATTGGAATATTAGTCAATCTTACACTGCAAATGAGGAGATGCATGTGCCTTACCATCGCTGATTGCACGCTTAGTGACTGGGCCAGCTTGGGCAAGGCCAACAGCAGCACTGGCCAAAGCAATACTAGTGAGCTTCATCGTGGACAGATTATTGATTAAGCTTGAATTAGATGAAGAGTTGTAGCGCGACTTTTCCAGGATACGAATCCAAGTTCATCAGATGCGAGAGGGCTTCTTTATAGAAAAAATAAGGGACTTGGGTATTTGTAATGTTGTCCAGCCGGCCAAGCACAGAAAGGGGATAATTCAATTCCATTCCTTGCTCTAGATGGGTGTAGGTATGGTTGGATAACCGAGAATGAGGATCGCTGAGCGACATACCATATCAGGCAGATTCATTGAATAATCTCCGATGAACGAGTACAGTTCTGCGTCATATTGGGCGAGCTAGCCTGGTCATCCATGTGGTTAGGCAATGCAAAATGCAATTCAAGGCCCGGAAATGCGGAGAAAATGAGAGAGCTTGGACCCTGGCCCCACGCTTATTCGCCAATTTGAAGGAGCTTTGGCCAGAGCTACCAAGTCGGGGTATTATTCTTTGTCCAGAATGGGGTTAGGAGGAGTGAAGCACAAGCGAAGGGCGAATGAGAGATGAAGCGAAAGCGGGAGCGGGAGGAGCGAGACCGAGACCGAGACCGACCTCCAAAGCGAGAGCCAGATCGAGATCGAGAGCGAGAGCGAGAGCGAACTAGAACAAGATCCGGTTCATCCGATAACTTGGCGAGCCAAGTCCAAGTCCAAGTTCCTGGTTTATATGGCCTAGGCAAAAGCACAGCCTCCAAACTATTGAAGTCTCCGTATCTACTTTACTACATGCAGTTAGAGAGGGAAATGGAAGGGTTCATTCTTTATGTGTGTGATGAAGGGAATTCTCATTGCCAAAGGTCTAATAGTATACTCAGGTGGTGGTCAGCAGGAAGGTCGTAAACATGATCCTGAATATAACATTATAAGTAGAAATGATTTGAAAGTGCAACAGGCATTTTCTGTTGAAATTGCCAGTTTTGAGAGACGAACTGCTCTAGTTTGTCCAGCAAATCCCCTGTTGGCTCGGTCACTGACATGTCCCGAGGGAAATAGTCTTCCAAAGCAAGCACCACCTCCGCCCACTCCATATGCAGATCAAAGTCAGATATTTTACTCCGCATCGCTGCGAACTCATCAGCTTCCGGCCATGTCACTCTTACTTTCTCCATCCAATATCCTCTCTGATCTCCCACCACAGCATTATAATGTGAATCGATTGCTGGCTTATGTTTTCTGATATAGTCCATAACAACAGGAAGAATGATCATTGGCCGATAGTCAGTCCACCCAACTAAAGAATACATTCCAAAATGTAAATGCATTGGAGTATGGGGCTCAATAGTATACACATTTTGTAGAATGTACCGAATGACGGTAGAAGTCGCATGCTCAGCCGCAGTACTAAATTTGTACAACGCCAAGAGCTGCAGCATCTCCATTCCCAGGTACCGAGCGGCATGAAATATACTCAGGTGGAGGCTGAGCAAGCGAAGGTGGTTCAAGCAGCTCGAGCACCCGTTAGGATACTTTTTCCGGTCAATCGGAAAGTCTTCCACATCCCCTGCTTCCACGGCGTACTCCCCGGTATAAAGGAACTGGCTAAGATATAATAAATGTACTGGGAGCACTGGCTCATCGACGGTAACATTATTAAATGTCTTTCGACCCTGCGTGTAAGAATAAGATTACTATATTAGCACAAAATATATAACTGTCCAGTAATGGCACTAAGGAACTAAGGAAACTTGAAAGCTCACCTGGCGCGATATAGCTTGTCTCAGAACCAGCGACTCGCGAATGACATCGGACCTTTGAACGAAAGTATGGTATCCCGGGTCATGCTTGCATCGAATTTGAAAATCCGGTCTTCGTTCGCGGAGAAAGCTATGCGATCGTTAGTTATCAATCCCACTTATTTAGTCGCAAACCCTGTACGTGCCTTTCTTTTGCTAATAAAACCGCTGTTTGGTGCTCCAATCCCTCCCCTGGGCCAAGATAAACAAAATCCAGGGTACGGTCTGGGTCACAGCCGCATACCACAGGCATCTTTTCACAGGCGTGTATGAAAGACCACGATTGTGCGCAACAACTTGAAACGATTGAAGAATGAAGAATCGGGATTTCCCACTGTGGACTGAAATCGCACCTCTGGTCGCCTTCTCCTGAGGGGGGTAAGGATAGAAAATTGCACGATCTTATAGGTCTACTCGACGTTTCATAATTACAAAATGAATAAGACTCGACATATCCAGTCAAAGTAAAAGGGAACAAAGGGTGGGATCCCTCCTTCTCTCTCATTTCGAACCATTGGTGCGAATTATAAAACAATGGACAAAGAGCGTTGTCATGGGTCTTGCCACGAGACGGGAGAGGCTTACAGATGTCGCCACTGGTACAATGGACCAGAGTCGCTTTTAGTTCCAGTCCGAGCTCAAATGTCTTCAGAAAGAATTTGGCTTAGATGCCAAGTTGGCTGAGCTGGGGGAATTGTAAGTCAACTTCCCACCTGGGTAGGAAAAGCAGACCAATCAAAGAAAGTCGTCACAAAGAATTTCATTTAATATAAAGCCGACGACTATAAATCACCTTAGTGAATTTTCTGATTGGTCACTGGAAGACTGAAAGAACCGGCTAGCACTTTCCCTTGACAATCAAAACTGATACATCGTGGCTAGACAAAGATGCAGTGTACTGGTTTTTTACGCATCCCAAGTCCTTCCCACTCCAAGCATCAATGACTTGGTATGAGCCACCATCTAGCTCCGGAATCTCATTCCATACCGCTGTACGAGATGTGGTGACGTTTTCGGAGTTTAGCATCAGCACCAGCGTACCTTCTAGAGTAGATGAGGGACCCGACCAGTATTCCGCGGGATGTTCAGCATCAAAGGTCCAGTCGGGATTATATCCCCACTTGTAAGGATGGGCGGAACGCCCGATGACAGGATCCTGATGGAAATCCAGCAGATATTTATTCTTCAGGACAGCTAGATTGGCGTCGTTGATGTTGTTCAACTGAAAATAGTGTTAGCGAATGAGGGATATGGTGACTTGAAAGAAAGGTCGATGAATGGAACTTGAGAAGCGACACTTACGGCGGTGCCGATGATCAAAGGGGACTTCATGACTGCCCAAAGGGCAAAGTGTGCCCTGTTTTCTGCCGCCGTGAGATTTCCATTACCGATCTCCAGCATATCTGGATCAGGATGACCCCAAAAGCCGACGTAGTTCATCTTGAAGGTGTTTTCATTGGCGATCTCAGAGATGCGTGCCCAGTCCGCTATCAGCTGTATTAGCATAAGTTCAGCAGGGTACAATAGTGTGAAAGACCCACCAGTTATATCGCCCGACATGCGCCAGGAGTTTCCAGTTTCATTGCCCCAGGTGTTGACATCTCCCTGGCCCCAGTCACACAAAGAGTAGAAGATAGTCCTGTTCGCACCGAGGAGAGCGTCGCGCATCATAGTATAACGCGTGAACGTGTTGGAGGAGGTCCAATCGTAACCCTTTGGTGCCGGATTATCAAGATCAGGGCAAGTGCCATTGGGAAAGTTCCCACTTCCATCAGGGACACAGTCGGTATACTTGTCAGTCCAGTTGGAGGGGACGCCGCAGTTATCGTATTTTAGGTCTGTGCGGTTAGAGTCGATGGTATTAGGATGGTACAAAGCGTGCATATGAGGGAAGCTTACAGTCAATGCCCCATTCTGCAAAAGCTTCCGCATCTACCTTCTCATAGCCCAAGCTGGCTGGGTAGCCGGCACAAGTGGTTTCACCAGCACCTGAGATACTACTTAATATCTACTGCCGATTCCAAGATTCATGGGATGGAACGAGAGACTCACTGCTGTATATACCTATCTTCAAGCCGAGATCATGAACCTGGCTAGCAATCCCAGATATACCGTCTGGGAACTTCGATGGGTCTGGAATAATGCGATGGGTACTGGCATTGCGGGTGTTCTTGATGGACCAGCAGTCGTCGACTAGTATGTAGTGTCAGCAAGACTTAAACTGAAAAGCAGGAAGTTCAAAATGAGAGGAAATCTGACTATTAACATATTCATATCCAAGATCCTTCAGGCCCAAGTTGACCATCTCATTGGCCGCCGTCATGATCTTCTCTGAATCAACGTCGCAGCCAAAAGCGTTCCACGAATTCCACCCGAGAGCAGGTAGTCGTCCCTAATACATCCAGTCAATTGAATACTAGCTTGAAGTAAACCCAATCAAAGCGGAACAATTACCACGCCATCCTCTCTCACAAGTGCATTCGACAATGGCAACAAGGCCAGAGTAGAGAAGGTTAGTGCCAGCATACTGGATTTCTCCGAATTTCCGAGTTACAAAGGCTTCTTCACAGTATCCCCCTGGTTGGCTATTTATAAAGGTTCCCAGGTGCGGGGAATGAAACCTCAAACCGGGTAAATAAGCACTCAATATATCCTAGTCATATCCATGGACGAGGGGAAATGGAAAACTCCATGTCGATCACTGCAGTGGCGCCCACAGGGTGGCATCCATGGTTGTCCGCGCGTCTGGCCCAGGTAAACAAGCCAAGAAAAGATCCTAGAAGTCCATGCAATTGACCCATTTCCCGGATAAAGACGTACGCACGTACCTGAGTATCTATGTTCTACTACATCCGCTAGTCAAAGCTGGGGGATCCGGAGTATACTCCACCGAAAACCCCGGAGGTTTAAGAACGCAAGCGATGGAGATCGGCACTGCACTACATTACACTCAATACTACAGTAGCAGTCCTTGGGATTGAATATTTTCGCTCATGATACATGTCTATCGTGAAATCATTACTCATATAATATACACCTCGCCGCTGCAAAAAAAAAAGAATGGGGGTTCAACGCCCAACCATGCAATATGCTCATTGACCCTTCAGGATTAGCGCACGGGCTTGGCGGGGATCGGTGCCGAGGACGGTGATGAGGTATTCGATGCTAAATCCAGTCGTTAGTAAATGCGATCTTACACAATCTAGCTCAGCAATGTGCATGAAGTGAAGGCACTTACCTAGCCTCAGAAGCCAACCGCCGCTTCTCATCCTGGAAATCCTGCTGGCAGGTTTCCCATGTTGCAGCTCGTTCCTGCGGTAGAACCGTTTTGACGCGAACCTTGAAGGTGGCACTAACGGGTCGGTGATCGGAGGCACGGACCTCGTGGCGTCGGTATTCAAGTTGCTTGACGCGACCGACGCCGCGATACAAGACGCGGTCGCACCAGGCGGGTGAACGCTTCTTCTCACTCGAATCGTATTGATCGGTACCAACGTCGTATTTGTAGGTTGGCGAAAAGGTGATCGGAGCTTCGATGAAGCTGCGGAGTCGGAAGCCTGGATTCTTTCGTCGAGACGCCAGGAGCTGGTCACGTTCAAGAAGTTTGGGAAGGTTGTTTTGGCGGACGGCGTCGATGATCACGTTACGAGGGATGGCATCAATACGGTAGTTAAGATCACCGTTCAAGAAGCAAATTTCGTGGTCCATGATCATCGAGCCATCACCACCGCTTGCGAATTGATTAGTCCGGGTACTCAGGCTGTTTTCCGACGGCAAGGTTTCCGCCTCAAGGATCGCAGCGATATCGTTGTTACGGTGAGCGGTTTGTGTTTGTCCTGCTGCTAAATGGCAGTTGACAAAACACATAGAGCTGTCATCAAGGACGAAGCGGAAGACAAGAGCGCCCTAGAACCACGATTAGCTTTTACTGTATCCACGATTTGGTAAACAGAGCCACCACAAACCTTGTTTCCATGCAACCCGCCCATTCCCCGCTTAATCTCCGAAGCATTAATGTTTTTGATATTGTGACGTTCTTTGTGCTTGACAAACACGCAGGTGAACAGTCCAACCATGTTGGAACTGTGCAGAAGAACGTAAGATTCCTCGAGAGGCATACACTCATGCAGTGTGCGGGTAAGGTGATCGATCCAGACCCGGTACTGCCGGCTCATATGCTCTTTCTCTCCATTCTCCTTCTTCTTGCTTCCAAGGAGCAAGCTCTCTGTGAAATGGTTAGCAAATGGCCACCAATTCTAGCTATGGAGCACATACTAGCAGTGATCTTTTTATTTTCCAGATCAACTAACTCTTGGAACCCAAAAACAACGATGTCTGGGGGATCTTCCGGATGGACGGCATCTCGAATGAAGTCCGAAGTGCGCACGCTGCCTGGTGTTGAAGCGCCGGCATTCCACGTGACTATGGCAGTTCGAATTTCTCGGAAATTGCAGAATTCGACATCCTTGGTTTGCATGCGAGCATCTACGGCGCGTTAGTAAAAGAGTATATGAGCGTCTACACAGCATAACTTACCAAGCCAGTCATCCTCCAGCATACCATCCCAGAGACGGATGCAATTATCTGTACCAAGGGACGTCACCTGCAGGCGGTTCAGAGTCCAGACACTACTAGTATCAAGCACAAACGCGGACACAGGGCTATCATGGGCACGCCAATCCTTCTTCACCGTCCATGGGTTGGTCTTAACATCGTAAACGTAAATCATGCCCGTTTTATAACCCGCCCACAAGTAGTCTCCAACAATGGCAAGACAGTTGATCTTATAGACGCTGACATTGACCACAGCAAGGCATGAGTAGTCCGATGAAGAATAAATCGTGATTTTTCCATCTGCGTGTCCAAGATACACGCGGCCACCATCCTTTGTAGTATATGTGCCAGATGTCACATCACCAGAGTGCTGAAGACCCAATGGCCGCTTGAAGAGCTTGAAAGAGGCGTCATCGCGTGCATTCGGTCGGTAAATATGAACATCCTTGCCAGTTGCCAGCCAAAGCATGTCGTCCACAACCATGGAGAATGTATGGCCACGAGCCACCCGTTCGTGGGGATCGTGATAACTATATTGCAGATTAGGTGTGCCGGACTCATCAGCAGGCCAAATCAAGAGACGGCCTTCGTCGTCGAGTGTCCACATCTCCTTCTTATGACGCAGAATCTTAATGACCTCCCGACGAGAGGGATAGGCACGCGTGGCCACAATGGATTCGGAAGCAATGTCTACTTCATGAATGTCACCGGCGGATGTTCCAAGCCAAATGCGTTTCCCTTCTTCTTCGAGTGTCGCTCCAGGCTTGAACGCTAGAGAATGGGTCTTCACGGTTTCTCCGTGCGAGAGGCTCATAACCTGTTCGCCGGTCGTGAGATCCCATATGCGCGTTAAATAGCCGGCTGTGCATACGTATTTGCCGCACACGTCCATCAAGCGAGTGTCGTATCGAGTGAGGATCTCCTTAGGGCCGGTCTTAAGGAATGGTGGTCTCCGGTTAGCCGTTGAAGCATCAGGGTAATCAGTACGTGAAATTGGAGGTTCATCCGTGGTCAACTCCTCCTCCTCGGTGTCCGTGCGTGCTGGGCGACGTTCCTGATAGCTAGACGAAAAATGGGATTCACGAGGCAGGGATTGTTGCCTTTGGAGAGGCCGAGGGTTCTGGGGTTGGTTCAAATTGGCATGAGACGGAGCAGATCGAGCAATAGGTGTCATCGGGCTTGAATTGTTCACCTGCCGAGGGGGGTTCCCGGGCCGGTGAAAGCACATTCTGTCGAGGGATGGAGGCAATTGGTCGAGGAGGAAGACCTGGACGATCATGGGGACTGTCGCTTGCTCGTAGCTTCTGTGTTGAAAGGGGCGGGGCGGTGGAGGCTTCTGGGTATACAGAAGACGTAGGCGGAATTTGCACCATCAATGGCTTAGTAGACCGACAAGGCTCGGGAACAGGACGGGTCCGGGAGAAACCCAACTCCCGCGCATCATGCTTTGTCTGAAAACTTGGTGTAGGTGACCGCTCATCAAACGATCGCCTAGTTGGTGGCTCGGTTCTAGGGCGTCCCGGAGGAAGCTTCGGGGAAGGCTTGCTAGCAGAAATTGGTTTGGGTGGGAGCTTTTCCGGACTGCTGGGCGGAGTGTTGAAGGGTGAAACATGGTCATCAGATGAGGCCAACTCGGATCTTGGAGCTAGTGTATTCGTATCCGGTTGGGAGAACTGGGCCGGTTTAGCTGGGATCTTCGGCTTCGATGCCCTGTTAGCGGGAGGAGGCAGCGAAGCACTCTTGAGCTTCCGCTCAGCTGAGCCATTATTCCCATTCACGGTGAGAGAGTTCGGCGATAGTCGTTGGGCTGTGTCTCCCAGCGGAACAGACGATCCAAGCTGCGGCGTAATGGGCCTCGGAGGGGGAGGTGCGGGAGAGACTCCAGCGGAAACGGACGCCCTAGGAAGATGAATCGAGCTCCTAGCCATGCGATTATTATCTTGACGGGGCAGTGAATGATCCCGCCTGAGCTCCCGCGGCGGCGATTGGGGTGAATCGACAGTTAAAGTGGGCGGCAGCTGTGGTGACGAGCGGTTCAAGCCCATCGAGATGGGCCGGCCATGACGACCGCCGGGAGATCCGCGAGCTCCTGTCGGAGTACCATATGGGCTTGTAGATTGATCAGCGCGGCGACTCTGTCTTTCATCGAGTGTCGAATTCCATGGAGAGTGTGGCCGAGGTAGATCCAGGGAGGCGCGGGTCGAAGAGCGCGGCTCATCACCGGGCTCGGGTGTTCTCAAGAAACGACTAGAGGATTCATGGGGGTTTGTGCCAAATGAAGACAGAGTTTTGCGGTGTGACAGGTTTTCGAAATGGGAGAGCAACGAGGATACGGGTCTCTGTTGATGCCAGATAGGTTAGTGTCTCCGCAAGCCACACCGGGACAAGTTAGGTGTATACATACAGAAGGAGGATCATCGCGGTCCGATTCTCTGCCATTTCCCTCCATGGCCATAATTGTGTACTTTGTATCGCCGAGGCCAGCTGGGCAGATCAGTCATAAGCCCACCGGTGCCTGGAGAGGTCTCGTGGACAATAGTGTAGGAACGGCGTAATAATGGGCTTGGAAGGGCTGAGGAGGCCAGGGAAGTGGGGGGGAAATCCCCGGAGACGGAGAGGAATCAACAGGGCGAGGGAGGCACAGAGGCCGAAGAGGTAAAATTGTAGTCAAAAGGATATGTGAGAGGTGAAATGAAGTGGCGGGGGAGGAAAGTGGAGGACTGACGACGATCACGGGAAGCGATCAACTAACTGGCCACTGGTCACTGGCGAAATTCTCGAGCTTGCCGCCGTACGGAGTACTAGTACATCCGAATTAATTCGACATCATTTTCAATGTAGCAATTTCAACTTAAAACCTGACTGGCAAGTCCGCCGATTTGATCTAGGAGCTACCTTGAATTAAGCCTAATGTATAAGGGGGCCAACCTCCTCTAGGAGCCATCTGTCCAGTTTCTGCAGTCCTCCATTATGTAGAGCATGATAGATCTCACCCAGATCCTGGCAGGCAAACTCGTAAATTTCATCATTCATCTCATCCCACATGTAGAATTTCTCGCCAGATTGAATGATCTGAGTCTGACCCTCTTCATCCTCTAAAATCGGTTGTCCTGGGCCAAGACCGAAAGCACGTGTGACAACTTGACCTCTGCCATCAGGACTATCCCATTCCTCTTCGATCTTATGATCTGTCCAGTTTGGAGGAACAGGATATTCCTAGGAAGATATTTAAGTTACAAAAATTATTTATTGATCGGTTTAGAGAGAATCATACTGTAGGGATACTACCACTTTTGATAGAAGATTTGGTAGTAGTTTCATCGAGAGGATTTGCGGAGGACTTAGTAGGTGATTTAGAGGGAGATTTAGTGGGTGAGTTGCTTGTTGATCTCTCTTCATTCAGGATACTGAAGGACTAAGTAATAGTAAGGAATAACGCATATAATCTTGTAGGAATAAATAGTTAGTAATACTTACTGGTTGTGGGGTATGGCTCTTGTGTAGAGACATAGTGATGGTCGGTATCCTGAACACTTGGCAAAACGGAAAAACGGAAAAAGGCGGGGAAGACAAAATAGTTCGTTGAATGGTAACAAGGTGTGGAGTAGGTCTGTAATGCTACATCCGTATTTCCCGGATCGAGGGCGGTGAATAGATCACGTGGCAGAGCATACTATGCACCACTGGAGGACTGTTGACGACCGTCACGGGAAGCGATCAACTGGTTCCTGCGCGGCGCTTCTTCCGCATCTCCAAACTTCCCCTGTTCAGCTCACCTTCCCACGTTCTCACTTTCTTGCATAGCCCTCTCAACAGAACAATGTGGTACGTTATTATTTGAGCAGTTGATGTTACCAGCGCTGTTTGTATCGGCATGGCCAAGCCCACAAGATCCCAGGCTAATGTTATCCAACCCCCGCCATGCAGTAAACACATTCTCAACGCCCAAGTGTCCATTCGCTCCGCCTGCTGTATGCCTTTCTCGAACCCAAGTCAACAAGGACTCAATTGACCAACTATTCCTCAGGCCGCAAGTGGTTCGATTGCGCCGAATGCCACGGAGAACAAGAGAAGCACCAGCTCATAAAGTCCGCTGAAATGGTATGCGGTCCAATATTCCCGTCAAGTTGAATAGGGGCAGGAAATGGAAAAAGCACGGAGTCTGACAATTACAAAATTTAGATCTTCGCGTGCAAAAAGTGCAAGAAGTGCTTCCGCAAGGACGCTAGCGAGTTTGAAGAGAGGTCTGTATATACCCCGCGTTCATGGAAGGTGAATTTGAGAGCTAGAGCTGACTTCTTCCTTCCTTGTCCTTTCAGTGACGAGTACTGCCCGCATTGTGACAACCATTTCGTTCTCGAGGCCGTGACACCACAAGCATCTCTCCAGGTGGAGGGTGACGACGCCCGCATGGACAACCGGTGTGTTCTCGAGAACCAATATATTTATATGCCGCCGAGGATGCCCAGCTGACCATTATTTCCCAGTATGCTCAAGGATGACCGTGTCCGCGGCGATAAGGACCGATCCCTCTTCAAATTCCGCGATGTCTCCGACCGCATGGGCTAGAGGGGTGTCCTGCACATATTTTATGATGTTGACGATACGATGATTTTCTTGGAGTTGACCAAAATCCCTGGCATCAATACCCTGTTCTTTTTTGTTGTATATTATGGGAGCTTAGGAGCTTAAAAGTGAGTGGAATGTCAAGTGAGACGAGACCTGGTTGGCGTGGGTTTCGTGGAGTCCATAGAGAACTTGAAGCAAAGTCCTATCATCGTAGACACCGTGATCCTATCAAGACGATCTATTGCCCCAGCCAATTAACCGGAAATTCAATCTCGACCTCGAGCAAGGTATGTGCAGCAGGTATTCTCCGGCTTGCCTATATTCAAGGACACTGGTCATACTACTAGTAGTCTAATCATTTCTACATCCACCGTGAAGAGCATAATGTAAGATATCGTGGTTTTGTCTTCATAAGGGACCAGCGCTACAGTAAATCGACAATCAAAATCCAGGCAGCTCAAGCCTAGGACCAAATCAAATCCTCTATCCGCCATCCTATCCATGAAAGCCCCGCCTCTCAGAGAATGTTTATCTACTCACCACCGGGCCGGGTCAGAATAGCCGCTGTGGTGGTAGCCGTTCGGCTAGTCTTCTTCTTGGCAGCTTCCTCCTGCTTCTCCGTCTCGATGTTCTTAACGTACGCCTCGATCTGGTCATCCGGCAGCATCTCGACCCGGTTTCCGGGGGCCATGATGGCCACCTCGATGTTCTTTGCGCCGGTCTGCACAACCTCCAGCAATGACTTGATGGTCAGCTGGATTGTCTGCTCGCGGTCCATGCCTTCCTGGTGGTTGCGCTCGAGGAACTCGCGAACGGTTTTGCTAGATCGGCCAATGGCGTTGGCTTTCCTGCGTGATGAAAGATATTGAATTAGAATCCGGATTTCACGGCTGAGTTTGAAGGACGGGCTGGCTGGCTGGCTGGCTGGTCAGGTTCGGCACTTACCAGGCAGAGTAGATTCCAGACGGTTCGGTCTGGTAGAGACGGGGGGGTTCCATCGTTCTTGTCGAAGCCAACGACAAGCGTACTAATACCAAACGGACGGACACCACCACTCTGGGTATATCTCTGCTGCACACTGGCGATGTATTTGGTGATATATTCGATGGTGACGGGGTCTTCGACCGTGAGGCGGTGGGATTGAGCCTCTAACCGGGCCTTATCGATCAGGATGCGAGCATCGGCGTTCAGGCCGGCGAAGGCGAGGCAGACGTGGTCATCAACCATGGCGATTTTAGAGGGGGTAATGCGGGTATCTTGAAGTTTGAGCGCGGAGCGCTTCTCGCAGCCGAGGACGACGATGTCATCGCCTTTCACACCGACGGCACAGGTACCTAGAAGGGGAGGATGTATCAGTCATTTGTGATTCGAAGTCAGAGCGTCCGTAGATCGACGCAGCTGGAGCTGTGGAAAATGCTGTTGGGATGGGTGGGCTGGTCTTACCGCGCTTGACAGCCTCCATGGCATACTCGACCTGGAAAACGTGTCCATCGGGACTAGGTTGGGTTAGATTTCAGATAGCTGAAGCTTTGAGTCTATGTCGCATACCTGAATACTGGGATGAGTTAGCATCTAAGGGCTCTAATCGAGGGCTGGAGCAAAGGGAGCTCCCCGGGGAGAGCTAGCTGGCTTACCTGAGAGAGCTCGGTCGTAGCCGGACATTGTGGCGGGGTATTAAGGAGGAGAGAGAGATACAAGGGATTGAAAAGAAGGGAGGTCGTCGAGAGGGATTGATGGAGTGGAAGGTGGGAGAGCTGAACAGAGCACGATGAGATGCGGTAGCGGCAGTAGCAGCAATGACGGGGTTGCGGGCGGTGGACGCGACAGCAGACGGTTGCCTTGGCGCAGCCGCGCGGATGAGAACTACAGGAGATGACTGCCAGTGCTTGGTAATTGTAATTCATTCGGAGAATTGGAATTTGAGAAAGGGGATTATTTAGATGCATGCAAATTATTCCTGTCTATGTTATTTGGCTGTTAGGGCTGCACACGATACGATATCGCAAGATTTTTGGCATATCGCATATCGTATCGCATCGCAAAATTGTTGCAAAATTGTATCGCAATCGCAATCGTATCGAAATAATTATTGCGATACGATTGGCGATATTATATCGCAATATGTTGAGCTCGGCGATACGATATGCACTACGATATCGCAATAATTTTACGATACGATTGCGATATGCGATATCGTCATGTCAGGGCTGGCCCAGGGTGTTCAACATCGCCATGGCACGCTGAATCGCTCAAAAACGCGATAAAAAATCAAGCAGCATCTATTTCCTATCTAGTACTAGCTCCAGTAACCTATAGTCGCGTTCAGTGGTGGTTGGTGGTCACGACTTGTATATTAGCCACGGTCGCGACTCGCATGTTGAGCACGATCACCACTATAATGGCACTTCAGTATCGCTATAGTGCCCTGAATCGCTTATAAATACGATAAAAAATTAAAGTAGCCTCTGTTTCCTATCTAGGACTAGCTTAATAGTCTCTATACTACCTATAGCCATAGTTTGCTACTGCGATTATACCTGCTATAACTTCTAGTGGTACTTACCGCTAGCAAGCACTACCAGATATATATTATAGGTGTTTAATATAATTACCTAGCGCCAAACCACCCTGAATTGTCCAAAGATGCAAGAATAAATAAAGCAGTATCTACTTCCTATCTTAAAATAGCTCCTATAGCCTCTATACGCCTATAGCCACCATCGCTGCTCGGTGGTTGCGCCTCGTATATCAACGTCGACCACAGTCGGCCACCACCACCATTATAATGACCGTTCAACACCACCACGATATACTGAGACGTCCAAAAAAGCAATAAAAAAAAAGCAGCATCTATTTCCTATTTAGGAATAGCTCCAATAGCCTTTATGTTACCACACTCTAGCCTACAGTTAGCCCTACAAACAGAATATAGGCGAGATTATGTAACACAGGCAGTATAGGTTTTCACTATAGTCTTTTATTTCATTTTATCTCAGTCAACAACTATCGCTTCATGCCTATATACAATATAACTATAGCCTCAAATCTACGACCTCAGCGTCCGAATACAACGCGCAACTACTTGGCCATAAACAACGGATTTGAAGATGATATTCCAGCCGAAGATCGATGTCCAGATTTTCCGACTACTACACCTTCCCAATATTTTCTTTCTGATATTCCTACTGAACAGGAAACCAAGACAGAGTCAATCCTACCATCAGAATCAGCTTCACAGCGTACTACTTATCCTCCGATCGATCCTCCGATCGATCCTATACCATCAATCGTCGCTCCATCAATCGCCACTTCATTATTTATCTCTCCATCCGCCGTAGTTACCTCTCTAAAACGGTCTCGCAAAACAAAGTTACCATAGATATGGGACCATTTCAACACTATCACGATTAACCGACCATAGATAGGTCGTGGAAAAAAGATACATCCGCAAGATCGTCGTATCCTATACCAAGTTCCAGAATACAATTGGGAAATCTACGATTCCAAACGATCTGGATCAACAAGCAATATAGAGAATTATCTTAGGATAAAGCATGCCATCTTAGCACCATCTTCCAATACCAAGCCCTCCGAGCAGCAGCCTTCTATCATTCAGTCATTATCCAAGAAGCCTAAGCTTGCAAGGACTCCTCAGGCCCACAAAGATATCCTAGACTGGATAATCCAGGAGAAACAGGCATTTACATCTGTCGAAGCACCAACTTTCCAGACAATATTCCGCAACCTTAATATTGAACTCTTTTCACAAACTACAGTAAAGCGGAGGATTAAAGATAGATTCCAACAACAGCGTCAACAGCTAAAGGAGGAGCTAGTCATGACATGCAAATCTATTTCGCTTACCCTCGATCTCTAGATAAGCAAGAATAAGATCTCTATCATCAGTATTATTGGTCACTGGTATACAGAAGACTTTATCTACAAGGAAAGAGTACTTAAGTTCACAGATATCAAGGAAGCTTATACTAGTAAGAATATTGCCCAGGCAGTATTCAATACGCTATCAGAGCTTGATCTTCAGCAGAAGCTTCTTACAGTTACTGGTGATAATACTAGTAATAATGAAGCTATAGTCTTATGCCTCTATAATCTACTACAACCTACAAACACCTAATTCTATGGTCTTAGTAGCTTCATTCGCTACATTGCTCACATCCTCAACCTGATTGTGAAGGATATTCTTCATACATTGAAGTATAGTTCCGCTAAGGAAGCTGCAACTATCTGTGATAGATAGAGAGATTGGCTTGACCGTAAAGAGGTCAAGAGTCAGACTGCTCTATCACGTATTCGAATCCTTGCGGTATAGATTAATCGAAGCTCCCAGCGAAAGCAGAGATAGAAGAGTATATATAATTCGATAGGGCTTTCAAGTTTATATATCCCTCCGGATGTTGATATACGCTGGAATTTAACATATCTAATGCTAAAGGCTGCATTAGAGTCACAGAAGCAGATCAATAAGTACATCGATATACAGTATGATCTTCCTAAGTTTACTGTTGCAGATTAGCGTCGTCTCGCTCAGTTAGCTTAAATTCTCATTTGCTTCTACGAATTGACTCTTTTCGTAAGTCAAAAAGAGCCTCAGATCAGTCTGGCAATCCCTGTTTACTATAAGCTTTATAATTTACTTAATCAAGGAGTTCATAAAAAAGGGATATTTACAGAGATTAACGATGATATTGTAGTTGCAATACGTCAGGGCCTTAAGAAATATCAGAAGTATTATACCTTCATAGATGAGACTGATGCTTATTATACTGTATTAATCCTTAATCCAAGAGTAAAGGGGGATCTTCTGCTTAGTAAGCTGTCCGACAGAGATACTGGACGCAAGATTATTGAAGCTATTCGTAACAATATCCGTGAACAGTATCGTCCTGAATCAGTAGATACAACCTCCATCTCTATTCCCGAGACCGTCTTGGATAGCCATAGTTATATTGATCCTAAGATACGAATGATGCAGCGCTTAACACCGATTGCCCGGAAGCCACCAGGGTCTGATATTGATGAATACTTTGCCTCATCACGAGTTGAGGCTAGTCCGTCTGATCCTGGGTGGCTAGCTCGATGGTAGTGTGCTCATCGTGATAGTATGCCTCAGATGGCTGCAGCTGCACAGGATTATCTTGCTATTCCTACGTCTGAGGTGGCTGTTGAACGTCTATTCAGTAGAGGTCGTGACCTTATAGGAGTTCGACGATCGGCACTGAATGCAGAGACGATGCGTATGTTGATGTTGATGAGTCGTGGTTGATCCAGTTGTCATTGTTATTGCTTTTTTTTATTGATGTTCATGGCTATGGTTGTGGCTTGGGAGGTATCGGAGCTAGTCCTGGATAGGAAACAGAGGCTGTTTTATTTTTTATTGCGTTTTTGGACGTCTCGGCGTGTCGTGGTGGTGTTAAACAGTCATTGTGGTAGCAGTGGTGGTGGTCGTGAATTGTGATCGTGGTCGATATGCGACCGTGGATACGACCATCAACCATCGACCACCAACAGTGACTGTAGGCGTGCAGATGTTATAGAAGCTAGTACTAGATAGGAAATAGATGCTGCTTAATTTTTATTGCTTTTTTGAGTGATCCAGGGTGCTAAAGCGACGTTGAATAGCCATCGTGGACTCGTAGCGGCCGACCGTGGCTGATATGCAACGATCACATGATAGCTATCGCCGATAAATATCGTATCGTACGATATTATATCGTTATCGTATCGTCAAAACGAGTTATTAACGGTACGATGTGCGATATTATATCGTATAAAATTGACACGAACGATACGATACGCAATATCGTATCGCAAAAAATTTCCCCCCCTGCGATACGATTGCGATGACGATATCGCCGATGCGATATCGCAAAATAACGATATCGTGTGCAGCCCTATTGGCTGTTGTCATTCCGTAGTCAAGGTCAATATACGAACTCCGTATAGCTACTAGTCTACTTTACTAGTACGGAGAAGCTGATTTATAGATAGTAACATCTTCAATCAACCGAAGACGCTAGAACTACCACTATTACTACGGCATAGCCCCTTCTCAATACACCCAACAATAGTCCATTTGTGTACCAATTGATTCGACACCTTAATGATATACAGGCAAGGCTCCTCTCAAAGCCACCCGAGACAAATACAGGGAAGAGAAAAGAACATACAAGAAACATGAAGAAATATTGACAAACAATCTTTTTTATTAACATTCACAAGAGCTTGGCGGAATTCCCAACCGAGAGCCTTGAGAACCTCGATCGAATGCCAGCGCAAGCGCAAAAGGAAATCCCCCAACACCCCCAACGGAGTCCGAGCCATTGTGTATCCCACCCGTGAGATCAAATACCGTGAATTCTCCGACGCTTGCCGTGGACCCAACGCAAGAAAGAGATGACAAAAGATCTAAAATGCAAAGCAGGTTCAAAAGAGTGCGAGTGCTCAACTCAACTCAGCTCTTCATTCAACCCAGGCTCACAATGCGTTCGCGTCCGAAAAACCCACACCGACAACGGCTGATAGAGCAAAAAGAACCCACGCCCCGGGATTCCCGCGGCCGCCATTCCCGAACAATGAAAATGGGACAAAAAGGAAAAAGAAAAGAGAAGAAAATAATCACAAAAGATGAGAAGGGAAAAACCAAGAAAAGCAGCAGACCAAAAGAACCAAAAGACCATGAAGAGCTGATGATGGAATCAAGGATATGTAAAATAAAAAAAAGCATCCCACAAATCACCGGCGAGGCGAGACAAAACATCCAGAACCATCAAGACGCTACCCGCCTGCTCCTTCCAACCCGATGCACCCGGAACCGCAGAACCCTTATACAAATGCGTATCAACGAATATCAACCAACGCATAGACCTGCCACAATGCAGGGTTGCAATATGGACAACGTAAGTGTGACCGCCCGGATGGGCTTTGTTTTTTGTTTGGATTTATAGACAGTCTATTCGCTTTATGCGGGAGACTTGTTGGCACCAGCACCGTTGCGGCGCGAGTGAGGATCATCCGCAACGGTCAGACCACCGAGACCAGTCGACAGGAAGGCGAAGGGATCGCTAGAGCCCTCGGCACCGCCGTAGAAAGCGCCGTTGGAAGCACTGGTCGACGGTACGCCGTGGTCTGCGCCAGTGAACGCGGCCTGGGTGGCCGGGTTGGCGAATGATGCAGCGGAGTGAGAGGTGCTAGATGAACCGTAGCCAGAGTTGACCTGGCCCATAGGAGGGTAGGCACCGGGGGCGTTACCCAGCCCGCCGGATGGGAGGGCGTAGTTGTTGGGCGGGCCACCGCCAAATTGCTGGCCGAATCCGCCAAATCCGCCCGCGGTCGAGGCGAAAGGTCCCGGAGCCGGAGTGCTGGCCATGGAGTTAGGACCCATGTTGAAGCCCGATGGAGGTTCCATGGGGGAAGGGAACGCCGAGTCGGCCACGACGGCAGCCCCTGAGCGAGGCGCACCGCAGCGGAGACAGTTGATGTTCTTGGCAAAGTTGTGATAACCGCAACCCTCCGAACCACACTTCCAATCACCGGCACGGAAAGGAACAACACCACCATTACCGCCACCCATACCACGCGAGTGGCCGCCCATTCCGTGACCGTGGCCCATGTGAGGAGGCATCATGTTGGGGGGGTCCGTAGCCGTATCCGTAGCCCATTGGGTCGGGCGCGGCGGCCATGGCAGGGAATGAGCAACGGAAGCAGGCAGTGCGGCGCTGGAAGTTGGAGAAGCCACAGGAAGGGCAGGTCCAGTCACCAGGGCGAGGACGGTTCTTAGAAGGAGGGAATGGAGTGAGGATTTCCGCAGCGCGGTCCAAAACGCGGCTGGAAGATGGGGAGACCTCGATGGCCTTCTCGTTCAGAGCGCGGCCGTTCATGCACAGGCTCTCGGCGGCCTCTTCGTGGGAGGAGAATACAGCGAATCCGGTGCCGGTGGGCTTGTGCTGATCGGGGGTTCGGAGGGTCCAGAAAGCAATGGGCCGGCCACCGAATTGAGTGAACCAACTCTCCAACTCAGACTGGGTAGTGTCGTGGGGCAGACCACTGAGATGGAGAACCTTGCTTCGCTCGGCCAGGAAAGCGCGCACATCGGCGTGGGCATCCATGGGACGAGTGAGGATCTCCGGGTGTTCCTGAGCAGGCTGGGATTTGCGGATCAGACCGCGGAGGACACGGGCGAGGGTGATCGACTCCTCCATGGCGCGGCGCGGGGAGGCGGGAGCCAGTGCTTGCAGGTGGAACGGCAGGTTGTGTTTGATGGGGGCCGAGGACTGAACGGGTTCGACTTCAAGGGCAGCACAAATGTTGGAGAGGGAGCTGGGGCCAAAGGGCAAAGACTCGGGGTGGTGGGTTTGCCAGCGCTGATATTCGGTCCGCAGATCAAAGGTGCGGGAGTGCTGCAGGAATGGGGGGGAGGACAACGGCCTTGTCACGGGCCTCGCGGGGCAACTGCACGCGCAGATCCCAAGAATCCAACGTCACAAAAGCAAACTCCAGTTGTTTGCTGGTAAGATGCTCGTTGGCAAAAGTATCGAATCGGGAAATGGCATCGCGGAAGGTACCTGCGGAGCGGACGTGCTCCCATGTGAGGGTAGTCAAGCTTGCTACAGTTCCAGTTGTTGTATTAGTGCCTGACAATGATAATTTCTCTGAAGATAGGAGTTCTGGAAAAAAATGAAGCGCTTACTGCAGAGTGGGGTGATGGGAGTGTTGACGGGCTTGACGAGGACACTTTCACGGTGCAACTAAAGAATTGAGATGATAAGCATTGGGTTCGTGGTGATATCTTTCAAGATCCATTTCCCTCATATCGCCCTCATTTTCGGTCTTTCCCATTGGGATAGTCGAGGTTGAGGGGAAATCGAGGGCGACGTGGAAACGGTTGGGGCGGGAATTGTGTGTACCTCCTCACAGGTCTTGCTGTCCAACAAAATCCAACCCAATTCGATCACCTCGGCCGAGTCCTTGGTGACATAAACGCCATGTTCGTCACAAGTGGTTGCAACGTGGATGACAATATAGCGATCCAGCTTAGGGGTAGGTGCTGAAACGGCCGCCATCGCTGACTTGGTTGCCAACGGAGCGGCAGGGGGGGAGGAACCCGGGGAGGGGAGAGCAAAGAAGGGGGCGGGGGGGGGGAGGGAGGATTGTCTCTATATAGAGACAATTCGACACGAATGAAGGTGTCGATAAAAAGAAGAAGAAAGAGAGGCCCGGGGGGGAGAGAGAGAAGAGGGGAAGAGGGAAAGGGGGGGGGGGAAAGAGAAGAGAAGAGGAGGAAGAGAGGAAGCACTCACGGTGGAGTTGAGAGAAAAGAAAAGAAAAGTTTCGGGTGACGGAGATTACTTGACTCTACACTACACTCTCCCTCCTCTACTTTTACTACACTCTACTGACTCTACACGTACATTTTACACTCTTCTACACATACCAGCAGATGGAAACAAAATAGGAATCTCGTTGTTCCCCTGAGTCTTTGCCATCTTTCAACCACCCTCCACTCTCGTGCAACCTCACGCCGGGATCCCTGTCCTCCCCACCCCGGAGGTCTCACTCCGGGACTACTCAATTTATTTCTGGGGTCACTCCTGATCAGTCTACACATTGCGGACAAAATCAGAGAGAAGAGAGGGGTTTGGTGATTTTTCCGACTGGCATGCCACGAGTGGATCCCTGTCCTGTCAGAATTCGCGCGGATTCCAATCCTAATGGGCCCATGCCATGTCCATGTCCATACTTCACGAACTGGCGAGACTCGAGAACTGTTGTTGTATTTGCCCAGGTGGTCCACATGAGCTGGAAAGATCGAGACGAGACGAAACAAGACCATACAAGACCAGACCACACAATTCAAATCAGTACCACCCCTTCTCACGGCCAACGACAGGAATCCCTTCGGTGCGACAGCCGTGGTCATTTTGGAGTTTGGTCACTGGAAGGGTGCCACCGCGATCACGTGGGGATGGAATGGGAGACAAACTGGAAGTATCATATATAACATGCAAATGGACATTCTGGACAGGAATTACTGACATCCTAACTTGATCACTTTGGTATACAATTATGGTCTAGACTGCCCCACGAGCTGTGATGCCGATCGCCTGCCAGCGGGGCACACGTTCCAGTTGCCCGCCCTTGCCACACCTGCACCGTGCGGTCATCCAATTGGTACTAGTACTAGTACTACTGCTCCGTAGTACATGATCATCTCCATCTGGAGCCCTCAAGCTAGAAGTATAAAATGGTCCGGTCTCCCGCCCAGTGTGGACGGGCGGGTCCTCTCCCGATGTTGATGTTGATGTTGACCACGGCAAACCCTCGAAGTTGCTATATTCCGCCCCATCCCTGTCTCAAGATACCCCCGATTACGTAGATAGCCCAGGTGCTGCGGTACCAGGTTCGGCTTGACGTGCCGGAGACTTTCGGATGTATGTGTTTTACCCAACGGCCCTAGTCATGCACGTCTGACTTCGTACTAGCAGCACTACTAGTATTGGCCACTGCCCTGGGTAATTGATTTATGTTGAGAGACTCGACATAGAACGAATGCCAGAATATTACTGATTAAATAGCCTAGGAAACTTCAAGTTTCATGCAATGGTCGTCTTTCGATTGGGATTCGTAGAAGAACACCCCTTGGATTTACTCAATTTCATCTTTCCGGCCATAGTCATATCATTCCGGATTGACGCATGAGTGTTTAGTTATATCAACTATCTGATTGCCTCTATTTGTGCTTTGCAAGTGCTTTCCATCGTTGAATTGAACTCTCTTATCCTGCGAATTGACTGCTCAAAAGGCTGTAAACATCGTACGATGACTCATTCTCTCCAAAAACCTCATATATCAAGTCATTGCTCATGGACATTATTTGATCAAATCCGGAATCTGTCTCGGGAGCAGTCCTTCTCTTCATGCCATCAGTTTCGTTCGGAAATTCATCCACAGCAGCCATCTGAGAGCCGTTGGCCCAAGTAGAAGAATTAAAGGCTCCACTCCGGTCATGAATGCACGCTGATTGATTGATTGTATTCTCATCACAGCATCCAAACGGGGTCTGGGATTGCTGATGAAGCGGCATGCTACTCTGGGGATCATTCTCCTGCTCCAGAAGCCTTGTTCTCATTTTCTCAAGTCCGGCTCCGATGTGATAAAGTAGATGTCGCTTACTAGTTATTGTTGTCTTGAGGAGATGGATCACTCGGTCGAGCAAGTCCCACACAAATGCGGGATCAATATTGAAGCCAACCGCATTCCACTTTGTCGCCACTTTCATGAGGAAGACTGCAGAGAATGCAATCATAGTATGAACATATCTAGAAGCAAAGTCTCCAGTTAGCGCGGACTAAATACTTCGGCCCCGGGGGAGTGTCTCACAAAGGCGTGCCGACTAAAGCACGACGAAGATCTTCTTCTTCAAGAACAAATGTGAGCGAGCTTGCTGCAGCCGAGACTGCCATGTTCGCAAATTCTTTGCGTTCTGTAGAGATGATCCCTTCGTAGATATTTATTCCTCGGACAGCAAAGGAGTTAAGCTGGAATTTAGCGAAATATGAGTAGAGAACGATTCCCTTCGGTGGAAATGATCCAATGTATTTATTTGCCACTGTAGATAAAATATCAGCAAGTCTGGATTCAAAATCGAACTCAGATTGCTGAAACTCATATCATACCTTGGCGGGATTGCCACAGAATTCTCCATTTATCGATCTCCAAGTTAAAAGATCGCATCTGAGGGAAATCCATCTCGGACAGTAGGGCCCGCGTGGTATCTTGATGCGGGAGTCTTCTCTCGGCAAAGCAGTCATGTACGCGAGTCAATATTTGGAATAAGGAGACTTGCGACAGGACACGGAAATCAATAGCATCTGCTAGTGGAAGATCGAGAAATATCTCATGTTCTCTTATCTGAAGACTCTCGCTTATCATAGGGGGGTCGTCCGTAGGCGATGCTAAAGTGGTGGTCGCAAACATAGCTTGATGCAATGTCAGTAAAGCATGTCACAGCAGCGGAGAGAGGTGTAATAGAGAGGGGGTCCTACAGCATATACCAAAGCCTTGCTCTTAAAAAGTGCTCAGGATCACCCTCTAATGCTTTGAAAAAGGATTGGTGAATATTTAATTCGGTCGCAATGCGTATGGCGTGTCCTGAAAGTTTCCAAGAGACTGCAAGTAACATGAGTTAGAAGAGGTCATTTCTTTTCTGAGTACCAAGTTCCTACCATCAGAAAGCCAGAAAGCGGCAATACAGAGGGCCCGGACATCATCTACAGAGTGATATCGAGAAAACATTGAAGATGAAATAAGACTGAGGAACTCATTATAGCAGTCATCGAATGTTTTAGTACTGGATGGTATATGAAGGGCCGTGATGGTCAGGATCGTCGCCGTTAGGAGTTGTGATGAGCGGCGAACAGAGGCTAAGCTGATGTGTATCTGCTCTAGGCCAACCCAGAGATAGTGATTCAGCGACATATGAAAGCTGCTTCTTGTTAGCAAGGTAAATAAAAAAGAGAAGATTCACTGACATCCGGTAAAGATCTTCTGCTTCCTCCTCACTAATGACCTGTCTAGTGTTAGCCCATTACTTGTGCCCTCTCGATTTTCAGCGACCACATACCCCTCTGGAGATAAAATCGTCCATATTCTCTTCTCCGCTCGGCCCCGAAATATCAAGCTTCGCCTGATTACTTCGAATATTGCGTAGCCTAGTCACTTCATACAGTCCGCCCATTGGCTCTGTGACTAATACAGAAGTCGCTCCGAGGTTAGTATCTTGTGTTGGCTCTGGTGAATTCTCTCTCGTCATTGCCATGCCGTGATTCTCGGTCGCCTTGGCACAGGACGATAAATTAGCTGGAGATTGACCTAGACTTTGACTTGACCCGGAAGGTCCAGATGGTGAGACTTGGGAATCCAAAATTGGCCCTGGGATCTCAGGGCGAGGCCCTTCATGATTCGAAACCAGAGAATGGATGGTCTTTTGCAGGTTCTGAATTTCTCTCCGCATTGCATCAATTAGATCCCTAGTAGAATGTAAGCTGGTGGAAGGCATTGTATATTTGGTCTTTCTCATACTCATTTGACTCATATGAGACAGCAGGCAGCTTGGGCTTTCGAAAGGCGACACAGTCAAGGTCTTTCTTATGACATCTCTTACACCGAGACTGGTCTTGAAGGATTTCGCATTTCATTTTGAGATGTCGGCATGCAAGGCCTTGAGCTCTTATTAAAAATACTATCTTTCGAACGAGCAACGGCCATTGGAACACTCACAAGCACGCGGCTTTCTGCCCGGTCCACCAAGAGATCTCAAGTGACCATTCTTAGGGCGGCCTGCTCGAGGGCTTCGATAATGAGCGTCGTTTGAGACTTGAGTGATAGATTCATCGTCGATGAGAGCTTGTTCTCTATCTGTGCCATTCATTTCGACAAAATTAGTGTGTGTTGCTTGTGCTGCACATGCACGAAGGAGAGAAGGAAGTGACCGGGAAATCGGGAAATGAGGCTGGGGCCCCGCATTCCCCAGACGTGCGGAGTTCTGGACCATCCACACACTCACATTTCACCACTCACACTCACTACCATTGGGGGAGTGGCGATCTTCGGAAACGTGCCTGCCAGTATGGAGTACAGCAGCCGGAACTTTGGAGCACTTTATTAAACCATCTTACTGAATACCGAACTTCATCTATACATGCTCATCCACTAGCATTCATGAGAGCCTCCAAGTGACTATACTGCAGTTGAAAATAATTTCAACCATCAATATGGCTTTCTCCTTACACCAAATCCCATGCCCTTGAGCTCTCCTTGCGATTACTTTCAGTTGAGTTCCACCAGTGTTCATGCCAGTTTCGCCAATGGAAGCTGGTTTCCATTGCATGGACATATTCCAGCGGATCTGCGATCTTAGCTGAAGATCCAGGCCCACTTAAACCGGGGTCGGCACCTTACAGAGGAGCCAGGGAGCCGGGAAATGGATTCTCAAATTGAAAAGATGGCCCGAGCTTGTATATCGATTCATCGTCTAATGTTGATGGCAGTGCCGAACAAATGTTGTACAACGAGTTCGTTAATGATGAACCTTCCGGTGCGGTTGGAAATGGCTCTTGCTGTTGATTCCATTCACGGACCTTATATTGATGGTTATAACCATTTTCTGGTCTCACATGCACACAGGGAGCCCCGGGATTCAAGTTGTTAGATCCCTCGGCGGCTATACCCGAAGGTAGTCCAGTTCGCCTATGAACAGGATCTGTATGTGAGTGGGCGGCACGCGATACATCATTCAGCGCACTCATGGCGTCTACAAAAGAGTGGATATGGTAATATAGTGTGAAGAAAGCACAGAAAGGGTAGAAAGTGGCTAGCCTGGCTCGGATTAGCTCATAGAAACGATGCCATAACTCGTAGGAGAGGTACCGTACTGCATATGTAAGCCCTCAAGCCTTCTGGAATTATTTTGTTCTGACCATTCAATAATGATAGCAAGAATATTTCGGGCCGCTCGGACTGCTTGTGAATGGACCTTTTCGTCGATGCCGGATGTTTTGCGTCGTATGTAAATTATACAACTGTAAAAACCAACGATAGAGTCCACAAATAACCAGGATGTTAAGTCATCATGCCTAGAAGATCTCGTGATAGATAGCTATGTCGAAGTCAATACGGGATAGACAATCGAGAGGCCTCCTCCTGGGGAAACCTACTAGGTCCCAGTCAAGAATAAGGTCTTCCAACTGATTGCAGTAGCTGTCTACCTCCTCTTGAAAATAAGTTCTCTGGTCATCTTCTGTAGAGACAGAAAGGTCGAAAAACTGTTCTAGCAGAGAAAGCACCCGCTACCAGACTATAAAGAGCACGCAATCTGAGAATTTCGGTTGTTTCGTCCGTGGCGATATCCCGACAGGAAGCTTCACTCGAGATATCGGAGACTTAAGAGCTGAGGGCTTGTCATACCAAAGCCTAAAAAGGCAGTCCGTCATTACCAAATGCCAATGAAGTTGGCATTTGTCATTTTCCTCCGCATCATCTTCCGCCAAATGGGAGTCCGAAGTTTCAACGTCTTAAATACCTAAAATATCGCTGAAGCGACAACCTTCAGAATGGAATTTCCACGCGAGATGGTAGTCGAAATTGTCGATCGCAGTCCAAGCCTGTATCAAAACATCAGCACCTTTAATTTATTGGCACATAATGTGTCTAGCCTTACTGTCAAAGAAGCAGCGATTAGGTCCATCTGAGACCCTTGGGCTGAGCTCAACCACGAGGGAACTGACCTCAAACATTTGTAGTATGTACTTGCCGCTCCTTTGTATTCGTCCGCATTGCCACAGGTCTGACCGCGATAAATCGCGTTCAAGTAGATTATTCTCATAGCCGGGCTGACTTGTGCGTGAGATGAAATCGATTATATAGGGGACTGCTCGCAAAAGCTCTGCGTCTATCATGGTCTGGAACGGTATAACGTGAGTTATACTTGAAAGGACTTGCATGAAAAATGCAGGTATCTTTTAGTAAAAAGCTCTAAAGAGTCCACGCCTAGTAGCTTACCCTCTATATAACGTGTAGCATCACTGGGGCCGGCTATCTCACATACGATACTATTTTTCTGACCAGTTCTGGAAGTGTGAAGGTTGGTATGTGCTGCTCCAGCTTCCGATGCTAGGACTGACTGAGTCTGTATGAGTACTGACACCGTCCCATTCTGCGTCGCTCAGCGGACGTTGATCGCAGTTGCGTAATTGATACGGAGGACATTAATGCTGCGAACGCTGAAGCTCTATGCACTATCCGATATGATAACCAGACTTCGGAAGCAAATGAGTCCGATCGACCCTTGGAGCCCCCGGGCGCAGAATCTGCCGGCACGGCTGATAAGCACGCCTTTGAACATTCAGCATTCCGAAAAGAGAAAGAATAGAGCTAATCTTGGAAGTTTGATTAAGTTTTCAATTAATGGCCGCCCGGTAAAATGTCGTTCACATATCTTATCCCACCGGCATCCCGCTAGTAGCGGTAGGGGTTGAGGCTCCCTCCCGGTGCGTGCACTTACGGAATGATGAAACACGGGCGATGTACGCTAAAGATTGGGCCAAGCGTTGGTGGGGAGCTATGATTACGAGCTAGTATATTACCGATTAATTACGCCGCTAACAGGGCAACGCAGATCGAGGTTGACAGTCCATCTTTTGGCCTTAAAATGGCTCTCTACCTGAGTGTCTGATAGTTTTCAGGGTCGCCAAATCACTCCCCCGCTTTTACTTATTTACCAACACATAATGTCGAACTCCTATCAACTCAATAACCTCCCACCGGAGCTCTGGTATACTATAGTATCATTTCTACCTAATTGCGACATAAAAAGTCTCCGCCTTGTCTCGAAACAATTGTGTGATTCAGTGGAGCTCAGACTGCAGAGAGTGTTTTTGTCGGCGAACCCGTTGAACATCAAGGTCTTTCGCGCCATTGCAGATCATGAAAAGTTTCGATATCAGATTTCAGAAATTATTTGGGACGACGCGCGATTAGCCAGAGGCCCCCCCTACTTCAGACGTTATCCACCCCGAAGAAGGATTATACTTGCCAGTCACTGATGCAAGCGATGAAGAGACAGAGGAGGCGTTTAGACTGAGACGACATGATGATTCTGAAGCCGAAGGGCCACTGAACTGGGAGGTTTATGAAAGTGACATTGACAACGGGGACCCAGACGACGAGTTTGCAGATTCTGCCCTTCAACTGAGAGCAAGTACAAATGTCAAGGGGCAAAATTGTCCACTTTGGTTCAAAGCTGTATGTGTGAATAATATTGAGAATCTTTTTATGCGACGAGAGAAGCTCAATAGCACCGAGGCCTGGCATCAAAAATTCAAAAATGAGAAGAAGCTGGGCAAGGCCGCACTCTCGATGAGTCAGTCGTGGGAAATCTATCACGCCTTACTCCGCAAACAGGCCGACGTTCTAGCTGGAAACTATGACGGAGAGGCGTTTCTTTACGGGCTTGAACAGTTTCCGGCGCTGAAAAAAGTCACAGTCACTCCCGCCGCTCATGGCGTCCCGTTTGCCCCGTTATACCATAGTCCTATGATTCGATCATTTCCAGAAGGATTTAACTATCCTATCCCTCGTGGATGGCCAACCTCAACCACCGAACAACCAGAGGATGAGATAGCATTCCCCTGGCAAAGAGTTGATGAAAGGCACAAAGAGAAGTGGCGCGCATTTCGGATTGTAACGCGCGCCCTTGCACATCAGAAAAGCAATGTGGTAGAATTGATTCTAGAAGCTCGACAGCTTTACACAGGAATCAACTGCACGATATTTGATGAACCTTGCGAGGAGCACGAAAATCTTCTGACAATTTTGACAAAACCGGGATTTCGTCGCTTAGACCTTTCTTTGATGTTTGGTGGAAGAGGATCAGATGCCGAGAACTGGAAGACATTCCGCGATGGAAGGCTTTGCGAAACACTCAGCGTAATGGAAGATCTGGAGGAATTCAACTTCTACACTTCGGGACTCGATCGCTGTTATGAGTATGGAGACCCTCCGATTGGAATTAACCCCGTGTCGCTAGAGCGGATATTTCCTATCGAAAAGTGGTCCAAGCTTCGTCATTTTGCATTATCGCGTTTCATAGTCAGGCAGACTGATCTCGTCACATTCCTTTCGAAATTACCAGAGACAGTCCAGTCAGTGGAATTGAGCTTTCTTGTATTCATTGACCACGGATCATCTTGGCATTATTTCCTTGAAGAGATGCGCTCAAAGATTCGGGAAAAAACTCTCTGGCCTGGTCGTCGACCTAGTGTTGTTATCGGCAATGAGCGATATTATCTTCTCCTTGGAGGAGCTACCTGGATCGAAAAGGCAGTGAACAAGTTCTTGTACGAGGACGGGGAAAATCCATTCCATGAGCCTCCTCGAGAGAGAGTCAAAAAAGAGCTTGGCAGAGTCAAGGATGCGTTTGATCCTTATTTTTGATATTTCTGTTATGCCAAATTACGCATCACCTGGGCACAGAAGTGAAAGAAATAGTTTCGAGAAGAGAAGAAATATAAAAATACTGCCGTACGACGGTCATTTTAGAGTTGCTGTTCCACTCCAACCTTAGTTTATTAAGTATTAAATCAGCAGGGAGAGACCTAGGAAAAGTTCTTGGTGGGAGACATTGGACTGCCAGGCGAGGAATTTGTCATTGCTGGACATCTGTGAAGTAGGCTTCGTATTTCTATTCGTCATCGTCCAACTTGTTCTTCAGATAATACCAGCATTCGTCACCCAGAGAACATTGTACGAATCGCGAGAACGACAATCTAAGACATATGCTTGACAGGCTTTCATTTTATCCAATATCGCGGTCGAGTTTGCATGGAATACAGTAAGTCCTTCCTTCCTTTATCACTGTCCTTATACCGCAGATCCGACTAACCAATCCATTTGCGCCAGATAATGGCAATTCTCTGCTTTATCGTTTGGTTTTATCCTGTCGGCCTTTACCAAAATGCCGAGTATACTGATACTATCCATATCAGGAGCACCCATGCAGTCCTCATTATCTGGGCTTCTTTTCTCTTCGCCAGTTCCTTCGGGCACATGCTGATAGCTGGGTTGGAAAGTGCAGAGATTGCATCCAGCCTCTCAAACATCATTTTCATCTTGATGTATGCCTTCTGCGGCATTCTTGCCGGGCCTTCAGCTCTGCCGAGATTTTAAATCTTCATGTACCGAGTCAACCCATTGACGTACATGGTATCTTCTTTCTTGTCCACGTCTCTTGGCAATGCGCCTATGCACTGTGCCGACAACGAAGTCTTATCCTTTGCTGCCCCAGCAGAGAAGACCTGCTCGGATTATATGAAGGACTATCTGTCAACAAACCCTGGATATTTGCTCACTGTCTACTCCCAGGTGAACAACAGTTGCAGTTTTTGTGCCATGGGAAATACCAATGAATTTTTGGAGAGCCTTGGCATTGATTTCTCTACCCGATGGCGAGATTTTGGTCTCCTCTGGGTTTACATTGCGGTAAACACCGTTGGGGCGGTTATGTTCTACAGGCTCTTTCCCGTTCCGAGAAACAAGACTGCTAAAAATAGGTAATTGAGACTGGACGGGTTATTTATTGAGTTCATTTAGAATCATTTTCTACTTATTTATTATTTTGCACTCGTTTGGTTCGGCGATTCAAATTTTGAAGCTGGTACTAAACTTATACCTCCTTAATGTAAGTCATCTAGAATAAGCCCATACGCCGACAGTATTCTTCGCCAAGAACACCGGCAACTTCAGATTGAAGCAAAATAAAGAAAACCAAGTTAGTTAATTTTGTTACATACAGATGGCAAAAATTAAATATCATAACGTGCCAGAATGCGTGAAACTCCTGCATCTTCTACACAGTAAGAAGATGCCTTATCATCCGCCGTAGCTATTCCTGGGCCGTTGTCAATTATTGGGTCTCTTTTGTTATCTCTCCGCAAGCATATGCTCAGAGCCACAGTGGATAAAAGGAGAACAACTGCGAGTGCCAGATTGACCGACCAGGCTATAAAAGGAAGCATGTATCAGTAGATGTATAGCAGTATCTGGGGACGATATTGGATAGTTTTCTTACCCATCAGATAGCGTGGTCCATCGCTGCTGGGATATAGATAGGGTGTCCAGACAAGCGCAATATTTCCAAAGGAATTATTCATGGCCAATGCGACCGCACGCTTCTTCCGAGGCCGGGCTCCGATATTTGCCATCCATGCATTGGATATTTGAAAACAGCCGTAGGTTCCCCCCAGCATGAGGAAAAGGGCGAAATAACGAGCGCCAATGTTCAATGTCGCCATCGTCAAGACAATTCCAATAATTGCAACTGCTGTTGGAAATATTATATGATTCGATCGATTCGAGGTTTTGTCTGAGTACCAGGTATTCCACAAGCAGAATGCGGCAGTGAACAAATACGGCTGGCAACCTTTAGTATTTACCTAGGTACGATTGGGATTTTTGACCTGGATAAAACAAACCGGTGCTGTCAGAAGTAGAGTGTGGATTGTATTGAAGCCAAAGCTTTCAACCAACGTGGGTAAAAAGTTTGTCAAGGATGCCACTGCTTGAGCACAAAACTAATTGAATTTTAATAAGCAGAGAGTACCCACCAGCACGATTTAGATGTCTTACCTGGCCAAGAATACAAAGCCAGACGCGGTAATCTTTACCTGCCATCTTAAAGGCAGTCATAGTTTTGATCTCGTCCTCTTCATCTCCAGAATCTTCGTAAAGTCGCACCATTCCCAGAGCCCTTTCCTCGTCCGAGAGCCACTTGGTTGTGGACGGCCAGTCTGGTATAACCAAGCCGGTTACTAACGCAAAGAATACAGTAGCGGCGCCTTCGATGATGAAAAGCCAACTGGATATTTATTAGCTCAAATTGTCCCAAGTTCTATTTGCAAAGGTCTTACCGCCAGCTTGCGATATTGTTATGCGCGAACGCAGCAGCAATCCCGGCTGAGAATAAGCCACTAAAGGCTCCGGAGAGCATAGCACCACAGAAGAAGATACCCAGTCTCATGCCTAGTTCTTTGCGGGTATACCACCCAGAGAATAAGAATGCAACCCCAGCAAAGAATGGTGCTCTAGATAGTTGTCAAATTAGCCCATAAAACGAACAGCGAGGGAAAGTATCATACTCTGCAATTCCGAGAAAAAAGCGGCAGGCAGCAATTCCTAGAGAGATTTATTTTTCAGTGATGTTTCCTCTTCGTTCACAAGCAAAGAACATACCCCCAAATTCTTGCACAGCTCCACTAGCAGCGGAAACTATACCCCATATGATCATGCATCCTGCAAGATACCAGCTTGGGCGCAGAATTCCCAGGAGCATATTGCTCGGAACTGGAACCAGCTGTTAGCCAATGGCTTCTAGTGGACATTTAGAGTGTATTACCTTGCATCAGAATATATCCGATAAATGTTAGGCTTAGAACAATATTGTATTCCATTCCAACTAAGCCAATATCATCCTCCAGTCCTTGTACTCGTGCTTGGGGTAGGGCATTGCGGTCCTGGGGGGACAAATATGTAAGTACTGAAGTGTAAATTCTTCGTAGGTGATGTGGAATCATACTATGTAATTCATAATATACATGATGAGCTAGAGTAGTGGTAGTAGTAGTAGTTAGCCTAGCTTCATCCTCATTTAGAATGCGGGTACCCCATACAAGAATAGGAAGCAGATGGAAGTCAATTCGACGAACGAAACGTTTCTCCTTTGTGGCCCGCTCCTCGGGAGACCAAGATTCAACCAATTGCTTCATTCGTTGAACCGTCTCGGGGTTTATTTTGTTCTGCTGCGTGAGCTGCATGTTGAGATGGTCAAGGTGTGTATCAGAGTAAACAAAGACATGAACCAAGAGGCACCAGGCGGGGTGGAATGAGTCTTGTCTTAAATACCTCGTGTCAGTGGGTACATTTACCGGAGTTCAGAATTGACGTCCTTGACAAGGCTGGCCGAGTAACCGGGGGCAAGAATGTGGGGAAAAGCCGGGGTTGGAGATAGCCTGACTCCACCACCGGGAAATCGGAAAATGGCACCGATATCCCGATGACAGTGTATACGTGATAAAAGCTGGCTCTAATCCATTTAAATTTTAATTTGTTCAACCCCAAAGATTGACCTCATTTACCTCGACTTTGACTTCTTTTATTTCAAAATGACTAACTTGTCGACAAAGCTGGCCCAGCTGGAAGAATCCGGGAGCCCGATTCAAGTAGGAATTATCGGTGCAGGTAAATTTGGATCTATGTTGTAAGTGAAATATTCAAGGACCAATGAAGAGCTCGGGGCATACATTTACTGATAACATCAAGCATCTCACAGTCGCACCGAACCACAGGCATTCGACTGGCCGGTATTGCAGACCTCTCTGCGCAGCGGGCATTAGATGCTTTGAAGAAGACAGGATTTCCAGAAGATAGATATGACATATCTGCAACTCTCTCTATCGAAGATGGAATAAAGTCAAATAAGACAGCAATCACCACCGACTCGGCGCAGTTGATTGCGACTCCTGGGATCGATGTGATTCTGGAAGTAACAGGAAACCCCGCAGCAGGTGTGCGGCATGCTCTGATGGTGAGTTGGATCCAATCGGTGTTGAAACATCTCTAATAAATCAATTACAGTGCTGTGAGCACAAGAAGCACATTGTAATGATCAATGTGGAAGCCGATGTTCTCGCCGGTCCGTTGTTGACTCGCAAGGCCAAAGAAGCGGGGATCATTTATTCAATGGCATATGGGGATCAACCTGCTCTTATTGCAGAGATGGTTGATTGGGCCAGAACAGCTGGATTGTGAGTGGGTTCCAAATTAATTACCTCCACAAGAAGTTGACTAATTCAACAACAGCAATGTTGTTTGTGCTGGCAAAGGAACGAAACATCTACCCCAATATCACTATTCCACGCCCGACACCATCTGGACTCACTATGGCTTTACTGAAGAGCAGCTTACTTCGGGAGATTTTAACCCACAGATGTTCAACTCATTCTTGGATGGAACGAAGTCGGCACTCGAGATGTCCGCTGTTGCGAATGGATGCGACCTCAGCCCACCCACAAACGGCCTAGAATTCCCACCCTGTGGTACCCATGACTTGCCAAACGTACTGAAGCCCAAGTCAGAGGGAGGTCAGCTTGAAAAGTATGGCACTGTGGAAGTTGTGTCTTGCCTAGAAAAGGATGGCCGAGCCGTGTTCAACGATTTGAGGTGGGGAGTTTACGTTATAATTGAAGGTAAGAAAATATTTCACTTGAAGAAAGTTACTCTAACGGCCATATTAGCTCCGGGGCCATATCAACGTGACTGTTTCGCTCAATACGGTCTCAAGACTGATAGCACTGGCCGTTTTGCCGCTCAGTTCAAGCCTTATCACCTAATCGGCCTCGAGTTGGGCATCTCCATTGCCACCATCATGTGCAGGGGAGAGCCTACCGGTCAGTGCAAGACTTTTGCATCAGACGTTGTGGCTACTGCGAAGCGAGATATCAAGGTTGGCGAAAAGCTAGACGGCGAGGGCGGATTTATGGTATACGGTAAATTGATGCCAGCTGAAGATTCACTTGCCATCGAGGGTCTGCCAATTGGCTTGGCTCATGGATTGGTTCTGAAGCGAAATGTTCAGAAAGACGAAGGGCTTAGCTGGCAGGACGTGGAATTTAGCGAAAAGTCACAAGCTGTGGCTATTAGACGCGAAATGGAAGCGATCTATCGTGAGGAGTTCAGGTCGAAGACCAAAGTCACTAATGGGGTGCACTAAGATCGGACTGAAAATAAGGATATCATAGAAAGGTCTCATAGCTCCAATTTTATTATACAAAGTCCAATTATTTGCTTCATACTAAACTTTTGGTCAAATATCCGCATCCTGCGTTATGAAAATGTCCAATTATATGTGTCCTCATCCCGTTACGCCGACGAAAGATCAAGATCGACAAACCATGGTGGCTGGATGGGGATGAGGGGAGCATTGTGGGCTTGGAGCAGGCGTATGGTTGATTTGAATTCCTCAATCTTAGATTCGTCGGTCAAATCCCCACAGTGAAGTACAACTCTGCATATTGATTCAAGATTGACCCTGGCAACTTTCCGGAGTCGCGTCCGTGTGGATCGGATGAACCAAAAACCGGGTCTTGATTTTGTCTTGAGTTGGAGCGGAAGTTGATTTCAACGCGGGCATGGTGGATGAGATGGATATGTGTCGCTTCCTTAGTGATGATTCGATTATGAAAATGGATAGGTATCTAAGTGACTCATTCGACGTACTTATATGGAAGTTTAGAGTTCATCCCGATTAGGCCAAATTGTATATCCCAGTTATCCGAAACAGCACCGGAGACAAAAAATTCAACCATGGAAAGAGATACTCTCTGAGCTTCTAATCCTATTAAGGGCCACAATAGCCAAACACCTGGGCATCAAAACTTCAGGTATTGTAGACATAGCTTTTAGATCAAGGTACTGCCTAGGACTACTACCTGCAACTCCAAGGGAGCCCTGGAGAACTTGACGTAAGTATCATCCTAGTAGTAGGTATCCTACGAAGACTGATAGTATCTGTACAAGCTACTAGCTTCTACTAGCATTCATGCAAAAACGCAGAATTGTAAAGCATGGCATTCCATCCGATAAATGAGAGCCACAGAGATATAAATCAGAATCATGTACAATCAAAGCCCAGCCCCCATCATCCGTATGAGTTGACCTTAATAAACAGGAATTAAAACAATCCATGGACCATTCCATTCAAACCCAAGACCAACCAACGCCGACCGACCACCTTTGCAAAGCCAACGTAAATAATCAATCATCACTCATCACCAACTTCTTCCTTGATAACGGTGCCACGGCTCGTGTCATTATCATCCTCTTCTTCGTCTTCTTCCATTATGCTAGGCTCGACGTTAACAACGGGCCTATTGGCGCCAGTGCCCTCGACAGAAGGTCGCACGCTGCCAGATTTAATGCGGCTGTCCTCGTTATCATCTTCGTTTTCCTCCATGATACTAGGTTCCACAGAGAAATGACGGCGACCAGCTGTGGGTTCAACGGAGCGGCGGACGCTAGCAGAGCGGACACTGCCGATATCACTCTCTTCAGTTCCTGCACGGGGACGTGCGCTCGCTGCGCGAGAATCTTGGGCAACAGCAAGAATCTTCAGAACGGAGTTCTTAGTCTTGACAAGAGCGTTGCGGCTTGAAGCATCGACAGCAAGACCCTCCTCGATAGTCTGGTCCAGAAGTTCCTTGACTTCTTCGGCCAACTGGGTGTTTTCGGGGTCAATCTCAAGACCACCGGCAGTAGCACTACGAATGCTACTGCGGAATTGGTCTTCCGTGCTTTCGGGGGCGCGTGAGCCGGCACGGGAAGGAAGGGTCGGTGCGGCGAAATAAATCTTGCTTAACAAGGTGAAAAGCAGCTTGCGCTCTTCCCGGGAGCAGCGGTTGGTGGTCTGTTGGACGCCTAGGATACGTTCAAGGATATCCTTAACCAAGGCGAGATGCACCCAGCCACAGGCTGTCGAGCTAGCTGCCCCACCAGCAAGGATTCGCTCACCACCCAGGCCAATGACTCTGCGCTCATCTGTCCATTCAGCAAGCATACCGATGACACCGGTCATTAGGGCTTTGATTTCGCGATCCCCAACGCTCTCGTCGATCTCTCCATCGCTGTCCTCCTCGGCTTCGAGTGAGTAGTGTTCTTCTGCAGCATTGATGACTGCACGGACCACAGGCACTGCAATTCGGCGCATATGTTGGGTATTATCAAGGCGCGAGTGACAATAGACGGGGAAGAAGTATGCAAGTGATTGTCGAAGAGCCGGGTTCTCGCGAGTGCGTGGGTGGAAGAAGGATAAAACGAGAGATTGCAAGAGAACCTCTACGCTGTTCTGATTAAATTCATGGATGGCATGAGGAATATTCGGGCCAGAAGGCGTGAACGTGTTGGTTAACAGCAGCTTTGAAAGCGCTGTGGCAGCACCAGACTGCACACTCGGCGGTGAGTTGGCTTTGAGGGCTCGCGTGAACACTTTGAATAAGGGCTTTTGCATGGGTGGAGGGACCACGGTCTCGCCGTCGGAATGGGTGACAGGAGCGAGCAGAGTGGGATGAGTTGTAACCATATCACAGATGATCTGGATAGCAGTCACCTGCAAGCCCTCGTGGCCCTTGCTGTAACAGTGAATGAAGAGAGTCATATTCTCTTCCGCCAGGTTCTATTTGATGATTAGTATGTTGGTGGAGGTCTCATCGAATATCTAGGTTGACTCACCTTATCAAGCAGACAGCAGAGACCCAAGCAAAGAAGGCCACGCTCACGAATGGGAGCCTCATGACTTCGCACGGCAGGAACAACCAGGTTGTTTAACATAGTCACCAAGTTCATGTTCTGCTGCAAGTGACCTTGAACATTTTGAAGCATGCATTGAGCGATGTGAAGACACTTCATGTTAACCACGATCTCCTTGATAATCTTGGCCTTGGCCTCTTCTTTGTTGAAGGGAACTTCATCTTCTTCATTCCCAGGTGTCTCGGATCGATGGCGGCTGCTTGTATCATCGCTGATTTCAGACTTGGCAGATACAAAACTGTCATCTGTGATGATAGTATCGTGGACTTCGGCAATAGCCTCGAGAACCACACTGCAGAACTCGCTCTCGCCGGCAGAATCGGCACCGCAGGCGCACCGCAGGGTCTCCACGACAAGCTTGGTACATTCCTCTGGAAGCTCTGGAACAGCCAGTGACTCTCTCAGGAGAGAGAACATCTTTCGACGGCCAACTTCATCACTATAGTCCAAAGTCATCGCGATATGCAGCAATTGCTCGACAATGAATTCTTGCTCCACCGCGTCCTCGTCGTTTGCCTCGCCGGACTCCTTGGAGATTTTCTTGCGCTGCAGGAGATCTTCGAGGTACTTTCCAAGGAAAAAAGCAAGAGCCGTGACTTCAGGCATCTTCTCCTCGACAAGATCCTCGTATTTACCCTCATTCTGAACGCGGCAGAAGTCATTGAACGATCGGATCAGGAAAGCCGACTCGGCCGTGAGAGATTCCCAGAAAGACTGGTCAAACACCAATGCCTCGCGGTAATCAGAACGACCCTCCCAGAAACTGCGCATCGCTTCGTGTGCAATGCCGGTCTCAACGCCCGAGTTGACCACATCAATACGTTCCAAAAGCTCCAGGAGCGCATTGATATCAGCCGGAGAGCGCTGGACTGTAGCACCTTCGCTCTGGTCGTTGTTTGTGCCAGCACAGTCCTCAACCCAGCGGTCGTAGAACAATTTACCGGTCGCTTTGCGAACAGTCTCGTCACGGTCTCGGAGACCCCAACGCAGAAGCTTCTCGCGCATAGATAGGGACAGATGGCGGAAATCACCTAGAGTAGGTAGTAGACGCGCATATAGCGTTCGTCGCGTCGGAGCATCGAGATCGCGGGCACGTTCGAGTAGGTAGGGAAGAGTGACGGGGGCAAGCGGGAGGCTGGCGAGAAGGTTCTTTCGTACATCGGCACTGGTGTCGTTCTGCATGATCTCAATCAATTTTTCGAGCAGGGCTGTCGAATTGTCGTCATTTTCATCTTCCTCATCGTTACCGGCTAGGCGTGCGAGTCCTATGACAGCCTGGACCCGGACGGAGGATTCCTTGTCGCGAATACGCTTCAGTAGACCACCTCGGATGGTATGATATAGCTCGTCATCGATAGACTCGAGTGAATTAACAATATGGGCAATAATCTGGGTGGCGCGGAATCGAATCATCTTATCCTTGGCGGAAAGTACAGGCACCATCAGAGAGACCAGGCTGGAGGTCAGACGCGAAGTTGGGGTTTCAGATGAGACTTGCATCTCATCTTCGCCTTGGGTGGCGGCAGCGAAAAGCTCATTATCCTTCTCGGCCGCGTGGGCAAGGAAGGTATCCAAGAAGCGCAAGACGCGATCACCGACAGGCTCGGACTTCTTAATGGGAAGAATCCGAAGCATACAACGGCCGACTTCCACATTAAACTCCTTCTCGGCGACTGTCTCCTCCTCAGGAATCACGACTGGCTCCGGCTCTTGGTCTTTTCCTTTCTTCTTCTGCGCAATTCCGGCACAGATCTCCTGCAATTTACGCATGCGCACCACCAGCTTTCGGTGGCCGGTTGTAGATCGTTGAGCATCGGCGAAGAGAGCGCATACATCGCGGCGGAGATTCGGGGAGGATGAGGGCAATGCTGCTTCTTCGGGGATTGCGAACGACGGGGTCACGGAAGGAGCACGGCCTGTGGAGGGCTGTGCTGAGGACCGACGTGTCGCGGCAGAGGTCGAACGGGCGGCGACTCGGCCTGGCATGGTAGTGAATATCGAGGCGCAACTGATTAGAAGGCAAAGACCATCGCAGGCGCGGGATGAAATGGCAGAGTGAGGGGGAGGCGGTAAACAAACAGCCCAAACGGGGAAGGAACGATAGACTGCTGACGAATCACGGGAAGCGATCAATGGTCACTGCTGGTCAACTCAACGGCGAAATTCTCGAGTTCCCGCCGTACATCCGTATTAATTCCTCGCAATTTTCGCATGGTGGTTTGGCCCTTCCCCTCAACTTGGGCTTTTCGTCTTTGAATGTCTCTGCTCCCTCCCGCGTTCTCTTCAGGGCAATCCCATGCACATGATCGGCATTGGAGCCGCCCCTAGTTTTTTAGCTCTTGTTATAAAAAGAAAGGATATCAAGAGCCATACCTTAGGAGCAACAACCTTTGAATTCCCTATTACGGGTATCCCAGAAAGATCAAGACCATACGTAGAGTACTAAAAACTTTTACAAAGCAGTGGTATGAGACATGATTCAGCAAGAAATCAAAATTAACAACAAATTATAAAAAATATATAGTAATTTCAACTTGAACCTAACAGGCAAGTCCGCCGATCTGATCTAGAAGTTATCTTGGATTAAGCCTAATGAGTAAGGTCGCCAACCTCCTTTAGGAGCCATCTGTTCAGTTTCCGCAGTCCTCCATTATGCAGAGCATGATAGATCTCACCCAGATCCTGGCAGGCAAACTCGTAAATTTCATTATTCATCTCATCCCATAAGTAAAATTTCTTGCCAGATTCAAAGATCATAATCTGACCCTGTTCATCCTCTAGAATAGGCCGTCCTGGGCCAAGACCGAAAGCATGCGCGACAACTGAACCATTACTATCGGGATGATTCCAATCACCTTCAAGCCCATGATCTATCCATTTCGGAGGAACAGAGAATTTCTAAAGAGATATTTAAGTTAGAAAAATATATATTGATAGGTATAATTAGAGAGGATCTTACTCTAGAGATATCAGAACTTTTGATAGAAGATTTGGTAGTAGTTTCATCGAGAGGATTTGCGAAGGATTTTGTGGGTGACTTGCTTAATCTCTCTTCGTTCAGAAAACTGGAGGACTAAGTAATAGTAAGTAATAACTTAAATAATCTTGTAGGAATGAATAGTTAGTGATACTTACTGGTTGTGGGGTATGGCTCTTGCGTGGAGACATAGTGATGGTCGGTATCCCGATGATAACTGGAGTAGCTTTGAGAGGCTCCATCGTGATAAAACGTCTTGAACACTTGGCAAAACGGAAAAACGGAAAAAGTGGGGAAGATGAAATAGTTCGTTGGATGGTAACAGGGGTGTGGAGTAGTAAGATTGGTTGAAGAGACCTGTAATGCTACATCCGTATTTCCCGGATCCAGGGCGGTGCATTGATCACGTGTGCTGAGTCATCCCGTCATCGGAGGTCCTCGGCCGATCTCCGCCCGCGCGATGATGTGATCGCAGCTGGGGTTGGAAGTGAGCTTAGTTACAATTGTTTCTTTAGCAATTGCACTTGTGGACGATTACGATGTTCCGTCAAAGTATTCGGCGCTTTGGTACTACCGCCCTTCGCGCTGCGGAGGGATCAACTGCCTATGCCACCAAAGTGTCCACTGCCCAAGGCTATGTCAATGGCCTGACGGAAGGTATGTGTTCATGCTCCAGCTCCCAGCTCCGAACTACGTTCAGCTAACGCTTTACTTTTTTTTTGTCGTATAGCAATTGGCAACACTCCCCTAATTCGACTGAAGCGTCTTTCCGAGGAAACCGGTTGCAACATTCTAGGCAAGGCGGAGTTCCAGAACCCTGGTGGTAGTGTCAAGGATCGGGCCGCTCTCTTCGTCGTCAAGGATGCCGAGGAGAAGGGACTGCTGAAGCCCGGCGGTACCGTTGTCGAGGGTACTGCCGGTAACACTGGTATTGGCCTTGCCCACGTCTGCCGGTCAAAGGGATATAAGCTGGTCATCTACATGCCCAACACCCAATCCCAGGGCAAGATTGATCTGCTCCGTCTGCTGGGTGCGGAGGTCTACCCGGTTCCCGCCGTCGCATTCGACAACCCTCAGAACTACAACCACCAGGCTAAGCGACACGCAGAGTCGCTAGACAATGCAGTCTGGACCAACCAATTCGACAACACCGCCAACCGCCAGGCGCACATTGAGACCACCGGCCCCGAGCTGTGGGCTCAAACCGGCGGCAAGATTGATGCCTTTACTTGTGCCACCGGTACTGGTGGTACCCTGGCTGGTATTACCCGCTACCTCAAGACCGCTAGCGACGGTCGTGTGAAGTGTTTCCTCGCCGATCCCCCCCGGCAGTGTCTTGCACAGCTACATCCAGAGCGGCGGCAAGTTGACCGATCGCTCTGGTGGCAGTATCACCGAGGGTATTGGTCAGGGTCGTGTGACCGACAACCTGCAACCGGATATTGATCTCCTCGACGGCTCGGTCAACATTCCTGACGAGAAGTCTATCGAGATGGTCTACCGCTGTCTGGATGAGGAGGGTCTGTACCTGGGTGCTAGCTCGGCTCTGAACGTCGTGGCTGCGAAGGAGGTTGCCGAGAAGCTGGGCAAGGGCAACACGGTCGTCACTGTTCTTTGTGATGGTGCCTACCGCTATGCAGACCGTCTGTTTTCCGAAACTTGGCTCAAGAGCAAGGAGCTTCGTAGTGCTATTCCCAAGCACCTTGAGAAGTACATTGTTCTTCCTTGAACCGTCCAATGTGAATAATATGTGAACATAGCAAGATCAATATGGAATACTAGAGAAGCATGCTTTGATAGCACCTGATGCCCGGTTGTAGGAATCCTAGTATACTATACATCTCATACTTAGGTAGAGACAGAGAAATTCCAGAAAAGTGTTATTATTTAATCCGATCTGGTATCAATATTGAGAGTGGGAATGTCTAAACATATCTTGCCGCCTATGTTCACACAGGACATGCAAATATAATACAAGTGCAAGGTAGATCACCGATGCAGCATAAGAGCCACACCACACAGCCCTGTGACACGAAAAATAAAGAAAAAAGCAAAGAAGGAGCAGCCCAAACGCCTTTTATGCACCCGATCTATCCAAACATCGCCAAGCGCCACGGAAATATACAAGTCGAGAAGACGCGAAGGAACAATATCAAAACAAGCCAGCCAAAGGTGATCGTAAGGAGTAGCAGCAACAGTCTCAGTCGCAATAGCAGCTCACAACCGACTCACCCAGACCGCAAAGAGTGAGGAGTTCCAGTTCACAATTCCTTCGTTCCCCAAGCCAGTCCCAGTCCAGCACAGCCCATCTAGTCAGATTCAGGCATGCGCATATAAGCATCAATAGCCGCACTGAAAGCCGCAAAACCCGCACAGCCAAAAGCAGCCGCCTGCGGCCCAGCCTTAGCACCAAGGATACCGCCAGTGATACAACCAGCCGCAACGCTGTTGGTGAGATCGTTCTTGGCGCGCAGACCTTCGATACAGCACTCAGTACCGGAGTACAGGGCACCGACGATGCCGAAGTTCTTCGCGGACGACCAGGAGCGCGCGCCCATGTCCTTGAAGCCGCGGCGGACTTGCTCCCGCCAGGGGAGGTTCGAGATTGCTTGGCCTTGGGGTGTGAGGGAGGAGTCGTAGGACATCTGTGGCAGGAATTTTGTTAGAGGGTTGCCATTCGGGATGGAAGAGAGGAGGGGGAGAAAGGGGAGATCTTACACTGGCCATGAAGAGACCGAAAGCACCACCCAGACCGAAACCCATTGTACCGGCCATGACTGTCTTCACGGGACACGACTCCATTCCACTGTGCATCTATTGCGCGCGTTAGCGGAGGTTCGCGACATAACCTGACTCGAATAGACAGGAAGAATCTCACCATCTTAATCATCCACTGCTCATTTTCGTTCATTCCTTGCATCTGGTTGTTGGCACCCATGCCCGGCAACATACCCGGGATACTCATGTTGTAGGGGGGGGATATGAATCGACTGGAGAAGATAGGGGCAGACAGATTATGTAGTCGAGATTCGAAATGGGGTATTTGACTCGGCGAGGAAAAGTGAACGTGGGTATCTGATCCCCTGGAGGGTTTGTAGATTCGAACAAACAGACTCTCTGCGGTGCGGAGGATCTCGCGGAGTGGCGAAAATAAATTTGCGGATCCAGCGGCACGTGACCCTATCCGGAAAATTCCCGCTCGAAGTATGAGGAACATACAACGGAGTACCCATGGACTATTATCGTTGCATTCACACTGAAATACTGAAACATCAAATTATTGACTCTGTTTATTTATTTTGAATCTTCTGTAGGTTTAATAGTATATGCGAGACCGGTATATATGGCCAAGTCAAATCAAAAAAGGAAATCAAAACAGACGCTCCCAAAGTTATACGCATGGGAAAATAGAAAGAAAACAACGCTCTCGTAGGATTGAACAATCGTAGCCTTGCATGAGTCCGTGGTGTATTCGTGCCAATTCGCCCAACGGGAGGCCCTCGCTGACAGGGCCGAAGAATGAAATGGGGGTAAATATTTACAAAAGAAGATCAAAAAGGTAGCAGGGAAAGTAGAGCCGATTTTACAATCAGTCCTTCTTGCTACTCTTCGAAGGAGAAACGGAGCCTTGACGCTCCGGGGAAGGCGAAAGACTACGCTCCCACTCAGCCATGAGATTGGAGGCAGTTCGCTGAAGCGTGGACGGTGCCAGCTTCGTAATGGTGGGCCAGGGAATGCCTTCAGTGACACTGGGGTCTGGCACGGCGAGGGTCGGGTTCCAGTCGCCAAAGCTGGGGACGGCGTCAGCGCATAACGAGGTTGTCATAAATGAAATCAGGAAAAGTTGAAATGTACCTAGCACTCGTGCGGGGGCTACTGCCCTGGGTTGTAGGGGACTTGTCGTGTTTCGAGGAAGCCACCGTGGACCGGCTCGAAGAGGGCGTATGCTTCATTTTAGAGGCGGGGAGTGGCGTATCCCACAGGTCCCAGTTTCCCATAGTATCATCCTCCGCCTCGACTGGACTTCTGGAGTGGGGACCGGGATTCTCTCGTTCGTTCTCGGCCCGAGGGGTCGTGGCGTCGGCGCTGTTGCTGTTGTTGCTGTCGTTTGGGAGGTTGGAGGAGCTGCGTTGAGCGGCGGGCGACATCTGCGCTGGTGAATCAACGCCAAATTCGTGCCAGAATGACTTGGAGATGTCTGGCGGCGCGGTGTCTTTACCAGATGTACTCTCAGCCGCTTGGGGCCTACCCCTCGACGATGACGATGATGACGATCGTGACAATTTATCCCCCGATGCTGATAGTCGCTCTCGACTCCGTGACTTGGCTGAAAGAGATTCTCGTTTCCGTGAGTTTGGTGGTGCTAATGAGTTTGAAGGCGACATGGTCCGCGATTCCGTTGCGCTGATGCCTTCTTCGCCCACCGTTGCCTGTCGAATGTCCTCAAAGAATGTCCACAGCCCTTCCCGAAGATCCGAGGCCATTTGCTTGCCAGTACGTACGAGAGCTTCCCGTGATGGCGGAGGTATGGGCATAGTCTTGCGCCACTGGTCAAGTACTTGGTCCGGAACGTCGCTCTCATCAGTCGGCATTCCAATGCTGGCAACCGAGTCGCGTTCAACGGATGGGAGTGTTGCCGATCGCGGGGTGCGTCCCACGCGATCCAGTTCAGCAGGGCCAGGTCCGCCAATGGAGGAGCTGGGTGCTGTGACGGGGGAGAGGAGGGAGAGCGTTCGAGCATGAGAGCCCTGAAACACACGACGACCATTGGCAGAGATCGACGTGCCCTTTGGTGCGGCTGCGGCACGAAGACCGGTGCGCCGGTCCAACTCTCGGCTTATCCGCTCCTGTGACACCGAGGAGCTCCCAACCGAACTCATACTTTGTTCGCGGCGGTGGGAGGGTACGCTCGACCCTTCCGGCGCACTCAACTCGGGTGAGCGAAGTGGCAGCATCGGTTCAGCATGGAGGTTGATCTCGGTGCGTTTCTTGGACTTTTCGGACAAGGCCCATTGCTTCTTGATGGTGGACAGTTCGGACTCTGCGCGATGCAACTCCTCGCGCAGCTCCATCACCCTCCGCTCCTGAGAGGCGATGGCTCGGAGAAAGTCGTAGCCATCGTCTTCCGTGTCAAAAGGGAGGGGAGTCCCAGCAGGCACTGCTGGGGAGGCACGTGTTGACGACTGGGTAACGGGGGTCATGGGTCCTGGTGAGGCGACTGAGTCGGTAGCTGAGATCGGTTGATCCAGCGGAATGTTGATGGGGAAGTTCAATGTCAGGCGTTTGGTATGGCGAGCTCCCGGATGGGCTCGTGGGGGAAGTGATGAGCGTTTCTGCCGAAGAGATGATGAGCGAGAGATAGGCTGCTTGTCGGAGACAAGCTCCGTTGTGGTTGTCGACGTTGAAGGTGAAGGCAAAGGCAAACGGTGGGACGCATCCGGCAGAGGACCGTGGATGGTCTCGCCCGTTCCCGGGGAACTCTCCATCTCCATGTTGGGCCAGCCAGCAGGGAGAAGAAAGCGAGTGAGCGAAAGTGAGCGAGTGTGGGTGGATGTAGAAGAGTAAGAAATAAAAAGAGAAGGGGAAAAAAGCAAAGGATGAGTCTGGACGTTCTCCTGAGTAAAAAGGTACGAGTAAAGCGGGTCAACACCCACGAGCGCCGAGTGTTTCAGGGGGCCGTGGGGGAGAGGCTGTCACTCCACCACGCTAACCCTCGTGGTTCATTGAAGCTGCTGGAAATAGCAATACCTTCATTTCCTGCTCTCCATGTAGTGATACAGCCGGGCGATCTAGAATTATTCAACATTAGAATAAGACATTATGCCTAAATGCCCAGGTGGTGTGTTCCAAGGTTGAAATTGGGGTGGATATCGGAGATGAGATCGGCACGCCTCATCTTGCACCTGCACGATGCACCGGAAAAGGGGTGTACTCATAGCCTGCTGGAGGCAAGGTAGATATACTATTAATATATCTAACATGCTGAATGCACTTAGATGAATATTCGCAAATTGCAGCAATGGTATAAATGTATGAACTTGAAGCCCTGGAGGCAGTTTAGAATTGGAGCCTACGTAGTACTATAGTATATTCACTGGCACGTGTGGTACTACTATATAGACTTCCAGGTCTATACTCCCAAGGCTGGAGGTCACCTTCAGGGCAACGACCTCGGAAAAAAGATTAGTACCTAGGTAGTAGTACTATTAGTAAGAATACTAGTATCTTAGGCAGTCAACTTGAATTCAACGTCAATCAGATGGTATGATAGTGTATGATAGTGTATTTTCATTTCTGGATAGAATAGAACAACCCCCACATCCGGATATTGCACACCAAACACCGCTAAACGCCTATGCCATCGGAAGGCAAATGCCAAGATTGAGGAACTAAAAATAAACCCATCACCCATAACCGCATCCACAGGATATCCAATTCAACATATCAGATTCGTCACGTACGAGATATTAAGCCTGGTTACGGTAGATCTGGGAACCACCCGAGCGGATCTGCACCGTCTCGCGCCGTTGCAGAACATTAATCGCCCGGTTGAGGGCTTGTTCACTGCGGCCCTTGCCATCCACAAACTCGCGACGCAGGGTGGCCAAGCTAGTGCTCCACCCAACGGGCAGGCGGCGCTTGAGCTCATCTTCAATCTGGCTGGCCTCCTCCATGAGTTCCTTGCTACCTTGCTGGCCCTCACCCTGAGTGATGGCATCCATCGTCGATGCCAAGAAGAGACGAATGGCCTCGTCAACGTGTGTCTCAGTGGCGATAGGTGACAGAGATAGCTTGGCCAGAGACTCCGTGATACGGACGATCGCCTCGAGCTGACGCACAGTGATAGGGATGGAGGAGCGGGTGTTGGATTCAACCTCGGTCCGATGCACCTGCTTGCGAATGGACACGAAGTGGGAGGACAGCTTCTCAGCAGCCTCGGGAGAGAGACGCGGGGCACAGCGACTGGAATAGGCGTTAGTTTCTAAAAAAATGGGGGAGATCAAATACAATGGCGGCCAAAACTTACCTGCGGCAGTAGCTGACGTAGCGCTTCATCTGCTCCACGGGAATCTCAGCCTCAACCTGTTCCTCTAAACCACGCCCACCCATGTGCACACCCATAACGTGACGGGCAATGCGCTCGTCACGGCCACGCTCATGGTCGTCACGAACAATGAAGATCATATCGAAACGAGAAAGAATGGTGGTCTGGAAGTCGATATTCTCGCCGGGGGTCTTCAGGTCATCGTAACGACCGAAGATCGGGTTGGCGGCGGCCAGAACAGAGGTTCGCGAGTTAAGAATGGTTGTGATACCGGCCTTGGCAATAGAAATGGTCTGCTGCTCCATAGCTTCGTGGATAGCCACTCGATCCTCGTCACGCATCTTATCGAACTCATCAATACAGACAACACCTCCGTCAGCCAGAACCATGGCACCACCCTCCAGGTAGAACTCGCGGGTAGCAGGGTCACGTTGCACAGAGGCCGTCAAACCGGCAGCCGAAGAGCCCTTTCCGGAGGTGTAGATAGCGATAGGAGCGGCCTTCTCGACGAACTTCAACAGCTGGGACTTGGCGGTACCAGGGTCACCCAGCATGAGAACGTTGATATCACCACGCAGCTTCATGCCATCGGGAAGAATCTTCTTCGAGCCACCCATCAGGAGACAGACGATGGCCTTCTTCATATCCAGATTACCGTAAATGGAGGGAGCAATACTGCGGGCGAGAGCATCGTACAGGTCAGGGCGACGGCTAATCTCCAAGAACTCCTGCTCCTCCTCCTCAGTAAAGATCGAGTTACCCTTGGCGGTCTGATCCACGTCTGTATTGAGACCGACGGCGCGCAGGTAGGGGTTGCGGATGGCCACTGCAGCCTCTTTCTTGACACCCTTTGCCTGATAGATAGAGAAAATACCCATGACCGTGCAACGAGACCCAGGAACAACACGGTTGGCCAAGTAACGATCCGCAGAGATCAAAACGTGACGTGGAAGCTCACCAACTGGAACCTGATCGGGGGCCTCCTGGAGCTTGAGCACTTGCTGATCCACGAATTCACACTTTTCATGGTGCACGACATACGGGTCCAGCGGACATTGCTCGCCGGGTTGATCACCAGGCTCCTTGCTGCGACCGCATCGTCGTGGGAGCGAAAGACCAGAGAAGCCACCGTCAACAGTGATATTTTCACTGTGGTCGCAATTCTTGCAGCGAATGTGGACGGTAGTCGCTTTCGATGAGATAGTCGAGGCGCCAATCACGATACCCGGAATTCGGACGAGGTGGGAGATATTGGTGGCATTGAGGTCACGGATGGAAATGTGAGATGCCGAGGAGTGGAGGAGAAGTTGGTGGGAGGGGAGTTCGATATCACGCTGACCGGGATAGACGATTCGGCGAGTGCAGTCCAGAAGAGCGTGCTCAAACTGAGTCAAAGTTAGCTGATGTATAGAAAGGAAGGCGCTTTTTTGATGATGATGCACTCACCAGAGGAATAATATCGGCGGGCTCGGTGGTGAGTTTGTGGGCCAGCTCTTCATTGTAAGAAATTAGATGGGCGATGTCGATATCGCAGTAGTATTGCTTTACAAGAACATTCTGCCGTAATTGGTCACTGTGAGATGAATGATTGGGATTAGTATTGGTGTTTCCTGGGACGACAACTCCTGGGAATAGGTGCAGGTGGGATGTACCGGTAGATAAAAGCATTGTCCAACTGGAATTCGAGGACAAAATCTCTTAATTTATTTTGAATTTGTGAGCGGGACTCATCCGCTCCATTAGTGCTAGGAGCGAGAACGCTCAGGGTATAGGGAGTGCGTCGATCCATGGCGTGGCGGTGGTGATGTGGTGGGAGATCCAGCGACTTTTTGCTAGAAAGGGAGGGAGAAAGTTCTTTTGGTGGTTTGTTGGTTGAGCAGAAGGCGCGAACGCGTCGCGCGTTCCCGTTTCACGCGTTAAGTGGTTAACGCCTGAGGAATCAGGCTTTAAGGCGGCGAGGCAGCAATTCATAAGGCCCCAAGGCAGAAGTACATAAAGGCGGTCAGCCGCGGGTGAGCAGCTTCCCGATTGGGCGAGAGTTGCGCATGGCGCTGGAAACAAAGCCACCTTGACAACTACATCAGCCCAGCTCAACCGTGAACTCCCGTGGACCCAGTCGTGTATAGGCTATCCACTGGCGACAATCTCAAACTCCCAACCACCGTCGACTGTGGTGGACCGGAAGCTATTCCTTCAAGGGCCAATCTGTCATGATCAGATAACTCCGAGCTTCCCCAACGATCGACTCCCGGTGGTTGTCGCATCCGCCTTGCGGTTGTGTACAAGATGGCGTCAACCAGTCCGCGCAAGTCAATTGATAGCCTGGCATCTGGCGCATCGACGCCTGTTATTTCCCACTACTCGACACCCCAGCTGGAGTCTCCGCGGGTTCCCCCACAGCGGTACCCCCTGAGGAGGGGATCTACGGCAAGCTCGATTGTGAGCATTGGAGGAATCTTGGATACTTCTCAACATCATGGCTCGATCTCCGAGTCTGGTCAAAATGGTATGTTGTCTACCTAGTGGATCCTAGTCAATTGAATGTTGATCGGCTTATCTCTCCGCAGCCATTTCGTCGCTCCTCCAAGCGCCAATAGTCCGCACCGGTTTGACCCCTCATACTGCCGTTTCGTCTACCGGATATAAGCCCCCGTCTTCTCGTGACATTCCGCCGGTCACCTTGACAAATATCACTCATGTGGACTCGAAGGCGTTCCAGCCGTACCTGGCGCAAGTGGGATCCCTATACGATGTCTTCCACCAATCGAGAGAAGCCTCCAGCGAAGATAACCAGCAACCGTCGGGCGTCAAATCCCCCAGGTTTGAGGACACAGACTCTCTGAAACCATGGAGTCCCGAACGGAGATCTTCAGTGATGTCGACTAGCTCTCGTCCCACCTCGCCTTATGGTCCCCGGGGCCGACGTTCCTCGACTGGCCGTGGCCGTGGTCCTGCCGTGACGCCTCTTTCGACGATTCCGCAGGTTTACTTTGACGAAGATTTTCGTCTTGAAAATCCCCGCACCTTCGACGTGATATCAGAGAAATCGGAGGTGGTTAGACCCCCGCGGCCCCCAGTCAAGGACGATCAAAATGCCAACGGCAGTGCCCCTGAGCCAGCACAAACGGGGAGAAAGGCGCTGGCCACGAATGCTATCCTTCAGGAAAAGCTTTCTTGGTACATGGATACCGTTGAGATCCATCTCATCTCGTCCATTTCTACTGCATCGAAATCCTTCTTCACGGCCCTTGGCTCCTTGCGAGAATTGCACGCGGAAGCGGCCGACTCCGTACAACGCATTCAGTTATTGCGACGAGACCTGCAAAAAATTGACAAGGAAATGGCTCTTGGTGGTATGAAAATTGTGAATCTGAGAAGACGGAGGGAAAATGTGCGCATGCTGGCTGCTGCGGTAGCTCAGCTTCGTGATGTAGTCGGGTCTGTTTCTCGCTGCGAGGAATTGGTGGAGCAAGGTGATATTGAAGTTGCTGCCGATGAACTTGAGGAAGTAGAGAAGTTGATGGCCGGCGAGAAGGTATCAAGTCGCCCTATTGAAGGGGAGGACCAGAACCTCCAACGCCAAGCTATTGATCTCCGAAGACTCAAGGCTCTCGAAGGTGCATCGGATGATCTTTCTCAGTTGCGACAGCGAATTGGAATGGGATATGAAACTCGATTTTTGAATGATTTGCTTGGAGACTTGCGAAAGCATGTGGAGAATGTGTCTTCGGATATTACACTGCAACGCTGGGGTGCTTCATTCCAGCGGCAACGCGGTGGCCAGCGCCCTGTGTCGATGGTGTCTCCGGCATATATGAATATTGACAGTGAACTGCGATCCCAGTTGAATACGCAGCTCACTGGGCTTGCTCGAGCTCGCTATACGACTCCTGCAGCTACCTCATTTAAAAGTGCTGTCCTACGTGAGATGAAAGGACTTATACGGAAACACTTGCCTAGCTCCAGTGACGACGACAACGAATCAATGGTTTCGATATCTACACACAGTGATCGCCAACGGAGCCAGCAGGAAAAATCATCTACTCTTGCACGCAATCTCCGTGCTCTTGATTCGGAAGATGCCTATTCCATGCTGGTTGGGATCTATACTGGAATCAGCGAGTCTCTGCGTCGACTGAGTGTCCAAGTGAAGATTCTTTTGGATATTGCTAGTGGACTCGGGAATTCCCCTGTGACTGGTGTGAGATCTCCACCCCGGAGCCCCAATCCACAGAGCCTCGACCAGGTGACGAGTGGGTCATCCGTTTCTGCTATGGCCCAGGACGAGATCCTGCAGGTCTTGGATATGTCTAGTCTTCTTGGCCAGGCGGTCGACATAGCCCAGTCTCAGATTACCAAGGTTCTCAAGGTTCGCTCGGAGCAGACTGCGCAACTTTCCAAAGAAGAGTTCTTAAGATATTTCACCCTCAATCGCCTTTTTGCCGATGAGTGCGAAGCGATTTCCGGACGAGGTGGAACCGCACTTAAAACAATCGTCGGCAACCAGATCCACGATTTTATCAACCGTTTCGGCGATTCACAGCGCCACCACATCGTTAAGCTTATGGATGCTGATCGATGGGACGCTCGTGACTTTGGAGATGGTGAAAATATCATTCTCAACCGTATTTTGGATGCAAGCACCAAAGACATCGAGGCATGGGTGCAAGTTTCAAAGATCTGGATTCCGCAGAGTGAACAGTCACAGGCCAAATCACCTGACGCTAGTGCACCCGCGAACGGAAATAGCAAGGATAAAGTGCGTACTGCAGTCATTGATGAGCAAAAGCACATCCTGCCTGAGTCGGCAATGGCCATGATGCGCAGCATGGAGGAATTTGAATTCCTCATGGCGAACATCCCGAGCATGATCCAGGATATTGCCCCACAGCTTCTAGAAATCTTGAAGCAATTCAACTCCCGATCTGCTCAGCTTATTCTAGGCGCGGGTGCGACGCGGAGTGCCGGATTGAAGAATATTACGACCAAACACCTTGCTCTTTCTTCCCAAGCATTGAGTTTCGTCATCGCCCTGATGCCGTATGTTCGAGAGTTTGTCAGGCGGCACGGACAGTCGAACCAGGTTATGGCCGAGTTTGACAAGGTCAAACGGCTTTTCCAGGAGCATCAGAATCAAATCCACGAAAAGCTTGTGGATATCATGAGCTCTCGCTCATCGGTTCACGTCAATGCTATGAGGAAGGTTGACTGGGATGCAGAGGGAGATTCACCGGATGTTCACCCATTCATTGAGACTCTTGCCAAGGAGACCGGTACTCTTCATCGCGTTCTTAGTAAACATCTACCTGACATGACCGTCGATATGATCATGGTACCAGTGTTCAGTAGCTATCGCGACCATTGGGTGAGGGCTTTTGAAGAAGCCGATGTCAATACAGAGCGCGGCAAGAAGAAGTGAGTTCAACTATGGTTCGTCTTTTATATATGACTAATACTAACAACTTCTCTAGAATGCAAAACGACATCGAGCATTTGCAAACCAAATTGAGCAAGATAGAAGGCTCAAAAGATCTGGCCGCTAAGCTGCTTGAGATTGTCAATGCGAAGACTATTGCCACAACTACGACAGAGCCAGAGAAGGCTGAGAGCGGGAGCGGGAGCGGGAGCGGGAGCGACAAATCAGACCAAGAGCAAGGATCTGATGCTGCAGCAGCGTGATCGACCTGCTAGCAAGCTCTCGCCCCCAGATTGACCCGCAACCCGATTACCCTACATAATTTTGTCATACACCATTCTACAGTCCCTATATTGGGTTTTTAGAAGCTGTACAGGAGCGTTGTCATTTTTCTGTGATCCAGCAACCACATAACCCATTCCACGAAATGCATTTATAGATAGCCTGGCGTTACCAATGTGAATACCACTTGAATAATCCACAGGAATGTCTGTATAGTATTCCAACTTTGAAAGATTTACTATAGAAGTCATAATACGAACACATTGTATTATGTTCAAGTTTCGTACTATAACAATGGGCGATCTGTCCAGATTTGCTGCGCAAATAGCAGGGTTTGATCGTCAATCAATTGAATGAATACATCCAGTCGATCATGCTTCGAAGCAATCGGGGCTCGTTTTCGGGGGGGGAGGGGTTCATGTCTCTTGGCCGAACCGTGCTTCAACATACCCCTCTGTTTTGGACGCACTCCAGAACCTCGGAGACCCATTGCAATCTTGAAAATGGGCCCCAATGACCTTTCAAGCCGTGCTTAAGGATGAAATCGGATTGTACATCTATATAATTTTTACATCTGCTTGTATACTACAAGGGAACTCTTCGACTCATGGAGCAATTTCTTCATTCATATCTGGATAACCAGGCTAAAGAGTGATTGATGCCTGGTAGACTACTAGGAGCAAACCCTAGTCTCAAACATTAAGCCGAAACCGAAACCTCAAGACGCTTAAAGCCACCTTTATCAGCAACCTCCTCCTGCAGCGCAGCCATGCGCTTCTGATCACCAGTGGGATCAGTGGAGTCCGCGTCCAGGGTCCAGGAAAGGAAGCTGTTGGTGTAGTTTGACTCAAAGCCATCGTTCAGAATACCCAAACGCTTGCCATAGTTGGTAACCTTGTTCCAGTCACGGGCGACGTTCTTCAGGTCGCGGCTGAAGTAAGCGTACGAGCGCTCGAAGATCTTACGGTTAACGGGGGTGGCCATGATAGGCTTGATATCGATGTATTCCTCGTAGGTCTTGGCGGGGTCGGCGAGGACATCGTCTGTAGCGCGCTTGACGGCCCGCATAAAGGCCGAGACCTTCTCCGGGTTCGCGGCGATGAAGGCGTCGTTGGCGATGTACAGGATCGAGCAGAAGCAGCAGCAGCCCAGTTCGGCGAGCTGGTCGATGCGGAGCATCTGGACGTCGGAGCGGGGACGACCCTGATCGGCGAGCCACTCGGCCAGCTCGACCATTTGGACGTTCTCGAGACCGATACCGGCGTCGATGTCACCGCGGATAATCGCCTTGGTGACGTTCATACCGCAGCGGACGGCGGTGTAGTCGTCGGTGGTCATACCGTAGTACTTGGTCAGCTCGTCGATCTGGATCTTGCCGAATTCGCCGACGTAGCCGATGCGCTTGCCCTTCAGCGAGCGGAAGTCCTCGGTGATACCGCTAGACTTCAGGTAGACGACACCGGTGAAGGGCTCGTCGAGCAGGGAACCGATGGAGGTCACTGGGAAGTTGCGAGCCTTGGCCTGAATTATGTATTAGTGTTGAGATTTGCGTTGTGTAGATGGTAGAGGTGTACGAACCGCCAGGGTGTGGATCATGGCCTTGAAGCCCATGTCGACCTTGCCGCTACCGATGATCTCAGTCACATCGGAAGGGTCATTGGGCTCCAGGAGAGCGACCTTGAGGCCTTCATCCTTGAAGTAGCCGCGGGACTGGGCGAGGTAGAGGGGGGCGTGGTACGGGGTGGCGTGCCTGGAAATGTTCAGCCAGAGCTCTTATAAGACGGAATGGAATATAAGGGCTATAAGATAGTGTTAGCATACCAGTTGGTCAGGAAAGTAATCTTGTCGGTAGCCATTTTGACACAACAAGAACTGTGTATACTTGGAGATGGTTAGCATCCTTGAGACAAGGCATTGCCGTCTGCATCAGCTGGATGGAATTAGTCGAGACAGGAGACCACCAAGACCATCAAGACCACCTTAGTGATCTCAACAACCTCAACTAGTTCATTCAGCAACACAACAGCAATGCAAAACACAAGGGGGAAACAATCAAGTCACGCATGTCCTTTCGCTAGTATTATCTAGATCAAGTTTTGACAGTATAATCTCAGAACGAGCGTCTGATCCAGGAATCGAAAACCAGCAACTTGAATGCAAAGCCCAATCAATTCCCAGACCAGACGCACCGAACACCTGTCATGCGAGCGCTGACTATTATACCATGAACAAATACCTTGATCCACGATGACCATCGTAGCGAGGAGGACCTCTGATCCGATCGTCCGCCCTACCCGGGGATCACCATACTATGCTATGATGATCGCCGGGTAGTTCATAGGCGAGACTAGGACGTGCGCGACTCCATTTGGAGAGTCCTACCGATGGTAGATATTGTCGAGAACTGAGTCAAAAATGAAATGAAGAGAGAAGGTTGAGTTGAGGAAAGAAGAAAGGGAAGAAGGAGGAGACAGCCATGGAGGGGTAGAAATAGTTCGGAGTGGGGTGCTCCTGTGGAGGTTGTGTTCATCATGACTGCACACCACGAAAAGGGTTCACCGAACGGGATTCGTCGAAGATGATCTTCTCTTCTTATTGGGTTTGCGGGTAACTCTATTAGCTAGTGGTTTATCCACTACTGCTCCGAAGCCAACCGACGATCGGCTATTGCGAGTAGGTTACCAGCTACAGCTACAAAGAAACAACAAATCATAACCCACAATAAACATTTCTCAAATTCGGTTAAAACATGGCTCCAAATGCATGGAAGTGAATAGAGACAATTACAACACTATGGACGGAATGAGTCCGAGTACTCGGGATGATGGAGGGGAAAGGAAATGGAACAAGGAAAAGAAAAGAAAGGAAAAGAGAAGAACAAAACAGAAACACGCGACTCCAAATGCAGAGAAGAGCAGATACATATTAGAAAAGACCTCCAACGTGGGCCCACACGTTGAATTCCGAAGCCCAGGGTCTACTTCCGACCTAGGCCTTGGCCGGGGGACTGCCCTCCGCTTCGTGGCCCCCATTGATCGAGATGCTGTCCAGTGGGGACTGGGGGCGATCGGCGGACTTGCGAGTCCGGAGGGTAAGCGGGAAAAAGTGGTCATCAGGTTCTTCCTCCTCCCTAGTAGTGTGTTAGCTATGGGAGATTGGAGTGGGTGGGACACGGAATTTGGTTAGCACTTACGGAAGCTTCCAGGAGATATAGTCTTCAGTATTGAGACCCTCATGACCTTCCTGGAGCGATGCGAAATCGCCAGGAGTCATCATGCCAGAACGGTCCCGCGGAGAACCAGGAACCGATAGCGGACGGGAGAGCTTCTGTTCCGTACCACCAATGATGTCGAAGTAGTCCTCCGCTCCTTCGAACGAAGAGGGATAAGCTATGTCATCTGGTCAGTGGGTTGCTTTTGGGGCCAAAATGAGGGGAAGCGGGGAAATTATGAAAATCATACCTCTTCGCAGAGCCAACTGGCGCGCCTTGACGTATTCCAATCCCATTCGCTTCCAGTCCAGCAGGTCGCTCAGTCGCTCCGTGCGGTTACGTTGGTTAATTCGTTGACGGCGACTCTTCAAGGTAAAGTTGTACATGAAATCGGTGAGTTGGTTGACAGAGTCATCCACACCCTTCGAACGGCGATCAACAATGTAGATGCCGTAGTCCGAGGAGTTCTCAATGAGCTCTTCCATGTAGCATCCGAAGCCGGAAAGGTTGGTGGTGATACTAGGAACTCCCATCACAGTGCACTCCGCCGGGGTATAACCCCAAGGCTCGTAGTACGAGGGGAAAACTCCCAGGTGAGTACCTCGAACGAAGTCATCGTAGTCCAGGGGCAGGACTGGGTTGGACGAGTTGAGGAATTCGGGGTGGAAGACGATCTTGACCCGATCGGATTCGTTGTTGAACATCTCCACGCGGCGGATCTGGTTCAAGATCGGGTCCTCGCTGTCGTTGACCATGTTGTGGGTGACAATCGGGGGTAGGCCGTGGCGCTTCATGGCAAACAGGCGACGACGCAGCAGCACGCGATCTTGACTAGTGATCAGATCCTTCTCGTCGGGCATGTTGTCACCCTCCTTCCAGGAAAGGCAACGCTCATACATGCGTTTGCCGATTCCCTTCTCGATATTCTCAATGGTATCGCGGAGTGACTTGACCGCAGCTTGGCCCTTGAGCGACTCCACCGTCAGCGACGATGTCTGCGCTGGCATGATGACAAAAGCAACGACTGTCGTGTCCGACCCGCTGGTCTTCAAGCGGTGGTTCAGACGTGCCAGACCCTCGATGAACATGTCAACACCCTTGTTGCGGAACTCATACCGACCAGCGGTGAAGAGATAGAGGGTCTTGTCCAGATCAAAATTGTTGTGTCCGTAGAAATGACCGCGCACAAAGTCGTTGATCTTCTCCTTGGCCTGCGAATGCAAGTTCTGGAACTCGTGCATAGCGGAGAACTTCTTCACATTGAGACCGTTGGGCAGAACACCGTCGGGCTTACGCTTCAGCAGATGCTCACTCTCAAAGGCGGTAATGTGAGAGACCGTAGTGAAGACATCGGAACTGTGCGCAGCAGCCCGCTCAATGCAGTAGCGGTGGTAGATGCCACGCTTTCCGGCCTCGGCGTCTACATCAAAATGTTGCAGATTGTTGTAGAAATCGACGGAGCCGGCACAGAGGTAGCGACCAAGGAGAGTAGCGTGGGTAGTGAAGATGGTGGTCAAATCCATATGACGCTTCTTGGTCAAGGGGAGGGCCACACCCGCTAGCCATTCATGGAAGTGGGCGACAACGGCACGTTTACGCTCGTGGGCAATGTACTACAAGGCACGGTCAGTTTATCGGCCACCAATTGGCGGCGAGGGTGAGATCTGCTGCCTGCAGCAAGGGGTAGGGGGGGGAGGGTACATACCTCGCCGAGGAACCAGGCGACCATGTAGCCAAAGACGATGGCCTCATTGGTCTCGTGATCGGCATCTGGGGACGGGATGCCGGAGCTGTTCCACAGATCGCCCTTCCACTCATCGAGCCATCGGTATCCCGTGCCGGTGTTGATGAGAAGGACTCGCGGAGCACCTTCGATCAGCCAGCGACCGTAGACGATTTCAATCCCGCGAGACTCCATGGACTTGATGGTCTCGCGCATGGCGGGACTGGAGGGAGTGAGCTCCTCGACCTCGACCGCGGCCGAGGCCTTGTTCAGAGGGCCAATCAAGGTATAGCGGTCGCCATATTCGGCGGTTGTGACGGGGGCCTTGGACTTGAGGACGGAATAAATGCCACCGACGCGGTTGGCGACCTCTGTGGCGATTTCAAAGAGCATGTGGTTGCGCACATCACGCTTGATGGGCTCGCCGCCGTTCTCGTCCGCCATGATAGATTGGATCAATGGATCAATCAGATCTTAGGCTCGTGCGAATGTAAACACCAAATACTTTCAAGAGGGGACAATTAAAGAGATGAAGAGTTGAGGAGGATAGGAAGAAAAGAGGAGAAAAGAAGAGAAGAGGAAGAGAGAGGGGGAGGGAGCGAAGGAAGACGAGCCAGAGCTTGGGACCGGTCTGTGCGGGGGAGTTGGGTGAGTTGGGTGAGTTGGGAGAGTCTAGCTTGGTCTCTTCTGTTTCCCCAGCCTCCACCCTCCAGAGTACTACTGCTAGTCGTACCTCAACGCTTTGGTAAAATTTCAATTTACCTGGCCCGTGTAGAGTTAAAAAAAAAGGGGCGGAAAAAGACAAAAAGCAGGAAAACGGGGCAAATGTACGAAGCTAGCGTGGCTCAGGGGGGAGAAAACGGCCTAGCGTCGCATTCAGACCGGGCGGACCTGGCAGTGGCAGCGGCTGCCCGGAAACACGGTAGGACATACTTTTCTCTTCCACTCATTCAGAGTATACTCTATACTCTGTATACTCCTCTGTGCTCATCCAGACAAGCCATATACTCAGCTACACTCCGCTATCCATATACTTTCGCTCTGGAGATACTGGGTATTCTGGTAGAATTATACCCAGTACACTCTGATACCCTGATACCCTGATACCCCCCATGCACACTCCCCTCGGCCCGACCTCGTCGATCATTTTGCCTTTGCCTCCCCCATCTCAGTTCTCCTCCTATCATTCCCTCAATCCTTTGGGACATCCACTGGGACATCCTCTGGGACATCTCGTGCCGACGCCATGGTGTGCCACTATACGCGGGCAACAAACTCCATCTGGGGAAAGCTGGCCTCGATGACATCATACATCGGGGTTCAAGGTTCTCCACTGCGGGCGCGAATTCCCACTCGCCGCCAGCTGCACCTCTCAATGAGCTTTCGTTGTCTGTGACTGGTGCCCCCAATAGGTGCCCCCCAGGCGGCCCCGAAACACGGCCTATCTCCGGTTGGTCACCTGGACCTCTCTGTCGCACAGACAATGCAGACAGCTATGTAGGAGGAACCCCGCCACTAGTTCCCCATCGAGCTCATCCGGATTATCTAACCCAGTAGATCATCACTAGCAAACATCCCCCCGACTACCTTGTTCTGACAAAAGACTCCCTTTCACGGTTCACCTTGAGGCAGCCTTTGATCTGATTATCTGATCAAAAGACCCATTGAATCCGAGACCCCCCTATCTCGGTCTCTCTCGTCTCTCCTCCCTTTTCGAACGATGTCATCGACAGTCTACTCGGTAACTCCCGTCTCCCGCTTGTCCCTGAAGAGCATTGTTTGTAAAACATGAGGGAGATGAGGCTCTTTATCCTCTTCTCCTCTTCTTGTCTATAAATACCGCTCGAACCTCCCCTTCTCCCTCTATCTTACCATCCTTCCTGCAAACTTCGCTATGCCTGGAAATGCGGATCCTCAAACCCTGGGGGCGCCCTGGCTTCATGCACCCTGGCTATCAACACCCGGACCACACTCCTATTGAGGCCCTTAGGAGGCTCGGTCGTCGTGTGAGTCGCTGTTTCTGCCGATCATCTTGCTCGGAAAGCGAAAGCAACCCAAGGTCCCTCAGGTCATTTCAACCATTTCGGGCAGAGTTGGAAGAATGGGAACGTTACAATGTCGGTTTCGTGGTTCAATCGGTTAGGCGTAAGGTAGGGGTAAAGTATGAGGATATTGTAATTGTTAATAACGACAGGCGGGGATCTCTCCAACCCGTAGTCCCAGACCCTTCACATTGGGAAGAGAATCGGAGCTTGCCAGAGAATTCTGCAGCAGTGAGTCTCGCTTCTATGCCAATCGTCCTATCGGAGCCTCCAGAAATTCCAGGGCTATTCTTCGAGGGATTCACGCTACGCAGTCTCCTTAGAGAAATGCCGTCCGAGGTTAGCGAGGCCTGGTTATCCCTATTTCATAGCCCATCGAATAGGACATCGCAGGTAATTGAAGGTCAGGGGAGCCGGCGATCGTCGATCATAAGTCTAGAAGGTCTACTCCACGGTTTTTCTATGTCGGGTTCGCCTGGGTTACAAAGCAATGAGGTGTTGTCCGCTACAGAGAGTCCACCCCATGGCCTTTTTAGATTACGCTCGTCTAAAGAGATCGATGAGCTATTTCTCCGAGCGATTCCCCTCCCTGTAATTCTGCAGTAACCCTTGACTTTGACTCAGACTCAGATCTCGGCGAACGAGAGCCTCCTCCAGGTCTTGATTGGTTCCTCGGGTGTCTCAATGGAGGTCGTTATCCTCACCCCCGGCCGAACTGGTCGGACAGTTCTCCTTGCCCCTTTTTGCATTGAAATAAATTGACAGAACGTAGTTTGCACTAATTAATTACTGAATTATTCTACGTTGACTTTTACGGTACTCGGTTTTCAGGCCGAGATTAATCCGTCCATAGTTCGGTTGACAATTCAGTATAAGATATTTCTAGGACTGTAAGTCGAATAGAACGGCAATCTTTCGCCTACTGTGACAGCTAATCCTCAAATGATCCTTCCTTTCTATTCTTCAAGTTCCTCTTGTAGTAGGCTATAACTTGAAATTTCCCTGCTCGTTCCACAGCCAGTTAATTCGTATTCTTATCGCGATAGTGAAATTTCAGACCTGGTTCCAATGGTTCTTTCTCCAACAGATACTGTAAACTTAGTCACACGCTTGGCCTTCAAAATAGTAGACCTACGAATAGTAACAATTAAAGCAAATTTGAAATTCTCGTATCACTCAAGACTTTCTGTTAATTGGTTTATTCATCCCATCTTGCAGCTTGGTTGGTTGGTTGTTCGGCTGCCGCAGGAGTGATAGCCAACCTGCTTGGCAGCGCTGTGACACCATCCAATTTGAAACCAACACACCGTTCTCCCGAAACAACCGAAACATCCATTTCTTCTAGAACATACTTCTGATTTAATACGTAATCCGTCCCTTCCGACCCATTCGAACCCTTCTGCCAAGTTAGAAAAGTAGACACCTCTGATCGACCAACAATCAGTGCGCATTCGTCGATGAAGTCATTGTGGAGACATGACTTCATGATGCTGTCAAGTTTCGCGATCTCGACGGCCAAGTATTAATATGCTGCGAAGAAGACATCTGAGTTAATTTTTTTCATTATCTTCTACTCCTCTCAATCCTCTACAAAGGTTCGCAATTGCAATTCCTCCAGTCATCAGAAATTAATCGGTTCTAACATCCGCCCAGAATTTATTTTCCACACCTACATCTATACCATCTATACTACCTTCACAATGGTTCGCGGCGCAGACTACGACAACGGCATCCCTCAGAGCGACAATCCTATTGAGAACGGCCCCAACAAGGCTCACGGTGTCGGTGCTACCGTAAGTCCTCATTCCCACAGTCATAACTTGAACTTTATACATCATACTTTATATGAGACCAATTCCTGACCAACTCACAGGATGCCCCCGTCAACCGCGCCTCCAAGACTGCCCCCATGCCTGCCGAGACTGGCTCTGATCGCGACGTCTTCCCTGGTCTGAGCCACGCCGGTCCTACCAGCTCTGGCAGTGGAAAGGGCGGCCACGACCCCAAGTCTCTTGGCGAGAACAAGGGCACCGGTGCCCAGGGTGTTTAAAATGGCTGGGATCTCCATCATAATTATTTCGACTATATTCTTCGTTCAGGAAATACACCCCTTCTGATAGGGTGTGCTTTGCAGGAGCAAAGCGGTACGAGCTACGCATTATGAAACTTGCGGAGTTAGTGGATATTTTTAGGGGCTTGTTAGTTGATATAGCATAGCTTTTACGAATATCAAAGTTTTGTACAATATCGAACTGAAAGATACTCTTAACTTTGATTAATTGACTCAAGCCTCCTAGTACCAGGCAGCTTGACCCATAGTCATCCTAAGGTAGCTCCTATCAAACGCCACCTGAGCTTTCTGAGGAAGTGGGGTATGCTTTCAGCTAAGGTTTATACGAGCCCTGGAGGTATAGATATTCCACCTACGACTTGAAGCAGCCTGGTGATTTTCTGATCAATTCATAGTTATATATATATCCCAAGGTTACAATTTATTAGTAATCATCGGTGTGCCTCCGTGTACACTACGCCAGGGTCATCCCCATATCCTTTCCCTTTGTAGTCCGCACCAGAGGAAATTTTGCTCTCACTACCGAGGATGAATGGAGAGCACGGGGGAAAAATTCGAATAAACGGATGGATCTACATTCATGATTCCCAATACCCTCCTACCGGAACACCGCAGATACCTACAAAGCCGCCCCCGCCCCCGCTGCTGTAGGCTTGTATCCTACGAGCTTTATCCATTGCTTTGTGACTTGGAAAATACCCGCTACCTGAAGAAAAGAGTACAGTATGAGGAAGACGCAGCCAGAAATTGAATCGAAAGCGCTTTATATCATTACATCACTCCCAGACACTCTTTTCGTACAGCGGCATAATATTTGCCTTAGGGGTTGTCCTCACCATTCTCTCTCCCCTTTTTGTTTGTTGCCATTGGCCCCGAAGACTTGCGGGAAGTACCCTGACCCTGTTCATTCAAAAACCAAAACCAGCTGATACCAAGCTTCATCCAATGTTCCTTTACATCTAGATCTCATTCTTCGATTCTTAGCATGGGATAGCATGCCTTGATGATGAGCCGACTGTTCTGAGAGGCACAGTGACTCTGTTTAGAAACTGCAGTCTTTCCAAGTCAGCCAAAGGCTGAGCATCATCCCAGAGGCATCTTCACTGGTCGCGGCCTCAAAAAGTCGTTAACATAAAGGTCACTTTCCTTGATGATGAGCCGACCGTTCTGAGAGGCAGTGATTCCAAGTAGGTCGAATTATGAGAAAATGAAATGGGCAAGTTCAGCAAATTCGAAGCAACTACTTCCTAATCGATATAGTGCATAAAGGTGCTATCAAATTGTTGGATCGGCTTTTCCACTACTCTTACTCTATGACCGCCAACGTGCGCATCTACTAACAAAGGCCGTAAAAGAAAGGAACTCCCTGGTAGCAGGAGTGCCGATAGGATCCTCTGCACGCCAATACTTTGTACATGGAATGCAGCAAATTGATCATGGGGGAATCGTCTGCTGTGCATACAAATGGTGAAGCTGAATTGCCCCCAAAAAGCGCCGTATACTTTAAGATATACGAATATGATACATTTCCAACGCCAGCGTCCGAATCATAAATTGTTTATTCTTGCAGATACTATCTCCGAAAGACAGACTAGTAATAGAGTCAAGTTCCGAACAAGTATCTCTGTATCTATACCTCATTACTCTCGGGGATTTCGCATCCTCCTTCTCAATGACGATCAATTTGCGCAGAGCTAACCAACGGCAGCACCGGAATGGACTCTACAAGGATCAAGTCGAGGGGATTTGAGTGGAATTTAAAAAGAGCATAATGAAATCTGCCCTAAATTCATTTTAAGCAAAGAGCTTTAGGCTGTTATGTCAATATTTGTAGTCCGCTTTTATCTAAAGATATGACCATTTAATTGTTGAGCACTACAGCTTTACAGGCAAGCCTCGGGACTCAGAACTATAAATGTGCATTGGCTATCGCCTCAAGTGGAAATCTATGCCTGGAATACCAAGGTGCCGTTGTCATTGCCAATCCGTTCTCCAAGGTTCACGTCCGCATCTACCTGCTCGCCATCAACAGTCCCCAACCGAGCTCGAAGAATTGGGGCCTCGTCATCGTCATCCCCTTCGCGGTGCAGCTCGACGTCCTCGGCGCTGTCGAAGAAGTTCTCGCCACCCCATTCAAATGAACCTGTCGGGTCTTGTTAGATCATCATACCATGGTAAATGGGTGAAGTTGAAGGACGGCAAACCATCATTATTGCCGATATAAGCGTTCAAGTCTAACTCGGAGTCTTGCTCCTCGCCATCCGCATCCCGGAGTACTGCCTTGAGGATATGACCATCTTCTAGCTCATAGCTAGCAGCAGAAAGGTGGAAACTCATAATTTCTGAGGTATTTTGTAATGAATTGTACTTGGTTAGATGATCACCCAGTAAGCTAGGAGGCGTAAGGCCCTTTTATAGACTCCAGGTTCGCGCTCTGGCCATGGACAAACGATTTCACTGCAGCCCAAGTTCTTGTCCAACACATGTCACCAATTCATTTGTTACCGACTGCCCATGTCGATATGGACTGGGTGGATGCCATCATGCAGCTGGTACAAGCGGGGCAAAAGGATCCTGGGTGCACAGGAGGACAAGCCCAAGACCGTACTAAACAGTCCCTCCACTCTTTGTAAGCATCGGCTAACTTTCAATAACTACAGGAGGCTCTAGGATTAGTAGTATGTAATATATAATTGACAATTGAAAATCAAATTCCAGGCATGTAGCCTAGTATAACTCCCGGTCTACAACCGGTGAGGGTACTATAATCTCCGGAAGTCATTATCGTGGCGCAGGATGGAGCCCCAGTCGTAGTCTCCAGCCACAGACGCATACAAGGCGTGATGTTGCACTGTGCATGTATGCCAAGAGTCTCAATCCTGGCGGTTTGCTCGGAAGACATAAAAATGCTGATGCCTGGAAGTATCCTGCAAGTTTTCCATTTACACAGGTGGTCATCTGCGGGTCCTTTATGCAGCCCTGTCTAACTGGCGTCTTGGCATTTTTCCTTTTGTGGCGCAATCACCAGAAAGATCAGTATTTACGGAGTAAGCGTTGTTCTATGTCCCACTTTGGTGGGTATCTGCTCAGTTTCTGTATACACAAAAGTATGACAAACATCGATAGGACTTTCAGGCTCCCATAGACAATGAAATACCCCGACATCAAATTCAACTTGATATCTCCTCTCCTACCCTCGACAATATTCTCTGTAATGTGAGCACGCAGCTATGATATGAGCCTTGGTCGGATCAGATAGGCCGACCATTAGAAATACGTGTTCCTAGAATATGAAAATGGAAGTGGAGAGAAGGGGAGAAGTGAAATTCACATTGATGCAGCGAGTACCCATATTAGTGGCTTCTTGTATTCTTTGATCTGTGACGACTAGCTAAGACCGTCATCAATACTTCTTAGTCCCAGTAAAAACTTATGGAGGCTAATTCGAAGATAAAATAACGAGGTAAGCCATTAGATGGGCCAAATATCATGTCACGCAAAACTAGATACCCGCAGAGTTCAAGAGTTATTTCCTGCGTGACTTCGGTCTTTGAGTCCATGTTTTAAGTCTCCTTGGTGTAGTATGTAAATATCCTGCAATAAGTCAATGCGACCGGCCTGGGTTATTGTATCTAGCTGCCTTCGACCTTTAATCGGATGCAGTCTGTTCTACTGCGCTGGTTGCGAGGCTTTCGCATCGGAGCTTTCTGTTTCTGCTTTTCCGTCTTTGTTTCCGGCTCTGTCTCCGGCTTCGTTTACGGCTCCCTCTCGATCTCTCTTCTAGTTTAACCGAATGGTTTGTCTCTTTAAATGGTTCACGAAGGAAGTCCTCATCCGAGCTGTCGGGGCCGCAGAATGGGAGCTCTTGAAGGAAGGTCTGGCTCAGGAGAGTAGAGAGACCATGTTGCATATCATTGATACATCTTACACAAGCAAGAGGGGATTCATCGTCCGCATTTCGCTCTTTCACTGACTCTCTCTGAAGAAAAGTGTCGTCATTTCTGAAAAACAAGATCTCATCACGGGTAATGGTGGTAAGGAAATCGGGTTCAACACCGAATAGATATTCCAAGCCGGTGAGAGAGTAAATTCGCAAACTTGAAGGCTTGGGTTTCTCTGTTGGCTTTCTACCCCGGACAGGAGTCTCTTCGACGCAAGAGATTTTCTCATGGAAAAGGAAGTTGCTGAATACTTTCTGTGCCATATTGAAAGGATATTTTGCCAAAGTACGTGGTATAGAATGCAGGTGGGTGAATTTTAAAAGTTCGAGTTATGACTGGGCAGGATCTCTGCTATGCTTGGATTTATTTCGAAATATCCAGGTTTTTCTACTAGGGTCGAGATATTCCCGGAATATGTTTGAATACATGATCCATCTCAAGTTCATTGTTGCTTCTCGTTTCGGACGGTGTGTGTACTTATTTAGGCCGCGGTGCGGCAAGTCTGGCACGGCCTCACCCTTCGAACCGTACAGTAGATACTGGGTAGACAGACCTACTTAACCTATTTAGAACTTGAACTTCTAACGAGTTCGAGAATTAACTCGAATGAATGACATAAATGTTGAAATGACATAGCTGTTGATCTATGATCAGCTGATCTGTGACAGTGAATTTCCAACGGGCTGCCCCTCACACTATGTGTACAACAAGCAATGAAGTTTCGGGTTAAACCTTGGAAGTAATACAACAATCACCATTGGAAATCGCTACAAACAAGTAAACAAATCAAAGAAAATATTTCCATTTCACTCAAAAAATTGAGGATCATATTGCACAGCGCCACTCCCCCTTACATATGATGCAAGGAAGCAGAAGGGACAAAAAAAAAGAAAAAGTGCACCTAAATGACAATAGCACCGATGAAGCTATTTATCAAGAAAAGAAAAGAGGAAAATCGGGCCAGGTCCGACCGAACTGCTCGCGGGACCTCCCATGAAACGTACACGGTAAGCTGCCGTAGCTCCCGGAGACAAGAAAACATAAACAGCAGAAAGTAGTCCAAGAAACAAGATTATTACTCCAGATCAAAACTCCAGGTCTCGGTTCACCAGGGAAGAAAATAACAAGTCGTTAAGGGAATAAAGAACGGACACCAAGGATGCAAGGCGGAATCAGGGAAAGAACGCAAGGGGGGTTTATACAAACAATCAAAACGCCGGAAGTGGTTGGTCTATACAGCGAACGTAAACAAGGCGTGGGAGGTAGAAGTGGTAAGAAGTCTAGTCACAGACAAGATCTCGATGAAGGTGAAGGCATTTAAAAGCCCCATCGGTTGCGAAGTCCCTCGGCCCATCGCTGGTAGAGTACATCGGAGAGCTGTTTTGTGTGCTCCATTCCGGGGCACTTCCTGGCCAGGAAGATTGGACAAGGGTGATTGAGGAGGAGGTTCAGTTGTCGATTGACGGCGACGGTGACTTTTAAGATGAGGGTTGTTTTGTGCGAGAACAAGGCGCGGGCGGCCAGGAGAGTCCGGCTGTGGCGATGATGGGACCAGGTTGGAGAGACGATGATCTGCTGAGAATTTCTCGTTCATGATCCGGACGATGTGGTAAAGACCCTCAGGGTCGACCATTTCCATGTCGCTCCAGGCCTCGGCCAAGCGGGAAATAGCATCGCGTTTATCGCCATCGCTAGTTGTTGAAAGAACTTCCTGGCAGGAGTGGCCAATCGCTTTAGCATAAGCACGTCGCCCTAGCTGGGCTTCTTTGCTCGGGCTATCGCCAGAGACCACCTTCGGGCTGGTGTTCTCGTCAAAGACGCTTGAGCCCTTTTGGGGCGGAACTTCAGTAGAAGAAACACGGTCCGATACACGGCGGAATTGGCGCACAGTCGAAGGGCTGTTGCCAAAGCTCAAATCCAATCCCAATGGTTGTTTTACACCACTGGAACGTCGCTTGGTGTTGGCTCGTCGAATAGAAGGAGATCTCTCGTAACCCGGTGTGCGTCGGACGGTCGAGTTCGCTTGATGCTTCGGTGGCTGCGGTGGCTGAGGCGACGGGGATATGTGCATGTCCTCCATCAGCTGAGCTGGGTCAGGATCGCTCTCTTCTTCGTCAAGGGTGGTCCAGTCGGTGCCGGCGGGCACCCACATGCTGGGGTTCTTGCTTGGGGTTCGCATCGTTGGGGCTTTGACGGTGTCGAAAACCCAATCATCCTCATCTTCCATAGCGCCCCTGTTGAGGGTGGTGAGAGTCTCGGCGTAGTACTTGACATCTTTGGTAAGGCCTCGGCCACCATCCCACTCCTGCTTGCGTTGAATCAATTCCTGCAGAGCTTCCGTCTTGCCAGCATTACGAATGAACTTGTGTTTCAACAGCTCTTTCGCGCTAGGCCGGCGCTCCGGATCCTTTGTCAGGCACTGTGCGATAAAATCCTTGAAAGTGCTGCTATATTCCGGTCCCTCAAGTCGTGGTGCAGGGTTCTTCGGGATGAGGAAAAGTACTTTCATCGGATGCGTGCTAGCATGCGGGGGCTCGCCATTAATCATCTCAATGGCAGTGATGCCCAGCGACCATATATCCGCCTTGAAGTCGTAACCAGCCTGCTGGATGACTTCCGGCGCCATCCAGAATGGTGTACCGACGAATGTATTGCGTTGAGATTTGATGTTGACTAGCTGTGCCGCGACACCGAAATCGGCTAGCTTCACTTTTCCGGTGTTCGAGAGGAGGACGTTCGCGGCCTTGACATCACGGTGTATCTTGCCCTCGGTGTGTAGGTAGTCGAGGCCTTGTAGCAGTTGTTGACAGACGATCGATACATGCGCTTCGTTGAAAACTCCTGGTTTCAACTATTGGTTGTTGTTAGCTAGGGAGACCCGCGGCCATCCGGTAGGGATCAAGGATATTCGGCGTACCAGGTCAAGACACGATCCTCCGCCCAGATATTCCATAACGATCCATAGCTTGTGACCTTTCAAGAAGCTGGCCTTGTATTGTGTAACAAATGCGCTGGCGCAGGTAGCCAGAACGGAAATCTCTTGTTGGATCTCCGCGATATCGTCTTCGCTGGACTCGAGGTCGATCTGGATGAAAAATCGGGGTCAATTGGGTTTGCGCAAGGCCATTCGAGAAGATGCATACATGTTTGATTGCGACGATTTCTCCGTTGGCTTTGTCAATTGCTTTGTAGACAACGCCAAAGCTACCACCTGGTAAACAATGAAAACATCGGGTCAGCACATCCCATCACATGCAGGGTTTGGCAGTCGAAGATTTTGGCACTCACTTCCCAACTCCTCCATCATCTGGTAACGACTCGCCATATCGTCCGCCATGGTTGCGCAATGATCGGACTCGCGACTCCGGTCGGACAGGGCTACAACGGAGTTTTGACGGGCTCACCCAAGGGGAAGGGAGAGGAATCCGATGAGCTGAATGACAGGTGAAGAGGAAGAACGCTCTGGAATCCGAGATTTGCAGTTGTCAAAAAAGAAGAGGATCTCGGGAATCCAGGTAGATTAAAGGGGTGGAGCATAGAATGGCCAATGCCCCCCAAACAAGCTGGGAGCTTCTCGTCTCGCATGGCAACCGATTGACGCCCGATTAGTCAGGCACCAAAGTGGAGTATCCACTAGTCCTGATGTGGAATAGTCCGGTTGGGCAGCGCAAGGGTTGAGTAATGCTGGGGTAGAAATATATTTGTAAATATATTATAAATATATTTTCCTTGAATGAGTGCTGCCGATACTACGGCCACGAAGCAATAAATAGGCGAAATCATGGTTGTTCATTTTTATACACTACATTATACCCTTGGTTGAACCAGAGCATACCTAATATGAGCACCATCTAGATGTACTTGTAAGGGTTCATGATGCCGTTCTAGAATCAAGTTAGCTTTCAAAGTTTACATTCACAGTGTAGAGAGAGGGGGTGGGGGTAAACAGTCTGCACTCACCGGGTCATATAAGCTCTTCAACTGCTTCATCAGCTTCACCATGGTATCATTCTGGCTGTAGCCAATGAATTCCCGCTTGGCAATGCCCAGACCGTGCTCAGCACTGATACTGCCCTGGCGCTTCTGAATCCACTCGTATACCCAAGGCTCAATGGCCTTCTCAACCTCCTTGTCGTATCGACGCACGGCAACGTTCAAGTGCAGGTTGGAATCACCCATGTGTCCGTAGCCAACAACAGCACGGACAGGGAAGGAGTCATCATCACCAACAAAGCCCTTTTCCGTCAAGCGTTGCTTGCAGTCCTCGACCAGCTGGTAAAGCTCGGATAAGGGGATGGAGACATCGTACTTGTAAGTACCGCCCAGGTGGCTCAGGGACTCCGTAATCCCCTCGCGCCAGCTCCAGAGAGCCTGGAATTGGGTCTCGTCTTGGGCCAGTACACCATCGGCGACGATACCCTCACCCATGACGTTCTCAAGGAAGGCCTCGAGCTTCTCCATGTCGTGCTCGGCGTTGGATCCGCTAGTCTCGATCAAGCAGTAGAAGGGATATTCACCTTCAATGGGCTGCTTGTTACCAGTGACACCTTGGACGAGACGTTGGCTGCGGCCATCCATAAGCTCAAAAGCGGAGAGAATCTCAGAGAGCTGGCCCTTAGCCTGAAGGAAAGCCTGTTGCACCTGGTCGAAGCTTTCCAGACCAAAGTAAGCGACGTTGACAGCCTTAGGACGTGGGGGGGCATTGGATTGAGACAGCAGTGATGAGACCGATGGTTCCCTCAGAGCCAATGAACAGCTGCTTCAGATCGTATCCGGTGTTGTTCTTGCGCAGGGTGGAGAGGGCATCGACGATTGTCCCGTCCGGCAGGACAGCCTCGAGGCCCAGCACGCTACCGTGAAGACTGCCGTAACGCAGCAGACGGAGACCACCAGCATTGGTTGACACGTTACCTCCAATGTGGCAGGATCCCTTGGCTCCCAGGTCCAAGGGGAAGAGGTGATCGCGTTCGGCGAGGTATTGATCTGCCACCTCCAGAATGACACCGGCATCAGCAACAAGGACACCGGAGGCCTGGTCGAATGAGCGGATATTGTTCATGCGCGAAGTGTTGAGCACGATCTCATCGAAGACGGGGATGGAGCCACCGACGAGACCAGTGTTTCCACCCTGGGGCACAACCGCGAGCTTCTTCTCATTACAGTATTTCAAGACCTTGCTGACCTCCTCGGTGCTCTGGGGCTTGAGGACCAGTCGGGTGTGGCCACGGTATTTGCGCATCCAATCGCTGTTGAAGGGTTCGATATCATCGGAGGCATCGGTCGACACGCCGTCGATGACGGCGGACTGGGAGCCGAGAAGCTCCTTGAAGTATGTGACGTGGTCGGGGGTGAGCTCGGCAAAGTTGGGGTTGCGCTTGACGTTGGGGTAGGCATCGCTCGTGAACTTGATCTCCTTGTCGGCTCGTACGGTGGAGCTGACGGTGAAGGTGCGCGCAGCGGTGGTCGGGAGTGGTGTTTGGGGGCACGTAGGACGAAGAGCAATGCGAGGGCGAGGCACTCGAGCCCGTCGGAGGGCAGCAGAGAGGTTTCGAGCACCAGACATGGTGGGCAATTGAGTGGAGAGGTTGACAAGGAACTTGAAAGACAAGACAAGGCCAGGAAAAGAAGATAAATTTTGGGGTGGAGGTCAATTGTAGAGTGGAGAACCCGCACCGATCGGCCATTGCGCCATTCAATTAAATTGAAGTTCGGATATATTTCCACTCGGCGTTTTTCGGGGGTTCCGATTTCGCATTACTACAGGGCTACCAGGACTACTAGAGCAATCAAAGTTGATTGAATATTAGCAGTACTAGTCCTTCTTTAATGGAGTGGTTTTCCTAAAATACGCCCAACCTGGCAGAGAGTCGGACCTTGAGTAACCATCGAACACTGGCAGTGTGTCGGGCCACAACTTGAATGGGATCGGGCAAACCTTTAGCCGTTCAAATGAGCCTGATTGCCTTCAGTTGATCTAGATAGTAGTACTAGTTATACAATAGCACTAGTAGTAGTAACTACTAGTACTACTTGTATGCCTAAGAACCTGTTACCACTGGAATGAACAGTTCAAGTTTGATTATAACTTGCAATCCTGGTAGGGTGTGTACTAGTACTTTGAATACTACCACTCGATACTAGTATATACTTGGGTAGTACGTACTGGCACCAACCTTGAATAATCAATTTGAAGTTGAAGTTGAATGCGAAGACCATAAGCTAGGCATTGATTGAGCCTATCTAAGGTATACTAGTACTACTAGTACCTGGACAGCTGCCACCCAGTGCCACCCAACTTTAAATGAGGTTAATTGGCCCGCGTCCACCTGGGCCTGCCTGCATGAGACATGAATTCACGCCAACGGTACTTTGGTAGTACTCTGGTATTCTGGTACTCTGCAGCCATTGATCTCATTAACAGCGATCTTGGCCGTAAAGATCCATTGGAAGCAGCCAGGGACGGGCGACAAACCTAACAACTGGAGAGTCAGTTACGTCATGTTGGTGCCCCGCAAGCCACGACTTTTGGAGCTTTGAGCTTTTGAGCTTTGGGGACCTCAATTTCACTTCTATCTTCTCTCTCTCTTTCCCTCTCTCTTTCCCTCTCTCTCTCTGCCATTAAACAACCATGACTTCCAACGTTCTGGTCACCGGTGCTACTGGTCTGCTCGGCCGTCAGGTCTTTGGCACTTTTCAACATTCCGGCGTTTTGGTGGTCGGCCAGGGCTTCACCCGCGCATCCCCACCAACCATCCTCAGGGCCGATTTGGAGAAGGAAGCAGACATCAAGAATATCCTCACCGAAGTCAAGTCCGTGAATTCCCTACCAGCCGAAGCTGTACCCCCCTAACTGACCATTCAATTATTCGCCCCCAGACCTCAAATTGTCATTCATTGTAAGCTCCCCCCCCCCCCCCTCCGGAGACCGTGATCGTGTCGTACCACTAGAGCTGAGGTGGGGTAACATATTTCAGGTGCTGCCAATAAATCCCCGGATCTTGTCGACAAAAACCCCGATCAAGCACGCCAGGTCAATGTCGAGGCAACTCGTATCCTTGCCCGCGAATGCCACGCTCGCGGAGCCCTACTGATCTACATTTCCACCGACTACGTTTTCCCCGGAGCGGAGGGCGAGGCTCCCTACGAGGTCGATGCCGAGACTCGGCCCCCGAACCTATACGGCGAGTTGAAGCGGGATGGAGAGCAGGCCGTCCTCGAGGAGACCAAGGACTCCGGGCTTGGAATCGTCCTCCGCGTCCCAGTGCTGTACGGAACCGCTCGGGAAAATTCCGAGAGCGCAGTCAACACTCTGGTGGATGCCGTGATTAAAGCGCAGGATGCGAATGCGGGTGTCAAGATGGACGATTGGGCCCAGCGATACCCCACTAACACGGAGGACGTGGCGCGAGTGACGCGCGATATTGTCATCAAGTACCTGAAGGACAAGCCGCGGATCAAAGAGCTCCCTCATATCCTGCAGTTCTCGTCGGAGGATCGTATGACCAAATATGAGATCTGTGAGAAGATCGCCGAGGTGATGGGAGTTCCGCTTCCGGGGATGATTCGCAACCAACAAGGCAATGATCCTAATGCCGGTGTGCAGCGACCGTACGACACGCATCTATCGACCAAGGCACTGGTTGACCTGGGGATCGACGTGCGGACCACCGATTTTACAGCGTGGTGGTAAGTGGACCCACCTTGAACTTGAATATTGTTCAAAAGATTTTTATTTTGCCAACTCACACTCACACTTATATCTCTTGCAGGCGGAGAGAATTGGCTGCTCATCGGAAGTAGGGGGGAAATGGGGATGTATCAAGTTGACTGCCAGTGGTTTCATAGACGAGAGTACTCGCACTCGTACTCTGTACTCAGCGAAAAAGATAAATTAAACAAGTATCTTTGTTCCCAATCTGCACTTTGTACTCCGTACCTGCAGTGCTGATCTGCGATCGATCACGGTGGAGCCTGCAGGGCAGTACTAGTCGACAGTAGCGAAACAATAGTGTCTGCCCAGTGAAACAAAGTAAAATCAAGGCAAACACGAGAAGCAAAGACTAGTGTCGTAAACAAGGTTGGCCATGGCGATGGAGGGCACAGTGCAGAGGGCAGAGGGTGAGGGTGAGTGTCCTCGTACGGAGAACAGCCGGAAACGTCTTCCCAGCCACTTTTGACCAGCTAATTTCCCCTTCTCCTTTCCATTCCTCCACCATCACTCATCACTGCACTCACACATCACCCCCACACAACTCTTTTCCTGTTCGCAATTTACTTTCGCTTACCCCACGAGGGTCCGCAGATCTATTGCCAATCTGGCGGTTTGACAGAACCAGGGCCAGGGCCAGAGCGAGAGACCAGGATTAAAGCCCGTCGCATTCGACTCCAGCTTCATACCTTAGCGTCTTTCAACGCCTCCTGTTGCTTTTTTTGGGCAGTCGTCCCACCCGCCTGATTTCTTGGATCGAGCCCTCCTGATATCTGTGCGTTCGACCTTGTTTTTTCTTGGTTTTTTTTTTTCTCTCTCTCTCGCCTTTCCTCTCTTCCTCTACTCCATACTCCATAGTCCATACTCTATTTCATCTTGACCCACTGACCTTCCCCCCCAAGTAAACCTCGCCGCAGAATGCCACTTCGACTGTCGCGCGACCCATCCACACAAAGGAATTTCTGAAACCTGACCTCGATTTGATCCTGATCCTTCCCACGGGGCTCTCCGAGACCCAAAGGCCCTTTCTTTGTCACCATGGCGAGACACCGCGTCAGCGCCCCGGCGCAGCAGCCAGTCCTCAAGGGAACCTTCTATGACCCGGTGTCGATTGAATACGCCGTGGGAAATCAGTCTAGTCGCAAACCCGAGCCAGCTGGGCGTCCAAATATGGCAAGTGACGGCAAGACAAACGAGCAGAATCCGTCAATCGCAAGGAGCATGTCTCGGTACCGTCGCAATCGGCGCCCTACCACCAGTGGCGATGCCTCGACGCCAACACCCGCTGTCCCAGATCGCGCTCGCAACCAGCCCGTTCCTCCGGTCCCTGATGTGACCTCGCAAACACCGGCGGCGGAAGAACATGTAAGGGAACAACATCGACTGGACGCGATGGCGCAGTTGACTGGCGGAGATCAATCGTCACGTCCTGCCGTCTCGCGATATGAAAAACAGGAAAAACAACCGCAGGCAAAGACCAAAGCGCAACCTGTGCCAACGCATCAACAGACTAGCCGAGTCGACACCCGCAGTCACCACGACGCACGTCCCGCGAGCGGTGACAACCGCAAGTCCTTGCTACAGAAGATGAAATTGTCCAAGAGCAGCAAGACACCACTCCCAAATGAGCCCGTGCCAAGATACATCGGAGTGGGTGGAGGGGGGGATTGTTCCTGGGACTGACGCTCCGGTCTCGGCTGTCAACGCCGGAGAGCGCCAAGTACTTGTGCAGTATAGTGACGTTTCGAACCATCTAGTGGTGACACCGTCTACACGGGTCAATGATCTTCTCCAGACCGCCGTTCGCGAGCTATCTCGCGATATCGACCCTGAGAAATTCATCTGCATTGAGTCCTTCCATCAAGTTGGGTTGGAACGATCTTTACGTCGGTATGAGCGTGTGCGGGATATCATGAACTCTTGGGCTCATGATGCCGACAACCGCCTCGTCATCGTCCCCCCCCTCGAGCATGGAAGCTCTGGCCCAACTGGAATCCCATCAAGTCCCCGCCGAAAAACCCGCCGAAACGACCGTATACCTCTACCATTCCCAGCGCCCCGGCAAATGGGATAAGCGTTATGTGACATTACGACCCGATGGCCAAGTGGTAATTGCCAAAAAGGAGAACTCAAAAGATTCTACCAGTATCTGCCATTTGTCCGACTTTGACATCTACTGCCCCAGTGCCCGTGCAATGGCCAAAGAGATCAAGCCCCCCTAAGAAGATCTGCTTCGCGATTAAAAGTCAACAGAAATCCTCCATGTTCCTTTCAACAGAAAAGTTTGTTCATTTCTTCAGCAGCAATGACCGCGCCACTGCCGACAAGTGGTTTCGAGTTGTCCAGCGCTGGCGAAGTTGGTACTTGGTGAATCAGCTAGGTGCCGCGGAACAGACCGAAAGCGAGGCAACCTTGCCAAAGCGATCCCTTACCCAGAAAGGATCACAAAGGCACCGAAAGGCGGCTAATGATGTGCCGGTACCATTATTGGATCTCACTGACCCTGAGCCAACAAGGCCCACCGGCAACTCCATCGATCGCCCCCGGCCATCGACCTCGAAGGACATCGTCTCTCGCAAGAAGACGGTGCGCGAGCATGCATCGCCGCCCCCATCATTCCCCCAGACGCTGTCACTCGACACTGGCGCTGCTGGGCAAGCAGATGACGGCCCACTCGTGCAGGGCGTGCGACCTGACGAAGTTGAAGCAGCGACTTTCTCTCCCACTGGCTTACTAGGCCGCTCGTATACCCAGCGAAAACAAGCGTTAAATGAGCGCGAAGAACGAGAAAAGCGAGCGAACCAAGAGCTATTTGCGGCCCAGTCTTTTCTAACCGAGAACCATACCTACTCTCCCTCTGATACGATTCATCAGCAGAGCGGTCGTACCACCACAATGACTGGCACGGCACCACCAGGCCTCAGCCGGAATAAGTCTGTCAGCCAGAAACAACAACAACAAAAACCTTTAATCGACTTGACCCCAGTCTTCCAAGAGCCACCGCAACACACGCGGAAAGGCCGTGGCGTCAAGGTTGGCGCAGGCACACAACTGATCGACGCCGCCACCGGCCCTGAATTGGCCGTAGGCACCGTGAATATCCCACCCGCCACAGCCTGGCGTCGTCCCACGAATGAATTACCCACACAAAGTCGATACCGCTCGAACACAGCCCGCAGTGTCCGACACGGAACAGAGCCCAAGCCATCCAATTCTGGCTCCGCACACGCCAGCCCAGCCTCACCAAGCAACCCATTCGTATCGAATACCTTGCTCGCTAATTCTGCCTCTCGTCAAGCGAGCAGTACCCATACCAAACCCTATACTGGCCACGGTGTGGCAACCGGAGACCGAAACGCCACCCGTCCAATGCTCGATATGTCACCCGAAAATCCCTTCGCGGAGGGCAGTCTCCTGCGACAGCTTTGAGTGCGCCCCGGCTGCCGCAGGTGAAATTTAACGATAACGATAAGATGCTACGATTGATAGGCGTTTATTTTCGGGTTCTCTTTTTTTTTAAAGAGATGATTTGTCATGTCTATCTATCTGAGTGAGATGTTTTTCGAAATATTTGATATTTCTAGCCTCAGGCCTGAATGTTTGGTATGTTTATGTTAGATACCCATAGCGATGGAATAGAAGCGCCGAAAACTGCCTTCGTGAATTAGTCGCAACTGTTTGTTACTACTATTAGGTAGTGACCTTGGAAACAGATCTCTGCCAGGTCTTCTTGCCCTACTCTTACAAATTGTACTAGTACTAGTCCGTGTACTAGTTAGTACTGTAGTATCTTCGGCTTTTTACCAACAGAGAGTAACGAATAATAGAGGAACAGTGTAGTACCTTGGAAGATTCCACCCAAAAGAAATATCCAAAAGGACGAGCCAGGAGTATATTGAGCACATGGATATCTCATTCAAGTTATTGACCCATTGCACGAAAATTAAGCAAGCCAAGCCAAGCCCCTTCTAGATACAAATACAGCATAATATCGTACAGGTCGCACCCAAGCTAAACATGTATACCATTAGTAAGGCCCAAAGCCCAAAGCCAACGCCGATCAAATCATCGCAAAGCCCCTGAAGCCATCCACCCACTTAAGCAAATCAAATAGCCTGATAAACCTTAAACCCAGCAAACTCCCAATAAGCATCCTCAAAAGCCGACGGGTTATTAGCCACCAGCTCCTTACAGGACCCGGGACACTTATACATCTCATGATAAAACTGATCCTGGGCACCGAGTTGGCCGCAAAGATCGATATTGACAATGATACTCTGATTCCGGAAGTGAGAGCCAATATCGCACTCCGTGCTGGGGAAGTCGGCTAGCGCTGTGCCCCACGTTGATGGGTCTGGAATGGCAGTTGGATCGTTAATATTGTGTGGGATGGCGCGGCGGGGGAAGAACCATGCTCTTATCCCGGCATTTCGGAGTTCGAGGGCGTAGACCTGGAAGTGGGTGTTAGTATGTACGTGAAATGCCAATGCAAAAGATAACGGAGGAAAAGAGAGAGAGAGAGAGAGAGCTACTACTTACTCCGCCGCCAGCCTCGTTCATAGCTTCACCGTATGTAGATGGATCTCCCACAACACCGCAACCCGAGTTGTCACGCATGGAATCATCACAAGTCTTGGAAACAGCCGAACCGGTCTGCTTCCGCTTGACATCCATATTACACCCCTTAGTCGTGTGCAGAGTGACCTCATTACCACGAGAGCCCATATTAGTCGTCTCCAGAATATCGATCTCGCCATTATTCGGCCAGTTATACCCATCCACCAACCACAGCGCGGGCCAGGTAGCGCAGCCGTAGGGCGTATGGATGATGTCGAAGATAAACAGGCCTGTGTCATAATTCTTTTTAGACTCGATTCGAACTGAATTGCGGCCGTTTACTGCCTTCGGCGTGAATGAATCCACGCGTAGGATGGCAGATGTATCGGTTGCGTAGGTCAGATTTAGATCGTGGGCAGCGGTTTCGCCGACGTAGACGACATCACCATTTGTGGGGTCTTCATCGGTGAAATAGTTGAATTGTTCAAAGAATGAGGCGCCCGAGTATGTGTCGACTATTCTGTAGTCCAGGGCTGTGTAGTTTGGGTAGCGACTGAGTTTGACTCCATAGTATGGAGCGAGGATGACCACGATGATGAAAATGACGGCTCCCAGTCCAACGAGAACTTTCTTCAGTAGGGACCATCCTCGTGGATTATACCAGGGGAAGGTAGTAAGGTGGTCGGCCCCGTTCACGTTTTCATCGAGTGGTTTGCGCTCTGGGGACTCGGCAGCACCGGTCACCTCTGGGATCACTGGGATCTTAGGAGGCCGCGCCATTCTGGGAGGAGTCGTATTTCCCAACCGGGGTATTCGAGAAGTCTCACTACTATATCTGTTGGCGTACTCGGGTGGAAGTAGTCTGTCATCCATGTTGAACGAGTGCTTGGAATGAGTGTAGATGGATGGTAGTAGATAGTAGACAGAGCAGAGATAAAATGCAGTGGGTCTTTGGATGTAGAATCTACGAGATGTCAAGTCGAGTTGTTTTTAAAAAGGTACGAGTGTTGATGCCGTCATACCAACCCCTGCGCCCGGACGGGTCTAGTGCTGATCTTTCCTGGTGCGGCCCATTTGCGATGAGCCATAAAATGAAGCTATACCGCGGTACTCCCACGGTTGACGGAATTATAACTGATCGGATCTCCAGAAGGAGCAACTTACTTCCTGTGTTGATTTGAAAAACCAGACAAGCTGCTCAGGTGTATAATCCGATTTGAAGCTCATTCATCACTGTCATGGGGTCATTGTTGATGTCTGAGATGGATTTCCGCTTTCGGACTGGAATGCGGCGAGCCCCAGAGATCCGCACGCGGGGAACTTCACGTCATGACCATGGCCAGGGAGTATTACTCCTAGTTATTCGTACTACTAGTTAGTATCTACTAGATAGTACTAGTAGCAGGTACGATCTGACGTGGATGCAGACCCTTCCAAAGCTCCAAGGTTGGTTCATGATGCAATATTATTAATATGTTCAAATCTCAAATATCCAAGCCAACACCACATTCGACATATATACCCCAACATAACACCAGATGCAACGCCAACCTCTATGAATGTACAAAAGACCTATCATGTATTTACATAGGCCGCCAATTTTAGTAGCTTCGCTTCCCTACCGAGCAGACCGGACTGTCGACGACCGATGGACGAAGGCATCTCCATTCGCAGGCTGCCCGTGGGTTTGCCAGTCATAAGATTCCATACCCGACGAAACACCAGCAGTGTCTGCTCCCTGGGCATGCGACACACTGCGAGAAGGCTGTCGACCAAGAGACCCGGCTCCGCTGAGATTCGAATTCCGGCGGCGCATACGGCGCTCAGACATAGCAGTCTCATGTCGATTAAGTGCGTCTGAGGGTAGCAGAACAGCACGATCAAGTGCGTATGGCAGACCACGGTGACGACCGCGAATCTGCATAGCAATAATAACCAATTTGGAGACCACGTTGAACTGACCAGAGAAGGAGGTATTGGCGGTTGGGTATCCGAAGGAAAGACCAACAGTACCATAAGCCGAGACAACCTCGAACAAGACGGTGAACAGCTGGAAGTTGTAGTCATCCTGACTTGCCAAGCGGCCGCCTTCCGCAATGGAAATAATGAACAGACCCAAAAAGACGTACCACAGATCGAAACTCAGCTGGCGCCGCAAGTGAGTCCCAATATAGCTGGGTGCTGTTTGAGCATCGTCGTCTTCATCCTCCTCGAAACCGTAGACTCCCAGACTCTTCTCCTCGTACACATTGGTGCGACGCATGGAGATAGCAATAGGAAACACGGATATATACATCATGATCAGGTAGGAAACCTGGATGGCTGGATGGAGAGATGACAGGCTCACTACGCCAAAACCTGCAGTTCGGGTAGCAGCAGCCTGGAAAAAGCCATCCAAAACTCGGATACCAGGTGGCAGAGCGGTGACGGCCGCATCATTCAGCTGGAAGAGGGTCAGTGACCAGGCATGATACCGGCAAAGCGCGCACAAGTACTTACATCCAAGATAATGAAGAAGATCACATCGATGCCGTTCAACAGGACAAGAATGGCGAACAGCCACCAAGTGGCGTTTCGAGGGAACAGAAGGGTGAAGCATCGACGCGGGTGATCCAGGAGAAACCGCAGCTCCTCCCAAAGAGCAGTGCCCTGTCGAGCAAATTTGGAAAGGACCCAGATCATGAACCGAAGCATGCACGGGAACGCAGTATTACCAATGATGATCAAAAAAGCCAGAAGCAGCAAGGGAAACACCGCTTCTTGGAAAGAATTCATAGAGTTGGGAGTCAAGGTGAAGCCCAGATCATTGAAGGCGGACGCAGCTGTAAAGATACCCCACCACGGCCGTCCAATGCCATCGGCTCTGACGATATTACCCCATCTAGGTACTGTCATGATCCAACCAATCATGGAGATCAGTCCGAAGAGGTGAAAACCAACATAATACGATATCAATACGACCGCCAACGTCTTCAAGGCTCGATACTCAATTCCACCAAGCTCGTCACGTTGCTCCTCGGTCAAGTCCACAAAGTTGGAGTTTCGCGCCACTGTCGCATTCCAACTCAGATACGGCTGAGTGTTGCGTTCTCGCTCCTGTGTCATTGATCTGAATATGCCTCGAACGGTGTTCCTGGTCGTCACATGGTCCAATTCTGTCGTTTCATTGACCTCTTTAGTGTCTCGAACCGTGGGTCTGGTGTCCAAGCGAGGGAAGGTATTGCCTCGGGTGCGGGTGCGTGTGATATCCGGCTCATTAATGGTGATATGCGGTCCTTCCAGAGGACCAACCTGATCATCATGCTCCGAATGATGCTCATCCTCATTCTCTTCCTCTTCCTCTTCCTCCTCAGAGCTCCGCCGGCGATCAAATTGCGGACCGATGGGCTGGAATTGAGTCTGCGGCTCCTCTCCATCATCCAATGTCTCTGGAACACCACCGTTATCGTACTCGCGAGGACTCGGAATACGCAGAGCACCCTTGTTCTTCCGTTGGTTTTCCACAAAGGCAATGTGATGCTCCGGACTCAGCTGCGTAGGCACTCTTAAGCTGCCTAACCCGAACCGTTTCTCAAGAACACGGTTGGTATCATTGGAACTGAATTGTCCACTGGTACTCTGGTCTGGCGTGTCCTGGTCTGGCGTGTCCTGGCCTGGCGTGTTCTGGTCTGGCGTATCCACCTCCTTTGCGGTCCCCGCATTCATCTCGTCGACCGCACCGGTCGGGTCGGGAAGTTTGTTGCCGCGCGCATCGCCTGAATTGTTACGCAGCACCACGATAGATCTCCCGCTCACGCCGAGCTCTGCGCGATTGATCTCCGCACTGTCCTTGTCCTGGCTGACTGTGTCCATACGCGACCGGGTAGCACGCAGCGCCCGCGCATCACGGACCACATGTTGAAAGCGCTTCTCGAACCAGTATAGACGGATGAAGACGAGAGCGCTGTGGATAAAGATCGGGGTGCACATCATAGTGATGAAGTACAAAACGATCTGCTGGTAGAGGGACAGCTGGTTGAGGTCGACGGTATTCAGCCCACTCTGCGTGGCGGAGCCGGCCGCCTGAAAGAGGGCATCGATGTAGGCGATGTTGCCCTGGGGGTAAACAATGATGGAACCAATGATCGCCCAGGCGATAATATAAGTGTAATGCAGGAGAATAAAATTCAGATGCAGTTCGTTGAGGAAGGGGACGCGGGCTTTGAGGGCGTTCAGCCGACGGATAAAGGCCGAAAACATGGTCAAGAGTGTTGGCGTGTTGCGAGGACGATTTGGAGGTCGTCTTGCCCTGGCGGAGGCCTCAGTGGGAGGCGATGCCGGTACAAACTCGTCTCTGAAGGAGGGGAACTTTTCAAGCCTGTGCAATGCATGAGATGCGTCAGCCACGAGGTTGAGCTTTGTCTGCAAACCTGCGAACCTTTCGAACTTTCGAACCTTCGGAAGTATTCATGTCGACCAATACATACATGTGTGATACCGCCGATCGCTGACCGGTCGGGAATCGTGCAGGAGGAGGGCTCGGGCGCAAGGCCGCTGTTAGCCGCGAGGGATCGAACCACGCAAAGGCATGGACGAGAGTTGAGAAAGTTAAAGAGTGAATAATTGAAAAGGGAGGGAGGAGAAGAGGAGAAGAAGATGTGACGAAAGGCTTAGGCAACTTTCAGTCAGAAGGCGCAAACGGAAGCGGGAAGCGGGTCGGTGAAATTTGCATACGGGTAAATTACCAAAAATACGGCTGCAGACTAGGGGAAAATGGTAGTTCGCCTGCCAAAAACGTGTAAACCTGTCGATCGCCGGAAATTAGCACCGCCACAATGCCTACGAGTTACAGAGTTACTGGGTTCAAGTTATTATGAGAAAGGTATTTATGGGGAACCCCTATTATTTGATTCTTATATCAATGCAGCTGCCTATATATACTTGTACTACGGAGTACGAAGTACCCATACTACGACTACTAGTCTCCATCCACCAGCACCGCCAAGCTTTGGCTGTTGCTGGGATCGCCTTGGCACCTTCACGGGACTCTCCGTCATTCCTCTTCATCCTTCCACCTTCTCTCTTCTCCCATCTTGATTGATTGAGATCACAACCACTGTCCACTGCCAAGCGGCGGCTGAGATGCATGCTGCAGGAGCCGGCATTTGGAATGTGCATGTGAGATCCGCCATTTGATACCCCCTCAGCTCTGCGATCAGTGTTGCTGCTAAGTGTTTCAACCCTACCCTCCGGTGGGTTTTCGACAGGGGATACCCGTTCTCAAGGCCCACTTTTCATTCCGCACCATGTTGTGGCCCGTCCCTCAGGCAAGCCCCAGTGAGCTTACTTACGTTCGCTCTGCTCTGCCGAGTATCGAATTTTATCCATCATACCCATTGGTCCTAGGGCTCTGCTTCCATACCAGTGGAATTGCCAATCGATCACGCCCTACAGGGCTGGCATGTTGAGATTCGCTCTGGGGGACTTGAAAGGGGCAATCATGGGCCCGCCGGGTCCAGAACCGGCATTCTTGCCAATGAAATTGCGCCCTTGGGCCGGCCATGCATAACAATGTTAGCTATCGTCCGGGTTGATACTGTCGGGTCGGCCCAAAAACCTTGTTCGGCATCTTCTGATACGGGAGACGGCATGGAAACGGTGAAGGCCTTGACTCTGACCGACTCGTGACATTCTTACAGCGAGGCCGCCCGGTATTCCCGATGCACGATGCACTTCTTGTACGAGGGGTGTACATGTTCTCTGGAAAGCGAGACGGCGTATGAGGTACGATAGGTACAGGCAGGCGTCCCGGCGGACCTCCACCTCCATCTCCACCTCCATCTGCCCGGACCCCAATCGGATCCTCGCCATCTCAATCGCTATCCTAAAATATGTGACCAATAGACGCCACGGAGAGGAGATAACCATCTCACATTGGTCGCTCTTTCATAAGCTTACTGCTGACCGCCATCTGTCAGCTACTGGACCGGGATGAGCTGACCGAATCGTTCTAGCGTTACCGTAGAGGTAAAAGCCATGTTGACCTTCTCGTCCTGCGAGCCTATCCCCGCTATATATAACAGGAGCATTTCCGAATGGAGACAAGGCATGTCAGTGCGTCTCTCCGACAGCGCTACAATATACACTTTGAAAGCTAATGTCGCGAAGTCCACTATAAATTGAACTATGCTCGATTACTTCAGAGAAGACTACATAGTACTACTCCATGCTATTGGGAATTTAAGCCAGTCAAACCGCGCCCAGTTAATCATTGTCCGGTCGACAGGCACACATCTTGGTTGAAAATTTGAGGATTACTCGTAGTACTACCTATACTAATAGCCTAAGAAAGTTGAAGCCACGCGCCCCGAGGCTTTTAGGCCAAACAGCCTCCTCTCTTCATACTAACTACTATAAGTAATGGTATAGCTCAAGTTATTCCATAGCTACTGGTAGATCTTTCGTTCTCCGATATTCCTTCACACTCTTTGCGAGATAAGTCCCCCCTAGAAACCTCCGATAACCCATCCGACTCTTTCAGAATTTCCTATACCATCGCGCTCCAACGCTCCAACGCTCCAACGCCTAGATTAATGTGGATTCTAATATCAAAGTAGACAAAGCAATCATTGGACCTCAATCTAGAAAGCCGCGTCAATATCTAGAATCCGGTCTCCAGGTAAAAAATCGCTAGGGCTTATGTGATACGCCGATAATATACCAGAAAGATGGAAAGTCTTTGGAGAGGTTTCGATTCAATGCATTCCAAGGTTCTAGCCCTGACATTGGTTTATTCAAGCTTGTGCAGTTACTAGCCACGAACCAATAAATGGAGTAGAAACTCATCGTTCATCACTGCCCGATATTTAAAGCAAAGAAAATGGCATACTGTAGACAGAGATATTCTTGGATTGCGCTGGCGTTGAGGGATCGCAAGAGTACTCCACACTTGATATTTATCTCCGACACCGTTAAACCGACGTCGCGGATCTTCACGGCCATTAACTGCAAGCCACTGAGATCATCTCATTCAGAAACTCTTGGCCCGAAAGTTCTCTTGGCGGAAATGTCGCCATCACTCGCTAGGCCTCGACTACTACTAGTATATGGCGATCGCGATTTGGGTCACTTGGCAGTTTGGTTGGGGGCCAGCTCCCGTTTCTATCAAAAGACTTCCATACTAACTTGCAACCGAGATGGTCGGATCCGCATTTCTATCGGACCGCCCACCAAGATGTGGGCGTGTGGACCCAGACTTTGCGTATGTATGATGAACTGTGTATAATTTATTATGAACGAGTGAAAACCCCCCTCGCGCATTGGCAAGATACTTGAAGACGCCTAGAACGACCATGTCTAGGCATCTTGGGACTTATGTAGCTGTATGCTGCAGATCAGTTAAAGAAAAGAGCGGGTTGCCGGTGTTGGTAAGGAATTCGGGGCAAACCGAAAGAGTAGAGTGCCGAGAATCTTGGGCGCCAAGGCGCTAATGCGAGGTGCTGACCCAGATTAGCCATTCATCGTTTGGTGGGTTTCACAAGCTGGTTTCTTTATCTATCACCCCACGCATCCGGGGGGCCGGGGGATGTCCCCCAGGGGAGAGGGGTAATAGTAGGTGATTGCTTAGAATAGTAATAGGACTGTGGATGTGGTGTGGTGTTTCAAGTTTGTTTGGTAGAAATTTCGAAAGTCGATTCAACATTTTCGTTGGGGGATATCATTGGATGCTAAGTGGGAATAATGCTAGAAAATAGAATACACATAGAAGATAGGATAGAAAGTCTGGGGTGCCATGCGACCCAGGTTTCATCGGTGTTTGAAGTGTAGGATGGCTTTGATGACGGCGATGGCGGTCGTGCCAAGAAGACACAGCTTGAGCAGAGGCCAAGAGTTGACGTAGGATAGCGACCACTCGGCGCTGCAAGGAGTCAATGACTCGCTCAGAAGGATGTGGATGCGGCCGGGTTCGCTCACCTCGACACCTCATCATCGAGCTCTCGGATCATGCCAGCTTCTCGCAAGGCTTGCATTTGTTCGGAAGTGACGTGCGCTGGGTCGATGCCAAAGTCTGAGAGACCGTAGGGATCGCCATTGCGAATGGGGTTCTTGTGCTCTGGTTCAGGTGATTGGGATGGCACGGAGGTGATGTCGAGGGTTGAGCTGGGCGCAGAAAGTTGTGATTGTTCGGCAGCGATGGCCTTTTGCTCGGAGAGTAGATCGCTAACAGGACGTGGAATGGCAGTGGCTAGAGCACAGATACTCCAGAGAGGTGTGAGAAGGAGAAGTGATTGTAGGAGAAGCATCTTGGCGGTATTCCCGGGCAGTCAAGGGAGATAAGGACTCAGGAATGCGATGCGAGATCAATACTGGCAGGAAGATCTTTTTAAGGAGAGAAGTAGGTACAAGTATTGCAGGAGGGATCATCCCAAGCTATAAGAATTTAAACTCGATAGCATTTGCACACTGGCTTCTGGACCCCTCCTCCCTTGGCACCATTCGATGTCGGGCCAGGATGCACGGGCAAAGACCCCCCGGGGCCATAGGGCCGTAGATAACGACCAGTGGGTCCAAGAGGATCCACCCGAGGATGCATGATGAGTTCTCCAGTGGATTTCCAGTGGGCTGCCAGTAGGTTTCCATTGGGGGCTAGTGAACTGACCACTCAGCATCTCCGTCTCGCCCAGCATGTGCAGCGCGATCGCCCTAGTGGCTGAGCGATCTTGGCGCTGACCTGCTGCCGGACTTAGTCCTCGTTCACCGAGGGCAAATATAACCTTTGCTTTAAGGTTGATGAACTCGTTTCCGATTTTCTTGCAGTCTGTAGATCAGTGGGAATCCACTGGCCAATTGGTAGTGTCCGAAACCGACCTCAGTATCCGGCCAGGTTGAGGTTCGAATTTCGAAGAGTATACGCAGCCCTACAACGCAGCCCGTCACGCAGCCCGTCACGCAGCCCCATAACGTATGCCGAACGCGTCAGCGCGGATTGCGTGAACGCCTACTTTAATTCCAACATCACCACCAAAGCGATCTCTGCTCCCTTTAATATCATCATTTATAGGAGGAGAAGGCCCCATAGGTGGCATAGATTTTGTGGCGCATGCAAATATCGGAGAGTACTAGTACTACGGTCTACGAAGCCGCGTTCGGCATACTATCCAAATAAGATTTCTGTCCTAATTTGGTCTGAAAATAATGGGAAAATCAAATTGTAAAGCAAAAGCTTCAAATGCACATCGCGACACCCAACTACCGTCAAAAATATCAATACTATATAATGATCTTCTACCTCGAAGACTCGGAATAACCTCGACAGTCAGATATTCCAGGGCTAACCCTGCCAGTGTGAAGATTGATCATCCCCCGCATTAGCAGGATATGCCGTCGGGTCAGTAGAATACCTATAAAAAATGAATGTCCGACAGCTGAAGCTGGACCTCGAAATGGCCCGGTGGATTGACTTTCTCCAAGTCCAGAGACTCGGCGGCAAGAAGAGCCGCCTCAACATCGATCCCAATTCTCGCAAATAAACGATCAAGTTCGGGAAAGTGCTTGATAGCCTGACCAATGTATGCTAGATCTAAAAACCCATGAAGCTTTTTAAGTCATAGGTTGTACTTCTTCTCTAAGAGCCGGAGATCGCTACTATCGTGAAACCTTGCGCGAGTCGCGGACAGACGAACCTTGTCCTTGAACAGGAAGAATGGGTCGAGGAAGAATGAAGGACCCCTGTTGTGCTTCCTCCCATAAATCATATAAGAGGCCATTGTAATATTACTTCTCGCTATCTTCTCATCTAAATCATGCTAAGTTAGTTAAAGTATTCAGTGACTGGAGATGGGGGCGGGGTTACTCACTAGAAAGATACTCGCAGAAACACTCCACCATTATAGGATTACTCCGATTTGGTAATTCGGTCCATAGGAAAATAACATGATCCTCATGAGCTTGCGGGAGAGCGACAAACCCTTCCTTTTCATCTAGCGCTTTGGTGAGCTTATCTTTGGAGGTAGAGACGATACAGTTGATATTGTCGGCTCCTCGTGGCCACTCTTCATCCAGGACTACGCTGACTGCAGAGTCACCAAAAAGTCCAAACCTAATACCGTTCTTCTCATGTAGAACATTGAAGAGGGTGATGGCAATGTCAGCCAGTCGCTGTTGAAGCATGGCTGCGGAAGATAAAATGAACCTGATGTAAAAGACAATCACGAGCAGCGATGGAGATAGTAGGATTTTTCTCGGCCTTCGAAATGGCTTTTATATCTAATGGAGATCAATATTAACGATTAAACTTGCAACCCTTCACAAAGAAATGGTCATTAGCTGTAATAAGATTGGTGAAAGAGGTCATTCGTCAACAAAGATGTGGGCTCTGCGATATTGTCTGTGGCATGGCCACATACTTGTCGCTTTGAACCAGATCGTAGGTTAACTGTATATAGCCCCTTGCTCAAGTACTCAAGCGGTCGATCTTTGTAAGCTTCAAACCGTCTCAAGGTCTTTTCGAGAAACTGTACAATGAACTTTGGAGGCTAGTTCCATGAATTCATTGAAGACAACCCTGTTTCCGCCAATCGCAGCTAGGATGGTTCTGCGCTACTCAATATTTCTTCGCTGCAAGAGTATCACCTTTTCAAAGGTCTGCTCAATAAATTACGGCCTCTAATCATGACATTAGTCACGTTCAATCGAATCTAATCCCGATACGTTGGCATTCAAGGCACTTGTTGCTCAATTTCAATCCAGGCCTGTTGTCATTGTCCAATCAAAGCCTCAATACAGTAAAACAAAAGAGCCACATTCCAGTCTAACAGCCAAAGATCTTTGACTTCGTCCTCCGGAAGCTTCCGTCATTTGACAGCTCGGGAAGGGAGAAAAGGCTCTTTATCAAGTTGAAGAACTTGATGATTCAAAGAGAAGATCTAATTTCTCGACTTGAGTTCGAAAGATGAACCCATCTTTGCTGGAAGCTAGCCAAGAGGAATGTGAAACGATCAGAACCCCCGGTGAGCTTTTGAGATTCGGTCTTTGCACTGCCCGACTCTTATAAACTGGTGGCTATCCTGGTTATTCAATCAAATAACTGTCGAATTTTCACCAACAAGAAGCCTGAATGAAACTCTTCACATCCATTCCCTATTGAGTATTTTGACCGTGATGAATTAAGCCATGGCTCTGGCCAACTAAATCAAAAATCAGAAGGATGAACACGTACGAGACACTCCGTCACACGGCTGAAGTATTCCTTGGCATTCATTGTTTACCTTGGGAGGAAACCCATCCCCGCTCCATTTTTCACGATATAAACTTAAGAGCGAAAAGGAGCTAAGCAGAGAATTGATAGAAATAATGAGGTCAATCTTATCCTGACTAACAAGACATAGAAACTAAAAGATCGATGGATTGACCAAGGGAAGCCCTAACGCACCCATGGACACCTCGCAACGCCGCATCATTGGTCAACACTCAGCGAGCGTTTCTTCTCACACCGGCCCAGCCGGATAGAACCATCATCATGAATGTATAACTGGGTATCCTGAGAGTGTGCCATTTTATCGCTCCATCTATCCCATTGTCCTTAATCGGCGAGTCGATCCAGACCAGTGTTGTCCAGTGTCTGTATCCACCATGTTCCCCATCGTGGTGATGGCGATCAACTGGATCCGCAGAAATCGAAGGGTACTGATTGTCCTGTCCACCAGCGTGCTAGTCATACTTCACTTGGTTATGGGAAGAATGGGAGAATATGAAACAGAGTCCAACCCGGCAATCTACGCGAATATTGATTCCAACCATGTCAAGACCCAGAGCGAGCTCATGAGCGCAGGTTTGGCCGCCGGTTGGACTCTCGATCAAGAATCAGTTCTATCAAATTCTATCGAGATTCCCACCCACCCTGTATTCAAGTCTACGGGCTCTGCGTACACAGAGCCAACTCGATTGGACCCCGCTCGGCCAACGTCTGGAGATGCGAAAACGACTCCGTTCAACTTCACCCCGCCTTTCCGTACAAAGGGACGTCATATCATCGATGCAGCTAAAGTCCCCCTCAGACTCGGCAGTATCAACTGGTATGGTGCAAGTGACATCGATTTTGTTCCTGGTGGGTTGGACGTTCGACACCGGGATGAGATCGCGCAGTTGATCCGCCGGCTGGGGTTCAACAGTGTCCGATTGCCCTACGCCGACGAGATGGTCAGGGCAAATCCGGTCATAGACGACAGGGTAATCTCTAAGAACCTAGATCTGTATGATGGGCAACGATTAGTCCCAGTTCGGGCTTTGGATGTATTCCACGCCGTGGTGGAGAGTCTCACCGCGGCTGGGCTCTTGGTTATCATCAACAACCACATCACACAAGCGACATGGTGCTGTGGCGCTAACCCCTGCGACGCCGCATGGGCCAACGACTGGCTTTTTGGGAAAATCTTCTGTCGCGTCTCGCAGAGTGAGGAGGAGTGGATTGAGAATTGGGAGACGGTGATGCAGCCGTTGGTATCGAACCCGCTAGTCCTCGGGGCGGACCTTCGCAACGAGGTGCGTGGGCTTTGGGGAACGATGCACTGGGAGGACTGGGCCAAGGCAGCCGAGCGAGCGAGCGAACGCCTCTTAGCATGGAACCCTGAGTGGCTGATGATCGTCGAAGGAATCTCCTCGGCGAATGACTTGGCCGGGGTACGGAGAAGACCTGTGCAGCTCAGCGTACCGGACCGGGTGGTATACTCCGCACATGTGTATCAATGGTCTGGTTGGGGCCAGTTATATCCATATTCACGCAGGACATATGAGGAATTTGCGGCGGCGATGCGAGAGAACTGGGGGTACTTGATAGAGGAAGATGTAGCGCCGGTGTGGGTGGGGGAGGTTGGCACACCTGATGAACCCACGGACGGAGACATGAACTATTGGACGCATTTGGTGGAATATTTGGAAGAGGTTGGAGCGGGCTGGGGGTATTGGGCGTTGAACGCACGCAAGGCCACGGGGGAGAAGGAGAGTTATGGCTTGGTGGACTCGCGGTGGGACTGGCCCTCGGTTCGCTGGGAACATCCCGCATGGTCGTTGGTCAATAGAAGCAGCAGATAGGATAACCCGTATTTTTACGGAATATACCGAACCCTGACTCCTTCTTCATAGTATTCGGAAACCCATAATTGATGCCATGCCTAATTACAGGAAATGCTCACAGCCAATGGTGCTCCCACGGTGTGCCAAGCTTTGACTCCAATATGTAGATCGACCATCAACAGTACTCAGTACTAGGAGAGAGTACATACTACTAAGTACTGAATACTCTACTCCGTACTTAGTAGCTATATACATCTCATGACTATATGCAGGGTCTACCTATCGGTTGTCTCCATGTCCACTGTGCTCAGGGTCTGAGGCCTGATTCGTCTCACTCCATCCAGGGTCATCTTCATGTGTTGTAGATCGCATCTCTCCTGACCCGCTCTACTACCTTCTCTCATCCCTCTGACATACTCCCTTCCTATTTTCGTGGTCACGATGCTTCGTGTTTTTTTTGGCTTTTTCCCCTTTCTATTTATCACCGTCAGGCTCCGCTAATCGAAGTTTCCTTTTTTCCTCTCTGTTGTTTTCTCTCCGCTCCCTCTACTCACAATGTTGGGGTGGGTGACTCGCTGTCTGCCTGGCTTCAGCCTAATCGGTCTAGCTCTGCTGCTGCTCTGCGCCTTTACCGACATTTTGGAGTCTCCTATGCTGAAGGGATTCTTACCAGCACCTTCCATAACTCCTCCTACACAAAATGGCCCATGGGGTGGGCTGGGGTTGGCCCAAAAGACCTTCATCGTCTACACCGTCCTGATCCATATTCATACCTTTGGATTCACTCTCCGTCTCGCCTGGTCGATCTCCAGAACCCTTCAAAGCACGAAGGAGATCTTCCAGAGACGCCTTGCAACCTCTCCCTTCCCCTCCCCGAAGCCGCCACGGCCAGAATATCAGCTATATTCTGACGCGCCTCCATCCCCAGTGTCTTTGCCGGACGCGAAAATCTCGTCTTTTGACAAAAATGACTTTGTTACTGTCCATGAATTGACTGAGAAAGAACTTATTCATGCCATCATTCTGCCCAATTACTGCGAAGATCTTCACACCCTGGAAACAACCCTGAAGGTGCTGGCAAGTCACCCGCGAGCCAAATCACAGTATGAGGTATGATCCGATAGCAAATGGAGATATTCAGGACAAGGCTAAAAATTCCACGTAGATTTATCTCGCCATGGAGCAAAAAGAAGCTATCGCCGCCGACAAAGCTGGTCATCTCGTGTCCACTTTCGAACACTGTTTCCTTGACATCCACACAACCTTTCATCCTGCTGGCATAAAGGGAGAGATTGCAGGAAAGAGTTCAAATGTGGCCTGCGCTGCCCGACGGATCATGGAGGTTCATCGCACAGAGCTGAAGATGGATTGCTGCAATGTTTTGGTGACGGTGATGGACGGTATGAATCTACACACCACCAGCCAACTGCGTTTCACGTCTAACACTAGAACAGCGGACACACACCTCTCTCGTGATTATTTCACTGAGATTCTTCGCCTTCATTACTTACATCTGGATGAGGCAGACCGCTCCATTTACTGCTGTCCCTATTCTATTTGACCGCAACTCTCATGAAGTACCGGCCCTAGTGCGATGTGCCGATCTGATGTGGGGCTTCGCTGGACTGTCAACGATGTACCCGGGGACGTGGATTTCTATTCCTACCTCAGTATACTCCTTGCCTCTTTCTTTGGCCGAGAAAGTGGGTGGATGGGACAGTGACCCCACAGCTATCGGGGAAGACATGCATATGCTGCTGAAATGCTACTTCGAAACGGCGGGAAATATCATTTCCCGCGTGGTTCATTCCCCTGCCAGTCAGTGCAATGTTTCCAGTGATAGCCGACACGGTTGGCGGCGTACGGTCGATACTTGCGCCGCACGATATCGCCAGGCGTTGCGACACATGTGGGGAGCTTTAGATACCGGCTTTGCGGCGCGACGCACGCTGGGATATCTTCGCTTCCATCACCGATGTTCGTTCCTGCATCCCCGCCACTTCGCTCTGCTCTCCCTTCTCTGGGAGGCGCATTTCCTTCCGGCTCACCTTACGATCGTTATGATCTTTTCCGTGATATACAAACTTCTGACCCCGGTGGCTCAAATACATCCGACTTTAGCATGGGCATTCACTGTGACTGAGATTTTGCGAGCCCTTTCTTTCATCGGGATGAACGGTTGTCTATTTCTGTACGAGCAGTGGCATAAATTGCATCTCGATTCCCGCATGGAGGACATGAACGAGGCCAACATTGGCGATACTGGATGTGCCCGTCGTCTCTGGTATCGACCGCAATTCCTCATCGACCGGATCTGCTTCCCCATTTCGGGTACGGTATTCGGTGCCGTGCCTACCCTTCATGCTGTTCTCTCTCATTTCTGGACTGACAGACTCGTCTACCGCGTCAGTAAGAAACCAGCATTTTCGCTGGAGGCAGTAGGGTTGGCCTGAATATCATCTTACCATTCTGGAGGGATACCATCTCGGCGTTTGTCTTTATTATTTATTTATCTTTAGATTACAGACGATATATCCACTAATAACAATGTAATAATGTCATTAATGCCAGTGTTCTTTCATACCCCGAGAAATTATTGCCCCGCGATTGCTTGCAGAACCCTTTCGGCGCGGGGACTTGGATTTGCAGCGCTGTGATTCGCGTTTACCCCCGCGACCCACCGTCTCCAAAATTTTGGGGTCGGAGTATCATCGTGCACACTCCAGCTTTATAAACGCTTCCCGACAACATCTTGAACTTTTATCCTTCAAAAAAAAGAGTTACAGGTCAAAAAAAATGGCACCAACCCGACGCGTTGCCGTGATCCAATGGCATATCAAGGTAGGTCAGACCACTAGCCAGCCCCCCCAGCCACCCCCCAGCGCTGCCCAGGGCAGCTATCTATGACGCAGTGAGGATCCAATCAGTAACTGATCGACTCTGCAGGATGTTGAAGCAGACCAAAATCATGCCACGGCATGCAACTATATCCGGCAGTCTGCAGCTGAAGGCGCAGAGCTAGCCGTTCTGCCTGAGTATGCAACGCGTCCGTCTATTCATGGCGTTGCCATCGGGTGCGAACAAGTTGGCAAACCGAATCTATGACTAACACTGCGCTCAGATACCATCTCAGTGGAATGGTTCCCAACGATCCCCGCTGGGCAATCCAAGCAGCTGATTCTGCCAAGTACCTTGCCAATTACCAGGCCCTCGCAAAGGAATTGAAGATCTGCATCGTACCCGGAACGATCATTGAGAAGCAGGAGGGATCGAATGGATCCCCCATATTCTACAACACAGCTTACTTTATATCCAACGATGGTTCGATTCTTGGATCCTATATCAAGAAGAACATCTGGCACCCTGAGCGCCCGCACCTCACCTCTTCCGGCTTGGACCGCCATGTTGCCATCGACACACCGATCGGTCGTGTGGGCATGCTGATCTGCTGGGACCTGGCGTTTCCAGAGGCATTCCGCGAGTTGATTGCCGACGGGGCTGACATCGTGATCATCCCTACATACTGTGAGTGATAAGCCTATACCCCAGTTACCGCTCTTATTGTTCCCATTGCTAATGGACCCAGGGACCCCACATGATGCCTCTGCGGATTGTATCAAGTACAATTCAAACACAGAAGCACTTTTCCTCGAAACAACACTCACAGCCCGCGCTTTCGAGAACACTTGCGGTATCATCTTCTGCAATGCGGCCGGGCCATCCGAGGATTTCCTCGGCTTGTCGCAAATCACCCTTCCTCTGGTGGGGCCTGTTGCGAAAATGGGATCCGAGGAGGGAATCTGCGTCGCCGATATGGACCTTAAGGTGCTAGAGGTTGCAGAGCAGAATTATAAGGTGAGGCAGGATATAAAGAAGGACGATTGGCATTATGTCTATCGGCATAGTTCGAAGTAGACTTGGCGATGATCATACTGCACCTTTTGCGCCGGTCATCGAAAATCAATTTTCCAACCTTCAAATTTAATTATTTTGGAAATAACAAAATCAACCTTTCCTCTCCAAGATGAAGATACTTCAAGTTCCCTATTTATTACCATTTATTACCATTTATTACTGGCCTTTGCGCCACTGCGGGCCTGCGGAGGGACCTTTTTCCGCGCCCCAAAAGTGTAGCCGGTCTGCCTTGAGCTGAATGATATGATCAAGTACACCTGGACATGATCAATGGTCAACAAGAAGAATGGCCTCGGATGACCGTTCGAATTCAGGTAGAGAGCTGACTCCACAACGGCTCCCCACTCGAGTGAGGACCGCCTGCGAACGATGTCGGCTTCATAAATCTCGGGTAGAGTCATCGCGCTTCGGCATCTTGCGTGCATATCGGGCCGTTACTAAATCAAGAATCCATGGCAGTGTGACAATGAAAGACCATGTTTGCTCTGTGCACGAGCCGGTGTCGATTGCCAACAGCTGCCTTCAAGCCGGACTCCCACAAGCAGGGCCCGAAAAGCCACTGCGCGGAAGTAAGTTCAACTATGTTTTTTGGAAAGAATCATTCACTCACTGCGAGAAAAAGGGAGCTAGCAAGAACACCTACTCAAGGTAATCAGCGTCATATCCCACAACCTAATCGCAATTCGCATCTTGGAAGTGGTCGAGCCCCCGCTCGCAATTTATCTGGTGGGCTTCGGTCTGCAGATTCCCCTGCTAGGATAGACCAGCCCGCTGTCTCTTTAAATACGGGAATCCTTTCTCCACCAATTCATTGCGATGAAGCCCAATCCGCCCTAGGAATCGCTCAACGAATTTTCGAACTTTCCAGTCAACATATTGACGAAAGCACAACATCTGCCATTCCTGGTTATCGCGCCGGTGCCAATACTAATTACAGCGTCTCGGCGTCCGCTACTACTGAACACTATCAACGATCTCCCATCTCATCAATATTGGGAGGGCCATTTCCTCCACTGGACTTGGTTTACAGCCTTCTAGAAGAATATTTTGATGCCATACATTGGTTCTCATTAGCTATCTACGAGCCAAAGTTCCGCAAGATGCTCAATTCTATCGCAGATGGGTCTGCTAATCCTTCCGACAAGCCCTGGCTGTTGCTCTTATCAGTCATGCTCGCAATGGCGACGTGGTATCGATCTCAGCGGACTGGCACGGATTTGGCCGATACTGGAGAAGAATGGCGAACCTTGAGTGCAGGGTTGCTGAAAATAGTCGAATCAAATCTCGTGGAGATAATGGATCGACCATCTATCACAGCAATTCAGACCTGTGTTCTTCTTGGGTCTCACTACGTCTACCACGGTCGCCCAAACCTTTCGTTTTCACTGTTAGGGACCACCATCAAAATGTCCCAATCACTGGGGTTCCATCGACAGTCCACCACAGGGACCCCCGAGGATATAGAGGAAAGAAAAAGAATTTGGTGGACCATTTATACATGGGACAGATTTGCTTCAATCACATACGGGCGGCCTTTAGGGATCAGTGATAAGGATTGCAATGTTGAGATGCCGGCCGATACCCCAGAAAATCCCAATTTCGTCACGCCGACAGCTGAGCCGAGTAGCTTCATCGCATATTCTCCTTATCAACGGGAACTCAATAAGCTATACTTGATAGCATCCCCGGCCCTGGAGATTGTCTTCGGCTCCCGGACGACTGGCTCCGATAATCTAACAGGAGATGCCTATTATGAGCTAGCGAAAGAAGCAACGCAACGCCTTCAGAGATGGTCGAGTCAACTACCAAGTCATCTTTCCTTGGACCTGGGGCAAGACTTGTCTCCTCATGGAGACCTCAAATACAAAGCCCATGCATTACAATCCTTGGCGTTACAATTAACCTACGATAATGTTCTTATTGTTCTGCATCGACCACTACTCAACCGACAGGTTGACTATCTTCTAACAAAACCCAGGGAGGCTCAGCTTTTCAGGGGGACAGCCCTATCGATCATTCCAGTGCAGGCCCTGCAATGACCCAACCGAGTTGGAATTTCGATGGGATGAACCCCAAATCTCAGGATGACAGCTCACGACTGTGGATGGATGCAGCAGTGAGAACATCCCGGGTGACAGAACTACCCGTTCTCGCTCAGCTTGCCACGGACAGCCATCTAGTTGCATTTCTCGCCATCAATCTTTTCAATGCTGCAATTGTTCTCGCAGTGATGGCCCTTTCAGAGCCACTTTCCGACATGGCACAGGACATCAAGCGAACAATTACTCGAATTTTGCGTCTACAGGATCTACTTGGGAAACGCTCTGCGTTGTCCAAGCAAAGTACTCTCGTCTTGAGAAATGTTGTCATCTTACTTTTGCACCGAGAATCGGCCACAATTTTTGCACCTATTTCCGGCGCGAATAGACAACCTCGCGCCCAGTCTCAACCAGACTCAATTTATCATGAAACGATGTCCGTCGAAGACACACTTCGCCTGCCTCTTAACCCAACCCTGGACTCCCGCCATCAAAATCTAGGAGATCAAACATGGCTACCCCCAAGTAGAGCCGATCGGCTTAATGAAAGCTTAACATCGGTCCAATATGGTACGTCTAATGCCCTGGGCACTTCATGGGAATATTGGGAGAGTATATGGCATGAGAGCTAACCTGAGTATGCAGTCTTCGGCAGCAACGAAATTGCTTCGAATTTGGTCTTAGGCACGGATGCTCCTGTGCAGGGAACCTTCGCTGATGAAGGTATCCAACCAAGAGGCAACTGGAATCCATCCTCAGGCTATGACTGGAATGCTTCAGGTATTGTTGAAGATGACTTGCGGCAGAGTACTTATGACGCCATCGATGGCGGGCTGTGCTGGCTGTGGGATACGACATGGAATGGATTTGAACGACAATGATTGGTGCTTATGTACATTCATTTACTACGGACTTTGAAACATTCTTTTTCAGAAAATATCGCCCAAGACGGCAGTATTATACGATATTCATTTATACCCTTCGAGGCTTCTATATCGCAGCGCTATCATGAGAATTGGATCTGAATTGCGATCTTTCGCTAATTGAACTTATTCGCCTCGCTCTCATCAACATCGGGTCCATAAATAACACTTTTAATCCCAGCCCGACCAACAACATTCTTAAACGCGTCCTCCGCCTGTTCAAACGAAAACTCATGGGTAACGAGCCCGTCAAGTTTGACTCGACGTGAGTTTAACAGATCAATCGCCATTTTAAAGTCTCCAGGTCCATAGCGAAAGCTTCCTTTGAATACAGCCTCTTTATCACAAATTTGACCGACTGGCAGAGAGGGATTCGGGTTTCCCAATCCAACTTGTACGAAAGTACCCCCTCGAGTAAGAGCATGGATACCGCAGGACAGACAAGGCTCGGCGCCGGTTGCATCTAGAACAACATCAAATCCATACTTCAGCCCGACTGAACTCAGCAATCCCTTTGCATTGCTCTCTGGAGATTCAGTGTCCATTTTGTATGCATGGGTAGCGCCATGCTTTAAAGCAGAAGTAAGCCGGCTATCAACGACATCAATAGCAACCACAGTCGAAGCCCCAAATGCGCGTGCAACAGCAGCGCAAAGCAATCCCACTGGTCCCGCCCCAAAAACCGCAACCGAGCTTTCTTGCAGAGATCCCGCAAGTCGACAGCTGTGCACTGCCACGCTCAAAGGCTCGATCATAGAGCCATCGCGGAGAGAGATATGGGGCGGCAGTTTATAGCAGCATTCGCTCGGGGCGCGGTAGTATTTGGCGAGGGTTCCGTCGTAGGGAGGAGTCGCAGCGAAGCGCATCGATTCGCATAGATTGTAACGACCACCGCGGCAATAGTGGCAGATGTTGCAGGCAAATCCAGGCTCGAGCATCACGCGATCGCCAACTGCAAGGTCGGTGACATTTCCACCGCACTTAACGACAATTCCGGAGGACTCGTGGCCTAGGATGATTGGTTTCTCCACAACATACTGTCCAATGCGCCCATGTTGCCAGTAATGAACCTGCGGCGATATCCGAATTAGATTCCGTTGTATAAGAGTATCAATGTGAAAGCGAAGGACGTCTACTTACATCGGAACCACAAAGGCCTGTCGCAACAATTCGTACTATTACATCGCGATCGGTCTCGAGATCGGGAACGACGCGCTGTTCATACGTGAACTTCCCTCCGGGATGAAGCACAAAGGCCCGGTTCGCTGTCTATAATTGATCAGTCGATGCAAGGGACAACACAGTTTGCTTCGTGAAAGACACCTACCAGAGAAGATTCTTGAAATATGGCCATACTTGCTGCGGTCTGTAGGAAAAGATGAAGATCCTACTCTGAGATCTACCTAACATACAGGAGTTATAATTCATTCCTTGGCGATAGTTACGGTTCCGAAGCTACGACGCCTTTCCATCTACTTTGCCCCGCGCCGAAGCGAAAATTCGGTTCACTGGGTGGATTAAAACAATATCCCTCATCACTTCCACTCATGCTAAAGTCATTTCATCGGCACGAGTCACTTCGAGCCGTTCGGGATCGGCATTCGAGTTGTTTATTGCCTTCCGGCGGGCCGACAACAACATCCCCGGAACCGAGTGGCCACTCACAGATCAGTTAGGCCGCCGGGTCAGAATGGCCTGCAACAAAGGGGATCCACCTCCATCCCGACTCCTTTTAGCTTTCATGGATAGTTACCCAATCGCCAGTCATTAGCCAAGTGAATTTGCGGTCGAGATGAGGCTTTTTACTTTAGGGATGGTTTTTGCGGAGACTACCGAGAACTCCATGAGGTAAAAATTATGTCAATTACTCTGCTGCAAGGAATTTGAGGGTAAGACAAAATAGCCCTGCCCCTGCGGAGACCGGTACAACAAGGGTCTGGGATGTGGGCATCTCGTTCGAACTCCACTCCTCGATTATCCCGCATAATCCCGGCCTGGAGTCGGAGTATATTCTTCTTCCCCGTGGAGGAAAATGGCGGGGTAGAAATATAAGAGTTCTGCCCAATATGAAGGCAGAAAGAGAAATTTCAAGAGGAATCTTCATTTCGATTTCTCGCCAGCGCAATCAATTCACTACATTGTCAATTTTCTTCCGTTATTATGGAGAGCAAAGGAATTACTGGTGATGCAGGGGTTACACTGACCCCGGGAAACCGCTCCCAAGCCATTGCTGCTTTGGCTGAAGAGCAGCAGGGTTGGCTAGAGAAGAAGCTCAAGCCGAAGACGATCACTGCCCGCTATCCATTCACGGGGAAGCCCTTGCTTTGGGCAACTTGTGGATTTGGCAGCTTGGGTGATGCCCTTTTCGGTTACAATTCCGGTATGGCAAATCAAAAATGGATCAAGGATTCGGAACATATGCTGACTTTTTAGGTATTATGTCCGGTCTACTGGTGAATTCGGTCTTTATATCTCGCTTTTTCAAAGACTATGGGGGTGCCAATGGAAGCACGGATGGTGTCAACCCTTCGATCACCGGCATATCTGTCGCATGTCTGCAGGCTTCTGCAGCAGTAGGGTCACTACTGGCAGGTCGACTGGGCGACATTATCGGTCGTAAGAAGTGTGTTCGCATTGGTGCCTTCATATATTTCTTCAGCGCCTTCATCCAAATGTTTGCACCAGGATTCGGTACCTTCGTGGCCGGTCGCACGATTCAAGGATTGGGTGTTGGGTTTTTATCAATGACCGTTCCTATCATTCAAACCGAGATTGCCGCACCACATCGCCGAGGATTGATGGTGGGCATTGAGTACACATTCCAAATTGCTGGCTACATGCTTTCTTGCTGGGTTGACTATGGGTTCTTCTTCGCTTTGCCGAGTAATATGTCTTGGCAGGGTCCGTTCATCATTCAGATTATCCTGTCGTTCATTCTGCTTGCCATGTCTTTCTTTCTCCCGGAAACTCCTCGTTGGCTTGCTATGAATGGTTTCAGCCAGGAGAGTCTGCAAACTATTGCCGATCTACACTCTGATGGAGACACACAGGCGGAACATGTGCAAAAGGTCTACATGGAGATTCAAGAAGCAGTCATCTATGAGGCCCGTCAAGGAAAATCAAGCTGGAAGGTATATTTCCCAGTGCTTCTGCTCACGAATATCCAGATCACTTACTCATGGATCTTGAACAGGAAATGTTTACACGCTACCGCAAGCGGACTATCGTTGGAATCACAGCCCAGATGTATGCCCAGATCAACGGAATCAACATCATTTCGTTTTATCTTCCGAGTACTCTAGCTTCTGCCGGATACAATGAGAAGAAGTCACTGCTGCTCACTGCCGCAAATTCACTCCTTATACTGCTGCCACTGTTGCGACTTGGTGGCTGGCAGACCGATGGGGTCGAAAGCCACTGCTTCTTGTAGGAGGTAAGCTATAATTTCATGCAGATACTTACGACAAAAGGCTAATTCTGGAAACAAAAAAAGGTCTCGGCATGGCTGTCCTCTTATCCATTGTCTGTGTGTTTACCGAAGCTCCCTTCAGCATTCAAATGAAGGCAAACGGACAGTATGCCTTCGTCATGCTGTATAATATTCTCTACGGATTTACCTGGGGACCAATGCCTTGGCTCATCCCCGCGGAGATATTCCCACTTCGTGGACGCAGTAAAGGAATGGCGCTTGCTACGACAAGCAACTGGGTTTTCAACTTTATCATCGGCATGGTATCGCCCGACGCATTTGCCGGTATCCATGGGTATTTCTACCTCATCATCGCGTTCTTCTGTCTCTCTTCGGCTGTAGTCTCGCATTTCTACTATGTCGAGACTGCCGATCATACTCTAGAGGAAATTGCTGTTGCCTTTGGTGAGAAGGCATTTGCGAGTCCCGATAACGAGGTGATGGAAATTGCCCATGATGATTCTAAGTGTGACAAGGAGCAACATCTAGCCTGATGGGTCCATCTCATCGTATCTTACGCACAACTCTATATCTCTAGTTGGACTCACCTAAGATTGACTCATGCTATAATTTCAAGCTGCAGCCGAGTATTCAAATTTTCATGTTAATCAAATTTGGTAGAATCCTTTCCGATTCCAGAATGCAATATATCTCTTCAGTAGATCAAGTGTAAACGGTATAAAGTTGACTTCAGAACGGTCCCCAATAGCTCGCAAAGTGTTGGAGCAATCCAGGTGCGGTAAAAGTGGCCCGTCCTCAGGAAGTTGTCTCGTACCAGTAATGAAGCCTGTAGGTCCCCATACACAAATACTGAGGTGGACATAAAATTCAAGGTCTTGCGACGTCCCGTTGCAGCGAGTTTTAACACATTGCGAGTGCCTAGAATATTATCGCGATAGTATTGCTGGTATGTATCATGGGAAACGACATCCTATGTCCACAATCAACCCCGCGTTTCTGTCAGTACTAGTAGTATAGATGGCCATTGTTGGAGATATCCTACCGAGTTATATACTCAGTACCCTGAATTGTCAGGATCAAATTACCTTAGTTGAATACTGGGTCGATTGCGGTGATAGAGGTAGGCAACCCAAGACAACAACTGGCTCCCCTATAGATTTTCCCGCAACTCACTCACCTTCTTCACCTTCCTCAACTTCCTCATTCTCCCACCCTTCAACATTCAAGATGTGCTGGCACAGGTGGATTCCAGTCATCCCCAAAGGGTGCAAGGTCTCAAATCCTCATGTGGTGATGCACAAGGAAATGATCTACTGCAACACTGTGATTGACACGGCTATCAAACTATCCCAGCCGGATTGCGATCTCAACGATGTCGAGAAAGAAGGGCAATGGCGCACCCGCAGCCGTGTCAAATTCGATGTTTGCCCCGATGGAAACTCTAAGATCTTTGACTCGTTCAACCGCAGTATCGAGGTCAAGCCTCTCCAGGTGGTCAATATCCGCTGTCCGTGCTGTACGGGTGAAATGTCGACGGTCGATGCATTGCTGGTAGGTGGTTAAGTCCCCAGGATCATGAGGTATTGGGAAGAAAATAAAAGACAAGAGGTGAAGCTGACCTTGTGATCATTTACAAATAGACCGATTCCAATTTCCAATCCTCCTATGCTGTCCTCCCGAATGGTCGACAGCTTCGCATCCCCAACGTCACAGAGGGACTTGATGACTACCTATGCCAACCTCTAGATCAGCCACTCCCCAAGCTCAGAATCAGCAAGACAAAGATACATGAGGTCGAGGATAGTCTCTTCGACACCGACTCAATTCAAGACGAGCACAACAGTGAAACATGCCTACAGTGTCGGTATCCCCTGGCTTGCCCCCCCGCCGCTATTATCCAGAAGTCTGATGGACGCCGACATGAGCATCCCTACATTTCGCAGAAGGATCAAATCACAATCCGGCAATCCCAAGGTCTGGCAAATGACTCCGAAGGGAGTAGTTTCCGGCATGATGACTCCCGTCTACCGCGGAACCGATGGGGAGAATGAGGCGGATTACTGGGGCGAGGAGGACGAGTATGAGATTGCCGACCTCGGATGTGTCGGGCTGAGGTTTCCAGTTACCAAGACTGCAACTCCTCCGTATGTGAATCCTGTTCATGGACTAATCCAGAAACTAGATGATGAGTGGTCAGACATCCACCAGGGGGCCTAAGATCTCTGTTATCATTGATCTCGGTTCTGAGTTCGAAGGCGTCCTCCTAATCTTTTCTCGGATGATTTCGCCATTTAGACGAAAGAAGAATAGGAGTCAAGCCAAATGGAATTGAATTTCATAAATTTTGAACAAATGGAGTCTCATCTAATAAAGTATGTTGTATGTACAGTCGGAAAGAAAGGTCGTGGTAAAAAGGAAAGTGTTGGTGATAGCCTCCCATAAGCCATCTTCAAAGAATGTGAAAAGAGAAAAAGTAAATTGTCGTAGAAATTTAGCGATAAGCCGGTTCGTGAGTCACTGTGATCGTTGTATGCTGATACACATGGTCGACGTTGGCAAGTTCAACATCGCCGCCCGGCACAATTGCTTCGGTAGAGTCATTGCCAGGATGAGCAGCACAGATCGTCGAGATGGGTCCTTTATCATTCGACTTCTGCGAGTATCCCCCAGCGGTTTCAAAGCGTGATTTCTTGTGACTTGAAAGGTCGTGGTAGCCATCCTCTCGTTTCGATGCGATCTCCGATTCCAAGACGATACTCTTGCGGGTCAGAGTGTATTGGAGAGTGTCGCAGAATCCAGACAATGTCATTAAAGCACCAGCCACGCAGAAATAGGCCACACTCGGCGAGTGGCCACTAACGGATGCCATGCGCCCGGCAGACAACGGCAGTGTCAATACGATATATGCGATCGGGTACAGGACCATGTATGAGACGACTCGGTTCAGGCGCTTGAGACTATCCGTGTAGCTGCTTCCCAGAATCTTGGACTGAGAGATCTTGCGTCGGAGTTGAACGAACATAATGGCGTATAAAACGAGGTTCAGGAATTGAGCAGCGAAAATCCAAAAATAATGAGTCCAAAGACGGAGTACCGGGTGCTGCGTGGTCATCCAACACTGCGAGCAAAGAAATGTCAGTGATAATTCCTTGAGATTACTAGGAACAGGAGCGAGGGGAAAACTATACCCATCCCACAGAAGGCATCCATACGTGGGATCCGTGGGCAGCGATCGGAATGATAACCAAGATCACTCCAAATACCCACAGCCCGACCACGATGGATACAAAGACGCGGTGGCTAACCTGTCGACCGAAGCTGACCTGCAAAAAGGTGTGCAAGGCGATTGCGAGCACGAAAACTCCACTCATAGGATCACCGATCTGAAGCCAAATTCCCTGCAAGAAACATCCCGGGTCGTCGGCATGAATGGAGTTCTGGTCGATCCATCGCAAACTGACAATGAATCCCAATCCTTGGATGAAATCTGCGAGGGCGAGATTGTACATGAGAACGACATATTGATTGTATCCAATGTAGCGTTTGTAGTACTTTTTCCAGAAGATGAAACGATAGGTGAAAAAACACAAGAGACTGAATGTGGAAATGAGAGAAATCATCGCCAACGAGGCAATGGCGATGAGACCGCCCCTCTGCAGCGAGGGCAATGGATCGATGATCCATGAACCAGCTGCTGAATTGGCGGAGTTGGCGTCCACACTGCTTGCCGAGTCATATTCGCGGCGATTAAGCGGGCTCAAGGGAGGAGCATTCCGCGTCATCAGCCATTGTACGATTAAGCTCGACATGACGGCTGTGAATGAGTGGTTGAAAGGATCGACCCGAAAAAAAGCATTTCTTCATCCAGGGGACCGGCCCGAAAAGACCCCCGGATCTTTATATGGAACGCTTCATGTTTGGGGTGTGGTCTCGATCAGCGCCCCTGAGGGTGTTGGTCCATTCATTTGCCCCACGTCCAGGTACGGGTATGGAAATCAGGCAAACTCTTTCGAACTAGAGTTCAACGCGGGAGAAGTCGAAGCTGGTTTTCTTGCTGTTTGGACACCAATTATGATGGTGGCAAACTTTGATGTACCCGTGCTAGCTCCGCGGCCCCTCTAATAGTGGAGTTTCTGGAACTCTAGAAGGCAATTAGTGTCGCTAGTTTATCAAGTTGAGGATTGCCCCTCTAAAACCCAGCCTATTGCACGCATAACATTCGCGCAGCGTCACAGCCAAGAGATCTGCGAGGGATTCCCACGCGGCGCCGATCAAGGAAGCCATTCACAACCAAGCAAGACCCATTTAGTCCGAGGCCGTCCTTGGCATATGGAGTATAGACCACTCTGGGTACAATCCACCGGCCGGTAAATAGCTCCCGGGTTCAGGATACTACTAACAGTGGGTTTGCAAAAGTCGACCAGGCCATGTGTTGTGGTACCTTATCCCATTTTCGGAACGCGATTATCGCGCTAGAGCTTCCGATCGACCTGATCAGGCTAATGACTTCCTAGTTCAAAGAAGGTAAAGTATGGTTCAGCGGACAGTCTCCTTAACTTAGGTCGTGAAAACACCTGGAGGGTGGCCAGGGCTGTGTGGGCGGATTCACCGCGATGCAACGTGCACTTGGTACGAGCGGCCCAAGGCAGTGGGCCCGGCTTTTTTGTCTCAACTTTGGGGAGGCTGGAAAGTTTGAAATGTCGCGTGCTTCTTGAAATGTTTCCCAATTACCAGGGAAGTCTGCACCATGCTGTTATCGGTATTTGGAATCGACCCTATAGAGATTGAGATGGAGATGGAGATTGAGCGGAGATGGGCTAGTCGCCAACGGCAGCCGATAGTCTCGAATTCGGCAAACAGTCGCGGTGCAATGCCGCCTTGTGGGGGATGCAGCCCGACATTTTCGATTTCTGGTATCTGTCTGTAAATTCAGAAAGGGGTGCGCGCAGCCTCGATCCACCAGCTCGATCTGGTAATCGAATTGGTGGTAATGGCAATGATGGTGGTGGCATCAGCGACCCTGCGGAGAGACTATTGTATCAGAACCAGAATATGATGCTCATCCGGTGAGCCTCTTCGCTTTGACTAGTCTTAGCTGGTCTCAGGCTTGACTTGTCTTGAATGCCAATTTTTGAGGTTGAGCAAAGAGGAAGTATGTTTTGCACGATCTGCAGTACCTTGACCTTCGTAGGTGTGAACCATGGTAAACTGCGACCAAACGGGTAAATGCATAAATCTCCGATAACTTCATACTCCCTACTAACGTGAACTACAACCATGAATAATGTTATCTCTTCTACACTACGATCAATATACTGTAAACAGGAAAAATGAATTTCTAGACAAAATCATAAGTGTAGAGACAAGATCGTTCATTGATTCCGTCATCAAAGGTTCATGGAAGAGGGAAGAGACAGCAAACAAGGGAGGAAACGGTATAAAGCTCTCAAATTTAAAAAAGGAAAACAAAACCACGCGAACGTATCCAAATTTCCAACATGGTGAACATGAACTCCTTCCACCAAGGTAGCAGCAGCAGCAGCAGCAGCAGCAGAAGATATGGAGAAAAAAAACCCCCGCTAGGCCAGACAAGATCTAAAACAATCCAGACTCGGGCAGAATCACAAATGAAAGTTCCTCTTGCTCCCCACTCGACTCAACTAGACTCAGGGGAGAAATGGTAAAGGGCAAGGTGTCAGTGCGAAAGTACGAAGTCTCCATTTCGTTGCAAACAAGAAAGATGTGGTCGATTCCCAACTCCACCAACGCGATCAATCCAATCATACATTCGGCTCGTCATCGGGCCCAACTAAGAGATCCGGTCCCCTTTTTACTGCACTTGGCTGACAATCTCACTAGCGCGACCCAAGCTCTCCACCATTTGCTGGCACTCCTTTCGTCGGCGGATCGTGTAATCACTCTCCTTAAGCAAGTCATCCAGCTCGTTGTTGCGGTACATGTTCTCCAACAGCTCGCGTTGCATCTCGTCCTTGGTGAACCTAGATGGTGGTTAGATTGGATGAATGTAAGATATCAAGAGATAAATACTTACTGCACCAGTGTATACATAACAGCCTTGGGAACCATGTCGATCATCGTGCGCTTCACGATGTTGAAGTAAGAGGTGATGAGCAGCTCTATCAAAGGTGGTTAGTCAACTGATGACGGACATTAGTCTTCGAGAAGAACTTACTGATAACCTCAACCTCAGTAGCCTCCCGCTCCGACAGGCTGGCAGAGGCCTTGAGGGTTGGCGGGGGAGCCTCCATGGCGGCCATCTTCTTCTTGTTCTTCGAGGCCCAGAAGCTGCCAAAGAATCCACTTTCCCTGGCCTCGCCAGTGGTATCCAAAGATGGGCTTTGGGCGCGGGCGGGCAGAGGCTTGCCGGTCTTGGGGTCAACCTGTGTGGGTTTGGCGGCTGACTGGCGCTCGTTCACGAGGGTCATAGCCTGTGCAAGTCAGTGAAGCTGCCAAGCTAAATAACTCATTCAAATATACTTACGCGGTGTCCATTGAGGAAGTCGGGGTGGCCAGTGTTAATGTAGGTGGCCTCCATGTTGATCAAGTCCCTGACCAACTTGTTGGAGGGATCCATGCACTTCTTGAAAAAGGCGATAACCACAGCGTGGAACTTCTCCTTCAGCATCGGGTAGCGGCGGAACAGTTGCTTGTTGAGCAGTTGACCTAGGATGCGCACCAGCTCATCGTATACCAGGGAGATACACTTCGTGCTGGGGTCCTCCAAGCGCTTGATCTGCTGCTTCACAATCAATTCGAAGGCGGTAGTGCCGACGAACAGGGCGGGGGAAGAACCCGACGAGTTGTAGAGAATTGTACGAATGTCGATATCCTTGACAATATCAAAGGGATCCACGGCCTTGACACCGTTGGAGTAGAGCTCGTGGAACACAAAGCTGATACGAGCACCACCAGACAGCTCAATGCTGGACAGTTCCGTGTTGTTTCCTTCCAATACAGTGCGGTATTCATTGCTGAACTCGGTGATGATGTTAAGGATAATGTTGGCGCTGTTGCCCAGCATCGAATCGCCGAGCTGAGAAAGTTCCGACGTGTATTTCTGGAGGGAAGAAGAGATGCGAGCCTTAATATCGGGAAGGGTTTGCTTAATGTGCATCATCAAGATCTAAAGCGAAGTCCTGTTAGTCCATGATTGCGGTCATCCTCTGTTGTCATGACCAAACATACCAGATTCAATTTCCGGGCCAGGTACGGAGTACCGCAGTATGAAGCCTTATTCCTGTAGGCCTTGTGGTTCTCAAAAAAGTTCTTCTCGTTCTCCAGGGCATAAGCAATCGGCTTCTTGTTCTCAATGTCCCGCTGACCACGATTGACGACCGGAACGTAGCCCAGACGCAGGGGAATAATCCGTCCAGCGAGAATATCCACAACGTCCGTTCCCTCATCCATCAGATCGACCTTACTCAAGACACCGATGGTGCGTTGTCCCTCAGGGTCCACCTCGCGTGCCAGCTTGAGACCGTCGGAGTTGGCGAGATCCTGGTTGGCCGAGGTGACGGCGAGGATGATGGCATTGGGCTTGCCGATGTACTTGAGAACCATGTCCTTAATTTGCTTCTCAATGTCCTTAGGCTGGTCACCGACGGGAACCTTGGTCAAACCGGGCAAATCGACGAGGGTCAGGGTGAGGACATTGGGCGAGTAGATGCGCAAGTTGATCGGAATGGGCGAGATGCCGGCGTTCTTGCCAACCTTGGTCTCGGTTTCGCGGACGATCTCATCGCGGATCTTGTTGAAATCGAAGAACTTCTCCCCGGGCAGGTGCAGGAATTCACCGTACTCGTCAACATTGGCCTCGCTATCAGATGTGTCCAGCTTCTTGTCGCCGTTCGCTTGTGTGCTGGGTGGCTTGTTGATGAGTTGCAGGATAAGAGGTCTCCGGGTCACAATTCCAGAGCCACGGGGCAGGCTAAAGCAGGCAGAAGCGTTGAGGTTAGCATTGGCTGGCATGACGACAATGTTGGTTTGGGGGGGGGGGGGTCCCCCGCCACCGCTGCGGAGAGAGCGTGCGGCGCAAGACCCTAGGAGGTTTGGTTGAGGAGCGCATACAAATCCCGGCCGACAATGTTCTCTAGTACTGAACTCTTTCCGCTGGACTGCGATCCAACGACAGCGATTTGTGGCAAGTCGATGGGGTTGTGAACCTAAATGAAAGCAGCGGTGTCAGTTATTGGGTACGAAGAGACCACGAATGCCGCATAGGATGTGTGCGATGAGGGCACTTCAACTTACGCCAACTGTAGAGAAGACATCTTGGAGCTTGTTGACCAGCGAGATCAAGCTGGGATCATTAACGTTTATGCTGCGCACGAATTAGCTGGGGCCTTATCGGAGATGGTGGGTGACAGGGGGGGGGAGTTGGGGCGGCTGCGCACGAGTGGCCAGTTGGGCTTGCCATGGCTGGCGATTATGTGAAGTATTCCGGGTCGTAGAGAGAGAGAGAATGGTAAAATTAAAATGAAGAAGTAAGAGCAGGAACTTGGGGGAGAAGGGGAGCTTGAGGAATGGAAGCGGCAGACTGTTTGTTGGCGAAGTGAAGGCGGTGATGACGGTGGCGGGCCGCGCAGCACACAAGCACAAGCACGGGTAGGCATCCACGGGGGAAGGTCTCGTGGCTGTGGATTATACTTGATGCCTACAGATCTGAATTACTTGTAACTTGGTCTATCACATTTAAAGTTAACCTCCCCAAAGAAGAAATCTTATTGAACATAACTACAGGGTAATGTGTGCTGGTAACAAAAAGCCGGAAATAAAGTGTGGAAATGCAAAAGGCGACGGAATCATGTCCAGATCCCAATCTACTCATCGGAGACCGAAGCGAATCGTTCTGTCATGGACTGCAGAATCTTCTCGTACTTGGCCGACACCTCCTGCTCGTCGTCGGGAACCTCGAACTTCATGCTCCGTAGCGAACTCTGCAAGTCGGTCGTGGCATCGCGGACCTTGTTCCAGCTCTGGCCCTGGGCGATGGCCTTCTGTGCCTCGTCGTGATAGCCCATGAAAGCCTTCATCATATACTCAGTCTTCCACAGCGGGCAGAACTGATCGTAGTCACTGTATCCGTTTTGCTGGAGGAAATCCTCCTTGAGCATAGCGGCCAAATCCAAAGTAATCTTATCCGAGTCACCCAGTGCCGCTTTACCAATCAACTGAACGACTTGGTCCAGATCCTCGGACTTGGACAGCAGCTCACGGATCTGATCACGCAGGCGAGGGAAGTCGGGGTTGTGCTTCTCGTAGTACTTGTCCAGGACGGCATTGTATTTGCTGTAGGACATGGAAGTATTGACCGAAGGGAAGTGCTTCCGCTGGGCCAGCTTCTTATCGAGACCCCAGAAGACCTGCACAATACCCAGAGTACTGCTAGTGACGGGATCGGAGAAATCACCACCGGGAGGGCTGACAGCACCGACGATACTGACACTTCCTTCGCGCTCGGGGCTACCCAGAGCATTAGTCTTACCGGCACGCTCGTAGAAAGAGGCCAGCTTGGCACCCAGGTAGGCGGGGAAACCCTGATCAGCAGGCATTTCTCCCAGACGACCCGAAAGTTCACGCAGAGCCTCGGCCCAGCGAGAACTGGAGTCAGCCATCATGGCGACGTTCTTGCCCTGGTCACGGAAGTATTCGGCAATAGTGATACCAGTATAGATGGAGGCCTCACGGGCAGCGACGGGCATGTTGGAGGTGTTGGCGATCAGGCAGGTACGCTTCATGATAGGCTCCTTGCGGCCATCGACGTTGATGGAAAGCTATGGTACAGAGTACTGGTCAGCGCATCATTCGGCGATGCCTTCAATGATCTTTCAATGCAGATATAGCAACATACCTCGGGGAAATCCATCAAAACCTCAGCCATCTCGTTACCACGCTCACCGCAACCAACGTAGACGATGATATCACTGTTCGAGAACTTGGACACGGACTGGGAAATGACAGTCTTACCGCATCCGAAAGCACCGGGAATACACACGGTACCACCCTGGACACTCGGAAACAGAGCGTCCAGCACTCGTTGACCGACAATGAAAGGCGCATCGGCGGACAGCTTATCGCTAGTGGGACGAGGCACACGAACGGGCCAGGTCTGCATCAGGCCAAACTCGGTCTTCTTGCCCTCAAACTCGACCTCCAAAAGCTTCTCATCGACAGTATGGCTGCCTGCGGGGGCAATGCGGGTAATGGTACCGCGAGCGCGGGGCGGCAGGAGGATTTTGTGGTCGTTCACCAGACTGTTCTCGAACACGGTACCCCAGATATCACCACCGGTGATGTGGTCACCGACCTTGAAGCCGGCGGGCTTGTAGTCCCATTTCTTCGAGCGGTCCAGCGCATTGACGGAGATACCACGGGGAATATAGATGCCCTCCGACTTCTCGGCGATGGCACGGAGGGGTCGTTGGATACCGTCGTAGATCGTCTCCATCAGACCAGGGCCGAGTTCGACGGAGAGAGGCTTGCCGGTCAGAGTGACAGGGTCGCCGACTGTCAGACCAGCTGTAGAAGAAAAACAGGATCCGTTAGCATTGGGTTCGAGAGGTGCTCGATCGATGGCATACGTGGCCCAGGGAAGGGAGAGCTATACCGGTTTCCTCGTAGACCTGGATGGTGGCCTTGTCCTGGTCAATTCGAATAATCTCACCGGACAGGAGGTCATGTCCGACTTGACACTAAAGCGAGCCGGGGGGGGTCAGTATCTCGACGGTCAGACATTCCGGGGCGATCTGTCGGGGGTAGCTCCTGGGGGTCTTACCAGCTCGTACATGGCACAGCCCATCATGTTCTCGGCCACCACGACGGGACCGGAAATGGAGAAGATGGAGCCATGCTCCTGGGTATCCTTAGCTGGCATCGTGGAGGTGATTTGTGGAGTGGACAAGGAGATGGAGGTGGTCGAGCTGGCTGGAGCGGGCGAGTCTGGAAGCGGTGGCAGCTCGGGCGGTGGAGACGAAGTCGGAGTGGGAGTGAATGGTGGTGACTCTAGCTCGGATGGTATCAACACTGACACTGGCACTGGCACTGGCACTGGCGACACTTGACTCTCGGGTCTGCTAATGAGATCAAGCAGGGACGGCCGTGCTTTCAATCGAGGCCTTCCCAATCCTAGCATTCGCTATGGTGTCGAAACTTAAGGGTAGGTGTATGTGGTAACTAGCATATTGGTAGGACAAGAGCGCCGACTAATACTCGTGGACCCCCCTTAAGCTGACATCCAATCGATAGATGCCGGGGGATTGGCGCCCGCGATCGGCCATTTTTGGGGGGGAGGCTTTGCCAGGTATCTACCAGTTATACTAGTATATATTCTACAAACTACTAGTATGGAGTAAATACATAGGAGTTCTGGAGTACATTCCTGGTAGGATGCCCCCACGTTTAACCCCGCCTATTTACCAGTAGGCCACCGAGTAGCAAAGGGAAATCTTCCTATGAATACGACTAGTATTTATTCGGTAGCGTTGCGCCATGCAGGCATGATAATAATGAATTTATTACACACCTGGGCGACACCTTCAAGTTTGCAGCGACCAACATTTTAATCCTGCAGGTACCCGGCCTGGAACTTGAATCGACTGCCACAATGTGTCTCTCTCTCTAATCTACTAACAAACACTGACACCTCAACTTCCAACCTTGGAAGGTTGAAATTATGGATTACCGCACTTATCCAAAGGCCAAGAGTCTTCAAAGTACAAACGAGCATAAAACTTACTATGTACCCCAGCCGCATGTGATGCCTGAACAGTTGTATGACAGACAACCGCCAACTCAATAAGGTATCCACGATGTTCGCCTTGTGACAGCTCCTCGTGGAACCATTCAACCAATCATCAAGGATACCGCATACATCTAGATCCTAAAGTACATCAGATTACTGAGCGTGTGGCCAAACAGATTCAGCACAGCGGAAGGTACGAGAGATACCTAGTATCGATCTGCGGGTTCACATGCGATGCCCTAACCCCCGCTCGCTTTACCCCGGACCCCGGACCACGGTTGACACGAGTTGACAGCTTGCCACAACGGCATGAGCAACATCCGTGGCTTCAAGTTTCATTATATGTCTGAAAGAAAATTCCCAACGGAAGCAGAAATGCATATCGCATATCCCGTTCTCTGAGATCGTGCACCACACTACCCGTGTCAATATCAGGATGGCCTTGAAAAGTCCCCAGCATGGGAACAGTACCGAGTGTCACTACTGGGGCTACTCCTTTCACTGGACCGACCTCCATCGCTCAGAGGATGAGCTACGACCCCTCGTCCACACGTTTGATTCACTCGCCGATGAGTGTGTGCAGCGCTTGAATGAAATCCCAACCGAGGGGGATTCGGATAAGCCATTCAAGAAGGATCTATACTCCCTACTGAAAAACAACGCTGCAGAGGATCCCAAGCTACAGGAACTATGGACCCAGATAAACACTGTACCCGAATGGGTTGACTGGCAGCAGATACAGCGAGGCCAAGATGTATTCTTTCGATATGGTCTTCCAATCTTGAACGTGGTGAGTTGGAACTATAAAATAGTCCGTTGGCAGGCAATCCAGTACTGACAATCCCCTCACCCCACTAGCTCAGTTTTGAAAGTCTTCTCGGCGGCATGTACGTACAAAACGGATGGCTTCCCAAGCTATATATCTCCATTCTAACCCGTACCTAGGGGCGCAAACCGAGTCGTCGAGACTCTCGCTCGAACCGGTGGCTTCGGAGCCAAAGTGGTCCGCCGCCGCCTCCTAGAAACCCTCCAACATATTCTGCAAGTGAATAGTTCAGCAGACGGAATGAAACCAGGAGGCGAAGGGCACATCTCATCTGTCCGCGTCCGACTCCTCCATTCCTCCGTCCGTCTGAAGATCATGGGTCTGGTGGAACAAAAGCCCGACTATTACGATGTCGACAAGTACGGTATCCCAGTCAACGACTTGGACTGTATCGGCACCATAAATACGTTTTGCAGTTCAGTCGTCTACATGGGACTACCGCGTCAAGGGATCTTTCCCAGCACTCAAGAGATCGAGGATTACATTGCTCTCTGGCGATTAGTCGCATATTACATGGGTACCCCAACAGAGCCGTTCGAAGACCCGGCCCGCGCACGCGCTACGATGGAATCTCTCCTGATCTCGGAAATCAACCCCACTGAGATTGGAAAGGTACTGGCTAAGAACATCATCATTGGCCTGGAGAATACGGCACCGGCTTATGCCTCCAAGGAATTCATGGAGGCACTGAGCCGGCTGCTGAACGGGGATTTGCTTTCGGATGAACTGGAGATCCCCAAATCAAGTTTTTACTACCGTTTGATGGTCTGGGGCTACTGTTTCTGGGTCGCGGGGGTAGCGTACGTTATTCCAAAGATTTATTTCCTTGACAGATTGGCAATCTCGGTAAGTACTTTCTTTCTCTATTTGACCTCTGCCTGCTGCAGTTTACTTCAAGTCCCAGAGAGAAAGGAACACATCGCTGATATTTGATATTGCGAACCAGCTCCGCCGTAAATTCTTCTATTCAATGCTACTTGATGAGAAAATGGGATTGGGAGGAGAATCTCGTTTTGAATTCAAGTATGTGCCTACCCTGACCCGCACCACTCGACTGGGCCAGCGGCGGAGCACCAAGTTCGAAAGACCAGGTGTAGAAAGCGTGGCGAGGCTGGGCTTGCTTGCTGCGCTTACTGGTGTTGTTACACTTCTCCTGAGTCTTCTCTTTGCAGTAAGAGTGTTTTCTGCGAACCATCTCTTTCAGCTTGTTGGGGTATAGCGCGTATGCTTTTGGGAAGGCGTTGGTTGATGGGAAGTATAGTCGTTAATTGATCAGGAACGAGAGTTTGAAGTCTTTGTTGGGCTTCTTTTGACGACCATGATGCCCTTGATGAGATAGCCAATTCTGTTAGACAAGATCTATAGTTGTTGAATCTTACAGCATAATATCGATGCGTCGCTCTCCTTCGGGTCTTCCCCAAAGGCCAAGAAGGCCCGACAAATGCTCGGCTGCCCATTGCATCGCTGGCGTCGCCGCATTGGCCCATTAAAATTTTAGGAGAGAAGCTGGTAGCTTGATCTGGATGCCCATTTATCATCTGAGTCTGCTGTGTGCTGTTGAGTGCTTTGTTGGGTTTGTTCGCCCCAAGATGCGAATGGTTGATACCATCTTCCTCATGTGGCTGGCGACCGATACATGAAGCGTAGGGGTATATTTATCGATGTTCATTGCTTGGTTCCTATCGACGAGAAGGAAATGAAGGAGCAGCAAAAAAAAAAAAAAGCAAAAGGTAGAGTAGAAAGCGGAGTCAGGTCCGAGTCTGGTTTGGCCCGCAGTTCTGTTGAGGTCATGACGGCGATCTTTCTGATCTAGTTAGGAGTGTGACCGATGCTGAAGATTTCGCTATTCTATTAAATGTCCAAAGAATATTAGTTCTCATGGCCATGTTGGTTAGGTAGCTCCGATAATGTTAGGACTGGCGGCGTTGGCGCAGGCGACCGAGGTCAAGTTGGCGATGGCGAAGATACTGAGTATTTCAAGAAATTTCTATTTGAATCAGGTATAGCTAGAGCCCAATAATGTATGTGCTGTTACTGTGTGATTCGCCATGGGAGGCGGGTGCGCAACAGTCGATCGGACCATGCATGACGTCTACACTAGACTGGGGACGCGAGGGGAAATCTCAAATCTCCCTGTCGCCTCGAGAATTTCCCCCCTCGAGTCAAACTGGCCATTGGTCATTGGAGTGATTCAAATTTAACATTTTGAATAATTTAAACTAAGAACAAAACACAAAACCAGCTGAGATAGAGACAAGTAGGACAACATTATATCTCGTGGAACATCTGATTCAACAATCGCCCCAAGTCTTTGGTGATAGACTTTGGCGCGTAATCAGTGGCTTGGAATGCTCCTCATCCGCATGGTTTACTTCTAGAAATAGCACAAACTGCTGTCAGCTTGATGATTCGGTTCTCTCACAGAGGAATCACATACTCCGCATCCCTTGCAGGAACAGGTGTTGTCGCAAGTACAGCCCTGGGCACCGGTACAGGCGCAAGTCGCTCCACAGTCACAGCCCATGATGGAAGAGAAGTAGATTGAAAGAGGCTAGAGGTTGAAATAGAAGTGATAATAGGAAGGGGTCCTTGATTGCGTGATCAAAGCGATGGATGAGGAGACGAAGGAGTAGGGAAATGGGACTTCTTCATTTATATCGACGCACCGGGTAGGACGGACATCATGATGGCGTCAGTGGGGGAGGGCGGACGAGAGGAAACTTGAACCTTAAAGGAATGGATTTATAGATTATGGATTATGGATTCATGAATTTACTATTAATTTATGAATATATAAAGGAGAGATGTTAGTAGCGATACTAGTACTAGCATACTAGTATATGGAGAAGAGTGTTCTATAGATCGGCTGAGGTATTATGATTGCTATTCCCTCAAGGTCCTTGACGGAAGCAGTTGGAGCTAAATAATAAAAGGGAACCCTGAATACGTAAGGATAGTTAACTTTAGGGGAAACCATTTACTTTGACACTAGACATCCCATCCACATCTACACAATCGGTAGTTTTACCTTACGGTACTAACTAGCAATCATCACCATCCCATGACATATCATTCCATACTCCCTCAGATGTGAACTCTTCCAGTTGTCTGCCCTATGCTGTTTAGAAGGACAATGATCAGTGATTCCTACATCTTGTGACGCCCTCGAACCCACTATTTCTTGCCCCAATCCAATCAACCTTCTCTCTGGCAGTCTCCAGTCTCCATCACCGATAAGCACTGGCACATCCCATCTCCGCCCGAGCAGTCACACTCACCCTACACTTACCTTTACTACTCTCACTCTACCTCCATCACTCCCTCCCACCACCCAAGGAGATCCTTGGAAGACGGAACTTACTCCTGAACACATCGCCTGGTCCACTATCATCCCCCTCTCCACCTCCACCTCCCCCTCCACCTCCATCCCTATCGAGAGTGCTAGAGACCTGAAGCTCCTCCGCTTTCTCCCTGCAGCTTTGAAATCCCCGCGGTAGGTCTGCTCACCTGGTTCTCCCAAAAAGAGCCAGGGAACTGGGCAGGTCGCATCTATCGACCTGGCCAACAATCCTCCTTCCCAACCTCTCGCCTCCGACCACCCTGACCTTCTTTTCCCATTCGAAATCGATCCCACCTCCTCCGCCGGTCCCGAACGGTCCTCTAACTCCCCATCCGCCTCCTCCCCGTCCTCTCGTACTCCCGCCCCAGCTCCAGCTCCAGCTCCAGCTCCAGCTCCAGCTCGCCCACAAAATCCTCGGCGTCGTCGGCTTCCTTCGAGTAGCCCTGAAATTCCCGCTTCCGTGGCCGCGAGAACGAGATCCGATACAAGAACCACTGGGGCAGCTGCGCCCCAGTTCGATTCCATTCACAACTCTAGCCGTGACCACGCAGGCCACTCTCCCTCCCGCAAACGCAGGCGTTTGGCAGTTATGCGTGCTGATACACTCTCCTCCACAAATGGCTTTTCACAGGCCTCGAATGGCTCAACTCCGAGGAAGACCAGTTTGAACGGCCAGTCCAGCAATGGCGACTCACGTACGAACGGGACCTCCAAGTCTCTGGCTAGTGGCTCGTCTTACTACGGTCATGATCGGGAGGAGGTCACGCGGATCTTGATACAGAGTCTCTACGAGTTGGGTTACGACGGAGCAGCTTCGACGTTGAGTTCGGAGAGTGGCCATCAGCTGGAGACGCAGGGCGTTGCCACATTCAGGAGTGCCGTGCTTGGTGGTCGGTGGTCCGAAGCAGAGAAGATCCTCATACAATCGTTCCGCTGGGATGGGTTGCAGCAGAACGGTCAAAAATCCTCGCCGCAACAACCATTATTGTTAAATGAAACGGCAGAGCGGAATGAAATGCTATTCCATCTCCGTCAACAGAAGTTTCTGGAGCTCCTCGAATCACGCGATCTTGGTTCGGCGCTGGGTGTCTTGAGACAGGAACTAACTCCATTGAACTACGATATCGATCGTCTCCATGCTCTATCTAGTCTTTTGATGTGCCCCACGGAGTTGCTCCATGAGCAAGCCGGCTGGGAGCGCCCCATCAGTGCATCCCGAGAACGGCTCCTCAACGAATTATCCAGTAGGAGACATTCTCTTCCATCGCCTTTTGCCTATGAACCCCTGGCTCACAGATAATAGAATCCATTTCCCCCTCCGTTATGATACCCCAGCACCGGCTCGCAACCCTTTTAGATTTTGTGAAGAAGACGCAAATCAGCAACTGTTTATATCATAATACTGTCGAGTCGCCTTCACTCTACTCAGATCACATGTGCGACAAGAATGACTTCCCACGCGGTATAGGTCTTGACCTTACCCATCATTCGGATGAAGTCTGGTGCTGCGAGTTCTCGCATGATGGTACCAAGCTGGTCACTGCAGGCAAGGACCGCATGGTATTCATCTACGATACCACAAATTTCTCAGTGATCTCAAAGTTGGCCGAAAACCACACCGACGGAGTAGCTTCTGCAAGCTGGAGCCCAGATGACTCAAAACTAATCACATGCTCACAAGACAAGCAAGCCCGAGTATGGAATGTCGAGGTGCGTGTTTTCAAGATTGGAAGTTTTAACTTGGGAAACTCGAGGATTACTGACATCGGCCACAGACTGGACGTTGCCTTCTCACGATCGATCACCATAATGAGCCAGTAACTGCGGCCGGCTGGGCTCCGGATGGAGAGTCCTTTGTGACTGGGTCACTCGATGCGAACTCACAGCTCTGCCTTTGGAGCATTCGCGGTCCATCTATACACAGATGGAAAGGATCGTTCCGCGTACAGGATTGCACGATCAGTCCTGATGGAAAGCGACTGGTTGCGGCAGACACGGATCTCAAGATTCATGTGTTTGACTTTGACTCTCGTGAAGAAGAGTACTGTCTCGCAGTTTCAAGCAAACCTACGTCAGTTACGATCAGTCAAGACTCGAGGCATCTGATAGTGAACCTCGCAGAGGGCGAGATTCAATTGATCGATCTCGAAACTACCGACGTAGTACAAAGGTTCACTGGTCACAAGCAAGGCGAGTACATTATTCGCAGTACTTTTGGAGGAGCAGGGGAGAACTTTGTCGTAAGCGGCAGTGAAGGTAAGTCTTGCTGTGCCCAGATGGGGACTATTTTTGGCTAATCCCCCCGACCAGACTCGAAAGTCTTCATTTGGAACAAGGAGGATGGCCACCTTGTAGAAGCCTTGGAGGGACACACCCGCGGATGTGTGAATTCAATATCATGGAACCCAACGAATCCGAGGATGTTCGCCTCGGCAGGCGATGATCGTGTTGTGCGAGTGTACGATATACAGCCCTCTTTCTCCCCTTCTTCCTCTTCACACCAACATACTAACCCCACAACCAACAGCTGGACTCCCGAAAATGATCGCCCCATCCCAACACGGGGCTCTACTCAACGGAGAGGAGTATCATCAAACGGATATCCCCGGACAAGTGCGTTAAGAACGACGAGTGCTTTTTGAGACTGTTAAGCCTAACATTCCTCATTTCTATCTCCTATTTCTGCATCTGTCGGTATGGCGGGCATGGATATCGATTTTTGTTTTCTGTATTGAAAGACCAACGATAAACTGTTCTGTTCATCACTTTTCCTTTCTCTATCTGCTTGGTTGCCTATTTCCCCTCTTCTCACTCCAGCATATACACCTATACGCCCCCCCTTCCCACCTAGTCAACTAACAGACTAAGCATCAATCAACTCTGGCATGACCCTATAATGAATAGCCACGGTATTGGTGCCGGCCCCGTGTAGAATAAACATGTCCAAGTTGCTCCTACGCTTTACCTCTTAGCATTGGCGCGCAGCTGTTTTTATTATTTCATTATTTCGCCTGGGTTGAGTCATATCTAACGCAGGGCTGGCCCATCTCGTCAACCCTACGAGTTCGGAGCTGCTTACTTGTCACCGGCCAATGACAAACAACTACCGTTCTCTCCCCCTCAATTTAGTTATCAAAAAAAAGGGTTGAGCCTGCCCCCTTACCCTGCTGAGCCGTAATTTTGGATAGCTTTATCCACGCAGACCCTACATCTACTCGGGTGATTGCTCGGTGCTGGCCCACGGAGCCCACTCCCAATAGCACTTTACTACAATAGAAGAAGGGGAATACAAGGTTTATTAGATGGCAATATTTTTCAATTCAAAACTGGCAATTCCGTCATTCGTAACTCCTAAACCAACGCAAAATAAGAGTCTGGGGTAACCAAAGTCCAACAAGGGAGTTGCGAGTTGTGAGTTACTGTAGCTCCCAGAACAATTCAATAATAGATTTCGTAAGTGCCATCCTTCAGAGGAATGTACACGCTGTTTGGCAATTTTGAACTGGATCCGCTGTGTGTCAGTTGTCATGAAGCTATTGAGAAGGTAGAACGATTCATTCTCACTGAATCATATGATCTTCCCCTTTCCTCCACACTAGACTTGGCCCCTTATTTAACCCTGGCTAACTGTAGGCCTGGGGCCAGTTGATCCTGGCACTGTGTAGATAGAAAAAGCAATCCAAACTGATCGCATCGCGTTGCTTTTTGGCCTCGTAAAGCAGATAATTGATTGGATACGGCTTGTGGCGATTATGAGAGGAGATCCGCAACTGTAGGCACGATGATTAGTGAAAAGTATGTAAGAGGAGAAAAGGAAAAGTGAACTTACCGTTCATGGGCATCTCGTCGATCTGGGTCGAGTAGTACAACTCAATGTCACGCAGGATACGGACGTCATCGCTGGTGACGAAGTTGATAGCCACACCCTTGCGGCCGAACCGACCACTACGACCGATACGGTGAATGTAGTTCTCACGGTTGGTCGGGAGGTCGTAGTTGATGACCAGTGAAACTTGCTGAACATCGATACCACGAGCCCACACGTCGGTGGAAATCAGGACACGGGAGTTACCCTGGCGGAAATCTTGCATAATGCTGTCACGCTCCTTTTGGGGCATCTCACCGTGCATACTGGAAACGGTAAAGTTGGCTTCGCGCATCTTGTCAGTCAGCCAGTCGACCTTGCGCCGGGTGTTGCAGAAGATAACGGCCTGGGTGATGGTCAATGTGTCGTAGAGATCGCACAGAGTGTCGAATTTCCATTCCTCCTTCTCGACAGCAATGAAGTACTGCTTAATACCCTCGAGGGTCAACTCGTCACGCTTGACCAGAACGCGCACGGGATCGGTCATAAACTTGGTGGTCATGTCCAGCACGTCGTAGGGGAGAGTAGCAGAGACGACGACGACCTGCGTCGCCGGGGGGAGGTAACGGTAAACATCATAAATCTGCTCACGAAAACCACGGTTGAGAAGCTCATCGGCCTCATCGAGGACAAGCATCTTAATGTGACGGGTGCGCAGGTGTCGGCGGCGGATCATATCTGCGACACGGCCGGGGGTACCCGAGACAACGTGCTGGCCGTAATCGAGTTTGCGAATGTCTTCACCGACGTTGGTACCACCAATGCAAGCGTGGCATTGAACGTTCATGTAGTCACCGAGGGCCATAACGACGGACTGGATTTGGGTTGCGAGTTCACGGGTGGGGGACAGGACCAAAGCTATGTGACAGAGCTTAAGTTAGCATCCTCAACAACAAAAAAGTGAGCCTTCTGTCTTGACATACCCTGGGTCTCGCGTACGACAGTGTCAATCACTTGCAAGGTACTGATTGAGAAAGTCGCAGTTTTACCAGTACCGGACTGGGCTTGGGCGATGGTGTCGCGACCTTTGCAGATCTGAACAATGGCACGCGACTGGACGGCCGAGGGGGACTCGTAACCGTAAGCATAAATTCCACGAAGAAGGCTCTCCTTCAACTGCATATCCTCGAAGGTCGGCGCCACCGTGACCTCCTTGGAGGTGTTGAACTCCATGCGGTCTGCGCAACTGTTAGAATACACCATTTGGAGCAAAATTCGAGAATCTTACCATCGGCGCGTCTGTCTATTCCTTCCGCCATGATGAAGATATTGAGATTTCCTCGGGAGACAAGAAGTGAAACTGAGAAGTCCCAAGAAAGTTGGAGTCAACCCGACCGTTGGAATGACTTTTTGCGATTGGAGTGGTACGGCACGTGATCTGTCCGCAAAGCTGCAGCTTCCATCGCGCCGCCACTTTTGCACCGACATTCACTAGAATCACCGACCAACTCACTTTGTGCGCACTGGACATACACGACAAAGTCCAATCGCGCTTTCAATATGCTTCTTGAGGATCAGCGATTCATCCACGAGGACCTGGAGAGGTTGGAGCAGGCTGTTGCTGAACGAGTGGCCGAAGAGCCGCGAACTGTAAGTCTTGCACTACACATTCCAGACGACACTGCGACGATGCAGCTTTGCTAACTAGAGCGCACCAGGCTCGAGATTGCCTTACTCGCGATCATGTCGTATCAACATTCATAGATCAAATCGAGAGACAATCCAGGGCCCTCTTGGAGATCTACACAGACGCCGATGGACAGCGCGAAAGAGAGGTGCAGTCAATCTCGACGGGCGACCAGTTTGAGGAATTTTACAAACAGCTAGATGGAATCAAGAATTTCCACAAAAAGTACCCCGGTGGGGGTGTTGAGGACCTCGAACAGGCGTACAGGAGCGACAGAACCCTCATGGAAATTGACAACATGTTCACTGGCGAGGAGCGATTCGGCCAATTTCTCGATTTGACCAGCATGCACGAAGATTATCTGAATTTGCCCGGAGTGAAGCGCCTTTCCTACATCCAATATCTCGATGTTTTCGAACAACTTGTGCAGCCATATTTGTCACTCAAGCGCAAGGACAAGCTTTCCGACAAATACTTCCGTTATGTTGCCGAACTTTCCAGCTACCTGGAAGGTTTCCTCAAGCGCGTGCGGCCACTACAGGATTTGGATAAGCTCTTCGCCACCTTCGATGAGGAATTCGACAAGCAGTGGTCCGCGAAGGAGGTTCCCGGCTGGACAGAGGAAGCCACCGAAAATGGCACTTCAGGGCCAAAGACAGAAGGGACCGGCGAAGGTACCTGGTGTCCGGCTTGTGAGAAAGAGTTTAAGAATGAGAACGTCTATCGAAACCATTTGACGGGCAAAAAGCACATTAAGGCCGCTGAGGCTAAGAAAGCCGCGGGTGATTCGGGTGAAAGCTCGGCGCCTGTCAAGTCTGGAGTTTCTGCATTTAGCTTAAAAGAACGCGCCATTGCTGAGCGCGAGCATCGTGTGCGGTGCCTCACTAAGGAGCTTCAGTCTGAGCGACAGGCTACCCGGATCAATGTGGAGCGCAGACAAGGCATGACTGAGCGGGAGCGTCAAATGGAACGAGAGACCTTGTTGGCCGAGCCTGAAAACTATGGCGACGGCAATGGCGGAGACCAATCCGACGACGATGAGGACGATCAAATCTACAACCCCTTGAAGTTGCCGCTAGGTTGGGACGGCAAGCCCATTCCCTTCTGGCTTTACAAGCTGCATGGTCTTGGAGTCGAATACCCGTGCGAGATTTGCGGAAATTACGTTTACAAAGGTCGCCGGGATTTCGATAAGCATTTCTCCGGAAGCTTACACATCCACGGCTTGAATTGCTTGGGCATTACATCCAACACCAACCTCTTCCGAGAGATCACGAGCATCGCTGAGGCTATGGCGCTCTGGGAGAAGCTTGAAGGGGAGCGCAAGAAGGACCGGGATTCTCGTGACAACGTCGTGCAGATGGAAGATGCTGAGGGCAACGTCATGCCGGAAAGAATCTACTTGGATCTTCAAAAGCAGGGCATTCTTTAGTCGAAACGGTTTTTGTCAATGGTCCAATGGATTGGGGCTGGGGTCGGTGTATGAACATTATTCAAAAGCTACGGAGTTTGGCGAATGTGATGGGTTGGTTTCATGCTTTTGCATTGTCATGGTAGGCTGAATACTCAAAGTAACTGGAACTAGAATACCTCTATAAATATCTTCATAATCTGCTTTTATTCCCTCCAACCCGTCAAAGTATAGGGGCTTAGCAAATATCAATTAGAGTCACGTGTTTTCGTGATCCACGGGTGATCATCCGTCGCGTTTTTCCGCCAATTCGCGTCAGTCTGATTTGAAATTGAGAGTCGGGTCAAAATGAAACTGCTTGTGAGGAGGTGATCTTCCGGTCGTCGCCCATGGGATTCAACTTCACCTTCCTCTGCAACTTGCTGTCGGATCTGGAGGATGACCGGATCGCTAAAGCAGCTTCTGGAGCGGACTTCCGGACAATTCGACGGTGGTTTGCAAGCTATGATCAACACATCAACGATGATGGTACAGACAGGCTAGCCTTGCTGTCATGTATGTTCCCAGAAAAGCGCATTGACCGTGTGTTCTGGCTACAAGAAACCTCCTTAGCCAGGGTCATCGGTCGCTGCTTGGGGTTAGGGTCCTCACGGCTATCAGAATTGGGCCAATGGCGAAAGCCAGGGGGTCCAGATCTGGGGGGATGTGTCGAGATTGTGATGCGGCAAACGGAGAACTATATACCTCCAGGTCGAGAAGTCACCACTGAGGAGATTGACATGGCCCTTGGGATGGTCGCATCACGTTGTCGGTTCTCGGGCCCCGAAGTACGTCGCCAGCAGACAGCTGTCGGCGTCGAGAGAACTCTCTCCCCTTTATACCGCCGCTTGAGTAGCCGAGATGCTAAGTGGCTCACTCGTATGATTCTGAAGAGCTACGCCCCAGTCATCATCCCGCCCAAGCATGCCTTGGAACGATTCCATTTTTTGCTCCCACATCTCCTCCAATTTCAAAACACTTTTGAAGGGGCCTTGGAAATGCTGGATCAAAAGCCCATGAAAGATTTCCCGCCTCATCCGGGCCCAAAACTAGCTGCCAGCCTATGTGCAACGGCTTTGGAATATCTCCAACCGCGGACGGGTATCAAGATTGGACGACCTGAGTACTTCAAGGCCCGCGGTATCAAACATTGCATTAGCATGACCAACAGGCGTCGAATGAGTGTTGAACGGAAGTATGACGGAGAGTACTGCCAGATACATGTGGATCTTACAGACAAATGCACGCCATTTCGCATTTTCTCCAAGAGTGGAAAAGAGTCAACCGAAGACAGGTCCGGGATTTTCCCCAGCTTAGCGGGATCGCTGCGGATCGGATCGGAAGATTGCAGGTTTTCGCATCGTTGTATCCTCGAGGGCGAACTAGTTGTATGGAGTGACAAGCGTGGAGAGATTGCAGATTTTCACAAACTTCGAAGATTTCTTTCTCGCTCGGGGGTCATGATTGGTATTGACAACGACTCTCCGTATGTTTAATCTTCTCACTAGAAGGGTGGAGATATTTACTAATAGAAGCAGACCCCAGCCCTATGAACATTTAATGATCGTCTTCTTTGACATATTGGTCCTAGATGATGATATCTGCTTGAGGAAGCCTCATCGGCAAAGAAGGTTGCTACTAAAGGATGTAGTTAGCCCTATTGACGGTCGAGCCCACCTCGCTCACCAGGAAATAATTGATTTTGCTCATCTCGACAGTCGCGAGCGACTTAGAGTAAACTTTGCCAAATCCATTGCCCAACGTTGGGAGGGCTACGTGCTTAAAGCTTCTGATGAACCATATTTCCCTATATACGCTGCTGGTACAAATGCCTCGTTCGGACGATGGATCAAGTTGAAGAAAGATTATATCAAAGGTCTTGGGGATACACTTGATATTGCATTGGTTGGGGCTTACTATGAAGCCAGAGACGCTGTCGCTCTCTCGTCACTGAAAGGACTGAAATGGACGCACTTTTTGGTCGGATGTTTGGTGAATAAGGAAGCTGTTCTGGAACTTGGAGGTACTCCCCGTTTTCGAATCATTGACGCCCTCCATCGGCATTCCATGCATAAAGACAACCTCCAAGCTCTGAATCAACATGGTCAGTTTTCTGCCTGTGATCCAGACGAATGCCATACATATACGATTGAGTACGGGTGCAGGAAATTAACAAAGGCTTGCGTGCTTTTCAAAAAGCCCTTTGTCGTGGAACTAAATGGCAGTGGGTTTGATAAGCCCTCAGGTGCTAGGTACTACACCCTTCGTCACCCGCGCATTCTAAAGATCTACACAGATCGAACGTTTGAGGATGCTGTATCCTTCCAGGAGTTGCAGCTTCTAGCTGATGACGCCCGCTCTGTACCAACCGAGGAGTTGTCTGATGAGATAGGGCAATGGCACAAGCGATTAAAGGTTAGCAATGGGCTCAACAAGTATATCGTTCCAAGATCACGCAGTCTATCATCAACATGCAGCTCAGACTCCGACCCTGAGGGAGATTCGAAATCAAAGACTTCCCACGACACATCACACGACATCGAAGAGGAGCAAACCTCAGAAATTAATTCTCATCAAAACCAAATCCAGACTTCGGAGAAACCCGCTCGCACTCAGAGAGAGGGTGATCCGTCAGGAACCCCGGTCATATACCTTGACGACACGGATTCAAGCTCGTCTTCGAGTAGCCCTCACTGCAACGAGAACATTTTGATTGAAAATGAGAATCTATCATCACGACAACATATCAGCCAAACAAAACATGGCAACACGCACGAGACAAGAGATGATGAGAACCCTCTTACATACTACGAGTCGCAGGCGAAGACGGAGATCCCGTTTTCAAGTCCGCAGGGCGTTTATCACATCTCTCCTGTCAGCGAACAAAACACCCAATCTGACAGGCCTTTTCAAGCACCCAAAGATGCCGAATCGGTGTTTATTCACAACTCTCTACAATCACCATTAACGACAATTCCAGTATACATGCCTGGGCCCTCAGATATGCATGCAGCTAATACGTCGTGTCACTCTGGACTTCATGAGTTTATACAGACACTCAACTCCCCCGATTCAATTGCTTCTCTTGAAAAGTCAAACCCTGGGGCTGTCCGTCAAAAAATAGCTTTTGGAATTGTACTTGTCAACCCAGGCGAACACCCACTCGGCAAAGAAATCCACCATGCGGCAAATACTATATCTGACATGTTTCGCCGCAAAACATCTTGTCCCACGCGATGCAAGATTTTCTTTTTGGACTCGGCTATCCTGCAACAGAATATTCAACCCGAAGATCCCACATTTTGTATACGGGAGACATGGTCTGAGCTTGGTCGCCAGTACTACTATGCCTGTCTTCGGTGGGGCTTGGATGAAGACTCCAAAGACGACACTGCGGTAGATACAAGCACCTCTTCCATGGTCAAGAATCACTTTGACAAATCAAATAGCCATACTTTGCTTACACTCTCGGTGACTTTTGACGAGAGTGAGATCCTAGCACTGGCCGAGAACACCACCCTCACCACCAACAGCGATTTGATAGACTAGAGACAAAACCAATATCAAAAATGAAATTGCCCAAATTTTTCATCTTGATTCGACTCAAAAAACAATTCTCTAGAAACCATATGAAAACCACTAGTGCGGGGTTCGAACGCGCATCCTCGCCGTCGTCCGGATCCAAGATTTTGGGGATAACTTCACTTTCTTCCTAAAAAGGCAATACGTCACCTCCTCAACAACCCCAAGAAAATAGAACATTGCATGCAAAAAGAGGATGCAAGGGCTTAATGATGAAGAAAGAAAAAAAAAAGGGATACCCCAGCAGCCTAGGGCTGCCAGATGCCACCCACCCACCTGGACGCCTCACCCACAAGTCGGCACCAGGCTGCAACGCCGACTGTGGTTCCCACGCCCGGGGAGGAGAACTTCTGATTGTCGAGCGGCAAAGCCGCTCGACCACAGAGGTGAGGAGTTAGCATGTACTCCCCATCATGACCAGAAATAGGAACTTTTGACGTCATCATCGCGGTGGTTTGTGACTGTATAGATCAGTTGCTCTTTCCTCCGTGGGTTTGTTTTAGTTATTATCGATGGTCGGTCAAGACGAAATGGAAGTCAGATATCATTAGCAAGAACGAGTTGGCTATTGCCTGTTTCCATGCGCAGGTGAGGTTTTTGAGAAATGGCTACTGGTGAAGCAATCTTGTATACACTCTAAAGCTCACGCATCGATGGTGGTGTTCAACTCTTTATATTAATATCCAGTACACCAGATGCTAAGCTCTTTCTGAGTGAATTATTTCTCGCTCAAATGACTGCTCAGAGGGTTCGTGAAACCACATGCTCAGATGCTCACATACTATCATGACAGGAGACGTCTGGCTCGCCGGACTACCCTGCTTCCTCTCTCCGCGCACGAACGTCTCGCATGATAGCCTTTGCTTCTTCCACCTCCATACCATCCTGACATAGCTCGCTCGCCAACTGATCTGCCCGTTCCAGGTCCTCGTGTCGCAAGGCATGCTGAGCCAGCCAGAGACGCGCCTTCGATGTAGTGGCCGTGGGCTGGTGCCACGTCTCTCCCGCATTAGAGTCATCGTTTTGCATCGCGAAGGATGATGTACGGGGCTTTTGTCGACGACGAGAATGAGGCATATTGTCGGCATCATCGTCGCCAGAATGTTCCCCGTCGCTTTGAGCGGCATTCTCCGAAGCAGACGAATACTCGTCATCTTCGGAGTTCTCATCTTGGACAGGCGCGCCGCCTGTTTCTTGTTGGAGAGTTAGTTCCATATACGCAGCCGCTTCCTCCTCATCACCGAGACGCTCATATAGTGTCGCGATCTGGTGCAGAGTTTCGGGGTCGAGCACTTTGCGAGTGCTCGCGCCAGGGCTTGCGCTTGGTGCGGTGTCGTCTGCATAGTAAGACCCGGCCACAAGCGCACGTTTAAGTGCCTGGATACTTTGCTCGACTCGGCCCATCTTCGCATAGCATGAGCCGACGGCTTGCCACATCTTCGGGTCGTAGGGGCGAAGGGCGGCGGCACGTTGGTAGTAAAAAAGAGCGTAGAAGGACATATCAAGCACTTCATAAGCTTGACCCAAACCATACCAGGCACGATAGTCTTTTCGGTTAACATCGACGGCCCGGCGATACGATTCAATAGCAGTATGGGTGTTTTTCATCTCGATGTACTCATGGCCCATCAGAGTCCAGGCCGAGAGGAAGTTTCGGTCCAATGTTAATGCACGACGGAAGTACATAACGGCCTTTTCATGTTCTGATTTGAGAGAGTAGTAGTTGCCTACGACGCAGCATGTTTCTGGGCGAAATTTGTCTGTTGCGGTGGCGATTTGCGCGACAAAGGCCAGGCGTGGTCGCTCATTCATGACATACAAAATGTTAGAGTAATGGTCGAGACTATCCAAGCGGTGGGGTGATGTGGCTAGGATATCAGTGAAAATAGCGGATGCTTCCTCGAAATCTGGACATCGTCAGTGAGGCACTTATTCGCGGCCGCTACAACAACATACCTTTGGAGTGGTAATAAAGAAGTGCTCTTTGGGTCTTCAAAAATGCACTGGTGGGAAAGATTGACTCAAGCTCTGAAAGAGCCTGGTATGTATCTTCCGTGGCCTGGTATAGTTCCTGGCTGCAGTAAACGTGGAATATGAGAGTCATGATATTTTGAGGCAGGTGGTCCACGATTTGTTTCAGCTGTTGGAGATGTCAGTGCCCAGTATCACAGGGTTATAGGAATTGGAAGATCTTACATCCTCGGTGCTTGCCAAGAGATCATTAAGCTCTTGCCATGGCCCCCAGTGGAATGGGTTCTGATGCACACTTCGAAGCAACCACTTTTTGGCCAACTCTTCATTTCGTCCTTTGAGCAAAATGACCGCATAGAGATATTCCAGCCAGCCCTGTCCTTTATCATCCAGCCCTTTTGAGCTACGTTCCATCAGCCATCCTTCTAAGCCTCGGGCAAGATCCGGGAGTTCTCTGTTGACCGCCATCCCACCATCCGCTGGACCAAGTACCATCTCGGTCTCTTCATTCTTGCGTTTCTCCCCGGCTAGATATTTGGCATAAAGCGCAAGAAACAATGACTTCTGACTAAGTCTCGGGTATGGATTCCGCGCGACAGGGCCCTTGGAGCCGAGGAATGGGGACGCCTTGTCCTTGCCTTTTAGCGAATGTAGTGGTTGTTTTGGTTTTGAGTTAGGAGAGGTCAGGGAGAGCGGAACAGGAGGGGTATTTGGTGGTAGAAATACGGCTGCGCAGCGATCATATTCGCGAGTGTCAAAGTAGGATTTCGCGAGAAGGTATTTGTGAGTTTCTTGGATTTCGAGGGCGGCCTCGGTGGGGTCTTGGGGTCGTAGGTATGGGTTGATGGGAGGGGGTATGGGATCTGTGATCTCCATCGGAGATTCGGGGTCTGTCTCTTCGTGATCAATTGGTGAAAGAGAGTCAAGCATCTCTGCTGCCCTTTTCGCGCATCTGTTGTTAGTCCCACTTAGTTTCAGAGATCCGGAGAGGGAAGCACATACCACTTCGACGATTGGTAAAGACATCGCTCCGAGCACTTGATTGTAGCATCCTCCAGCCGATACTTCAGCTCTTGTAGATTGTCGTTTGTGACGTCCATGGCTACGAGCGCCAGCGGGACGTACGCAAATATTGGAAGATAGACGGCGCGCGACGCTCATGTACGTATGCACGTATGAGGATCCAAATACAAGTCAAAGTAGAAGCTGCAGTGCTTCCTCACGACCGGAATTATACCACCCGGAGCATTAGCAGGGGAGCTTGTCTCGTAATTGACGCAGATCGGAGTCGCAATGGATAATAAGGTATTCGGGCTCGGCGCGTTGTCGACGCGGCGAATGAACTGCAAGCGATCGGCGGGGCAGATCACGTCGGGGGGCAAAGAAAAAGTCCAGTACTGGCTTCAAATATTAAGCCGAGTTACTCAAGAAGAACATTGAGTTTTGGAGCTAGTGTATGTAGATGTTTGGAGAGCAACTCGTGGAAGTTCAGTTCAAAGCACCGGCAGTTCTCAGGCCGTTCCTGCCTCAGGCAGTCAGTCAAATACAAAGTGAACAAACAAAATGGAACCCCTCCGCGGGGAAAGAACGGATTGGTTCGAATTGTTTGCTAGTTCAATTAGCTGACTCTTTCTTCTTTCTCTCCACCTTCTCCTCCCATAAAATCTCGTTATGGCTTCTACTACCAAGCGTGCCGATTTTGAGGCCATCTTCCCTTCACTGGCCGAGGATATCCTGGCTCATGCGAAGCGGTACAACCTCCCCGCCAATGCCTTGGAGTGGTTTGAAAAGGTACTGTTGGACAATCATTACCCCCCCTTACTGCCCCTGACCGCCACTTCAATTCATTGAAAGCATTCGAACTAATTCGATCTTTCATAGTCCCTGAACGTCAATGTCCCCGGTGGCAAGCTCAACCGCGGTCTGTCCGTACCCGACACCGGCCTCGCCCTCCTGAAGAAACCCCTGACCGACGAGCAATTCGAACATCTGAGCATCCTGGGCTGGCTCACCGAGCTCCTGCAGGCCTTCTTCCTGGTCAGCGATGATCTGATGGATAGCTCCATCACCCGTCGTGGTCAGCCCTGCTGGTACCGCCACGAGGGTGTCAACCTGATCGCCATTAACGATGCCTTCATGCTGGAGTCGGCCATCTACCTTGTTCTGAAGCAGCGCTTCCGCTCCCACCCCGCCTACATCGACATTGTCGAGCTCTTCCACGAGACCACATGGCAGACTGAGCTGGGTCAGCTGTGCGATCTGATCACCGCCCCCGAGGACAACGTCAACCTGGACAACTTCTCCATGGAGAAGTACATGTTCATCGTCACCTACAAGACCGCCTACTACAGCTTCTACCTGCCCGTCGCTCTGGCCTTGATCTACCTTCAGCGTGCCACTCCGGAGAACCTCAAGCAGGCTCATGACATCCTGATCCCTCTGGGCCAATACTTCCAGATCCAGGACGACTACCTTGACAACTTCGGTGACCCCGCTTTCATTGGCAAGATCGGCACCGATATCCAGGACAACAAGTGCTCGTGGTTGGTCAACCAGGCTATCCCCCGCTGCACACCTGAGCAGCGTAAGGTCCTGGATGACAACTACGGCCGCAAGAACTCCGAGCAGGAGGCCAAGGTCAAGAAGGTCTTTGAGGAGCTCCAGCTGGAGACTCTGTACAAGGAGTACGAGGAGAAGGTTGTTGGAGAGCTCCGCACCAAGATTGCGGCTGTTGACGAGTCCTCGGGCCTGCAGAAGGAGGTCTTCGAGGCCTTCCTGGCTAAGATCTATAAGCGAACCAAATAGACGACTAGACGATGGGGCTTTGAGAGCCACAAAAGTAATACCCAACGTGCTACTTTGATTTAATGTGCGATATAAGCATCTCAACTGATAATGGATTTGCCAGCGAGGTTTCAGGGATCTCGAGTCAGGTACTAAATATTAAATTTTCAATTTTCTTTCAGATTTTCTTTTAAATTTCTCTATCGTTGATGGGCCCGCTCGATCTCGTTTTCAAGCTAATTCGCTTCGGACTATGGACTGGGAGCCGGAGGAGCTGAGTACTAATTAAGGTTGTAGTATATAGAATAAAACTACTAGTAGCCTTGTAATGGGGCAGTTGTCAAAGGTATCTTACTTGGTGTGCCCATATTGATTGATGGCTACGGCGCTCCATGCCCTACCGCAATCGACCCGAGGGAGTGTTCAAGTTTCTGCTCGGGTAAGTTAATCCTCAAGATTCAATTTACTGAGTACGAGTACCTAGCCGGGTAGCGTATGAGGTATTACTAGTATAATCATCTTTATATCCCACTGTACGCCGTAGATACTAGCTACCCTGAGTTATGGGATCGTGTGGATCTCCCGCTCCACGTCCGGCTAAATTGCAGATTTGCCCCGCGCTCTCGACGTCACTTAACACTCTTCTCGTCTTTGAAAATAGTCAACTGCGCTAAACCCACCAAAAGTGACTTAATCTTGCTTTCTGAGAATTGCCTTTCCCTCCTCTCGAGCTAAATACGTATTCTTCACCTCCACGGAGAGCACCAATTGACTGCTTCTCTCCACAACCACCCCGCAAAACCCCCGGCTTGCCGACTTGAACCACCGCCGAGCTACGAGGCAACAGTAACACAGCTCCAGATCTAAGCACCTCTAACTACAGCCATGGCTCCTCTTATCCGCGTCATTGGCTCTCTAAATGCCGACATGGTATCCGTCACGCCCCGCTTCCCCGACCCAGGCGAGACGATCACCTCCTCCTCGTACTTCACCAGCGCCGGCGGAAAAGGCGCCAACCAAGCCGTCGCCTGCGGGCGAATGTCACGGCCCCAACCTTCCACCGAAGGCCTGAATACTAAAAGCGATGTCCTCGTGGAGATGGTCGGGGCCGTCGGGGCATTGGACGGCCACTTCTCGGCGCTACTGAAGCCAACGCTAGAGAAATCCGGCGTCGATCCGTCACGCGTACGAGTCATTGAGAACGCATACACCGGTGTCGCAGTCATCATCGTCGACTCATCAGCCGGCGGTGAGAACCGGATCTTATTCTCCCCTGGCGCAAACTACGACGGCATGAAGCCGATCCCGGAAGTGCTGGGAACTGCTCTGGCGGCACCCGTGCCAGATGTGATTGTCATGCAGGGAGAGATCCCCGTCCAGACGGTGATTGGAATCCTGCGCGAGATTGCCGAATACAAATCCAAGAGCCGAGCTGCTGGCAAGCGCGGCATTGAATGCGGACCCGACGTCATGCTTAATCCTGCGCCTGCACCACCAGGAGGTCTACCCGAGGATGTTTACGCAGCGGTGGACCACCTGATTCTGAACGAGACAGAGGCAGAACTCATGACTCCACCGATGGACCAATTGTTGCGCGTTGTTCCTGACGCGGAGGGTTTGGATGGCAAGGAGAAGGTTGCGCAGTATTTCCACAAGCTGGGCGTCACTTATTTACTCATTACACTTGGCTCCAAGGGAGTGTGGTACAGTTCTATGGATGGCGGGTCGACCGGCCGCAGCGATGGCGCGCAACGCTTCACCAATGAGCTCCCTGCGGCCCCGGTGTCTCAAGTTCTCGATACGACGGCGGCGGGTGACACATTTGTCGGAGCATATGCGGTCAAGGTGGCGCGGTGGCGGGAACAGCGTCGTGTCGAGAGTACGGCGGGTCAAGACGTCACAGATACTGAGAAGCCGCATCGGTATAAGGAATTCATGGATGAGGCGATGCAGTTTGCAGCACGCGCCTCGGCGCGTGCCGTTGAGCGTCAGGGAGCAATGGATAGCATTCCATTTGAGAATGAGGTGTGAGGGAGCTTGCGAGTGATAGACTTTGGCGTTATGTACAACATTATATCATTGGGATAGAGTGCGATAGCCTCCGAAATGAGATTGGTGCTCAGCGATCCACCATTACTTACTTCCACCTCCTGGAAATAGATTAAGGATTTGGTAGGTGTCCTCCAGCCACAGGATGAATCTTGGTCCTTTCTCGTGGAGAATGCAGGTGACTTCCATCCCTGTCGCCCAGGAGAAAAGATGAAGAGGACCAGTTGACCCTTCGCGGTATTAAGGTAGATTAAGGCTTTGCGTGGCAGGAGGGAGACATTCTCCTTTCCCTGCCTCTGTAAGAGAATTAGCCCTGGAGTGACTTTGCTCCTAGAAGATTGAATAGATCATCTTGGGTCCGGTGGCTGAGGTATGTATCAAGGGGGACACCTAAAGCCATTATGGACAATTATTACCTCCATATTGGCCATCGCTATTGGTACCGACATACTAATTGAAAGATTGACCTGTAATAGAATTCGAAATATGGGTTAAAAATAGGTTGGAAATTCCCAGGGTATTCCATAGCATGACCATGATGTCCAGGCAAAGGTGGTATGGATAGATCTCTCTGCTACATAGAAGAAGTGAACTTCTAGGCGCCAATTCTGCACAACTTTCAGATAATCTTGCCATGCAACTAGAATCTAAAAATACAAATTTATGAAAGTGAAAAGGGGGTCGCATGCTTAACCACTCCGCGACGTCGCGGGGTGAGCTGAAGCAGACTTGCCCTCTTGCAGGATCGGAATGCAACCAAGTCCAAGCCCTAACCTACGAGCACGAGCGCGAACCTGAGCTCGAGTGCAGAGGACCGCAGGATGATCGGATCGTCCTGAACGACAGGCTTCGACACCCTGTGGCAAATGCGACCTACATGTTCGGCGCTTGGATGGGATGCTGGGAGACAGTCTCATCTCCAGCCTTGGGATTCCGGGCGATGCGCGCATCGATGCGCTCACCATGGAGAACTTGGAACCAGACTGCACGTTCATCTGCAGTTTCATCCATGATCCATCCTCAACATCCAAAACCACAAACCACCTGGGAGATTGGAGATGGGGGCGGGATGTGCTGGCAGGTTTCAGGGATGAGGTGAGCGCCGCGAGAAGGGAGGGGGTTGGACGCGACGCTCAGCTTTGAGCGTGTAGACGTGCAGACATGCAGATGTGTGCATCGTGTCGCGCGTCCAAAAGTATTCGGTACTCCAGCACAGCGGGGCGCTCCTCGTGGGCTCGTGTACTCCATACTCCATTACTCTAGACCGTGAGTATCATCGCGTCCTACTGTACTGCTGGGTAAACCGTCGGTATAGTACGACGCGTTGAGAACCACGTCGATCGGGTTGATCTAATCACGTCGATCTTGCTAGACTAGTAGACTAATTTACTAGAGGTGAGCAGCTAGTTAGTTCTATAGGAGAATAATCTAGGAGAATAATCTATTGATAGGAGTATTGCGATGAGTCTACTGCCCTACCTCCAGACGGAGTATAATGAGTATAATTCGTTACTAGTACTCGTCCTCCTTGTTCTGTTCAACATACAAGTGGATCACATTCCACGCGAGGGACCATTAGCAATGGCCATCATAATTGGATTGTCTACCTCTGCACGAACGCCACCCACGGCCTGGCATGGTCCAATCCACTTGTCTGGCGCCTTGCAGAGAACGCGACCAGACGCGCGCTGCATACATCGCGGTGCACCCCCGGCCTTGAAATGCCTTGAAATACTTCCCCCTCGCCCCTCAACACTCTCCTTGCTCCCCTCCCCATTAAACTAGAAAGAGAGTGTGGATGTGTGTGTGTGTGCCCATCTGATCATCCAGATATAATTACTCGCTCTCATCCCATCTATTTCTATCCATCTATCTGGAGATCCAGTGAAGCCATCAGCCATTCTCCTGTGTAGCACACTCTTCTTTCGGCCCCACCTATATCATCCGACCCGATTTCATCATTATTTTGATTTCGCCTTTTTCTTCTTATTATCATTGTCCCTGATAATACTCCGTACAGGATCTGCACTTCTGACCAGCTTGAAGGTTCACTGCCTAGGGTAGCCCGAGCTTCCCCCACTTAGCGCCGCAACGCCAAAACAAACCAATACTGACGCCTCGCGCTTGTCATTGTCATCATGGCTGCACTCACCATGACTCCCTCTCGCCAGCCCTTTGCTAGCTTGGACTCGCCCAGAATGCGTCCGGTGATGCGATCCAAGCTGAACCGTCAGAATCAATTGAATGGTAGGTCCAACCCCACTTGATTTGGTCAATGTTGATATCCCTCCATTTCCGGTATCTAACATTTATCTCAGGAGCCGCCCTCTCTGCAAAGAGCTCCATCTTCGTCGATGATGCCGAGAATATCGACCCGACTACCCTCAGCCTTTCCTCCAAACGCAAGCGGTCCTGGGATGATGAGGATGATGTCTCCAAGGGTTCCCCCAAACCGCTGAAGACCTCCCGCCTGGCACTCACCACTCGCGACCACCTCACCCCCCGACAATCAACCCCATTCAAGAATGGCCCTTCCATCTCAACTCCCAAATCAGCTCCTATTCTCAAGCCAGCTGGTCGGTCTCCGCCTCCCAAATCCTACAAGACACCCGGTCGCCGGTCGACCATCGCCAAGGTCCGTCCGGAGGCCACCAAGCGTGGCGTCGCTCGCCCTTTCTCCCTTGCAGCCGCCCTCTCACAGGGCAAGACCAAGACACCATCCACTCCCAAGCCTCAATCCAAGGCCCCGGCCTCTTGGTTTTTCGACATCCATGTCGACTCGGAGCAAGAGGAAATGACCAACCTGATGCAACACTCCACCGGTGTCCTCGATATCAGCGACGATGAGGGCAAGGCCGTCATCACAGATGGCCGCGGCAAGGAAAACGTTCCTCCTTCCGAACTAGGTCTCGATCTTCCCCGCTCCCAGCAGGCCACTCCCCTGGCTACCGCCACAGCTGCACGCAAGGAATTCAAGATGGAAGAAGACCGCGCCCCGCTGGGTGAGCTGACTGCTTCCGACTACTACCCCGAAAACTGCAACGCCTTCTCATTTGCCGTCGTCCATGACGATGAGGATGAAAATGTCTCGGAATCTAAAAAGGCCTTCTCTGCCCCGCCGAGCCAGGCGACTTTCATGCCGCCGGCTATCACTGCTTCGATCGATTCCCTGCTGGCAACCGCCATGTCCAGTCCCACTACTAAATCGACCACGACTGAAAGGACCAGCGACCCCGATGCCATCGAGATCTGGGAAACCTCCAGTGCGGCTGATGATGCGCAGTCATCTGAGACGAGCGCATCGTCATGAGCAGCATCACCCTAACATCTTCCTTCCCTCGTCCTATCGATCCCATCAATCCCAAAATTGAACCGCATTTGCATTCTGGTCTCGGCGTCTGTGGCCCTGGATTGGCCTTTATCTTTACATGTTTGTCTTGTTAGCAACGGAGTCGTTCCTCTATTATCTCGACTACTTATGGAATACCCTTTTTGTTTCTTTCTGTTTCGTCTCGCCTCAACTTGGTGTTCATTATCTTGTTATCTTTCTTTTACAGCGTATCATTTTGTCTTCACCACTTTTAATAATGAGAAGTCCTTATGTCTGATGTCTGCTTTACGATGTATACAGCAACCCTGCTTTATGAGATTCGGTGCAATGATTAAAATGAATTTACTGCCTGGCATTTCACCATTCAGCTTCACCGTAGTATGTAGTATTTAACTAAGAGCAACAATAGTTGATCCTAAATAGCCTTAATCCTCCTCTTCGGCTTCATCATCTTCACCCTCCGCTTCATCCCTCGCCGCAATAGCAGCAGCAACCTCCTCCTCCAACATCTCCACTCGTTCCATCTCTTCCTCTTCTCCTTCGCTCTGTTCTTCATCATGTTGAACCTCCACCTCCTTCCCTTTCCCCTTCTTCTTCCTCCCATCCAGCTTCTCCCTCTCCAACCTCTCCCTCCACACCGGCGCACCCTTAATCGCAGCCCTAACCTCCGTCGCCAACATATCATCTCGCTTAGTCGAAGTAGCAGAATCAAACATAAAATTCACAAGATCCGCCTCCGTCTCCGCATGATCCGGAAATTCCAAAATCCGCTCAAATTCACCCTCCTCCGGCATTCGATCCTCAATCAGCGAACTAATCTTCGCCCGCATAATAGTCTTCGCCTTACCCAAAGCCCCATTCCCAAACCACCCATCACTAATAATATCACAAGTCTCCCGCAAAAATGGCACCCCACCCGTCGCCACAGAGCTTCCCTCATCCTCCTTATACAAAACGGATTTAATCAACGGATCTTCGATGTCCCTAACCATCCAGATCTTCCCGTCAAGCGGCAGAGGCAGTTTTCCCGTAAAGATATGCGAATTCGGATCCTCGTCCAAATCAGTCCGACTAATGTTATGTCTCCTGCCTCCATCACGCGCCGTATCCGGTTCACGAGGGAGAAGCCGAAACATGAAGGTCTGATAGTGGCGGAAATCGGGTGAGGTGCGCGGGTCAACGCCCAGCTTCATTATAGCGTCTCGCCACGGTCCCGAGCGGAAAATGTATCCAACGTATGGTACTGCCCAGCGGAGATTTGTGCGGTGTTCGTCGGTTGCTAGGCGGTTTCGTAGAGCGCGGCGGGTCCAGGCTGGACGTTCTTCGAAGAGGAGTTTGATTGCTTCGACGGTTTTGCGGAGCGATGGGTCGAGTTTTGCGATGGGTGTTAGGCTTTCTTGAGGTTTTGAGGGGACGATGGGGATGTCGTAGCGGACGAGGAATGTGCGGATCTTTGATGGCTGTTGGGTGTTGATTGTTGTTATGTCGCCTGATTGCCCGACGGCGTGCTTGACTGTTGGGTTTTGACGGTAGCTGGGGGTTGATGTTAGTGGTATGGCCTTATTTCATTTTGGGGCCAACGCTTACTAGTATGTGAATGGCACATCTCCGTGGCTGAATGAAGGTGGAGGGATAATATCTGTATTTTCAAGAGCGCCCTTGCCCATGTCGATATCAAACTGCTTGAGCTTTGCCACTGTGCGCAGTTAGCCTTGTACTCGTCGGGGTACGAAAGTCGTAGCTTACAGTCATATGGTAGGATGGTTTCACGAAATTTGTTCGTGAAAGAGCTGTTCACGGTCGAATACACGAAATCCGGCATACCTGGTCAAATCATATTAGTTCTACAGGGTACCGGGCCAAGTAGCCGAGATAAGATGGTCAAAACGTACCTCGAAACACATGAGTCCGTTCGACTTTACCAACAGGCTTGGTCTGGTACTTGGACTCATTATCGCGAAGACTGCGCAGCAGATCCTTTGCTGTTGACCGTGGGACTGATTCCGAGATAGTCTCCACCGGGGCATCCTGAAAAGGCTCATTGGAGCCTCTCTTGCGCTTACGACCTGTTCTTTTAGGGACGGTCACTTTGAGTAGCACATTATTGGAAACAGTGCTCGTCGACTTCAATGGCCGAGAGAGGGGATCGTCCGGCCGCAAAAACAACTGGGCTGGCGCATCGGCCGCCTTGAGTGGTGGATTCAAGATCTAGTCTGATCAGCATGGGATCGGGCTTGCGTATGGACGGGAATAAATAGAGTATTTGAGTATAGCCCTGTGGGTTCTCTCACTTTTTCGATTCCTGCATTGCCCTGTAATGTATCCACTGCCTTGTCGAGATTTCGGACAACGGCAGGGTGTTCAACGCTAACAAGGCGCCGGGGCGGAATTGCATAAAAGGGCGCCGTCCTGGAATCACGCTGTCCGTCCATGATGAGAGCTGCAGGTTCGTCTCTCGTAGATATTGGGGCCTTGGAAAATGGAATATTTGGTCCTCGACGACGATTACTCGCAAGTCGGGGTGGGGGACTTGATGAAAAGATGAGTCAACGGATCTTATAGAGCAGGCGCAACGGGTCGCGGTCTTGGTATTTCAAGGTTGCGGTCCAGTCGGTGGTATCGAGTAGGTATTTGGAGCGTATGTCTACCCACTTGCCTCGCTCTGTCTACCTCGAGATCTCAAATTTCCAACGCGACGCTGCTAGTCTTCGCATTCCACAAAGCGTATCGGATGTGATGACTAATACTTTCCCAGGGCGTCACGGGTACGGGCGTTCGATATACAATTTCTTGCAATTGGGATTGCAATTCAAAAGGTATCATTGTTATATATACTAATAATACTGTGAAGGTTTGATGATAGTTGAATACTATTGGTACTGGTACTATTCCGTCCACTGACACGGGTCAGTACTACTCTTCAGTTCCCATTGAGACGCCCACCTGGGCAGCAGTATATATCTCATACCCCGTGGACCCTAACGAGGCCATTCAGCCACCTGGGCACCAACCATGCTAGAAACCTCATCTATACCTAGGTAATGAACATGATTACCCCTTATATCCCAGGGTTGCCGCTCTAACATACCGAGTATTTAGCACTACTATAGTAATCCATCCCTCCTAAGTATAGAAACACGTGACCAATACATCGGATTACATAAGTACGAAAGAAGGCAAAGCATACACAAGACAGCTGGATGGGGGCCTTTATAGATGGAGAAACATCCACTGGTAGAAAAACACGTAGATTTGACCCGTTGTTATATTTATTAGCGGATTCCTATGGCAGATGCGCCCAGTGATAACACGGTAGAAATTACTCTATGCGCATTGGCGGGTTCGTAGTCCCAAGTATTGGACCTGGACCCCCCCTCCCATCACCATCACAGCCAGCACAGGAGAACCCGCTTTGCCTCACCCACTCCCTTCTCCTTCACCACCCGCCAACATCCTTCATTCAGATCCCTGCCCTTCCCCCCCCTCAGACTCTTGCTAGACCTGCCATTTCCTCAATACGGCTCTGGTCGTGGCTTGCAATCGGGCACTGACGCTCTTGAGCCCCCCCGCTCCCAGCCTGCCACTAAGCGACACGGAGATCCTTCTGAGCGGATCAAGTACCCCCGTCCTAGACCGACCTCTGCGCTCCTCGGCCAGTCTTCTTAGCACTCCGATCGCCAATTGTCCCATTTCACGCCAGAGAGGTACGTACCGCTCGCTCTCGTTGTCGCCTCGTCCTTGCCGTCCCTTTCTCCCCAACATTGAAGCCTCATGCCCCGTGCGCGTGCTGCTACATACCCGTGTTCTGTACGGAGTACCTAGCACTGCCATTGGAATCAACCCGCCCCCTTTGAGCGTTCGCATGTCGATAGCTCAGATTCGACATCTGAATCTACCCGGCAATTCTATTACCAGCGCTCATTCCAAATACTCATGATTCTCTCCTGCTAGGCTGATCCAAATAACCCGCCCCTCCTCCCCTCGTGGCTTTTGTGAGCGGCCTTCTCAGTTGCCGCTCTCCAAGTCGCTCTGGCTAAAGTGCAGCGCCGGGCTGCACTTGCAACGAACACCGAACCGGATTACATGAGGTATTGGATACCGGCGTGAAAATGAAGGGTTTCAGACAGAGAGTGGTATGTGTTGTCCCCATCTGAAGGCTCACCGTCTCCTCCAACCCCCCTCATCATCCCCCACTCGGCAAACGGTGGTTTTTGAATCCCTCAGACCCTTCCGCTCCAACGATTTCTTGTAACTAATGTTATTTGGGATGGGTAGCACGAGCAGTTGTCGAGAGCAAAGGATGCCAACAAGTCCTCCAAGAAGAAAGATTCCACCCCGTCCCAGGGCCAGGCGTCCCTCGGCATCTCCCAAACACAACAGTCGACATCCCCCAACCAAGGCACCCCTACCTCGTCTACAACCTCCTTGAATGATACACGAGGCAAGTCCCCAGACAATGCCTCCTCCCCAGCTGGAACCCCGTCCGGAGGCGCCGGTGCACCCGCTCAAAGTTATATATCTCAAGGTGCGGGAAATGCGGGCCAACCTGCAAACAATGGCCCCGGGACTCCAACGAGACAGGGTCAGCCAGTGGCTCCAAGTGTGATCATTAGCCCTAGCACAGTAAGTCGAGACCTCCTTGATCCTGTGGTGCTGAGTAGCCCGAACTAACCGAATCTCCCACTTCTAGCACGTCCCTCCCCCCCCGGTGCTGCCGAGACAATGCCCGGAGACCTGGCGCCTCCTCGCAAGTCTCATGTTTTCGACCGCCTCCAGACCACCCCGAAGGATATGTCGGAAGGAATCAGGACTCCCAAGCGCCAGCACTCCTCGCGGTTCGACATTTCTGATCAACGTCAGAGAGAACTGGAGAAATTGGCCGGTTTCCACGAAGTGCCGCCCAACCGCCGCCAGGATCTATTCATGCAGAAGATTGACCAGTGCAACATCATCTTCGACTTCAACGACCCGACAGCCGACATGAAGTCCAAAGAGATCAAAAGGCTGGCTCTTCACGAACTCTTAGATTACGTTGCCAACAACCGTTCCGTGATCACAGAGCCCATGTACCCTCGAGTGGTGGAAATGTTCGCCAAGAACCTGTTTCGACCGATCCCGCCTCCCATGACCCCCCAGGGCGAGGCGTTTGACCCAGAGGAAGATGAACCCGTGTTGGAAGTGGCATGGCCTCATATCCAAGTTGTTTATGAGTTCTTCTTGCGCTTCATTGAAAGCCAAGATTTCAATACGAATATCGCAAAGGCGTACATCGATCATCAATTTGTGCTTCAGGTATGAACTCGATCTAGTCACATCTTGGCACGCTAGATCATGACATGGCTAATCATTTTTATAGCTGCTGGATCTATTCGATTCAGAGGACCCTCGGGAACGTGATTTCCTGAAGACTACCCTGCACCGTATTTATGGAAAGTTCTTGAACTTGCGGTCCTATATCCGACGCTCAATCAACAACGTTTTCTTCCAGTTCATGTACGAGACCGAAAGACACAACGGAATCGCTGAGCTGTTGGAGATTCTGGGTTCCATCATCAACGGCTTTGCCCTGCCTCTCAAGGAGGAACATAAGCTCTTCTTGACTCGTGTTCTACTCCCCATGCACAAGGTGAAGAGCTTGAGCATGTATCACCCCCAACTGGCCTATTGTATCGTCCAGTTTTTGGAGAAGGATTCGACCCTGACTGAAGATGTATGTGACAAACACACCTGGTCAAACACCGAATATCACTAACATCTGTATCTAGGTCGTTCTTGGACTTTTACGCTACTGGCCAAAGACCAACAGCACTAAGGAGGTTATGTACCTCAACGAAGTCGAAGACATCTTTGAAGTTATGGATCCTGCTGAGTTCGCTAAAGTGCAAGAGCCTCTATTCAACCAGCTGGCCAAGTCTGTGGCCAGCCCCCACTTCCAGGTTAGTATAACCAATAGCCCACAGCTTGCTTTGCCTACTAATACCCCTTTCCACTTACTAGGTCGCCGAGCGTGCCTTATATTTCTGGAACAACGAGTATTTCTGCAACCTCGTAAGCGACAATGTGGAAACCATTCTTCCCATTATGTTCGCCCCGCTCTACGAGAACTCCAAGGGCCACTGGAACCGGTTTGTCTATCATCGGTGATCACTTACTCCTTGAAACCCGTTGCTGATTTCCAACAGTACTATCCACAGCATGGTATACAACGCCATGAAAATGTTCATGGAGATCAATCCGCAGCTTTTCGACGAGTGCTCGCATGAGTACACCGAACACCAGAACAACGCCGAGCAGCGAGAGAAATCACGCCTGGATCGCTGGGATCTGATCGAACAACAAGCGACCATGCGGAAGAACGGCGCACCACCTCCGCCTGCTCCAGCTCTCGATGTGCCCGAGCCGATCGACGAGGTGGAAGCAATGACTCACGAGAGCCAGAAGCGGCTGAACACCCTTAAAATCCAAGAGGAAACAGAAGCGCCAAAGGAGCGCCCTGCGCGAGAGGGAACGGGAACCCCTACGTCGGTGAGTTCGATGCATCTCTGATTTGTACTTTCGAGACTACTCAGATCCGTGCATTCCCATGCGGATCCGTTTCTTTACTCTTTTTATCCCTTTTTCAACGCCATCATCCCTTGTCTTCGTCTTTTACTAAGAAACCCTCCCTCCATGTACAGCCAGCGTGATTCTAACGTGGAAACGTCCGTTTTGCTCCAGACTCGACGCCGTGGCTCCATTCGCGGTACCCGGAGACGACGAAGCGGCAGCGGCAGTGAGATTCGCCCGCGACGACGCTCGGTCGGCAGCGGTACCAGCGCAACCAATGTACAGATCCTGCATCGAAGCAATTCGACCAAATAATGGCCCCCTCCACGAGGTGACGGGGCAGCTAATGGACATGTGACCTTCCCCTTGATTTTCTGCAATCATGGCATAGCGAATACGGGCCTGCAACAAACGTCTCTTTTCTTCTTGAACTTTCGACCTGCCCGAATTGTGTGATCCCCTTTTTAGCTTTCCAAGGTTCCCTATTTCCTGTGCCATCCTGCTTTTTCCCTTTCCCATTTCTTCTTCTTTCTTTCCCCCCCCCTACCTCCCCTTTCATCTTTTGTGTGTACATGGATTTTCTGATATTTCCCTTTCTGTGACCGGCTCGTTCTGAGCCGGTGCTCACTGAGCGGATCTCTGAGTTGGACTCCGTCTCAGAACCGTGTTCGGGTATGGAAAATGGGTGCGAATGGCGTTTCCATCTACCGACCGTCGGTGTCGGTGGCTTACTATGTGTTGCCAGATTTTTTTTTCTTTTAGACAAGTACTGAGACATGAACTCGCCTTGGGAAATTTTCTCTTGTCTTTTAATTTTTCAGCTCCGATCCATGATGTTGTATAGTATCTGTCCTACTAGTATGACAGCTACTAGATATAAACGTTTGAATGTCCCTTATGGGTCCATTAAGGCTTGCACCAGGTAGATGATCAGTCAATACTAGTTGTCAAGTACTTCAAATCTTTGAATACTAGTCACAGTCATTCTACCAGTATCTTCCAAGGTTGTATACTACTAGTACCTACGCCAGTGGGTGTCCTGTCCCTGTCCCTGTCCCTGTCCCTGTGTCCCTGTGTCCCTGTGTCGCCCTGGTCCCGCGCGTCTAGTCGCTTGACAAGCGCGCGTGACCGGAGCGGATCAACACCTTCCGAGACACCTAAAGCGGACTAGTTCCAACTTACATAAGCGAATTCGGCGACGCTGGCCGCCCACCCTCCGCGTTCCTTCGCGAAGGCTTTCTGGATGGGCCAGGTCTCGCGCGCTTCAATCTCCAACCCTACTTTCTCTAGCTCCCTCCACACCCTCCACCCCGCTGGGGCTTCTTCAATTTCACTCACTACCGTCCACAATCCTTTTTTCGGACTGATATTGACCACCATTAAATGACTTAACGAATTCCTATCTCGCTTTCCTATCCGCGATCGATCTTTTCCGCAATTGCAGCCAAGTCCGCAGAGCTTCGACCACACCTCGACCTAGCACATGCCACCCCGATTTTGATCCTACAATCCTTGCGCGAGGCTGGTTATCATCCTAGCAGCCGGCCACTGGGCCTGGCCGTGATTGTAGTCATCTTCCCTTGATCGGCCCTTTGAGGGGCCCGACCAGCAGCAGCGATGGAGCGCACGATCGATATCTACTTCAACAAGCTGGGGGATGAGAAGCTTGGTATGTTCGAAAGCGACCCATAAAACATCATGGATTGAGTTTTTCCTGTTCAGTGCTGATTGACTTTCATTGTTATAGACATCAAAGTACGAGCAAATGTCGCAACCGAGTTGCGAGACAGTATTGAACCATTATGCGCGGGCGCAAATTATCCCGTCTTTCTGGCCAAGCTTTGGCCAGTCTTCAAGGCTATTTTGAAGGGGGATCCGGTCTTCTTGAGCATGTCTTATGAGCAGGTGAGATCGACAAGCCGACGGGATTCGATATTACGATCACTTCCCGTCTCCCATCTTCAAGATCTGGACCTTAAGGTATCTAATGCCATCTAGAAACTCCGAAACTGTATCCTCGAGACGATTCACCGATTACCAATGGCCCCTCCCGATGTCGAACCATACGCCGCGGATATGGTTGATTTGTTGATGGAACTCGCGCGCATCGAGAATGAGGACAATGCAGTTCTGTGCATGAAGACCATTATGGATCTGGAACGGAACCAAGCAAAGGCCACCGCGGCACGGGTGCAGCCTTTCTTAGAGCTAATTCAAGAAATGTTCCAGACCATGGAGCAGGTCGTTCGAGATACCTTCGACACCCCAAACCAAGCGACTCCCTCCGGGATGCCTTCGACTCCGAATGCCAGTTCACAGAACTTTCAATCACCTCGACCGAGCTCGCCTGCCACATCAGTTTCAGATCTGGGCCCTGAGCAACAATCCAGCAATGTTCTCTTGAAGGGGATGCAGTCGTTCAAAGTACTTGCTGAATGCCCTATCATCGTCGTTTCGATCTTCCAGACTCATCGAGCTTCAGTCGCACAAAACGTCAAACTTTTCGTACCCCTCATCAAGACGATCTTGCTTCTGCAGGCGAAGCCGCAGGAGAAGGCGCATGCCGATGCAACAGCCCAAGGCACAATATTCACTGGCGTTTGCAAGGAGATCAAGAACAGAGCTGCATTTGGGGAGTTTATTACAGCTCAGGTTAAGACCATGAGCTTCCTGGCCTACCTCCTTCGCCTCTATGCCCATCAACTTCAAGATTTCCTTCCTACTCTCCCGTCTGTGGTTGTTCGGCTTCTTCAGGACTGCCCACGTGAAAAATCTGGTGCTCGAAAGGAGCTTCTTGTCGCGATTCGACACATCATCAATTTCAATTATCGCAAGATATTCCTGGAGAAAATCGATGAGCTTCTGGACGAGCGAACATTGATCGGCGATGGTCTGACAGTATATGAGACCATGAGGCCTTTAGCGTATAGCATGCTCGCCGATCTCATCCACCATGTTCGTGACCATCTCAGCCGCGATCAGATCCGTCGAACCGTCGAGGTATACACCAAAAACCTCCACGACGATTTTCCCGGTACCAGTTTCCAAACGATGAGTGCCAAGCTGCTATTGAACATGGCAGAGAAGATATCCAAGCTCGAGGATAAGCGAGAGGCTCGCTATTTCCTCATCATGATACTGGATGCCATTGGTGACAAATTCGCCTCGATGAACCATCAATTCAACAACGCCGTCAAGGTGTCTAAGGCCTTCAAGGAATCTCGGAAAGAGACCGAGCCCTCGAACGACTCATACCTTGCTGAGAAGGACCATCCTCCTGACTGGGACGAAATAGACATCTTCTCTGCTTCACCAATCAAGACCTCTAGCCCGCGTGACCGTGGTAGTGACCCCGTTTCGGATAATATCTTCCTCTTCAGGAACCTGATCAATGGGCTCAAGAACATCTTCCACCAGCTCAAGAATTGCAACCCGGATGATATCCAGATCGACCCAAACAGCGTTCCTATTAATTGGTCTGAGGTGTCTTATGGTTACAATGCCGAAGAGGTTCATGTTATCAAGAAGCTCTTCCACGAGGGTGCTCGTGTCTTCCGCTATTACGGCGTGGATCAATCTCCACCGGAAGTCAACTACTCCTCGCCATTCGATTTCCTCGCTAGTCAATATACGGCACCCATGTCCCGTGAAGAGAAGGAACTCCTGGAGAGCTTCGGTACTGTCTTCCATTGCATCGACACTGCAACTTTCCACGAAGTCTTCCACTCTGAAATTCCCTATCTCCACGAGCTTATGTTTGAGCATGGTGCGCTCCTCCACCTCCCACAATTCTTCCTCGCCAGCGAAGCCACCTCACCAGCCTTCTCCGGAATGGTACTCCAGTATCTTATGGAACGCATTCATGAGGTTGGAACGTCAGACATGACCAAAGCGAAGATTCTTCTAAGAATGTTCAAACTCTCCTTCATGGCCGTGACGCTCTTTTCTGTGCAGAATGAGCAAGTTCTCCACCCACATGTCACCAAGATTGTCACCAAGTGTATTGAGTTGTCAGTTACTGCCGAGGAGCCTATGAACTACTTCCTCCTTCTGCGCTCTCTCTTCCGCAGCATCGGCGGTGGCCGATTCGAGCTCCTATACAAGGAAATCCTCCCCTTGCTTGAGATGCTCCTCGAGACCTTCAACAATCTTCTACTCGCTGCTCGCAAACCTCAAGAGCGTGATCTTTATGTTGAGCTCACTTTGACCGTACCTGCCCGCCTGAGCCACCTTTTGCCTCATCTCAGCTACCTCATGCGCCCCATTGTTGTCGCCTTGCGTGCTGATTCTGATCTTGTTGGTCAAGGTCTGCGCACGCTTGAACTTTGCGTGGACAATTTGACCGCCGACTATCTCGATCCGATAATGGCACCGATCATGGATGAGCTGATGACCGCACTCTGGGATCACCTCCGCCCTCATCCTTATAACCACTTCCACGCTCACACCACAATGAGAATCCTTGGAAAGCTTGGCGGTCGCAACCGCAAGTTCTTGAACCATCCACCAGAGTTGAACTTCCAGCAATACTCCGATGATAACCCCAGCTTTGATATCCGGCTAATTGGCCCAGGGGAGAAGCGTCCCTTCCTGTGGATACCGGGATTGACCTGGCCATTGGAAAACTGATGGAAGCCCCGAAGTCCACCTCGTCCAAGGGCTCCGACATTTACTACAAGCAACAAGCCTACCGCATGCTCAGTTCACACCTTAAGCTTCAAATCGGATTTGAAAATCTGCCTGATGACTTGGCATCTCTCATCAGACTTCATGCGAATGACCTTGTGGATGGCAAGGTTAATGCTATGGTTGACATTCTCGAGAAATCGGAGAGGTCAGCTTCCATTCCAAAGAAAGTGGCACAGGAAGCCACTGTGAAGAAGCTCATCAAGGCTTGCATCTTTGCCACAACCATCCCAGAGCTCGAGGCATCTGCGAGGGCTTTTGTGGCAGACGTTTGCAAGCACATTACGGTCCTCGAGGTTGGCCGTGCTCTTTCCCAAGCCCGCCACAGCCGCAAGTCCTTCGACGTATCTAACGGAGAGGGCCCTGTTTACCTCGACTCACGAGTTCTCGCTGAAGCTATTGTTGAGACGCTTTCATCGGACAATGTTCACGTTCGAGAAGCGGCTGAAGAAGCTTTGGTGGTTGTCAAGGAAGCGGCAGTCATCATCTTTGGTTCCTCTGAGAAAGCAGCCAAGCTTCCGTTCTTTCAGCACTTAGGTCGTGTGTTCTGCCACAGCTGCTTTAGCGAGGAGTGGTTTGCCAAAGCTGGTGGAAGCTTAGGTATCCAACTACTAGCCACCAAATTAGATCTCGGCGATTCCTGGCTTTATGAGCGCCACATCGACTTCGCTCGCGCCCTTATTTATGTGATCAAAGATACACCCCCCGATCTTCCTGCCGCTACACGCATTCAATCCCAGGATACCTTGACCTTGATCCTTAAACGGGGTGGCAAGCTCATTCCTAAAGACGACGTTAAGAACGAGAAGAGCCGCGTTGTTGCTCTCTGTGGGTTCTTCGTCTTTGAGCTTGGTCACATGAACAAGCATGTCCGCGAGACCTGTCGTCGTTGCTTCGCCACTCTCGCAGAGGAATTGGGCTGCGAGGTCCATGAGCTTATCCACCCGGTCAGGGACCGTCTGCTGCAGTCGATCTTCAACAAGCCTCTCCGTGCCCTGCCTTTCCCCACGCAGATTGGCTTCATCGATGCCATCACCTACTGCTTGAGCCTGCACAACGAAATCGTGACGTTTAATGAACCCCTCAATCGATTGATGCTGGAGTCTCTCGCACTTGCCGATGCCGACGATGAGTCGCTAGCTTCAAAGCCAAATGAGTTCAAGAATGCCGAGATGATCGTGAACCTACGTGTCGCTTGCCTGCGTCTTTTGTCCATGGCCATGACTTTCCAGGAGTTTGCCAACACCCCGAACAATACCAGCCGCGCACGCATCATTTCTGTCTTCTTCAAGTCGCTATACTCTCGCTCTCCTGAAGTCATTGAAGCCGCTAATGCCGGTCTTAAGGATGTCCTTACTCAGACTAACAAACTGCCAAAGGACTTGCTACAGAACGGCCTGCGTCCTATTCTCATGAATCTTCAGGATCCGAAACGCCTAAGCGTTGCTGGTCTTGACGGACTCGCTCGTCTTTTGACCCTGCTGACCAATTACTTCAAGGTGGAGATTGGGGCTCGTCTCTTGGACCATATGAAGGTTATTGCAGACGATGGTGTGCTCCAGAAGGTCTCTTTCAGCCTTGTTGAACAGAACCCTGCCATGAAGATTGTGGCCGCGATCTTTAATATCTTCCACCTCCTCCCACCCGCCGCCACATCTTTCATGGAACATCTGGTCAACAAGGTACTTGATCTTGAGCAAAAGCTGCGACGGACCTCACACAGTCCCTTCCGCAAGCCCCTTGTCAAGTATCTCAACCGCTACCCGAAGGAGAGTCTTGCCTTCTTCCTTGCACGGTTCAAGGACGAGCGCTTCGGACGTTTCTTCGGACAAATCTTGGCGGACCCGGAGAGTGAGGGTCTGCGTAATGCGGTTGTCGCTGACACTGACGGATTCACCTCAAATGCTTTTGCACCCGAGGCAACTGATGGCAAAAACACCGCTGCAATCAATGGTATCTATGTTGCGCACTCCGTCTCTTTATATCCATCTACCAAGAATTGGCTGGTCTCAAGCGCCGATCTACGGACCAAGCTGTTGACATATGGGAGAGAGCTAGAGCGGAAACTTCGGGGTGACAGCTTGCCTCCAGATGAGCGCCTGAGAGTGGAGCAAGCCGAGGATCAGTTGATGGATGTCTTCACAGTCTACCTCGGAGAAGCTTCTCATGACCTGGATTTCCTGTTCGAAGTCATTGACGGTCTTTCCGCGGACGAACTTAAGCGTACACTGGCACTTCCTAAATTCATCTTTAGCCATATAATCACCAACGAGTCGATTGACTACCGTCGCTCTGTCATCATGCGCTGCCTTGACCTATACGGTCAACGGGCCTGCTCCCAGAAGACCAAGACCTATGCCTTCCGCCACCTGGTCAATCCAATTTTCGCGATGGATGTTCAAGCTTCGTGGAACAGCCCAGCCAGTGCCCCCAGGTTGATGGACAAGAGCATGACCGAATCGATCCAAAGCCGCCTGTGGAAGCCACAATTGTCTGATGTCTGTGACGAATCAAGCCAGGCTGGCGTTGACCATTCGCGCATGGAGTTGCTTCAACTGTCTGCCTTGTTGATCAAATATCACTCGCAGACCGTCCAAGAGTCCCGCAAGGACATCATCAAATTCGCCTGGAATTACATTCGTCTTGAGGACATTATCAATAAATACGGTGCATACGTCCTCATCAGCTATTTCATAGCGCATTATGAGACACCCTACAAGATTGTGATCCAAGTTTACGTCGCTCTGCTCCGAGCCCATCAGAACGAGGGCCGGGCCCTTGTCACTCAGGCTCTCGATGTTCTGGCCCCGGTCCTTCCAACACGCACCGCCAGCAATCAAGGCGCAGAGGCTCGTTATCCTATTTGGGCTAAATGGCCCCGCCGCATTCTGTCAGAGGAGACAGCCAACCTGCAACAGGTAATGAGTATTTTCCAATTCTTGGTTCGGCAGCCAGATTTGTTCTATGAGTCGCGCGAGCATTTCATTCCTCTCATTGTTCCCTCATTGATCAAGATTGCGGGCCCGCCAAATACCTCAAATGACAGCAAAAAGCTCGCACTGAATCTTATTGGCTTGATCTGGCACTGGGAAGAGAGGACGGCTCAATCGGCGGAGACCCAAGCGGGTGTACCCAATGGTGTTACTGAATCACCGAACACGAAGAAACGCAAGCTTGAAGAGGCCGATGGAGCGTCCCAATCACCATCTCTGGGACCTCCTGCGACCAAGACTGATTACACGGTGCCGCCTGAGCTTCGCGGGGCTCTTATTAAATATCTTATCACCTTCATTACTACCATCCCTGAGCGCTTCCAGGTACCAGCTGCCCACATCCGCACGCTGCCTTCTTCAAAGCCAATCATGCCAGTACCCACCGGTGACATGATCAACAAGGCTATCAGTCTTCTCAGGAATCTCCTCTCTCCCACGTACTGGGGAGACCTTGATATCGATCTCTACCAGAAGGTGACCGAGCCAATTCTAACTGGAGAAAAAGCAGACAAGCCTGATGACAAGCACATCACTGTCATGATCAACGCGCTCCAGGTATTGCGCGTACTTATCGCAGCGAAGCCCAACGAGTGGATCACGGCTCGCCTCCCAAGCATTCAGAAGCTCCTCGAGAAGCCCTTGAAGTCTGATAATCCTGAAATCCAAGATTGTTTGCATGGTCTGGAGGATGATATGGATATTTCCCCCAAGTTGCCACCTCCGGTGCGTTATGTTCTCGAGGCCATTCCTGATGACCAACCCGATGAAGAGGATGCCATGGATACCGAAAGCACACCTTCAGAATTCGGAACTTACTTGTCCGCAATCGCCACCGAGACCCTCTCAGCAAGTAACTACGTGTCGAGTCTGAACACACTTTGGACACTCTCGAAGATCAAGCCTGCTGAGATCGATACGCATATCCCTGCTGTCATGAAGGCGTTCTCCCAGAAGTTGGCCAAGGATCATGTTGCAGCTTCTACCACCCAGAATGGTGCGCAGAGCGGTGCGCAGAATGGACAGAATGGGCAAACCCCCCCCCAGTGGACAAGCGCCGAAACCAGCCGAGGGGGTCCCAGATCAACAAGAAGCCGAGTTGGGTGTTGATCTCATCTTCAAGACAATTGAATTAATCTCAGTCCGAATGTCCCACCTTGGCGACCAGCGTCGTCCGTTCCTCAGTGTTCTGGCTTCGATAGTCGAGCGTTCGCAGAACATCAAGCTTTGCAGCAAGGTTCTGGGCATGGCCGAGTCCTGGATTTTCCACTCAACAGAGTCTTGGCCCACTCTGAAGGAAAAGACTGCAGTTCTTCACAAGATGCTGCTATTCGAATCCAGACCCGATCAAACGATGCTGAAGAAGTTTCTTGACTTGGTGATTCGCATCTACGAGGATCAAAAGATTACTCGCACCGAGTTGACTGTTCGCCTCGAGCACGCTTTCTTGATTGGCACAAGAGCTCAAGATGTTGAGATGCGTAATCGATTCATGGGTATCTTTGACAAGAGTTTGACACGCCTTGCTAGCTCGCGTCTGAGCTATGTTCTTACCTGCCAAAACTGGGATACCCTTGCCGATTCCTTCTGGCTGGCCCAGGCATCGCATTTGATTCTCGGTTGCGTGGACATGAATACAACTGCCCGTCTTCACTCCGAAGATTTCACGCTATCACCTCTATCATTTCTCTTTGCGGGTGGTGATAAGGATGAAAGAAAACCAGACATCATTGTCGACAATAAGCTAGAGAGCTTTGTCGTGGAGCGCAAGCGCTTCATGTCTGATATCGGTGACGTTCGAGTTCGAGACTTGATCGAACCTCTCTGCCAGCTTCAACACACCGACTCTAATGTTTCGTACAAGCTGTGGACCACACTGTTCCCGATTTTCTGGTCAACCTTATCAAAGGAAGATCGCATCGACCTCGAAAAGGGAATGGTCACATTGCTCACTCGAGAGTACCACCAGAGACAGTTGGACAAACGACCAAACGTCGTTCAAGCCCTCCTTGAGGGCGTTGTGCGGGCTCGACCTCGTTTCAAGGTTCCTCCTCACGTTATGAAATACCTCAGCCGTACCTACGATGCCTGGTACGTCGCTGCCACATACCTCGAGGAAAGTGCCATCAATCCCATCATCGACACCTCCACTGTCCGTGAAAGCAACCTCGATGCCTTGGTCGAAGTCTATGCTGGTCTCCAGGAAGACGATTTCTTCTACGGTACATGGCGACGCCGCTGCCGATTCGTTGAAACCAACGCGGCTCTGTCCTATGAGCAGCAGGGCATGTGGGACAAATCGCAGCAGCTATATGAAAATGCACAGATCAAGGCTCGCTCTGGAGCCATGCCATTCTCACAGGGTGAATACTTTGTTTGGGAAGACCATTGGCTTATTTGCGCCCAGAAGCTTCAGCAATGGGAGATCTTGAGTGACTTTGCTAAGCATGAGAACTTGAACGACCTTCTTCTTGAGTCTGCTTGGCGCAACATCGAGAACTGGCAGAGCGAAGGCAACAGAGAGCAATTGGAGTCTCTAATAAAGTCTGTATCAGATGCTCCGACTCCCAGGCGCACCTTCTTTCAGGCATTCATGGCTTTGCTACAATACCATGTCAAGAAGGAGAATATGCAGGATTTCAATAGCGTCTGTGACGAGTCGATTCAACTCTCCATCCGCAAATGGCTTCAATTGCCGAAGCGTATCACCAACGCTCACATTCCCATCTTGCAACATTTCCAGCTGTTGGTCGAACTGCACGATGCCAGCCACATCTGCGGTAGCTTGGCTCAGACTAATGAGCGCAATCTCGATACCAAGTCAGCCGAACTCAAGCTTCTCCTTGGAACATGGCGGGATCGTCTGCCGAATCTCTGGGATGATATCAATACCTGGCAGGACCTTGTTACCTGGCGCCAGCATATCTTCCAGCTTATCAACGGTACCTATCTCAGCTTACTTCCACCGCAGACCAACAACGTGGCTAGCAACTCCTACGCCTACCGTGGTTATCACGAGACGGCCTGGATCATCAATCGCTTCGCGCACGTCGCACGTAAGCATCAAATGCCCGAGGTCTGCATCAACCAGCTGAGCCGCATCTATACCCTGCCGAACATCGAAATCCAGGAGGCATTCCTCAAGCTGCGCGAACAAGCCAAGTGTCACTACCAGAACCCTAAGGAGCTCAACAGCGGCTTGGATGTGATCAACAATACCAACCTCAACTACTTCGGCCCCCAGCAGAAGGCCGAGTTCTACACTCTGAAGGGGATGTTTTTAGCCAAGCTTGATCATGTCAATGAGGCGAACGAAGCATTTGGTGTCGCTCTCTACTATGATCTCCGTCTTGCGAAGGCCTGGTCTGAGTGGGGACAATACAGTGACCAGCGATTTAAGGCAGACTCCTCCGATTATGAGCTGGCTAGCAACGCAGTCAGCTGCTACCTGGAGGCTGCTGGTCTTTATAAGAGCGCGAAGTCCCGCAAGCTGCTGAGCCGTATCTTATGGCTCCTCAGTTTGGACAACGAAGAGGGCCAGATCGCCAGTGCCTTCGAAAACTTCAAGGGCGATACCCCTGTCTGGTACTGGATTACCTTCATCCCTCAGCTCCTCACCAGCCTGTCCCATCGTGAGGCTCGTCTTTGCAAGGCTGTTCTAGTTAAGATCGCCAAGTTGTTCCCGCAGGCTCTCTTCTTCCTCCTCCGTACGAACCGGGAGGACATGCTTAGCATCAAAAAACAGCATGACCAGAAGCAGGAGAAACTGAATCGTGCCAGGCAGCAGCAACAGGCTAGCTCCTCACCCAGTACCAAGCCTCCTGCTGCCGGTGAAGCTTCTCCAGCCCAGAAGCCTCCGACTAGCGTGCCTCCCAGTGCCTCCCCGGCTGGCCAAAATAGCAACTTGCCGACAACTCAGTCCCCTGCGCAGAATCAGAACCAGCAAATTCCCAGCCAGTCCCCTGCTCAACCCCAGGTGCAAGCTTCGCCCCTTCAAGGACAAGCCCAAAGCCCCAGCCAAGGCCAAGCTGGTCAAACACCAGTCCCGCAGAACCAAGGACAGACCCCAGGCCAGCAAGGCCATCTTCAAGTTCCAGGCCAGGGAGCCCAGCAGCAGCCAAACCAAGCAGCTTCCGCGGAGTCAACAGAGAAGGAGCCGCTCAAGAAGCCATGGGAATACTCGGACGAAATCATGTCCGGCCTCAAGACCGCATTCCCGTTGCTTGCTCTTTCTATGGAGACGATGGTCGACCAGATCCACAAGAACTTCAAGTGTCCTCCTGACGAGGATGCTTACAGGCTTATCGTTGCTCTCTTGAATGATGGTCTGGCCTACGTGGGCCGTATGCCCCAGTCTTACGCACAGGATACCAAGCTTCCCCCAGCCACAGAAGCCAACATCACTAGGTTCGCAGAAACAATTCTTCCGGCACACATCCGCAAATCTTTCGAGGCGGACTTTGTTACTAAGAAGCCCACGATGCACGAGTACATCCAGAAGCTTCGTCGCTGGCGTGATAAATTTGAGGAGAAGCTGGATCGTCGAGCCCAGCACGGATCCCTTGAGGGCTACTCTCCGCACCTGAGCGAGTTTAGATTCCTCAAGTTTGACGAAGTTGAGATACCTGGACAGTATCTACTGCATAAGGACAAGAACCAGGACTTTGTTCGCATTGATCGCTTCCTGCCCGATGTGGATCTGGTTCGTGGCATTGGAGTCTGCCACCGCCGTCTCAAGATTCGTGGCCACGATGGTAGTATCCACGCTTTCGCTGTGCAGCATCCTGCCGCACGCCACTGCCGTCGTGAAGAGCGTATTCTTCAACTGTTCCGTATTTTCAACGGGCTGTTGGCGAAGCGCAAAGAGAGCCGACGTCGCAACCTTTACTTCCACCTGCCGCTGATGGTGCCTCTGGCCCCTCACATCCGCCTGGTTCGCGACGATTCGTCATACATCTCCATGCAAGGTATCTACGAGGACTATTGCAGACGAGTTGGTATCAACAAGGATGAGCCGGTGCTCTTCACAATGGATCGCATGCGGTCTTTGGCAGAAACAAAGCAAAATGTAAGTTCCTCTGCGATCGAGTCTTCCCTACCACACATTACTGACAACTCCCGACAGCGCACGGCCGATCAACAACAGGTGCTTCGTACTGAGATCTTGACTGCCATTCAAGATAAGTGGGTTCCTAGCAATGTGGTGCTAGAGTACTTCCAGCAAACGTATCCCAACTTTGCCGATTTCTGGCTCTTCAGACGACAGTTTGCCTACCAGTACGCCGCGGTTGCTTTCATGACTTATGTGATGCACATTGGCAACCGTTACCCCAACAAGATCTTGGTGTCGCGGTCTACAGGTGATATCTGGGGTGCCGAGTTGATCCCAACAATCAACCCGGCGAAGGCCATATTCTTCAACCCAGAGCAGGTCCCCTTCCGATTCACCCCCAACATCCAAACTCTGCTGGGCCCCATTGCTACGGAGGGTCTGTTTGCCTGTGCGATGATGGCCATCGCGCGCTGCTTGACGGAACCACGCCACGAGCTCGAGCAACAACTGAGCGTATTCGTGCGCGACGAGATGATGTTCTGGGCTACTGCCCAGCACCGCGGTCAGTTGGCTGTGCCACAGTTACGTGATCTGGTCTACAACAACAGCGAGATCATCGTCAACCGCGCCGTCAGCTTGGCCAGCCCGCCAGAAGGTAACTTGCCCGCCAACCAGACAACAATCGATTTGATTTCCCGGGCTGTCAACCCCCAGCACCTGGCCTCTTGCGATGCCTTGTGGATGCCATATCTCTAGAGGGAAGGGAGATTTGGTTGCTTCCTGCTTGATTTTTGTATTACTTGTTGTTCAGCATCCAGATGGTACCTTTTTGCTACTGGTTGTTCATTTGTTGCTATTACTTGCTGGCTGCCAAATGGGTGGTTACTATGGCTATTTACTTGCTTTTGAGCGTGGCGCATTGGTGAGGATCCCTATTATAGGGTGATCTTGATGATACCGTTTTACATCTTCTTGTATGACTTCTGTTATTTGTTTTCTTACCTTGAAGAATAGCTTCTTAATGTACTCTGAACCATTCAATTTTTTGGAGTCATTGGTCATGTGTTTACTGTAGTTAAGGTGTATGATGTAGTTAATTCGTAAATTCTTGAAGTGGAATGCCAATGGAAATAAAGCTATTCAAGTTGCTTCCCAAATTTCCAGACGCCGGCGCCAATAAATCAGGTATTCCATGCTCTTATACCAGTGAGGGCTTCTTTTTGATACCCAAAAGATTGCCACTTTTCTTGGTCTTCTTCACTCTGCTAAAGGATGATGATGAAGGCGGGGGCATCGAGATCGACGCGGCGGGCTTAGGTTCTGTTGATACAGGAGCTGCGGCTGGGGCGGGCTCCTCCCCCTCCTCGTCAACAATGCGTTTAATTCTCTCCCCATCGGCGGTCATGAATGCCTTGCGTGCAGCCTCTTCATCCTCCTTTTCAGCCTGCAGAAGTGACTCGTCTACCTGTTCATGAATAGAGTCGAGGGCTGCCTCGTCGTCCTTGCCTTCATTCCGTGCAATGCGCGCATTTCGAGTACGGATTTCGTCCAGCGCATCCGCAATCGCCATCTCCCGCTTCGAATCGTGCATCTTCTCCTCCAACTCGGCCATCTTATCGCGTTCCTGTTGTTCGTGTTCGGCATTCTCTTCGCGTTCCAATCGGTCGAGGGTTTCTTCTTCGGTTTCATTGTATTTTCCGGACTTGGAATCGCGCCATGGCTCGAAGTTCCGCTTAGCACCCTTTTCGCATTCGTAGTCCATGTTCTTTGGATCGGTACGAAAGGTGATCTCTCCGCTGCATCGTGTGCAACGGATGAAGAAGCGGTAGATGGGGATATTGAGGTATTTTTCTTCGAGGGTTTGTTTGCGGGCGTTGAATTTACGTCCACGGTAGATATATTCGCCACAGTTGGTGCATTTCATAGGGAAAGGTGCCATCAATCGGACGGTGATGACTTTCGGGCCCTGCTTGCGCAGGTGCTTGGGTGTGCGCCCGATCGCACTGGGATCGAAATCAGGTGGGTAGTATTTCGTCAAGACTTTTCGCTCGGACATTTTGGCGGGTGGTTGCTTTAGTTGGTGGGAAGAAAGCGAAGAGAGTAAGGCTGGGCGAGGTGATGGGAAAGTTGCTCGATGGCCTTCGAGGTTCGATAAGAGGAAGAAGTGGGGCAGGTGGGATTATAGCCAATCATAATAGATGATATACTGCTGTGCTACACCGCCCCTAAATCTACATTGCTTATCATCACCTGATATGGATCACGTGCGTGGTTGCTGAGACGAAAGGCAGTGTCGATGGGCGAGCAGAAGTCAAAGGAACTGACATTTGTGTTCTTTCAAGTCTCTTGGTCACGGATTTCATGTCTCTATCGTTTGAATCTAATCTTTCATCAGTTCACACGGCTTTCTAATCTCGTCACTGTGGCGGCTCCGTGCACGGGCCATTTGTTTTGTCCACTGCTCGACCCGCTCATGCGAGCAGCACCGCGCAATTGTCAAATTCTCCGAAGGCGGATTGCTGGAGTTCAAGCCCACCGTCTAGCTCAAGCTTGTTCTTTCTGGCCTTGACGCGTCTGATCCGTGGTCATGGAACGGTACCTGCGCTCCTGGAGACAGGACGCGTTGAATCGCGGCCAGCATGATTCCGCCATCTACATCGGTGACAAGGTTCTTGCGCTCACCAGTATGCCTCCTGTCGCGCTCAAATCCCGGAGTTAAATACTGACTGTTCGCCGTGAAGATAGTGACTCGGATGCCTTTTGGCTGGCACAGGTCCACTTCTCCAACAATAACTTCACTCGTGCCTTAGCCCTCTTATCCCGCAAAGACCTCATATCTCGAAGCACCGCCTGTCGCTACCTCGCAGCTCATTGTTACATCAAACAGAGCCAATTCGATCAAGCCTTGTCGATACTGGGCGAGCACAATCCTACCGACCTCGTTCGAAACAGCAACAGTCGGCGCAAGATCCAACATCTCAATGGCCAAAGCCATGTCACAATGCGCAATGGCAAGCACCCCACATCACGAGCCGAGCGAGCAGAGGAACGAGAAAAGGAAGATGCGAACAATGTCCGATTTGAGGCCGCAATGTGCTATCTACGGGGCCTTTGCTTTGCAAAGCAGAATGCCTTCGACCGTGCCCGTGATTGCTACAAGGATGCAGTGCGGATTGACGTCCAATGTTTCGAGGCCTTCGATCAATTAATGAAGAACTCGCTCATGTCACCAGCTGAAGAATTGGAATTTCTCGAATCATTGGACTTCGACTCAGTCTCCTCGCCTGACCCCGCTGTGGCTCAAGAGGCGGCCGACTTTACTAAAATGCTCTACACCACCCGTCTCTCCAAATATTCTGCGCCAAATATCCTATCCGATGCGACGGAGACTCTCTCTACACACTACAATCTCGCTGAGAACCCGGATATCCTGCTTGCGCGTGCCGAAGCCCTCTTCACCCAGTGTCGCTTTGCAGAAGCCCTGGAACTCACATCCTCCATCCTTTCTACATCTCAATCCAACGAATTAACGACCACAAATAGCCCAAGCATGGCTGCCCACAGCCACCTTGGGCATGCCCCTGGAGTCTATCCGCTACACCTGGCCTGCCTCTATGAAACTGGAGCTACTAATGCTCTTTTCTTGCTCTCGCATATGTTGGCGGATCATGCCCCAGAAGAACCATATACATATCTTGCCATCGGAGTCTACTACCTCTCGGTATCGAAAATCGCCGAGGCCCGAAGGTTCTTCTCCAAGGCTTCTCTACTTGATCCTCACTCCGCACCCGCTTGGATTGGGTTTGCACATACCTTTGCCGCTGAGGGTGAGCATGACCAGGCAATCGCTGCGTACAGCACAGCTGCACGACTTTTCCAAGGCAGCCATCTCCCACAACTTTTCCTTGGAATGCAGCATCTTGCGCTGAACAACATGTCACTCGCCCACGAATATCTTTGCGCTGCATATTCTATGTCAACAGGTTCTCCTGCGAGTAATGCTCCTGGTCTTCCGGGTAGTTCACCATCCAGCCCCCTCGGAGGCGATCCTCTCGTGCTGAACGAGCTTGGTGTTGTCTACTACCACCAGGGTAATCTATCCAACGCCATTGAGCTGTTCCAGCAAGCCCTAAAGCTGGCCGGATCTCTTCATTGTGAACCGGGTGCCTGGGTCGCTACTCGTGCCAACTTGGGCCATGCACTACGCCGAATGGGCCGTGTTCCGGACGCCCTTCGTGAATTCGAAGAGTGCTTGCGTGTTGGTTGCGGAGGAACAAGCATGGGTTACTCTCCCTTTTTAGGTGGTGGCGCAGGAGGCTCCGCGGCCGTTGCTACAGCATCTGGGGTAGGGGGCTATGAAGATCGCGGACTGGTTGGGTCATTGCATACGTCGCGTGGTTTGCTGCTCCTCGAGCTTGGCCGGACTACTGAAGCAGTGACAGCCCTGCACGAAGCCGTCCGTGTCCTAGGGTGCCAGTGGCGGTGGTGACGCTGCTGGTGGCGCAGGAGTCGCTGGAACACTGCTTTCCCGAGCACTCGAAATCTGGGCTTCAGAAGGCCATCAGAAGGATCGTAGAGCCATGGAAGACGGGTCACGAACGTCAAATAACCGAAACTCCAGAATCCGCGGCAAGGATCGGATGGATGAATCGCGTCGGCGTGCACGCCCGGATACGTACACAGAAGAGTGGACGGATGAAGTCACACACGCCGCGACACCAGACACTGCTGCTTCGAACGCCACTGCGGAGGCAAATGTCGAGATGGAGCTGGATGAGGAGGCGGACGGTTTGTTACGTCGGGCTCTTGGTCGGATTCGACCCAGCCGTCAACGGCGTCCAGCTGAACCGATGACCCCGGAGATGAACACTGACGACACGCCAGCGCGCAGTCGTGGCGTAAGGTCTGGTCGGAGCCAATCCCGACAATAATTGTCCCTGAAAACTACCTGGGATAGAGCGATCTGGTTGGGGGGGGTTTTTTTATTGAAGCATTTTGCAGCCGGCGTCGAGAGGGAAAATTGGGCAATGGTTATTTTTTTTTCCGGGTGTTGAAACTCGGGAGGCATCTGCATGTTGATACCAGTGCAGCACAATTTACTACAACAAACAACGGCATTCAAGTTTACAGCTAGAATAAGATGTCTGGCCTTGAGTCTACCTATTGTGTTTATGCAAAACTCCCAAAGTAAGATAGATCAAGGCATTCATTATTTGGGTTCGCCATTCAGCATCGAATCCAGCAGCCGTCGATTCTACGCTTACAGTGGCGCCGCAAAAGTTTCCAACCGCATATTGGCCATCATGATTTACCGCCTTCTAATGGCAGACTAGTAGCTACCATCTTTTCTATCTTATTTGAGTTATGTACTCTTTGGAAACTTTGCGGCGCCACTGTAATTTCTCCAATATCCAACCCTGACAACGACCATTAGAGTTCAATGTGGGCCGTTTCCGTGGCAAACAAGCCTTGTACCGAGATTGGGAACTTTGTAGCCTTGCGTTAGTATGCAGAGTACACATTGAGAAAATGCTTCTCTTTCGCTCTAGCTTATTGGAACACCGACGCTAAGACGAGGACTGATATACTCCAGGGCTCTTTTAGTATAGGCAGCGCATACCTAGGTACGGCAATGACGGGTTCTTGATATCCATGTTTCCATTCGACCGCATAGAGATCTACGGAGCGAAAATAAAATGTCACGTATGCTGCTGGGCGTACATATCCCTCGTAGTAGGGGTGTTAATAATTATTAGTATGTGTTACAATATATGGGCAATACTTTTGTTGGTCGAAGTGTTCCTGTTGGCACCTGTAATTTTAGTTTTTTTTTTGTCGCGTTCCTCACCCATTCATTGGCTTTCCCATTTCAACATTCTTTAGCCATATAGCTGCCTGGAAAATACTAGCACAACACCTCGTCCACGACAGTGTCAAGAGTATTTGTCGAATACTTGTATAGCAGACCAGTCAAATTCGCTTTATGTTTATGGGCGATGTGACACGATTGAGTTTGATGATTGATTGAATATGCTCGGCGCACTGTCCAGGTGTGATCCAGGGGTCAATGGTCTCATCATTTATCGTAGGCACATGGTCTGGAAGCTCAAGATTAAAGTTCTCAAAGGTCTTGATAACCTTTTTCAAGACCTCAAACTCCTGCGCTAGTTACGGAGTATAGTAGCGGTAACTCCTTACTCTGTACTCTACTCTCCACAATGTACGGAGTACTACTCGTACTCCGTAGAAAGTACAGTATTCACACGTTGGCCTGTGGATCCTGGTGGATTCGATTGGGGGGGGGGGGGGGAGGAAGAGTACGAGACTCGTGGACCGATGCCCATTGTAAGGTAGTGCAATGCTCACTGGATGCACTAACAATGGAGTATAAGATACTCCTGACAACTTGAACTTCCAGTTATGTATTAGAGATTTCAGATATAAAGGGGGTCTTAGCTTCATCTGGTAGCCCTGCGTTGGCAAAGTAACTTGAAACAATCACATTGTTCGACATCTTATATTATGAATCTACTAAAGCTAGTGTTTTTTGAAATCGCGATGCCCTAGTTCAAGGCCCGCAGAATTGGATAACAAAAGCCCGCTAGTCATGAGTAAATCGTTTTGATTGGACCACTTGGGCATCTTACCCTTTCGACCGGAACGAGTGTCGATCTTGTTGAGGCTCGAAACCGCCCGGCCAATTCGCCTAACAACTCGCCGCCATTCGTCCCTCCCTGAAGACTTCAAGTCATCGGTTTTCTGCAGGGGACACACTTGATCACGAGGGATATTTCTTAGTCCGTATTTGAAGCCACAATAGTCCGGGGTAGTATAGGGCTGTGGAGAAGGTGGAATCAACATTGGCTGGGGCGTCGGCTATCCGGGCAGGGTAGCGTATATGCAGGGCAATGGCAATGGCAATTTACGGTGTGAAGTAGGTACTAGTACTCTGTGAAGGGTATAATTATTATAATATAATTATAGTAGCAGGGGCCAAATAAGCGAGTGGATCAGAATGTGCAGGGCTATGCAGAGATATGCGGAGTCAGTGCATATGCTTCTCCCTCGAAATGGGAAGGGGAAGCGGACACGGGGAATTCATTGGGTGAGGGTTGTGGGCGTAGGCGTTGTGGTTGCTGGGCGTTGCCAAGAGGGCAGGGCACTGGCATGGAGAAAACATGGAAAACATGGAATAGTAACGGAGTACGGAGTATACTGCGTCGTACAACCAGTATTTCACGAGCTCGTGTTAGGCTGACTTTTGGGGGCCAAAAGCTGGGGCTGGGCAAGGCAGACTTGGTACAGTACGTAGTAGTGTACATAGTGTATCGTATACAGTGTCGTATCCTACAGTATATAGCCACAACTACTAGTATCTATAGACTATAGACATAGAGTATAGACATAAACTATCTAAGTATTCATGCTGATACTATCTACTATATAGTCTACAGTATACCTACCGGCATACTCAAATATACCGTACCTGGTGCCTCTTGTACCGTACCGCCCCATGACGCAGCGACCCACGCTGAGGCTCTTTCGCCAATCGACCGCGCCCAATCCAGCCGATCCCTCGGGAGCTTGTCAATCCTCCCAAATTCGGCTTCGTTTCAGGCTCCCCCCCCTAAACTCGCCTTCTTCCTTTCTTCCCCTCTACATCCCCCTCCTCTCCACCCTTTTCCCCCCCTCCCCCCAATCTCTCCATTTTTTCTTTAATCTCTCCATATTTTATTGTCTGGAGTATGCGGTCGTGATCTCTGGACCGATGACCGCGGCATATTCTATGATGCGACCGCGACGCGGTCTATCGCTGCTGTGCATCATCGCGTGCCTCTTCTACAGCATCATTGTCGCCATCTGGTATGGTGTCAACTCTGACCGCGATTACATTCACCCTCTCCTCACCCAACTCATCCCCGCGGGCCATTGTGCCTGTCAAACCTCGACAACCTTCCAATGCTCAACCTGTTTATCCTGCCCTGAACCCGCCCTACAATTACCCACCACCTCAACTTGGAATTTCGAATACCCTCGTGATGCCCGCAACGACGCCTTAGAAAAGACACAATGCAAGGTCGCATTCCCAGGACTCTTCGAGGATGTTGCGCGCGGGAAGCGACATTGGCGTTCTCAGGGGGGGGGTCTCGTCACCGAGGACCTCGACGCCATTCAACTCCGATCCGGCATGGCTCGCGCCTTCATCTCTCAGGGCAACCTCCATGTCGTCGCCGCGCGATCCATGGGTGATGATCACCGAAAAAAGATACTTGGAGTGTTGAGTTCGATTCACCGCGCGCTGGTCGCTGACCGGGATCGGGCCGACCAGCGTGACATCGAATTCGTCTTTTCCGTGGAGGATAAAGTCGAGGATGTGACCAACTCCGAACGCCCGGTTTGGGTCTTTGCTCGCACTCCGACCGAAGAAGGGGTCTGGCTGATGCCTGATTTCAGCTTCTGGGCCTGGGATAACCCTACCAATTACATCGGGCCTTACGACCAAGTCGTCGATCGTATCCAGCGACTTGATGTCCCCTGGAATGAGAAGAAACCCCAACTTGTCTGGCGTGGAAAGCCCAGCTTTTCTCCGAAATTGCGCCGGGCGCTGATCGAGGCCGCCCGGGATAAGCCATGGGGTGATGTGAAGCAGGTCCAATGGTCCACGGGGGCCAACGTGCTCAAAATGGAGGACCACTGTCGTTATATGTTTATTGCCCACGTCGAAGGTAAGCCTTTCCCCCCCAGATGGGCACATGCCCCAAAGTTGAGGTCTATGGTTGAAGGAGGGGCGCTGACTGAATCTGTAGGACGTTCGTATTCCGCATCCCTGAAATACCGACAGGCCTGCAATTCCGTGATTGTGGCACATAAACTCCAATACATCCAGCACCACCATTACCTCCTGGTCTCCGAAGGCCCCCAACAAAATTATGTCGAGGTCGAGCGTGACTTCAGCGATTTGGCCGAGAAGATCGAGCCGCTCGTGGAAAACACCTCCGCCGCCGCACGCATCGCCCGGAACAGCGTCAAAACATTCCGCGAGCGATACCTGACCCCAGCCGCCGAAGCGTGCTACTGGCGACAATTGTTCGATGGATATAGCAGTGTCTGGAATAGCACTGTTAACCCTTGGTCGACCCGCCACGGCAGAGAGCGTGGCTTACGATACGAGTCCTTTTTGCTCCTGGAAAGTCCGCAGCAGCTCGAGTTCCGAGCCGAAACCTTTTCAGCCTATTTCTCATAATTGCTGAAGCGCCCTGCTCTTTCGAATTGAAAATATAGAAGCCACGACATAACTACAACCCTTGCATTAATGATAATCTACACATCACCTCGCCCTCACCTTCACCTTCACCACCACCACAACCAGCATCACTACACCATACCACACTCCCAGCGACTATGGAATCGCGGGATTCGTTGGAAGGGGCCCGGAGACCGGATTTGCTCCCGGGCGCGGCGTTCAAGCGCGCACTTTGTGATACCACAGCGACCCTTTTTTATATATTGCACAGAGATACCTACAAATACAGTGACGAGGTCCATTGCTCATACCAAGATCTTTCAGAGTAGATTAGATCGCGCGCGAGAGTAGACTCTAAACAGGCTATTCCTTGGTCCTGCCAGTGGGTTAGGGGTCGTCACCTTGGCCTATAAACAGTGAACTAAGCGTGGAATAGTAGTTAGTAGTACTAGGTAGTAGTACTAGTAGCTTTTGCAGCATACGTGCCTCTCGGGAAGGTTCCGATATTGAGATACGCTTCAAGTTTTACTGGTATATACAGCGAAAGACGTGGCCCGGGGGTTCCAGTTGATAGTAACTATGGTTCCTGCATTAGCCAATACTAGTATCTTCCAAATTTCACGCCATGTCATCGTGCAAGCAAAGTATGATACTGTACTTTAGCTCTCCTTCCAGCGTAACCTCGACAGAATCTAGTCATCACACCACACGATAGACGGAACCACGGGACCCTGTACTACACTTCGGGAGGTACTACCACGACTGTCTCCCACTACCTCACAAATACTCCAGTATGAGCAGTTTATGAGCCGTGATGATGCGATCGAGGCTGGTACCTGGTACCCTAGGAACTTCGAATCCTGGTACCTAATCGTTTTTACTACTAGATGCTCCTGCCTCTCCCTTAAGTTTGTAACTTTTCCTATCGACTTGCGCTGTTTCCATCCCATCACTCACTCACATTCGCTATATCTGCTATCTCTCTTCGTCCCTCTCACTCTGTCTTCGCCCAATATGGAAACGGAGCTCAAGGAGCCAAATCAAATTACCAGACCAGGAGCACTCTCCGGACCTGGTCGAGATATCCCCAGACACACGTATCCCATTAAACAGGTCCAAATCGAATCTCCGGACGTCCGAGCAGACGTACAGGATGTCGACTATATCGAGGAAAATGTACAGTCTCGTGTATCGAAACCACTTGTAAGCCTGGGCTCTGGGTCTGCTTTCATTCCGAATTGATATCCTTGGCTAACTATCTGATATAGTGGGCATTGATCGTCCTGACCATCCTTTCCTCCACCTTTCTCTTCTCACTTGACAATACCATAGTTGCAGATGTGCAGTATCCAATCGTTGAACGGTTTGGGGAGGTGGGCAAAATGAGTTGGCTCGGGGTAGCTTTCGTTCTATCAGGCTCGGCCACCATCATCGCCTGGTAAGTTCGATCTTTTTCTCTAGCTACTGCACTCACCCCAGTAGTATTTGCTACTAACCACTATCGATATCCACAGGGGTAAACTATTCGGCATCTTCAGCGCCAAATTCCTATACCTGTTCTCCGTTGTGATGTTTGAGGTGGGAAGTGCAGTCTGTGGTGCAGCTCCATCAATGAATGCGATGATTGTTGGTCGTGCTGTCGCTGGTCTCGGGGTTGGTGCCAATATTCAACGCTCTTCACCTCTCTCCCGATACTAATAAATGCATCTGCAGGGTGCTGGGATGTATTTGGGCTGCTTGACATTGCTCTCGATCACTTCATCAGTCCGCCAGAGACCGCAGTATATGGCTCTCACAGGAATTAGTAAGTGCCAATTGAATTTAACCAAAGAGATAAAATAAGCTGAGAAATCGAGCAGCATGGGGCCTTGGGACCGTTTTGGGGCCTGTGTGAGTATTTTGCATCGGCGTTCTGCGGACATTTTGCCTAATTGCGTTGATGGCAGGGTCGGTGGCGCATTTGCCCAGAATCGACATGCGACTTGGCGTTGGTCGTTCTATATCAACCTCTGCATTGGAGCAGCCTTTTCTCCAATCTATATTTTCTGTCTACCTCGTGGTGACCCCCAGAAAGTCACGAGCTTCCGACATAAGCTCTTACAGATCGATTATCTGGGAATGGTCTTGAATGTCGGAGCTTTTACAGCCCTGATCATGGCCATCAATTTCGGAGGGAATATTTTTGCGTGGGATTCTGGTCGAGAAATCGCGCTATGGGTGGTAGGAAGCGTGGTCCTACTACTCTTCATTTTACAGCAGGCCTTCAGTGTCGGTACTATGGAGACCGAAAGAGTGTTTCCAGTGGACTTTCTGACGATGCCTTTGATGTGGCTTCTGTTTTGTCTTATGTGCTGTGCTGCTACATGCGTGTTTGTAAGTGACATCGATATCCTAGCAGACTTCGCTGACAACCCTCTCAGGTGCCGACATACTACATACCACTGCACTTCCAGTTTGTCCGAGGAGATTCACCTTTAGGGGCAGCAGTTGGACTGCTCCCGTTTATATTTCCTATGGTATTTTGTGGCTTGGCTAATGGTGCTGCTATGACAAAACTGGGTTACTTTATGCCATGGTATTTAGTGGGAGGGGTTCTGACTGCGCTTGGAGGTGGCTTGATGAGTATGTTTACATAGGGCTCCCTCTTAAAAATGCGAAAGCTAATCTATGGTTGAATCACAGCGACTGTCAACGAGAACACTTCTACGACACATATCTATGGATATTCGGCATTGATAGGTATCGGCGCTGGAATGTATATACAGACGGGGTTCTCAGTGGCCCAGGCTAAAGTAGCCTCGTCGCGCACATCCGATGCAGCCTCCTTTATTGCTCTGGCACAGAACCTCGGAATCACTCTCGCTTTGGCCATTTCCGGTGCCGTTTTTGAGAACCAGGCCCTTGACGGCCTGCAGACTCTGATACCCCAGTATCCTCGAGAGACACTTCGCGGAGCAATCCTCGGCCCAAGCAGTGGTCTGCTGAAACAGCTACCGGAGACAGTTCGCAAAGAAGCACTGCATTTAATCGTCAAATCAATGTCTCACACCTATTATCTTGTTGTGGTTGCGGGGTGCCTGGCTGCTGTGGGATCTCTTTTCATGAAGGTATATTTCTCTCAGCCATCAATTGGAATTGACTCTAAACTTAATATAATAGAGAGAACGCATCTTTATCCAAGCTGCCAGTATGGGCTAATCATATGAGGACTAGACCCTACAGAAGAGATGGTTTCCCGATACTCTGATAGCTTTAGATGTCTAATTCAGGAGCGAGATCCTGCAATATTTATGGAGGAGCAATGACATACACGTTAACCACACTCTTAGTTACAATGTATTGTATCCAACAGGGAGCCTGATAACAGTGCTCCATACTACTTTTCCATCTATTGTATTCGCAGCGTAGGGAGCTAAAGTCCCTCGAGAAGATAGGACGAGAGCGTAAAACCATACCAAATGGTTGCGACCAGCGAAATCGCATTGAGATGAATGGACATCGCATGGTTGAATGTGAATGCCTTATTTGCCCGGTGAAACTTACCCTCATCATCAGATTGATCGCCCTGCTGCTTCTCCTTAGTATCTGAAATCTCGTCAGCCCAAGAATCCGTTGTAAACGCAGCTCTCACCACGGTAGACTGCCTGAGGAATCCTCACCATGAACAGCCTTCCTCACCAGCGACGCCGTCGTAGTCCGAGGCCCATAAACCACCCAATTCAAACCCCCCGTCCCCAAAACAACAAGTAATGGCCCCGCGCTCCAAAGATCGTTCATCAGCGAGATAATACTATAAGGCGGGTGCGTTGCGGCGGTGAGAACCACCAATCCAACTTGCGAAGCGAAGTATACGGGAAAAACGCGTTTCTGTAGCGTGAGAAACTCCCGCATGGGGAGGTATTTGAAGCATAGCTTTGTATTGACGAAGGTCTGTTTCGTTGCGCGAGTAGAGTGAACGGGTTAGTCTAGGCCCTTGGTGTGTGGTTGGAAAGGTAGAGTAATTACCTGGTAGAGCTGCGTGCCTAGTAAAGTGCCGTATGCGAAGAGGTGGTAAGGGAGGAGGTGCCCTATTGTCTGCAGTAGGCGTACCATGACGAGGAGAGGATGGGGTAGAGGATGGGGTAGAGGGAGCTTTCAAATGTTGATTGGACACAGCGAAGGGGTGGTAGTGTTCAAGTTGGGAGAAGCGTGAGGGTGGTTGGGATGCAGAGAGGAAGTGAAAGTGAAAGTGAAAGAGAAAGTGAAAGTGAAAGTGAAAGCGAGAGTGAAGTCAGGTTGTACGGACGAGGAAGAACCCTGGAACCAATCCAGGTGGACGAAAATGGCTGCCTGGCGGCTGACAGGCCGTTGCACATTTCACTCGCCGACGGGTATTTCGAATTCGAACTTGAATTCTAATAAGCATACTAGCTGCCTTTTGCTTTGGAAATACAGTTTGTGTTGGTTGTGATTGGGTGACGTTGGCGGGTGTGCGGGATGTGGCGGAGTGACGGAGTGACGGAGTGACATGCCCTAATTGGATGCCATGCGCACCGCTAGTTGCGGCCTTCTGACTGGTGAGATATAGTATCATTTTCGCTTCCATCAGAACCAGATACTAGTAACTTCCAAGGCTCGGAGAGAGAAATATCCGATGAGATTCGAGCTCTGCTACTACCTAATACTTACTACGACACGGGCCCAAGGCATCATGATGCCAGTGTACTCCAAAGCCTCCCGAGGAAACATGAACCACTCGGCGGCAAGTCGAGACATATGTGCCATCAAGGGCTCAGGTAAATAGTATCTCATGATTTCTCTCTATGGTCAAGATCCCATGACTCAATGTCAGTCATCAGTGATCGAATTGGGGAATTGGTAACAGGAATTAAATGAAGATTCATCATCAGTATCGCCAGCAATAATTGGTTCACGGGATCCGAAATTGTTCGGCCGAGTCTATGGAGTACGATGGACTTATTGCTCTCAACTAATTGCGGTAAATTAATTAAACCAACTTCCCTAAGAGCTAGGGCTTGTAGTCTCTAGCATGGTACTGTAAGGCTCGACTTGCAAAACTGGCCGTGCTTTTCGACTGTGGCAAATACCTCTCACAAGAGGGCAGTTTATTGTAGATAGGTTTGCTCCGGTGAGCCGTATAGTATTATAATCTATGTTTGGCAAATCATCGCTATCGTGGCTGCAAAATGGGTACTACATTGTGCAACTTTTCCATGTTTTGTGGCTGATAAGGAGGAGGCCACTCTTGCTGCCAAGGAACAAATGAGATTTTGAATCAAAGAAAAGAAGGATAAGTACAGTTAGATGGTCGGGGGATGAAGGATAGTTGGGCGAGGTTACACATTTCAGGTGATCCTGGGGCTTGTGCTTTGGAATCATGCGCGATGGCGAAACCATGGATATATTAAAGCGAGAATTTTGGTAGTTGGTGTCGATATTAGTATTCTGTATACGGGATGGAAGTCTCTCAAAAGCCAATAAGCTGATAGTATCAAGGAAAAGTCACGATGACAGCAGGGTCTGTAACCATGCCATGCAGTGTTGGTTGCAACACGTCAACCCACAGTCCTGATTCCACTGGAGGTATCAATTGCTATCCAAATACCATGTAGCCAGCGACTCAAACAGAAAAATAGAACTTGCAGCTGTCGTAACCCCAGAATACCCCCCACCAGTAGCCGGAGGCATTGTCGCACAAGGTATTTGTCTCTCCCTTCTAGTCCACAGTTGAGTGAAACCGGATGCTCCGCCATCTTTTGTCACATTGGGATCTCACATGCATGACATCGGGACAAATGAGGACGCTCTGAGGGCCATCCACATGGCATCACAAGGTTCTGGCGGTCTGGGCTTCCCTGGTTTACATACGCCGAAGAGACGCCAGGACACGGTCAACATAGACCCGCGCTACCAGAGTATTGGCTACCACTCAAATAATCCTGAGACAGGGTGACCTTGAGTAGTTGTAAAACCTTAGTCGATGGCCATTTATCCCACTTCGTGGTGGCATCAATCGAAGTCTTCGCTCTTAGCCACAACTTTGCTTGGCCCCAATTAAATATCCAAGTCTCCCAAATCTGTGCTATGGTAATATACATTGCGGATTATGCTATAACTCTTTTAGGAAGGAGCATCTGTCATCTTAGATTGATCGATGGGTTGATTGATTATAAAGCAAAGTACAGCTGCTGGGACGGCCATTATTCTGGCCTTGCCAGGAACTTGGATGTGCGGCATATTGAAACCATCAAATTAGAACCAATCCATTTCTTTCAGGTTGGATTATTCAACTTGGACAAAAGTCTACGTATAGTTTGCACAAAGTCCAATATCAACTTTCGATTCATGTTCGGCGGTGCCCAATGTAGCATGATGACGCTCGCCCGGCTTATTGTGAACACCATTGCTATAAGGATTTGGCTGGGAATGCTGGGAATAGCCCTTAGTTACCAAAGTAGCAAGACTATAACAGCACTAAGTGTATCTGGAAAGATCATCTAGAATATGGGCTTCCCACGCTATCCTCATGATTCCAACCTCATGTGCTACGCCACATCTCAAACCGCTGGTAGCCGAACCCATCCAGGGCACACACCGTATCCAGTGACTGGATAATCCCAGAACCAGACCTAAGATGTGGATGCACTGATGGAACAAACTTGGCGTCATAACGCATCAAATGAGAGTGTATGACGAGCGACACAGGAAACCTCTCCACCCAGGGTGAGCCAGCTGAGATGCACGAAGTGGCATGGACCCGAAGTATCACGCGGCTGAAAGCCTTGATCTCAAGTCCTTGCCAATTGTGTTGCGAGAAGACTTCTGGCTCTCTTCGTGCTGTCGTACAGATGCGTGTCACGGTGAGATTGACTCCAGTCGGCAATCTTCTTTCGTCAGTGTTTCCCTCGTGGGTGTGCATGGAAGCCTGGCCCGTATAAAGACTGGTATTATGACCCCGGGTGGCCAGTGCCGATCTCCCTCTGCATGTTATAGCACCTGAAGATAGCAAGTTGGGAACTTCATCTCATCCCTCGAGCAATAAAGAGCTCTATCTTAACGACCCATGCACAATAATTCCAAAATGAGAGCCGAAATTTCATCCAAGTCCACAAGCAATGATGAGACACCTAGCCAAAAGCAGGATCCTTTAGAGAGACGACGGCTGCAAAATAGACTATCGCAAAGAAATCACCGTTAGAAATCCAGTGCGAATGATACTGCGGCACAGTGGAGCTGATATCAACTAGGTCGAAAAATCAGAGATCGAATCGCCAAACTCCAAGAGCGCGTGATCGCAAACGAGCTTCGAGCTGCAGCTGCTTTAAATGGCTGGGATCAGCCCTATTCTCCTTCTCCGCTTCTATCACCCCGTCACGTATCCCGCCCTCAGAATGACCTCCAAGTCAACTCCCGCGACACATCACCTATGGCCACGGAACCGCCAACGCCTTTTACTCCTTCATTCAACATCACGCAAACATCTATATGGCCTGGTGATTTCAACTTTGCGCAATCCTCCGGGTGGATAACTGGAGATATACCCTTGACGGTCGATGGTGGAAGCTTTATGAATGACACCATGTGCTACACGTCGTCGGAAGGCTGTATATCTACCGGCATACAAGTACCAAAGGGGATTTGTCATGAAGGAAATCTGATGTACGATGCATTTTCAGATCCAAGTCTAATACATACAAATCTAAACAATGGAATCCAAGCGAGCCAGTCACTCTACTATGTTGCGACAGGTGAGTCGCCAATCTCGAAGATATATGCTCTTGATGCGATGCTGACATATAGTCTTTCTTAAAGAGACCTCCTTTCCACAGATTCTGCAAGCTATGAGAATTATATCTCCCCAGACAAAAATAATTGTCCTCGTACCGCCAGAGCCCGCATCAACCTATCCATCTCCACCTCCCTCCCTTCTGGGAAGCAATGTGTTAGATGGAATTCCGTCTCCGCAGGCAGGAATTCAAAGCCCGGCATGCCAGTGTCAATCCCAGTCCGCTCATTTAGCTCCAAATAATGTGCAAGCCCTCTCCCGATGGACTGCCCCTGGATCCTTTTCATCGGGTTGCCCTTCGCATAAAATCTCAACGCCATCTGGGGGAAGCTTTCCAGGAATCAGGTGATAGAGATTGACAAGAGAATAGTTCTCTTGTAAGAAGTGAAATTATGCCGAAAGTATCCGTGACTTCGTGTTCGGATAATTATAGAGACCGTAAGGACGGTATAACCTAGAAATATATCGAGAAAAGGCTTATTGGACAACTACTGGGGAAGCTAAATGATTGACAGAAATATGCCGAACACCTTCAAGATCTTTTAATTTTGTACATACTCTGCTTAGTTCCAAGATGTGTCACCATAGAAGCTAGCGAAAGGCTATAAACCAGCTGGTTGGAAACCTGTAATGAGTTCCTCCCAGAACATATCATCGATTCCTAGAAGGAAACTAGGGTCGGGCCCCATGGCAAGAGCAGGGTCATGTTGTGCAAATATTCGGGGGAAGTATTGATTGAACCAAGTCTGAACTCTCCTTGTCTTCATTTTGATCCGGTCAACCTGCTCATCTGAGCCACCGTCTCCTAGCCAATGAGCGCGTGCGAACGCATTGCCTTGATCTGTCTTCTGTGTGACCAACTCAAGTATTTGTGAAAAGTCAAGTTCTGTTCGAACCAAGTCTACATCCCAGCCTTCAACTTTGGATAAACATAGACGAGATGCGATGAGCAGACCATACGCCAAAAGACCCCAAAGGGCGTATGACGCAGTGAAGATCATATGATCTGGCATGGAGAGATATACTTCGAATAATGACTTTGTCGCTGCAAGGCATTTCCACATTGTATCTAACCGCTGCTGCCGGGCGCCAGTATTTGCATTCTGCCATAGAGGGTCGTAAAGTCCGGCCTCATAGAGAAAGATTCGCGCTGCATGAACATGGATAAGCCATTGGCCTAAGCAAGTGTCAGTAGCTGCATAGGTAATAATCTAAATTAAGGGATAGTCTTACAATTTCCGTTGAACTTGGTTGCTGATTGCGTGAGATTTGTTAGTTGCTGTTCTAGATAGCGAATATGCATTGTGATCGGAGCCCAAGAGCTGTGAGGTCCTTGTGGATCATCGAACGGTGCTACCTGGGCAATTTGTTCGACCAGGCTTTGTAAACGAACATGCAGAACCAGTAACTCATCTGCTGGATGCTTTCCCGTTTCGACCAGGATTTGCAATGCCTGGTTTAAATGCCGGCTGTACGGTATTGCATCAACACGTCGAAATACAGCAGATGCCCTAAGTCAGGATCAATCAATTAGCAATTGCCCACTAAATGGCGTTGGTCTCGAAAAAACGAACACAGAGGTTACATAGAAGCAACCCAATAGAGTCCTGCGGTCTTCATTATCCATGCGATTGGTTTCTTCTGCAAATCCATAGCTTGATCTTGATGCGTCAAATATTACTGTGCGACGGTCATTTAGATGAGCTGGTTTATCAAACCCGAGGTCTGCAAGAACTGCAAGAGCAAGATGGAGAAGGTTCGTCATTTGAGGGTTTGCCTTAAGATGCCCATGATACCTATAGAGACGGATCAGCTTCATGAGTTATGTTATTCTTATATGCCAAGGTCTTTTACCAGGCAATGGAGATCAGCAAGGCCTGCAGGATATCACGAGTTTTCTCTCCATCAATCAACAATCGCTTAGCGAACTCATCGGTCAAAGCCGCGCCTCGTCGAATCTGAAGAGCTCTATTTTGATAGGAAGCTGCCACTATCATAGCCTTGAAAAGGCAGGGATGATTGTGTCGAAGCACTGACGCCGGTTCGTTGGGAGGCGTAACAAATGGGAAGAAAATGCTCAATTCGCTTCGAAAAATAAAGCACAGTGCTTCCGCTGTCTCGTTCTCTGGCCAAACATCGTGACCGGACAGGATAGATTCCACTGGAAGAGACACGGGTGGAATTGAGTTATCTGCTTTCTTGTAATTGACTGATTGAGCACCTTCGAGCTTCTCGTTGGTTGTTAAGGTGGATCTAGGGATGTCATGTGGTGGAGTTGAGACAGGCAACGGGTCTTCATTCTGTCGCTGAGAATGAATGTTATTCATCAAAGAGTCAATCTGTTTCTCTAGCTTATCGAAGCGACTAGTAATATTGTTAGAAATCAAAATCTGCATCACTGAATTTTGACAGAGCTAACGAACGTTCGAGGCAGAGGGCTTCTGCGCCTGCGAGGCTCCTGCGGAACACACTGTTTACTCAATCGAATACATCTGATTTATAAATGTCAGCGGCGCTTGTAATACGTGAACCATTGCGACTAGAATCGGACGCAAAACATGCCGTTGACATTTGGGCGAATCGGTGGGATCATAGATGCAGCGGACCTTGGATTGCCGACAGGCTAGGCACGCATGGGCGGAAGAAGCGCGACCGCTTGGCTGACGTTGGCTCATAATGCCGTATTTGATTTAGTATGCCTTCCACCTGTCCGATAGATGGCTTGTTCAGGAGGCTTGAGAGTGCAGATGGAGATTTCGGATATCTCGGACACGGAGGCGGGGCCATGCCCCAGCCATGCAGAAGTATCATTGGCCCACCATTCTTCGCCGCAATCTAGTTTGTACATATTCAAGACCGGCAATTTGTACTAGTGGTGAAAAGGGATAAGAATAGTATGCAAGGTGGAGAACCGTGATATATTCAAATTTTCTTTTTGGAGAGATGGACTGCTCAAGGAGCAGAGAATAACAGCTAATTTCCTGATAGCTACTAGTAATAATGCACCATCCGCGACGCTGCCGAGCCAGCGACGTCTAGTGTTCGGTAACAAAATTAATATAGACCACAAAGTCCACTAGCGGTCGTCACTGGGGATTCCTAGTATACTTGACATTATTTCTCAGGAATTTTGAAACGCTTAGGAAGAACCATGATCCTCCGAAGGAAGCTGGTGACAAATTGCAATAGACACTGATCATACAAAACTGATTTTAAATTCACATGCTATTCGCTTGATGTTTTTTTTGCCTATTTCGTTTCACAATCTGACCACATTGACACAAGGAATTGAAGGCTGAGCACCAACACTTGAATCAGCAGTAGATCAAGTAGACAGACCCAGCTTAATATTGAAGAACATGAGACATCCGGGCTGCCCTCATGGTCTAATCAAAATGAATGCGCCATAGCTCACGGTCGCAATCTGTCTTATAACCAGTTCGGGTATGGAGCATGGCAGTGTTATCGCTGATCAATAGATCACCCTTCTCCCACTCAAAATAAAGGCAGACCCGAGGATCATATAAGACTCGATCAATAATATTTACCAAGCTTGGATGATCATTCTCGATTGTCACATCACATGTGGAAAATTTGGTCTTGGTCGAATCCCACGGCTGGTGCCAGCGCAGACAAGGTAAGCCTGAAATTGGGTGCGTTACCGTCAACGGTAGATGGGTCAATTTCGCGTCCCAGAAACCATCATTATCCATGGCCCAAGTAATATTCTGAAGACGTTCAGAAGTCCATGGAAGTGGTAGATATCTGAAGAAGAGTCGCGAGCTCGCGAAGAGTGTGTACCCGCTTCCTTTCGGTGCGGTGGCGGGACAAGTGAAGAATTGATAGCCGGGTGGTCTCTGGACTTTCTTTTTCTCTCCAGTCACAGGGTCATCAAATTCCTCGAATTTGAACATGCCATCGAAATGCATGGGCATAGCCTCATTCGAAGTAACGTTGTTACCCATCTTGTCTGCGCGTCCGGCATCACGCACCTTCTGGATAACACCAAAGCTCCATGGGAGAATGGTTCCTAGCTCCGAAGCCGCCTTCACATATAGCTCTTCCTCAAGAGTTCCTTCAAAGCCGCGGAGAATTACCGGCGACATGATGTTGGATAGCTTGCGGACTTTGCTCATGGGAAGGGCGCTGATAGATGGAGTTGGATTAATGTTGTCAATGTCGGCAGGTCGTATGATCAATCCGCTCGGGTATAACTGCTCAAATTTGACAGAAACGCCATCTTCGACCCAATTGAATATGTCAGACTTTTCTCGAAAGTAGTATGGTTGACCGTTTCTATAAACAAGGTCGTGTGTGTCACGAACATCCTCGGCATGGACGGTTCGATATGAGCCGTCCAGGCCAACTGCCACTGATGCATGCCAAGGTGTATATCCAAGGGACCCACGGAGTTGCGGAATCAAAGAGACAGATAGTTTTCGCTCTCCTGCAGATTCGTGAATGGATAGTCGAACGTAGTCTTTCCGGTTTGCTTTGATAGCAGCGGCGAACATCTTACCGCGAACAATCATCTGGCGCGCAATCTGGGAAACCTGGGCTTGTCGAGCACGCTTCGAAAGATGAACTGTAGAGTCTTGGTGCGCGAGATCTTTTGTCAAAAATTTGATATACCCGCGATACGTCAGACAAGTGTCGTTGTCAGTTTTGATGGCCTCGTCAGGGTCAAATAATGGATCGCCAAAGACGAACATAAGTTCGCGACGGAGGCAGCTTGCGTGCGCCAAGTAGTACGCCTTCGCAGCTTCGGGAGTCTCTGATTTGAACCAAGGATGCTCGAGAAGCTCGAAAAGGCGAATAAATTTCACATGATGGAGGCCCTTTTCCACGGCCATGTGCCGTAGGGTCTCTCCATAGTCCCAGACAGTTTCGTCAGGCACACCAAGAATATCTAAACGCGTTTGGTCAGAGACAAGAACATTCTGAGAATTTATGCTGGGTCCTACCGTTATAGACAAGTCCGTCAGAACTGATGTATACGTCAGCACCAGGCTCGTATACTTTGCCGATGTTGTCGCAAAGCCCGTTGAGATGTGACAGTGCCAATTCTTCACCAAAGTCGGGCATCGTCCCCAGAACTTTGTCTCGCACATTTGGAGACTTGAAAGGAAAGGCGGGCAGAATCATGCGGATCGGTTCCCGTTGCTTGACTTGTTCCATAACAATGGGGACGAAGGACTCCAGTCCCTTCCACGAGCCACCAGTCTTTTCGTAATCCACCCCATAACTTTCAATAATCTTTAGAATATCGACGGCCATTTTGCGATCGGTAGAATGAATGGTAGAATCAGAAAAACATGTATTCTCAACATGGAGGCCATTTTCGTCGTGTTTTGGAGAGGCTCTGCCGTTTGCGGTAACCGGCGGATCGGCAATACCGAGGGCAGCCATCGGATCGGGGCCCATGGCATTGGAATTGTCAGTCGCTAAAAATGGTTCCGACTTTGCAACATTTATGAGAATAGAAGACTGTTCGTTTTGTTCCGCCTGGTCGGAATGACTGACTCCATTTTGGGTGGGTTTCTGTGAATATAGTAGGTCTGGAACATTTTCCGTATTGGGTGCGATGGCGATCATGGTGACCGTAGTTGAATGTGGTGGGTCACACTGATGTCTTGTTTCCTTTCAATAACGACTAGTCGAGTTTGTTTGGGAAGGAGAGCCTTCTGCTTTCTCCTTGAAGTATCTAGTACTCAGAAAATATTCCGAAACTACTCGATTTCCGTGAGAACTTCATCTCGCTATATACCCGACACCCTTCTCCCTTCCTCCGTTCCAACTAGTAGGAACTTTCCAACCTCATGCCCCATTCAGCCGGATGACTGTGTCTCGATAGCATTGCGGACTCAGATACCTGGGATGAAGCTGAACTTACCAGATCGGAAAGAACCAATCCATGGGTCCTGTACAACTCGGAGCCGGTGGATCTCCGTCTATCCTCCTGCGGTGAGGGTCTAGAGCGGGTAAACCGCTGATGGTGAAACTAACCAGCCGTTGAAAACAACCCTGTTAGGGAATAACGTCAATTGAGTCGCTGATGAGTGCATCAGGGGGATGTATGAGGCGCAGACGTGCAGTCTAGAGGTTGTCAGCATGGTCCATAATAAGACCTGTGGCAATGGCAAGGAAAAGGATATTCCTAGAATGCCCCCGCAGACAAACCTTTCACTTTCCAAGTTCAGATGACTAGATTTGCAGACGCGTACAACCGTTTGAATTCGGTTCAAAAGAATGAACTAGAGCTTGGGCTCCCGCTCGGCTCGATGATCTACCTCGCTTCGTATCTGGAAAGCTAAACGGGAGATCCCACCCAACCTATCGGTCCCGATACAAGTGTAACTCTGGGTCATATGAAGAATGGGAGCTCTTTATACCATTTCCATTACTTATTTTCTGAGAGCCATGTTTGGATATGGTATACTAGTAATCCGGAAGGAAAGATTTCTCAATAGCCCCGTTGGTATTGCGAGCACTTCTTTGGGTAGTTGCAGAAACACTTATTGCAAGATTGCAATTCAAGAACTAAGATCAAGAAAGGAATGCGGTAGTGTAATCATACTAAAATAGATATCCAACAAGAACTTGAATATACCCGGGCATCAATTTCCTGGCTCAGCCCAATCATACTCCATCACCCGCGACACAAAGGCAGCCATTTCCGGGCTTGACAGCTGACGCACGACATAAAATGTAGCGTCAAGGCCAGAACTAATTCCTCCAGCTGTGACTAGCTGTACCGAATCCCCTTTCAAATAACCTCCATCCATATAGCGCTTGTGCACTACATTTGTGGGGCCCTCATTTTTGTCACCAAAACGAGCACATACTTCCCGTAGAACCTCCACCGCACGGTGATGAGTTGTGACCGTCATTCCAGACAAAATACCTGCCGCGCCGAGCAACAACGCACCTGTGCAAATGGAAAACAAAATACGTGGCTTTTGGGACTCCGACGAGGTAAGCGTAGCGAATTTGCGGATTATATTGACCTCCGGGGTATTTCCCTCGACCAGTGGCTGAACAACGGCGGGTGGTCCTCCTGGAACTACGAGCATGTCGTACTCTGCAAGTTCTTCCATGGCCCTTTCCAAGAGCCTATCGGCTTTCACGGTCATGACACTCGCGGCGTGGATGATAGAGGTTTGCGCGATGGTTTCGATGATGAACATTCGATCCGGCTTGTCGGGGTTGCGGTTATGCGAAACATGGGACAGAACCTCCATCGGGCCTGTAAAGTCGAGGATATCCACCCTTGGAAAAGTAGGACACCTACTTTGTAATATTGCTTGTGTTCGTAAGCCGCCATGTTCTTGGCGGCTAAAACTTGCGGGTGTTATTTTCGGTTCGAGAGAAATACGACGCTGGCAGACGTGGTCACAGAAGAAGAGAAATGCAAAAGAAAATGCAGGTATGCAAGAGGCTGCAGATGGACAGAATGAAGGCACTTTCTTCAATACTTTTGTTGAGTGAAAGAGTTGGCTTGAGGGTAGATGAGATTGGCCTCCCACGGTGGGTATCAGACACGTTGCTGACTCCAACAAGTAATGGGCCGACGTCGTGTCACCGGAGCATCCTCATGTGCTTATCGAGTCTCATGAAACCCGAAAACTCTGCATTCGCCATCTACTGTACCCATGTGGATCTCCGTTCCAGCGGTGAAGTATAACCTCGTGCTGCAAGGGTTTTATGCAGTTTCCTGCGGTGGATGCCATTACCAATGTGTTTCACAATCCCTTCGCAGATACCCACCCCGTACCTCTGGCTGTTAATGTTTTTCGAGGTGCTGCCACAGCTTCAAGCTGGCTTAATCAATCTAGCCGTCAATTTTACCGATCCATCTCTTTCTGGCATACATTGTCCATCTTCGGGATGTGGACTGCGGGGAAATCCACCATGTCGGATGGTGGGGGATGCAGCAATAAAACTACTGCATAGCTTCTCTGAAAAATAACTTGATTTCCTAGATTCCCTGCGCCTCCTCAGAAAAAATGTCTTCTCCAGAGTACAGCGATCATTTTTCGATCACCAACATCCCGTTTGGTGTGGCATCTTCTGAGAGCCATCCGAATCCACAATGCGTGACTCGATTGGGAAACAAGGTTATTTTTCTTGTCGACATACAACGATCGGGAGTCTTCTCCAACATCACAGGCCTATTGGAAGGAATATTTGACAGCCCGACCCTGAATAAGTACGCGGCTCTTCCCAGACCCATTCAACGGGAGGTGAGAAGGGTGCTCCAAGAGACATTGAAAAAGGCCCTACCGATGGGTCTCGCCGAGGATATTGGCGCTGTCACTTTACATCTGCCCATTGCAGTTGGTGGGTTCACAGGTATGCATCCGATGTCGTCTACTCTGGGCATACGTCAACAGTCAATCTGACAGAAGATAGATTTCTCATGTAGTGTACACCACGTTCGCAATGCAGGCCGAATCATTATCAATGATGAATCGGTCCCTCCGGGGTTTTTCAGTTTCCCAATCGGATACAACGGCCGTGCTAGCACCGTCTGTGTCTCGGGGACGCCAATAGTTCGACCGAAAGGTCACTTCTTTGATCGCTCGGCGCCGTCGGAGAAAAAGCCCATTATTTACGGTCCCTCGGAGGCCATGGACTATGAGCTAGAAGTGGGCGTGATTATCGGAAATGGTGTGCCCAAGTTGCAGGGTTTGGATGCGCGTGACGCAAATGACCATATATTCGGAATGGTCCTTCTGAACGACTGGAGTGGTAAGTATTCATTTCGCCACCTGATCCTCGGGTAAATGGTTTTCTAACTAGACGTTGTCTCAGCTCGTGATATTCAGGGTTGCGAAATGATGCCGTTAGGACCTTTGAATGGCAAGTCCTTCGGAACTAGCATCTCTCCCTGGGTGATCACCTTGGATGCTTTAGAGCCCTTTGCCACCCCTGGTCCAAACCCTGAGGTTGCATTAGCAAGCCATCTTGAAGACGATGTCAATAAGTCAAGCTATGAAATAAACTTCAAGGTCGAAATTATTTCTGGGCAGCATGTGACGACCGTGAGTGAATCAAAATATACGGACTTGCACTGGAATGGACCTCAAATGGCGGCACATTTGGCTAGCACCGGGGCAGACCTTCGCACGGGTGACATTTTGGGCACAGGCACAGTGAGTGGTCCAAACGAGGGCAGTTTTGGCTGTTTGCTGGAGACCACAAAGGCTGGGAAAGAGCCTATAACCTTGACTGATGGCTCGGAGAGAAAGCTCTTGTTGGATGGTGATATAGTCCGAATGACCGGCGTGGTCGGTGGTGTGAACTCCGGTGTTGGATTTGGCGAGTGTGTTGGCCAGCTCGTGGCGGCAGTGGATGTATGAAACAGATGAGAATAAGAATTCTTGCGCTTCAGGGAACCCACACATGAGATATCTAGAGCGGGTTAGATCCGGCACTGACACATGACAAGTTTATAAGAATTTATTAAACAGGACCGTTATAGATATCAGGAGAGACGGTATATGATAGCCTATGAACAAAAACGAGGAGAACATCTAAGTAATCCAAATAATTCCGGAACACCATGGCCTTGGTTTCGTGAAGATAAGCAGTACCCAACGCCATTGAAATGCCTCTGGCCCACGCTGAAGAAAATTCATTACTGAAAGTTAGAGAAATCGGAAGCAGGCGATCGTGACGGCACCGCTAACTCCATAGTGGCGGATGAATATACTCCGATGCGCGATCCAGTATATTTGGCATAGTCCATTCGCCACTGCCCGAGCTCTCTGGGGTAGGAGGCGGAAGTGACCCAGCACTGGGTGTCATGCCCGAAGGAACAAAAGAGCCCACCGACGCGCCAGCCTGGTTGGTGTTAGACTGAGCCAGGTACGCGGGGCTGCGGCCATTTGCGGGGCGCGTTTGCTGATTTCCAAATGCGCTCAAGAGTTTTTGCAGGGCACGATGGGTTTTAGCAAGAGACTTAGCCCACTGCGTCTGATTATCACCGATGGCAGCGGGCGATGTGGGATCCATCGGAGGTGGAACGACCCCCGGTGGGTTTGTGGCCCCGGTAATTGGGTCATATGTATTCATAGCTTGAGCCGGAGAAGCCATACTTCCAGGAGCAGGGTTGGAATCGCTAGTACCATAGGCTCGCTCGTTACTCGCGCGTTGTGCGATGATTCCTTCGAGTTTCCGAAGCAGATTCCAAACATTTGGGTCTGATTTCGCCTCTTCGATGACAGCAAGCAGGAACGCGGAGCTAATAGCGCGTTGCAAGGCAATCCACGAGCGTGCAGCATGGGAGCTGATGTTGTGCATTTCGATATAAGCTTCCACGGTTGTCATGAGATTCGATACGCAGTCCGCTCGGATACTAGCCGCCCCTGCATCACTACTATCGTTTGTCGGTTTGAGCGCCGGTCGACACAATTCGGACGAGAAGTATGAAGAATGTAGCTTCAACACAACGCGCTCCAAACTTTCTGTAGCAGTCGAACACCACTGCGCTTCGCGCAAATAAGGCTTCGCTTCGTCCATGATTGTTTGAATTCTTTCCTTGTAGGCTTGGATGCTGCCGAAGCTCATTTGAGCATGCGGACTGAGCATGCGAATTCGCACAACTTCCAGAGCCAACGATATGACTCTACAAAGAGTTTCAAAGTAGGAGAGATCTCCAGGTTTTGAGCTTTCGCGGTACGCTATATCGGGCTGGCTGACTGCTGTGGTAGAAGGGCGATCGTAGGACAAGGAGAAATGGCTATCTTGCCAAGCCATGGACCACCTGAGAGGAGAAGATTAGTATTTCTAGGGAGATGCAGCGCCGATTGATCAAAATCATACCAAACATGCCGCCGGCGGTATCGCTCATCTGCTGAAAAACGGCTTGATTCGACGTGTAACCCTAGTGCCAACCCCATTCGAAGCGTCATGCCCAGCAGTACATATGAAATTCCAGGGTTCATATTATAGGACAGAACATTTCCAATGACCAGCAACGTCTGAATGGCTTCGATCGTTGGCTGTGATAAGAAGTTGGTCATTCGCAGACATTGGTAAGAGCAACAAACTAGGTTTACTTTAGTCAACATCCGTCTAGCGTGGTCATTCTAGTCGTCTTACCGTAGACTTGCGACGTCAATTCTCGTTCTTTGCTTCCGAGATCCGACGATTGGCAGCCAGAAGCCAAAACAGCAAATAAAAGCCCGAGATAGGCAATACTAACACCAAATGGGCTTTGGGCCTCGTTTGCGTCTTCGCGATAAATACCCCCAGATGCAATTCTACTTTGCAGCAAGAGCTCGAGGTTGCTTTCAAATTCGGCAATATCTTCAAGGACGGGATATATGGCCCCCGCAATATCTTTGTAGTAGAAGAAGAATCTGCTCCGGTGTAAATTAGATTCAGCGAGTAAATGTTGGTCCCTGGTGGGTTTTCACTCACTCTCTGCATTGTTGATCGGTTGGAAGTGCGCTACAGACCGCACTGATATCAAAAGTCGACATGTCTGAAGACCACAAATCCACAAAGGGATACGTTGCGGATTCATTATCCAGGCCAAGCTTGGGCAGGATTCCTCCCTCTAGAAGAGCTTGGAGCTGATCGGATCCTGATTTGTTATTTAGAATATAGGCTAACACCGACCGAGAGCCCAGATGGACAGTTCCTTTCCCCAGTGTGTTTGCAGCATGGATGCCCTCGCGATCTGGGGAGGCGCCCTTAGAGCGGGAGCTCGCATCGACACTTTGCACACTCCCACTATCAATGCCAGTAGCAGGGCCATCTTCGGCACGTTCGAGCCCAACTCGTAACGAAGAAATTGTGGATTCCATCTCCCGCAGTCGATTGCGTACATTATCCCACTCTTCTCGAGCAATGGATACTCGGCCACCTACGTTGCCGCCATTCGCTCGATACTGTAAAGATTCGTGATTGATGTGGGACGGAGCATCTTCGTAACTGTATAGTCCGGTGTGATCAGAAGACGGAATTGCCGACGCGCCTTCGACCGGGCTCTCGTGGAAAGCCTGCGAGCGTTTCTTGGAAGGCCGTTCGTATGAGCAAATTTCCGTATGGTCGCGTTTGATACACCCGTCGCAAGGTAGATTTCGGTCGCATTTCACTTTGCGCGCGTGGCACGGGTAGCAGGCTTTTGGTTCACGCGCTTTGCGCTTGGTGCGAATAATGGCATCTACTTGATCCTGCGGCAAATCGGATACGGACCGATTCTGTGCCGCAGCCATGTCGGAGGGGGAAATGGAAGGGTTCGGAACGTATGGCGAAGTCATTTCCCGGGTTCTTGATATATTCTGACGGCATCAAAGGGTGATTATATCGAGATTATCATGTGTCGGCTATCTGGGCTTCAATGCGACCGGACGGAAGCGCACAGAGGTTCAAAGGCGACACGGGCGAGTGAATGGTTTCAAAGGCGTTCGACTATATCCGTAGAGAATGGGCGATTTGGGCTAGACTATTCCATCACTCCGTGAGGGATGTCATGGTGGCACAGAGACAATTGTATCAGATTGAAGACGAGCTGGAGGTGCCGAAAGACTCCCAACTGGAGCTTCATCGTAATGAAGGGCACGTGATGTGGGGCGGCCCAATGCGGAAGGAATACGTCAGCGACATTCAGCATAACTAATTATCTATACAGTTTCTCTACAATATACAACTATATACAATAGGATTTCAAAGACTCACTAGAAATGTTCAATTAATTTGCTACCAATTTTCCTTGCATCCGACTCGTTTCATCTTATCAAGCTGCCCCAACCATATGCGCTTTCTGAGCTAATTAGTGCTCTATGATCGACTACTAACCAGTAACTAACTGGCATCGCCGATATGTAACTAATATTATGCAGGCACCTTTTCATTTAACAGCCCAAATTTCGTGTCGAGCTTCCTTCTCACGTCTGTGATGCTCTTTTACAATATTTCGGACCACAGACTGGAAGTATAGCGGTCCCTTTTCCATCTCTGGATGAAGTAACCCGTTCACAAAAATGCCCGAGCTCAGATTCTTCTGTGCCTCGATGCAGAGATGCTTGTCTTCGTTCATAATTCGCTTGAACATGTCGCTGACCAAAATGAATTCTGTGTCAGAAGAGTGCTTATTCCGAAAGACTTCATAGCGCATCTGACAAGTCTTTGGTGAAGTCGGAATGAATCGCTGCATGAAAAAGAAGTGAGGCATAGCTGGGAGTCAGTGATGGTTTTCTATGATGTCGTTCTTGGCAATTGATAGATTCCACTCACGTCACGGTCATTGAGGCATTTGGAAAGTAATAAGTGCTACAGACCTTCAAGCCCGCTTTGATTTGTTCTGGCGTTGACGCTGGAAGGTGAATAATGCTTCCATCGACGGTGTCGACCGAATACGAATTCAGATCCGCGACGGACTGCACATCCGGATGGGCCATGGCGCAATGATAGCATTCATTATAGTTATCGGCTAATACCTTCCAGTTATATGCGCCATCCATCTCCCATGTATGGTTAAATGCGTATTCATTCCAGTCAAAGTCGCTGAAGCGAGGCTGGAGGTCAACATCTTTGAAGTCTCTTTCCCACGTAATCTCAGGCTCCTCGTTGGAATTCAGGTTAACCCATATAAAGCCATTACAATCAATATGGATGTGGATTGGGCTCGAATTTGCATACCCCTGGTCGATGAAGTCTTCAGGTTGGTCAATCTGGTCCTCGGGCCCGTGAGCCGAGACATCGTGAAATGCTTTTATGGCATTGTTATTGTCTCGAAAGAGAAAAAAATACCATCCTGCAGTCTCGTAGCGTAGCCAGTTGCCAGGTTTAGGCAGGCGCAGGGAATGCGTGGTGAGCAGCCATTTTCTGGCAAAGATAGATCGCCTCTCAAGTTCATAAAGAGCCTGCGACGTGTACCAGTTGGCTGGGAGCGCTCTTCGTGGGGACTTTTTGGAGGCGATGGAATATGAGTTCTTGGAGGTATTGAGTCCCAATAGTCCTTTCAGAGTGGAGGCCATTATGATTTAAAGAGAAGGAGCGAAAAGAGCCGGAAACATAAAAAGATCTAGGCTGGGTGAACCTGGATACGCTATCTTTTTGAGAAAAAAAAGGGAAATCTTGTCGATACTTCTTTAAATTAGAGCAAGAGGCGGCGACACAGCCGACCCCGATCACAGGACCATAGTATGAACCCGAGCTGGTACGAGAAATTATGGTTAGGTACATCCAAGCCAACTGAAATTTGTCGCATTGGCTGTAAATCAGATGTACACAGGTGATATCGCGCAATTCGGTCTCGTCCGCCATGCTAAAAACGGCACGGGGCACAGAATGCGTCATTTCAATCATATCCATTCCACACCGAACTTGGTCTCATAGAAAGGGAATAATCAACCGTGCCACTATCGGGTCTCTTTCAAAGCTTTCACGCAAGATACAAACAAATATATCAAGATTATTTGGTCTTCTAATCAATAGTTCGTCGCATGCCTATACAGTGAGAGTTCGGGCTAAAAAGAAAAAACGAATCAGAAGTATAGTTTTCGGGATACGAAATAAAAACATCCCCGCAAGGAGCCTCCGGAATAGATATGCCTTAATTGGTAAACACGCCGTTCACGTAAACGGTACTACTCGATACCAGATGGCCAATAGGAAAACCACGATTGCAAGAGACCTGGAAGCTGTTTCCCTCAATTCACTTGGTCTCTATTCGTCTTCCAGCTTGTTTGCCTTTCAACTCCAACATACGGTAGTAATATAAAGCCCAAAAGAAGTATTTAATCGCGAAAATTCGAATCGAAATTGTTTGACCGAGTACTTCGGATTACTTCTTGGAGCCATATCCTCAGTGTTTTATTCGTCAGCTTAAAGACTATTGGCTAAATACTATATGAAGAACTCTTTGAGGATGAAAATTCTACAAGGTTCCCGAGGTCCTTCAAGAGAAAGTTGTATAATTACTACTTTATTCTGCGCGTAAAATCTCGCGTAAAAGTAGAGATTTGGTTGTACCATTTTGTATTATTTTTATTAACTGATGCATACTAATAATTCTTCTGCATTCCTTTCATCATAATATTAGCGTACTCGTTCTAATTAATTACCACCGAAAATTTAGTAATTTTTGGGTTGTGGCCATAATGACAGCGACACATGGCCTCGGGAATGTATTGCGTGCTCAAGCCTTGACAGCTTGCTCCTCGTCATCAGCAAAGGCATACTTTGAGAAGCGCCGAATGGCCTCTCCTTTATAAAAAAAGACATATGGAATTGCACAACAAGCCAACGCAATGAATGCGAGAAGAGAGCTCGCCCATTGGTATCCGAGTCGATTGTACATCTGCTCGGTGAAAAGGACGGTGGAGGCACCCCACATGGATCGCAAAAATGTCTTCGCAGCCAGGGCCGATGCGGCTTGATGCTGGTATGTGTCGACTAATTGATATTAGCTCCTGTTCAAGGTAATTTTCACAACGATTTCAAGACATACCTAAGTAGTTGTTGGCAGAGTTATAAAGGAAAATGAAACCGAACCCAACTGGCCATCCTCCAATAGCGGGTCCGAACCAGTGGATTTGAGGGTATGAGGTCCAAGCAAAGATGAAGAGGCCAACAGGAATGAGCCAGCACGCCCACATCATTGGGATGAGACGCATTTCAGCGGGGGGCTTTCCATCGTATTTCTGGCTGATCTTGAGATAGTTCTTGTTCACGAATGGCGCACAGGCAGCACTCATAAGCACACCGATGGCCAAAGGAATGAACATAAGGCCTGTAGAGGAAGCGCTCCAGCCCTTACCTAATTGATAAACAATTGGGTATCTGCGGTTTTGTTAGCTACTTGTCATATCACAGAGAAAGACAGACTTACGCAACAAAGAACATGTAAAGCAAGCCATACAAAACAGACATGTAGAGGGCGATGAAGAAGACAATTGGCTCGAGAAAAAGGAGCTGGAAAGGTCGGAAAAGGAAGATGCGCAGCTTCTGTCCCATGGGGCGAGGGTCGAGCTCAGCCTCGGTGGTATACTTGGGGTCATTTTCCTCTGCTCGCAACTTCTTGGCTCGCTTTTGGAGAAGAATAGGAGCATAAGTCTCAGGGACAGTGAAAGTAATGAGAACCCAAGCAACGAAGGACAGGATTAGTTGAAGCCAGTACAACCACCTCCAGCCGCAGTTGTCACTAAGGAAACCGCCGGCGAGGGGACCGATGGCGGGGCCAATAAATGGAGCAGCACTGAATGCTGCCATGGGGACTCCTCGTTCCTCGCTTCTCCACAGATCGGCCAAGGTACCACCGACTAGCGTCATCGGGGCGCTGAAAGCAATTCCATCGATCAGTCGACAAACGATCAGAGTTCCAATGTTCTTCGACACAGCACATGGGATGACAAAAATAACAGCGATGAAAAGCGTGAGGGCATATACTGGGCGTCTTCCGAACATTTCTGACATTGGGGCGAAAGCCATGGGGCCTGAATCGTTGTTAGCAATGAACGAAAATTGGCATAAAATTATGGCAACTCACCGACACCAAAACCAACAACGAAGACAGTCACAGTAACAAAACTGACTTCGCGGGAGACTCCGAAGTCTTTCATTGGGCCCTCCAAATCAGCTGTGATGACACTGCTGGCAAATGCGACGACGAAACAAGTAAAGGCAACAACCATGGTGCAATACCACTTGTATGCCTTCGACCAATTCTTGGGATTCTCAGGATCGTCTATGGTGAATGTTACCAGTTTCCAATCCTCCATTTTACCGGTGGCATTAGACTTGATAGGTTTGATGATCTCTCCATTTCGTGTCTCGGTAGTGTATTCGCGGAGGTCGGCGCCGTCATTCAGTTCGCGGGTGGGAAGGTCGAGATAGTCGACCTGGCCGGAGCCAGATCCGATCGAGGCAGTTCGACTTGTTGCATTGGTATGCGTGTGGTCTGAACGAGGTGTCTCCATTTCGATACTAGTAGTTGTGGATCGGATCCACTAGTAGGAGTTGATCGATTTCAGTGATGACTCTTTGGATATGGATACCTCAGCCCTGCAGGGGTCGACTCCTTCTTATATTACATTTTCTGGTCTTGGCATGGCATGGCGATTTTTACATATTATTTCTTTCCAAATATGGATATGCGGCAAAATTAATCAGTCTACGTTCACGGGGTTACTTCCCGCAGCCGCAACCTGGGGCGATCTTGAATTCTCCACCAACGGTGAGAATTTCCCGAAATAGGACGGGTGACGCTAGCTAGAAAGAGTAATATGTTACGAGGGTACCGGATAATGTTTTGTTGAACGGACATCCCATTTCTGACAGGTCAATACTTATGGATGGTCTGGGTTCAATCAATCAAAAATGTGATCTTCTCCAATCATATCCATGTTTTACCTGATAAGTCATTTGAGAGGCCAATCGTTCCGAGTCCAAAAATCGGACATAGAGAAATATCCCCGTCTGCGTTTCTAATATAAAGCACTAATCGTGCATCGTTCAGATGCTACACTATCAGTTTCTTCTCGGACACTTCTTAAACAAAAACTGTCTACACATTTATAGACCTCAGAATATACCCTACACATGGCCTTGACTTCCCTACATTGGGACTGGTCTTGAACGTGTACTATCTAGTATCATGACCACTGCGAACCTTGTTTTCCGGTCATTTTATCTGATTAATCAGCCATCAAATCGCTGTCTATTTGCCTTCAATATTCGATGCCACGCAATGTCACACCTTCAACCCATCAAGCGATAGGTTGCTTTCGACAAGGTTCTTGGAGCTATGTGAGGTCCAAAAATCATGAGCTCTGCCTTACGCCTTGCTCCTCCACCCGTGTTAGATGTCTTTCACGGGATTCACCCAGTGAGAGAGCAAAATTTCATTTGCACTTAATTAATGTTTGCTATCCATGTGGCACTACGGTGTCTGATCTCTGACACTGCTGTTGTGGGCTCACTCGGAGCATATTGCCGCTTGTGGTAGTTCCCTTATTCTCCAAATCCGGTAATATGTGAGCTTTCGCCAAGGCCAAGAAAGTTCTCCGATGTTCCGGCAAATCAAACGAATTATTTGCATGTACATGGTTTCAAATCGAGTCCAGTATATGGTTTTGAATAGCATATTACGTCAGTGGTGCATTTATCTGATTCGATTGGGATCCAGAGCTCGCCACCTCACTTCCTATCCACGGATAAGAGATTGCCAATTGAATCATATCTAGCAAATTATTCCTTATTCAGCTTTGTTATTATCCACTTCCGCTCATAGTTCCCGAGATATCATAGATCCATCATATCCAACACACTGCTAGTATAGTTCCACAAAGGAGTGGAATAGTCTGTACAAAATGCGTAGCCGGAGTAAAAGGTGCTTTGCTGTCCCTGTAGAGCGTACAGTTTCTTGTAAAATCCATTTCTCACATCATCTGTGGAAACAATAAGGGTTTCAGGTGAGTGGGAAGCGAAGGCTGCAATTTCGGGCTCTTTTGTCGGATATACGCCTGTCTTGCCCATACGCTTCAGGTCGGATCGAATCAGCTCTTTCGCGTCTTCAGCGGTAAAATTGCTGTCGGCCACAATTTTGCTCATGAAATAACCGGGCACACCGGAATACTCCATTTGCCATTGAAAGGGAGGCAACGGAAGACTACCGGGCTGGTTTTCTGGATTGGTGTTAGCGACGTTGATGCCGTCGGGGAGACCAGTGTTGGTAATAGCCGCGGCGTAGTAGCTCTTGTGGTTCCATTTTGAGAAAAGAGTTGACTCTTCTGAACGAAGATCAAACCCGCTCAGACTGGAGGCCGTGGGAGGGAAGGTAATGAGTAGCTTCTTCGCTTTGATGAGTTTCCGGGTTCCATCAGCATTCTTGACGATCATTTCGACCCCAGTAGAATTGCGCTTCGCCTGAGAAACCGTGGTCTCATAGAAAATGTTCTCCTTGGCGACATAGTTCGCGGCCTTGTTAAACAATTGGCCTGTGCCATTCTTTGGTCGGATGTATCCCCCTCCCAACAGCGCGTCGATGTGTGTGATACCAAAATTCTGGATCACATATAGCAAAGGAGCATTCAGGATATCACCCACATTCTCAGCGAACATGAAGATGACATCCATCGCACCTTGAAGGGCATGTTCTTCCACGAATTCGTGGAATGGACGGAGGAGAGCCTCCGGGACTTTGTCTGGGAGGTAATAGGCCCCCGTTGACAGGTAGTTAAACTGCTCGATCGCGGCGCGGTACAGGGTAGCACCCGCGATAGTACCTAGGAGCTCATTTCCAGGAAGCACTCGCTTTCCTGTGTTGAAGTTCACATTTTCAATGATGATTGATCCCGGCAACAGAGCTTCATAGTCAACGTTGAGCTGGCTGAAAAAGTTCTTGGTGATGTCGTTGTTGAAATATCCCTCGACTCCATAGTTAACATAGTTATCACTTGGCAGATAAAGTGTCTCCGCATGTCCCCCCCAATCGGTCTTTTTTCTCGACCAGGGCAACACTGTGGCCCTTCTCTCTTAGCTGAATGGCAGCATAGGTACCTGTAGCACCACCTCCGAGGATGCATACGTCGCGAGTGACAATGTCCTCAGCATTGAAGCCATCCGTGGAAGCTGCGATGCAGGTTGCAGCCAAGAAAAGCAAGCTCTCCAAACGCATGACGGGTACTGAAATTTCGTTTATTGCGTTTGAATCGTACCCGGTGTGACTTATCCTTCTTCATCTCTTCCTTTTTGAACCCGAGAGTTTGACTCAGCAAATTCGGTGCACAAAGAATAGGGGGTGATTTTATTCAGCCACTAGAATATCGCTCCACCTTTCTCCTAATTCTTGCTTCTTTGGAACGGTATGGATCAGTCAACTTTATTCTCGTGTGATAGGCCCGGGCTAGTTGAGGATCGACACAAATTATCGCTTGTTGGATGGGTGAGAAATTAACGTTCTGGAATTGGTTCTCCCATTATCACTCAATGTCGCAGACTGCATCTGCTTGATCTAAACCTTTTGGTACTCAAATCGGATCATTATGTGGCTTGCATTTTCATCAAGATTCAAGTAGAAAATCTTAATGAAAATCCACAGGTTTGAGGTCAAGACCCATATACACGGCTAGTTGTCCCCACCTCCCCCGATAGTTCAGCTACTTTGGGTCAAGCTCCATATGAAATCCACCAACAACGGAGAGATCGGAACATGCTCTGAGATACTCGTATCAACGTAAAATAATGAAAACACGCGCGTATCGTTTCTTTTTTTGGTTGTGTGTATTCGGAACCTTCTATGTCATGATAGATCGCTTCTAGGAGATACTTCAAATTGAATAGGACCGCGAAAATCCCCTGCGTAAAATCTAATTTTTCCATTAGTGAATTCATTCTTATTCATGGTCTATTTCTCAGTTAAATGGTTGTACTACGAGAGCTCTTTTCGACTTCTCTCAACATAAATGGCGACATAGACTTGGGTACCGGAGCCATTTTAACAGCATGGCATTCCCAGGACTCATGGTATATTGCCACATATATAGAATCTATTGGCTGATGTCATTGATTTATACTCAAACAAACTGTACATCTGCTAGAGCTTCAGGTTCAAGTTGCTGTAAGATAATCTGTGTGTTGGACTGCTATGAAGCTGTATACGAGTATAGTAGGATATGGTTGAATATAGTGGGTTCTACTCTATTGCCCGCCGATGGTCGGCATCCATATCAAGGATGAAAGGCTCACAATGGTACCTCAACAGAAAGAATACCCTTTCCGCCCCTATTTTTAATTCGAGCCCTTCATAATATAAATGTATCTTATATACGTAGCAACATATCATCCCATACTTTCCCAACCTTAAGTGGACAGTGAAAAGTTAATCAGCACGTGATCCTCGATAAGCCCCCGCCGCAATTGGACGCAACGGGCTTAGGGCGGGGCCACTCAATCCTCAACTTTTTTTTTGGGAGTCATCGCGGGGTCTTTGGTTTTTGCTCAAGCTCAAACTCATTCTGAGAGGCATCTGAGCCATTCCACCTCCTTTATCAAGAGGGAGGATTGGTCTTGACCCGACTTACTTTCACAACATGTCCACCGACTCCTACCTTGCCCTCCCGGGCTCAGTGGCGTTCTCCCGTTCTCGCGGACAAGCCATCGCTGCGAGCCTGGGAGTACAGGATGTCCGAGCCCAATGGGTTCACTACGTCCACACCTCGCAGCCGCTTGAAAACTCCCAGCGTGCTGTCCTGGAGCAATTGCTTCGTTACGGCGACATCAACGACGTCCCCCCTACCTTCACCTCCGAGGACGGCAAATTCGATACTTTCTATATCTTCCCCCGAACCGGAACCATTTCGCCATGGAGCTCCCAAGCCACCGGTATCTCACACGTCTGCGGCCTGCGCAACTCTGTGAAGCGCATCGAGCGTGGTATGAAGGTTTCCTGTCTCCGCAATGGCCCCGAAGACTACAAGACCGGGTACATGGATCTGCTGCACGACCGCATGACCCAGATCATTGGCCAAGATGAGCCAGAGCTCCAGCTGATGTTCTCCGAGCACGCCCCTCAGCCTCTCAAGACTATCTCTCTCCAAGGTGGCACCAAGTCTCCCAAGGAGATCCTCCAGGAAGCGAACAAGGAACTTGGTCTGGCTCTGGATGAGTCTGAAATCGAATATCTCGCGGAGGCTTACGGACCTAATGGTGCTATTGCGCGTGATCCCACTGACGTCGAGCTTTTCATGTTCGCCCAAGTCAACTCCGAGCATTGCCGTCACAAGCAGTTCAACGCGTCCTGGGTCATCGATGGCAAACCCATGCCCAACAGTCTTTTCGCTATGATCCGCAACACCCACAAGAAGCACCCCGAGTACACTGTAAGTGCCTACTCAGACAACGCTGCCGTTCTGGAAGGTAGTGAGGCTGCCTTTTGGGCTCCTGACCCCACCACTGGCGAGTGGAACCACACCAAGGAACTCGTCCACTTCCTTGCCAAGGTTGAGACTCACAACCACCCTACTGCCGTTTCCCCTTACCCAGGTGCTGCCACGGGCGCTGGTGGTGAGATCCGTGATGAGGGTGCTGTTGGCCGCGGCTCTCGCCCCAAGGCCGGTCTCTCCGGTTTCTGTGTCTCCGATCTCTTGATCCCTGGTAACGAGCAACCCTGGGAGCTTGATGTTGGCAGACCGAACCACATCGCCAGCAGCTTGGATATTATGCTGGAGGCTCCTATTGGCAGCGCCGCTTTTAACAACGAGTTCGGTCGTCCTTGCACATCCGGATATTTCCGTACTCTTCTCACTGAGATTGATGTTGGCAATGGCGAGAAGGAAATCCGTGGTTACCACAAGCCCATCATGATTGCTGGTGGTGTCGGTACCGTCCGTCCTCAGCACGCCCTTAAGAACCCCGATGTTGTTAAGCCCGGCTCTTTCCTTGTTGTCTTGGGTGGCCCCGCCATGCTCATTGGTCTTGGAGGTGGCGCTGCCTCTAGTATTGCTTCCGGAGAAGGTTCCGCGGACCTTGACTTCGCCAGTGTCCAGAGAGGCAACGCCGAGGTTCAGCGCAGAGCTCAGGAGGTTATCAACGCCTGTGTTGCGATGGGTAACAACAACCCTATCAAGTTCATTCACGATGTTGGTGCCGGTGGTCTCTCCAACGCCCTTCCAGAGCTTATCCACGATTCCGGTCTGGGAGCGAAGTTCGAGCTTCGTGAAGTTGACAGCGCTGACCGTAGCATGAGCCCCATGCAAATCTGGTGCTGTGAGGCTCAGGAGCGTTATGTCCTGGCTGTCGGGGAAGATTCGATGAACAAGTTCACTGCCATTGCTCACCGTGAGCGTTGCGGTTTCTCCGTTGTCGGTCGTGGAGGCGGCACTTCCGAGGAAGAGAAGCGTCTCATCTTGCTGGATCGCGAGTCTACCGAGTACCCGGCCCCAATCGACCTGCCCTTGTCGGTCCTTTTCGGCAAGCCTCCTCGCATGACCCGAACCGTCGACTCGCGCAAGTTGACTCTCCCCGCTGTGGACTCCAGTCTTACCAAGTACCTGCCTTCGCTCACTTCCAAGACCGAGCTGGTTGGTGAGGCCGTCAACAGAGTTCTCTCCTTGCCCGCTGTCGGCTCAAAGTCTTTCCTTATCACCATTGGTGACCGAACCGTCGGTGGTTTGACTGCTCGTGACCAGATGGTTGGCCCATGGCAGACCCCCGTCTCTGATGTCTCTGTCACTGCTACCTCTCTGCTCCAGGGAGTGAAGACTGGTGAGGCTATGTCCATGGGTGAGAAGCCTACACTGGCTCTTATCTCATCCGGTGCCTCCGCTCGTATGGCTGTTGCTGAGTCTCTCATGAACATTGCCGCGTCGGACCTAGTCGATCGTCTTTCCCAGGTGAAGCTGTCCGCAAACTGGATGTCCGCCAGCAGTCACCCCGGTGAGGGCGCTGCTATCTACGAGGCTGTTGAGGCCATTGGTTTGGATATGTGCCCTAGGCTTGGAATTTCCATTCCGGTCGGTAAGGACTCTATGTCCATGAAGATGAAGTGGAAGGACGAGGCCTCGAAAGAGGCCAAGGAGGTTACTGCGCCCATGTCATTGGTCATTACCTCTTTCGCCCCCGTTGGTGACTACCGCAAGACTTGGACCCCGGCTCTCCGCAGCTTCGAGGATATCGGAGAGACTGTCCTCATGTTCGTTGATCTCGCTTTCGGTCGTAAGGCCCTTGGTGGATCTGCTCTTGCCCAGGTCTTCGGTGAGGTTGGCTCTGAGTGCCCTGATGTCCGTGATATGGATATTTTCCGTGACTTCTTCGATGCCACTCAGCAGCTCCAGGAGTCTGGAATTGTCCTGGCTTATCACGACCGCTCCGACGGTGGTCTCCTCACTACTCTAGCCGAGATGATGTTCGCCGGCCGTTGCGGTGTCGAGATCATGACTGACAACATCTGCTCCTCCTTCAACACTCCCGACGTCATCGAAGCTCTCTTCAATGAGGAGCTGGGCGCCGTCTTCCAGGTTCGCAAGGAGCACGAGATTCAGTTCCGCTCTTGCTTCGCTACTTGTGGCCCTCCCGCCGGTCTGATTCACAAGATTGGTCGCGTTTCTGAGAAGCCCAAGCAGAACCTCACCATCTACCACAAGGCCTCCCTGATCTTCCGCGAGACCCGCGCCAAGCTCCAGCAAACCTGGTCCAAGACTTCTTACTCTTTGCAAAAGATCCGTGACAACGCCGAGTGTGCTGACCAAGAGTTTGAGAACATCCTCGACGACAAGAACCCCGGTCTGTCCTGGAACCCTAGCTTCGACCCCAAGGATCGGGGCCTGCCTATCATGACCAGTCTCTCCCAATACTCACCCTTCACCAACAAGCCCCGCGTCGCCATCCTCCGTGAGCAAGGTGTCAACAGTCAGGCCGAGATGGCCTTCGCCTTCAACACCGCGGGCTTCTCCGCTGTCGACGTCCACATGACCGACATCATCTCTGGCCGTGTTTCCCTGGCCAGCTTCGCCGGTCTCGCTGCCTGTGGTGGTTTCTCTTATGGTGACGTTCTAGGCGCCGGCCAAGGCTGGGCCAAGTCCGTCCTACTGCACGAGAACACTCGCAAGGAATTCCAATCCTTCTTCGAACGCCCCGATACATTCGCCCTGGGTGTCTGCAACGGTTGTCAATTCCTGTCTCGCGTGAAGGAGCTTATCCCCGGTGCCGGCAACTGGCCCAGCTTCGAGCGCAATACCAGCGAGCAGTATGAGGGACGTGTCTGCATGGTCCGTGTTTCAGACCCGGATCCCTCGCGCCCTGGAGTCTTCTTCCACGGCATGGACGGTACTTCCCTGCCCATCGCCGTTGCCCACGGCGAAGGCCGCGCCTCGTTCGCCGGTACCCCCGGCATGTCTGCTGGCGACTTTGTTCGCGAGGGCCTGGCACCCGTCCGCTTCGTCGACAATGCTACTCTCAAGCCTACGCAGCGCTACCCCTTCAACCCCAACGGCAGTCCCGAGGGTATCGCCGGTGTACGCAGTCCCGACGGTCGTGTGCTGGCCATCATGCCTCACCCTGAGCGTACCATCATGAACGGCATTGCCAGCTACAATTCCCCCGATGCCGAGCAGTGGGGTGACATTGGTCCTTGGGGTCGCATCTTCTTCAGTGCCAGACGCTGGGTTGGCTAGTGAGCTTGAGAAGCTCTCACGCTTGGTTTTGTCTCATTTCATGTTCATGTTATACGCGTTTCCTTGTCTATAGGTTGTTTGTTTATCTTTTTTGGCTATTCTGGAGTGAGATGGGTTGTGTTACTTTCAAAAGCATTTACGAAACAGAGAATGAAATATAGCACATAGACAATGTCGTACTGGAGCTTCTACCAACGTGTAGCAATTAAGTAGAATGAAGCGGGCTAATAAACCTCGCAGGACAGGCATTCGCTGTTTCTTTTTAACTCTTCCAATGCCATGTTCAATTGGTAGTATATGGGATAGGAAGAGTAGGCTCTTTTTTGCCAGTTGTTGTGGATAAATTAGTAGACATGAATTGCAACACTTACACTGCAAAAGAAGCAGAAGCTCCTTGCGCACTTACTGAGGCCTACGGCCTCAGGCCTAGCGGCATGGCCAGCTCATACTTCATGCATGCACGACCAGGGTACCCCCTTGTCGGCATTGCATAGCTTCCATTGCTTGCATTACTTTCCTCGCGACTATAGTCCTTTGCTAGCCGTTTGTATACGGCGTTTGTCACTCATTCAGAGAGTACTAGATATCGCGTGAGGCTATTTCCACTTTCTAGTCTAGTATCATCTCATCTTTCCATTCATTCATTCATCTGCTCGTAGATCTAGTTGGCTTCCGTCACTAGCACTTTTGCTTCCTAACGCGCTGGCTAGGCCGAAGAATAACATCGACGACTTAATATACCAGAATATTTAAGATATACACAATCTCTATTCTGCGATACTTCAATGAAGTGCCCCTCGTTTGAGATCGCTACAAGGCATACACATGGCACGAGCATGCTATGCCCAAGTGTGAATCCGCTACTCGGTTCTTTTGATCTTGCTCCACAGTTTCGCGCGCTTAATCCGCCTTCTAACGCCCCCACCCCTCGAGTTATGTTCCACTTTATTATCCACTAAATAAGCTATAACAGCTTCATTGAGTGTGCCTCGCTCCCTTGCCTACTCGCGGGTGCTACTCAGTAGTCAATCGTTCAAGTAGTTAACGGTTAATGATACCTAGGTAATAGTAGTAAATATTAAAAAAAGACAAAGCAATGATCTCTGAATTTCTTTTCATTTGACGCGAAGTGCCTAATTTGGAAGTTTCCTTCCGTGATAATAGACGTCATATCTCCATAGATCATAAGGGAATTAGAAATAAAGAAGCAACCACCAGTTGGTTGTCATCAGTTCATCGTCATGACTCCAGAGCAAATGCAAAATGCAAGCAATCATCCAATCCATTAAACTTCATTAACTTAAGATACTATTACCTGAGCCAGCCTTTCTGCCACTCAAGTCTATCTGCCAGGATATTCCAGCTCGGCATACCGTCAGCGCGAGCGACGCCCTTCAATCCATCGGCGACAAAGCCGGCCAGATGGTCAAACTGCCGTTTCACGTTCCGCATCTGCTGGTCATAGGGCGAGTCTCGGAATGATATTGTAAGCGTTTGCTCATGATCAAACTCATTGTTGTCCTCGTCCCAATCGGAATCGGAGTCATCTTCCGCGACTCGAGCGGGACGCAGTGCGTCCAGATTGATGGTATTATCCGGGTCTGCCGGTCCATCTTCAGCAGCGTGGACGGTCTGCAGATCAGCGAAGTTTATCGAAAGGTCCAGGAGGTTGATGATAGCTTCGTGGATCGGTGAGAGGTTCTTGCTGAGGAGGCACTGCTCTTCGAGAGAGGCCATATAGGATTTGTGAACGGCGATCATAGCATCGACGTCTTCTGCATTTGAAAGCGCTGAGCGGAAAGACTGGTTTGAGGTAGCGATGACAAAGTAAGTGAGATGCGAGTAGAGGGAATCGAGGAACCATAAGAGGTTGTGGTGAAGAGCATGGACGAGTTTATCATCTCTATCATCACCTCCGGTTCTCCGCGCCTCTCGCGCGCGTTGTTTGACGATGGCATACTTTGAACGTCGGATCTGGAGGAGAAATGTGGATATGCGCCGGTATGATGCTATCGCATCTTGAGTGATGATATTGGCAACTGGCCAGGGAAGTACGTAGTCGATGGAGATCGCTTCCAGAATCCGGACACTGCGGTTGGGATTTTGGTGGTCATAAGTTGAAGAACCAGTCGATCGCACAATAAGTCTTGAAGGATCGATGGTGGGCATGATACTGAATGCCGATCTCGTGACCTCCATTAGAAGAAATTTGTCGTCCCACGAGCGACCACGATCCATGAGCTCGAATATCTTAGCGTCGATCGTACCAAGGATGCTCAGATCACTGCCGAGATAGACGTGCTGCAAGGCATCGAGGGAAGTCCACAGGCCGCACTGTTCATCGAGTTCTTTCCGCAAAAGACCAGCGCTAGCAGAATGGTGGGCATCCACTAGCCGATCGAACGCAGACTCCACCAGAGAAGGGAAGGGAAGTGGTAAAAAAGAGTTGGTAGAGTGAAGGTCATTGAGCATCAGGGCTCCATTTGGTGAGGGCTCGGAGACGTCAGGAAGCGCGTTGAGGTGTCGTAGAAAAACCATGCTCTTGCCGGTAATGAAGACTTTGTGCATGCTGGCTTCGAGAAATTTGGGGGTATTCTGTGGTCGAACTGCATCATCCAATGTATACCAGTCATGCCATATGGTTTTAAGATCTCGATTTTCGGGGTTTCTTCCCACAAAAAATGGGCTGTCTTGGGAATCGAGATTTCCAGTTTCCATCCAACGTGAGATGGATGTAGTATAGGTCTTGAGGCAGGAGAAGAATAAAGCAGACAATGTTGCGCTTTCATCGCCCAAAGCTTCTCGCATGCAAATCATGTCATAGAGCAGGTCAAGACAGCGCATTGGCTGAGCCTCTGAGCCTCTTCTCAGCCTAGGAATTAGGTCCGACAGCAGCTGTAAGTGGCAGGAATGCTGGCGAACGTCGTGGAGCAATTGGAGTAAGCTGACCGTGCACCCAGCGGAAAGGTAGTTGACTTGGGTCTGTGAGAGATTCCTGTCAAACTCAAGCAAGCGCTCCTCTATGCCCCGGCAAAATGTTTGCATATAAGGAATCATCTGCGGGGATTTGGTGAAGCGCCGCAAGGAATCGATCTGAGTACCAATTTCCGTGAACGACTGAAGCAGGGACAATAGGGCTTGACTGGATGAGTGTTTCAATGTATAACTACGATCCATCACGACATCTTCATCAAGATGCCAAAAGATCGATGTGGGCAGGCCTTGCAGCATGAAAATTGTCTCTCGTGCCAGTTGAAGTTCTGTGATGATTTGAGAGGCAAGTTCCTTGCCGCGACGCACTGGGGCCTTTTTCTCTGATCTCCAGAACTGACTCTTCTCCAAGGAAGTGAGAAGGTGTCTGTCGTCATCTGTCGGTACGAAGACATCGTCGGGGATAACATATTCAGTTTCCAGTTCGCTGTCCAGATTTGACAAGTCTCGGGGCGCTGAAATGTCACTGGCTATAGACGATAAATCATCATCTGAGGACCCGGCCCCAAAGTCAACCTCTTCCCAAATGCTCTCGTCGTCGAACGCGGAGTGCTGGGGATTCACATCCAATTTGGACCACGATAAAGGACCGTCATCATCAGCCGGTAGAGTTTCACGCCTTGGCAAGTTTTCAATTCTGGATAGTAGTGCTGGGCGGTTTGATAATTGCAGTAGCAGGCTCAAAATCTCGGGGTGCCACGCATTGGAATAATTCTCTAGTTCCGAGAGCTGTCTGTGGAGAGCATCGGCCAATTCTGGTCGATCGACGACCTCAAATTTCTCCTGTAGGCCCTCCAGTTGGCGTGCAACCGCGAATTGATCGACCCTACCATGGGGACCAGGGCGGAGAGCCCGCTCCACTCGTCGACGGAGAGTCTGAACACGCGGCGAGTCCTAGATATTGGATCAGCAAGTGCGGAGGAATGGCTCAGTGGACAGGCTTGGGTACGTTTTCAGGCGAGACTTTTGCGACTGCCACGACCAGCTGGTTGGTCAGCTCGCCGAGGGCGAGGACCATTGTGGGAGACTCTCGAGTGCAAGTATTGCGATTGTTATTGTGGTTGATAGGGCACCTTAAGGTAGTTGATAGTTGATAGTTGCCTCGATGTTGATATCACCGCCCGCGCGTCCACCGACGGACGCTAGTCCCAATAGGGGATAGTGTGGGCCGAGACTCGCCGGCGCGAAAGTTGCTGTATTTCCTACGTTGCGATCTCCCCGGTCCCTCCCCCCTTTCACATCAATCCGCAATCATGGCGATCGCACGACCGATTCGCATGCTGGGTGCGGCTTGCATCTTATTGACTCTCTTTCTGGTCTTCCAATTAAACAAGGACCCCCAAAGTCCCACCTCCAAACTTACTCATGGCATGACCAGAGACCCTCTTCTAGATCGTGAGTTGCCACTTTCCGCCATCCTCCATTCGATCGACCATCGTCTCGTCTCGCCCTAAACGGATCTAACCTCCTCGTGATAAGTAGCTACGGGTGAACCCGCTGGAAATTTATGGAGAGCGGAGGATCATGACTACGCCGCCAATAGTGAAAAGTCCAGCCGCACCAATGCCGCCCTCATCACCCTGGTCCGCAACGAGGAGCTGAACGATATGCTCAGCACCATGCGGGACCTCGAGCGCACCTGGAACAACAAGTTCAACTACCCCTATATCTTCTTCAACGACAAGCCCTTCACCGACGAGTTCAAACAGAAGACACAGTCAATGACCAATGCCAAATGCCAATACGGTACGCTCCGACCTTTTTTGGCGTTTTTCTTACTTCTACACTCAGAACACAATGGCTAACCTAGTGCGCCCTGCAGAGCTGGTGCCCAAGGAACACTGGGATGTCCCCAAGTGGATTGACGACGAGCTCTTCAAGGAGTCTGCTCAGATTCTCCTGGAGGAGAACATCCAATACGCCGACAAGATCTCCTACCACCAGATGTGTCGTTGGAACAGCGGCATGTTTTATAAGCACCCCGCCTTGGAGGGCTACCGCTACTACTGGCGCATTGAGCCCAAGGTCCAGTTCTTCTGCAATGTTGACTATGACGTATTCCGCTATATGGAAGATAACAACAAGACCTACGGTTTCACCATCAACCTGTACGATGCGCCCCAAACCATCAAGACCCTCTGGCCCGAGACCAAGAAGTTCCTTGCCGCCAATCCGAGCTACTTGAACGACAACAACATGATGGACTGGATCACCGACGACGTCGTCCGCCCCGAACACAACAAGATTGCCAACGGCTACTCGACTTGCCACTTCTGGTCCAACTTCGAAATTGGCGACCTGGACTTCTTCCGTGGTGAAAAGTACGATAATTACTTCCAGTTCCTGGATCGCGCGGGTGGCTTCTTCTACGAGCGCTGGGGCGATGCGCCTGTCCACTCGCTCGGTGTCGGTTTGTTTGCTAACGCCGCTAATGTACACTGGTGTGTTTCATCCCCTCCTTTCCACAGGCCCATCACGTCTGACCCACCCCGCTAATCACAATCGTCGTCACCCAGGTTCCGCGATATTGGTTACAACCACATTCCCTACTACAATTGCCCCAACTCGCCCAAGTGCTCCGGCTGTACCCCGGGCAAGTCCTACGCTGGCGCGGACTGGCTGCAGAAGGAGGACTGCCGACCGACCTACTTCAAGTACGTCGGAACGCACTGAGTGATAGACCATGACATATTTGTCATTTGACGACACTTTGCATCACCTTGCTTATCCGATGAATATATTTTTCCCCGACTCGGTGGTTTGGTACCTGGCGTTTAGAGCGGACAACATACCTATTGATGACTTCCGTTTTCCTTCACCTGTGATTCCAGTTCCTTTTTTTTGCTCTTACACACAAATTACGTTCCTGGCCATAATCTTGTTTCGAGATTCGTGGGTCCAGTCTTCTCTGTACTTATATTAGTTGTACATTGTCAATTCGTCGATGTTCGGTTTTGCTTCCTGTGCTTTATAGTTGGTAGATCGAAGTTGGTCTTCATACCAAGACAATTACTACTAGTAGTAGACCATAACCTCTCCTACTACGCGTAGTTCAAGTTCTGGTACTTCGGATAATTTCGGATACCACGCTTAGCTAGTACACTATTCAGCTGCGTACTAAGCCTTCGAATAGTTACCCCGACATATTGAATTTTCTATAATATGCCCAGGTGTAGGCTAACTCCGGGTCGAATAATGATACTAGTAGTAGTGAACAAAGAAGTAGATTAAGTACCAATCAAGATTGAACCAGATTGTACTTTTTTCCAGACGGGACTAACAACACAGGAGGTCTCTAAAGTATGTATACAGCTTTCTCTCCTACCCTCCACTCGGCGCGGCCAAAGAGAGACATGTGCTTGGCCAAGGGCGACATGTGTGGGTTGGGGGTAAACTTCGTGAGAGAAAAGTGATGGGGGAAAGGGAAAACACAACAAAAATTGTGGAAGGCGCTAATTTACTCCTCCTTGGGGTACAGCTCCTCGCGGAGGGTAACGCCCAGCTCTTGGCGGAGGCCCTCGAGAGCCTCAACGTATTGCTTGTACTGCTCCTGGGTCTCGACCTTGGCCTTGATGCCTGTTGCGGGTGTTAGCGGTATGTTCCCAATCTGAAATTCTGCTGCTATTGCTGATCATTTGCGTACCCTCGAAAACACGGACGGCGGTGGGGAAGTCGTTGACACGGCGAGCGGCCTTGAGGGCGGCAGTGAGGACCTCAACGGAGGGGACGAGATCGTAGGCGAAGCAGTTGTTCAGGTTGCGCTGGATGGAGCGGATCAGTCATGGATGCTTATAAGATGTTGATATGTGGGCCCTGATGAGAATAGCTCTGCAATTGACCATATATGTCGCAAAGTCGAGCCGTCATCTCCGTGGTTGGGGGTCTGAGATAAGTGATCGTACCTGGAGCTCGAAGACATCCTGCACACCGTCGAATTCCTTCTCGAAACTGCAATTGAGACGAATTGTCAGTAGGTTACTTTCGAATAGAGCTCGAAAGGTATCGACGCGGGCTGTCGGGCAGCACTCAAAGAAGGCGATCTCGGAGCGCGGTACCCGGCAACCTCCCGTCTCCTCTTCAGGCTACGGCCGAAGCCATTGGGTCGCAGGGGTGATCCTACCGAGCAGAGAACTCCTCGAAGGTCTCGTCCTCGTGGCCGGACATGCGCTTGGGGGTGATGCCGAAGAAGCGGGCGCGGGTAGCGGCCACAGTCACCGGGGTCTGCACCCGGGAGCGGACGATCGGAGCTCGGACGAAGCTGGCAGGGCGGACGGCGCGGGTCGCGACACGGAAGATAGAGAGGGACGACATGTCGGAGAGGATTGTGGGACCGGAGTCAATGGGGGAGAGGTGGTGAGGGGAGAGTCGATTGGGGGGGAGGGAAAGGGAGAACGAAGTGTCGTGTTAGCCGGCTGGATTTTGCGGGTGGTGTGGTGTCGACACCTCAGGCCATGATTGGCTGGATCTTAGTCATCACCCGATGTGGCCCGTTGATCGCAAACGCTTCTCCGTGATTGGCCGAGCTATCTGACAGCAGTATCTATAGCATCGAAATGCATGATGCTTGCTACAGCATGGCTAGTGTAAGCATTCTAGTAGATTGAAAGTTATTTCCTAGGACTCGGGAAATTGCGAGCACCTTAGAAGCAGCAAATTGCACCTTTAGTAAGTGTAGTACTTCCAGTAGTTGTATTGCTCCAATGGGATCAGTGATGATATATATCCAAGGCAGGTGATTGCCCAGGTGTGCCTACTACTACTACTATTACTACTACTACTACTACTACTAGCCCTGGAGTGTAGAACACTGCCATTTGAAACCTTGGAATGCATGGGAGCACCTGCATATCTGTACTACTACTAGTACGGAGTAATACCTATCGTATTGTCCAAACCTTGGAATCAATCCATGGATCCCCACGCCATTTGCGCATTGACTCGCCGAGTGGAGACGATATCACGGATCCAATTTCTGAATAAGCGCAGCCCTAAGGAACCCCTGGGTGATTGTTCAAGTGAGAGTCGTACAGAGTCGACCTAGGATGAGCTTGTGAATAATACTACACTGCCGTGCAGTCGTATTCAATTGCAACCCTCTCTCTGGATTGGTGTAATTGGGGGCCCAATATTGGCGCAATTGGTTGGGGGACCCATTTCTTATTTACTCCAGCCGAAAGCGGTGCCAGGTTCGTGGTGGTGCCTGGCTGAAGACGGCATGTGATGGTTCCTGGGATTGAATCAACTACTCCATACGAGTAGTTGCAAATAGGGTATGTTCATATTGATTAGTATAATTATTATAATTATGACAACTACATACTCATCTTTACACCAATTACCCCATACTCCCAAGTATACAAGTATGTAACTACTCGATTTACCTCGGAAGCTGCGGGTGCCCCTTTTCATGCCGCGCTAGTCCCAATTGGTCGTTGCCCAACGGACGCGCCGGCAAAAAAAGAGAAGAACAAGAACTGTCCCGAGTCCCTTTTTGACTTGTCCTCCTTCAACCACGCGCTCATCTACTTCCTCCCCTCCCCTTTCCCTTCCTTTCCTTTTCGCGCGCCTTGTTCATCCGCGATCTCGGGGTTCTTCTTCCTTCTTCTTTTTCTTTTTTCTGTCTTCCCTTTTTGTGTTCGCGACTTCCGCCTCACAAGGCCTCCAACCGTCGCCATGGCCGACCTCCTTCAGAATATCCCCATCCCGACCCTGGACCGTCCTTTTGGCGTCCACCTGTGGCCCCTGTTCGATCAGGCCTTCAACATGGTCATGGGTTACCCCGCCAGCGAGTTCAAGTTCGCTGAGGGCGTCACTCCTCTCTCCACCTTCAAGGAGACCGCCACTCTTCTGGTTACCTACTACGTCGTTATCTTCGGTGGCCGTGAGGTCATGAAGAAGTTGCCCGCTTTCAAGCTTAACACTCTCTTCATGATTCACAACTTCCTTCTCACCGCTGTCAGCGCCATCCTTCTGGCTCTGTTCGTTGAGCAGCTTCTGCCTACCCTGGTGCGCAACGGCGTCTTCTACACCATTTGCGACCACAACGGTGGATGGACTCAGCCCCTCATCATTCTGTACTACGTATGTCTTCCAATTGCGTGCGCCATTCCCTGCTGCTCAATTGGCCTCCAAAACTAACATCGTCTTCTTTCTCCACAGCTCAACTACATCAACAAATACGTCGAACTCCTGGACACCGTCTTCCTGGTCCTCAAGAAGAAGCCCCTGACCTTCCTTCACACCTACCACCACGGCGCCACTGCTCTCCTCTGCTACACCCAGCTGATCGGTCTCACTGCTGTGCAATGGGTGCCCATCACCATCAACCTGCTTGTCCACGTTGTCATGTACTGGTACTACTTCCAGAGCGCCCGTGGCGTCCGTATCTGGTGGAAGAAGTACATCACCATGCTGCAGATTGTGCAGTTCGTCATTGATCTGGGTAAGTTGCGCAAATCCAAATCAAACACCCACCCACTCTATGCGCAAACATTAACACTATCCCATCCGCAGGCTTCATCTACTTCGCTTCCTACACCTACTTCTCCTCCTCCTACTTCCCCTGGGCCCCCAACATGGGCCAGTGTGCCGGTGAGGAGTTCGCTGCCTTCGCTGGTATCGGCATCATCACCTCCTATCTGCTCCTGTTCATCTCCTTCTACATCGCCACCTACAAGAAGGAGGTCAAGGTCGGCCGCCCCCGCAGCAACACCGGCAAGAAGTCCCTGATCGACATGCGCAACTTCGAGATCCCCTCCCCCGCCGGTGCCCAGGCCAACGGCAGCCCCAATACCCCCAACGGCGCTGCCTCGACCGGCCGCTCCAACGGCCCCGTCACCCGTTCCCGCAAGGCTTAAGCGAATTCAGTTCAACACTCGCACGTTGAAACAAGGGACCGCGCGATAAAATCATATTTCTGATAGTGGTGTATTGCGTCGTCTTCTCTGAACACAACAGAAGTCGAAAAAAAAATTCTTCGAACATATTGCGCTTCGAGCAGAGCCAGTGCGAATGTAGGGCATGGTGGCTTGGCTTGGCTCCTTCGGTGATTCGATTTATATTGTTTTAATGAATGACCCTTCACGAGACCAGACCCAACTGTCTGGTGGTTCTATGCGGCATGTTCTGGGATCCGCAGGACGATGGATGGAAGTCGAGGTGGGTGGTCGGAAAGGGAGGGTTTCTCGACACAAAGGCGATTCCTTGTCTCTTTTTCCTTTCATCCGGGCAGACTGTCGGTCGGTCTCCTGGTTGTATTTTATACTGATATTCTTCGGCTCATGTTTGTTGTTATCACCCCTAGTCTGCCGGTGACAGACACTTTCTATTACATCTTTACCTTTATTGTTAGCAAGGTACTCCTTAGATGCTAGTTCATATATCATGCTAAATGTAATCACTTATGCAAGATTTGATTCTACTAGTAGTGCCATTGCAGAGAGTATTGCTTCAAGTCTTTTCGTGGTGACCACAGCGAAGATCATGGATTCTCCTACGGCTGTAAGCAATTTAAAGATTCTTATTTTGATGACAAGAGCAAATTGAATCTATTAGTTAGATGTGGGCAACCCACCATGATTATTTTTCTGATGAATGGCAACCATATTGTTTACGTTTGCTACTTTTTGTAACAATGATAAGCGTTTGCCATGAACTTTCCTTCTTCACAGACATTGCCATTATTTCCCATGAAACCAAAAATCCTCAACATGCTGGTGAAGTTTCCATGTCTTGTTTCGACAATGCCAACTGCTTTGAACCCGAAATTGGAGTATAGTCTAACACCAGCCGGCGAAGACATAACAAAGACATCCAGCGCATTCTCATCAATGTAGTGACAAAACATCTCCAGAAGCGCAGACCCAATACCTTGTCGTTGATAACTTGGATCCACGGCCATGTAGGTGATTCCTGAGGGACATGCGTGAGCTTGAGAACATTCAAGTTGGCTGCAGGCTTATGGCATATTCCATTTTCCCGAGGACCTCGGAGTACTCTTTGCCTCTCTTCTCCAAGTCTTTTTGAAATACCGAGCCATGATGACACGTCCAAAGAAGGAGGAATCAAGCTGTCCCGGGGTTTCACCTGCGTTCCTTGTTTTGCTTTGGATTCGCTTGTCGGACTATTTTGAATGCGGTTTCCACCATCCATTCTCTCCGAGAGAGCGCCTGAACTCAAAGTCCTGCCTATTAGTCCAGCGGGTAATCCTTCTTCTCCGCACGCCTTGAACAGAGTTTCGTCCTCTCGATGAACTGTCTCTAAAAGCCCGTCAATCATCCATCTTATTTCGCTTTCTTTTTGATCTTCAGGGCACGGGAACATGAAGCGATGCAGCGGGCCGTCTTGATGTGCAGGGAACTCGACTTTTCGCACGAGCAAATCCACGTCCTCAGTTTCGACAGGCGAAATCGATAATCCCATTTTGTTGGTTGACGAAAGATGTTCAGCGCAGAGATCCATCAAGCAAAAACCTGATATGCAAAGGCGGGGAGTAAGACGCCTGCAGCCTTCTGCACCAGCGCTTCCTGACTTGTCTCTTGAAGAGGAGTTGTAAGACATCCATCCTAGTCGCTGAGTTAAGGTTTCCTGTCAACTATCGCCAACGCTTGAATCAGCCCCGGCCAAGTTAACAATCATCAATCGAATAGGGAGAGGGGAACGACACGAACCACAACGTCTATGTAGGGGCCCTGGAGTGTATTGCTTCATCGTCGCATTAAGGCGGGGAACCAGCCAAATACTACTTCTGTCCAACTCAGCGGCTGTCCACATACGACGGTGGCAGATATATGGTTACGCTCCATGCGTGTCGATATATCTGCGTATTTCTTGATAAAGAGGAGATATTTTCTGAGCCTTGAAACCGCCAAATACTACTAGTAGATAACCTGCGTGTCCCGTACAGTACGATAGTATATTACCATTTTCTGCAGCGTTCTTTGCTGTTATGGAACTTAGGTCTTGTACTAGGTGTGAACGAGCCTCATAGAATCCTTGGAAGTTTTATAAAATGCTAATTGCGGAGCTGCGGTGTTGTTTGCTTCCGGCAAGGCATTGCCTTCAAAGAAATGGAGTTTCCTTCCGCGGACATGAGTACGTACTGAGTAGTCGAGATCGTAAGTAAAAGCAAGGACTGTCCCAGCCCATATCTTTATGGGCGGCACTGTACACCTGCATATGCCATTCGATAGTATCCTGCATACGAAAAAAACCCCGCATTAACATCATCCGGCAGTGTGAGAGATTCGGTCACCAAAAAAAGTGATCCATTGGAACGTCCTACTCATCGCGTTACTCCTGATACACATCAACATTGAAACGACACAAACAATCCGCGTTGATGGGGTAACCTTAGTCTTCCAAGCTTTCACGGAGTAACTACTCCGTAGTGCACACGGTCCTGTAAATGCAGGAACCGAGTTGAATGCCGATCCCTGCAGGAGGCTTGTGCAACGGGGGACAAACAACGCCATGAAGTGATAGGTCCAGACTCGGCATATCCCCGGGATATCACCGAGTGACGATCGTCATAAGGAAGCAAAGAAATGGATATTGGATACTGAATTACTCCGTACTCCGCTCCGTACTCCGTCCTATGCCTCCTTTGCATTGGGTTGGCAATATAATATTCGTGACCAGCCTCACCAGCCTCACCAGCCATCCCCCGAAGACCTGGGATGCATAGGCATCCGGCGCACGGCGGGACTCAATGAATTGCTGGAGTAAAAGTTGCCTCTCCAGCCTTCGACAACTGACCGGTAGACTACCAGGTCGATCGGTTGATCAGATCCACTGCAACCAGCGTGGCCGGGAGATTTTCAATAGACCGAAAAGTGGAGAGCAGAATATGATGCATCGGCTGTCACCCGCGGAGGTTGGAAAGGCACCTTGCTTGTACATACGCATACGCGACGATAAAGGCGATCGGATACGAATGCAGAGCCAAAACCCAGAGCTTTCTGTGAATTATTAATTCGTACTCGGAGAACACAGGCAGAAGGATGATCAAGCGGCAAAGCAGTCGTGTTGCGGAGACCGTGGGCGCCTCGCCACGACCATGTTTTCGGTGATTCCTTTTTCTTTGGGTAAGGACTGGACGGATTTTCAAGTTGTCCTGCCTCGGTGTCTATGTAATGGCTATGGTCAGGACACAGTGCGAATGGTCCGTACCTACTTCGTATAGGAAAATTCTGTCGATCCTATAGCGCAGTCGGCCCGGAGTAGTTAGTGGCATTCTATACGGAACAAGCCGGACGGACTTGACTCCATTACCGGCCGCCGACGGTTGAAGAAAAAATTGGATACTCCGTCCGAAAGTGAGAATCAAAAATCTTCACTCGATGCAGGTTGTCGTCATCTCGTTAAGAGGGGATCCATGCCAAGGTGTCAGGAGCTTGGGCGTTAAGCTACTGAGAGAAAAGAGAGTTAGGGCCGGTGTTCCTTGCCTGAAGTGGCGGCTGCAACAGGGGAAATGGTTTGCAATGGTGGGTGCCACGGCATTATCTATTGGATTGATAGATGGGAGGACCTGCAGCTTGTGCACACAAAATGTGACCTATAAATATGCGAAACGTTGGTGTGAAGCTCCGACGGTGTGGAGAAGAGAATTCGCCGATTTGAATGGGGTTGGTCCATGCAAGGAGCCATGGTCATTGCTGGGTTGCGTTAGTGAATGTAATGGTGTGGTGATGTTGTACAAATCGTACAGTCAGATTGAAGTATTGTACAGTGTAAACTTGAAGGAGATGTTGAGAAATGGAGGGCCGCACCTGGTCATACCTAGGAGTCCCTCCTGAGAAAGGATATCGCGTATTCTTCTTCCTTCATTCCGCTTGTACCTTCCTTTACACCTTGTATGTCCATCCTAGATGACCCCTCTGAGGGGAATATCCCTCCGTTGCATTACAATCGCACTCCCCTGGCCCATTAGGGTTAAAGGGGTAACATTGTATGCTGGCTATGTAGTTACGGACTCAAAGCATGAAAATTTAGTCATTGTAGAGACAATATTCACAACCTTGGGACTTGCGCAGCCGGACAATAGTGTAAGTGTGTTTCGAAGTGAGGCTAGTGTCAAACTAGAGCGCATCCCCCAGGGTCGAGGGCTCTTCCGAGGTCTCCATCGCCCCAAGGAGTTCGTCGTAGCGTGTTTGAACTAAACTCGGCCCCACCGGGCTGGCACGGCGGCTAACTTGGCAATGTGCTTGCTGCTCATCCCATGGGTGCAATGGAAATCCCAGGATCCACCCCGGCGCTTCAATTTATAGTGGTTGACGAATGTTGGTAGTAGTTGTACGGAGTACGGAGTACTCTATCTACTATGATTCCCGGCATGGTTTGATCAACCCCTGATCTTCTGGGTCCTCTACAACCCTGGGCCGTCTTCCTACCCCCGTGGAAATCTCCCATCAATCTAGTTGTCGCCGCCAGTTCTTCCTAGAGGCTGCTAGTTCAGCTCGTTCGATCCAATGATGGCTGCACCGACTCCACTCGGAGGTGCAGCCCCAGCGTTAGGCGCATGGGCCATGACCAACGACAGCTCACGTTGATCTATCTGATTTTTTCCGGACCGTCACCCTACTCGATTTAGGTTTCGTCGACTCCAGCCTCGCGCCACGAGAGGGTGCGCGTCGCTGGGGGTGAAACTCCTCCCATCCTATCCCGCTTGGGAGTTCTGATGCAAGGGCACTGGAGGGGTTGGTTTCCCCATCCCCTCTCTCTCCCCTCGACTACTCACATCCTTCCATGACCACAAGGACCGCGCGCGCCATTCTGTAGCCATGCAGGTGGTGCAGATGCAATGCAGAACAGGAGAAGGAGGGAGAAGTATGCACCAAGGAGACAGGCCAGCAGTCAAAGAAAAAGCAAACACTCCGTAATCAGGGACAACTTCTTCTACACGTGGGTAGGGAGGGGCCCCCCTCTTCCTAATTGATTTATTTTTTATATTATTTCGGTTCCCTTTTGGTTATCGGTTCCAATGTCTGTATTTTATTTTTAAATCCAGCGCGCGCTCCTAAAAAAGGCCCTGGCGCTCCTGTGGATTCCTTGAGTGGGACCTGGTTCTTCACGCCTTTTCTCTAACCCTTCTATCTGTTGGATCCAAGGAACTTACCGGTATTGATTGATGCTATCGAGGGCGGCTCCCCTGTTCATCCGGTCCAACCCTGGTTCCACTTGTCCTTAAAGACCTTCGTCTGCCCGTGTCGTGCATCTGACGGGATCTTCGTTGCATTTTCCACCCGTGCCTCATATTAACCCCGGGGACTGGTCATCTCCTGGTTTTTTCTCTCTCTCTCTCTCTTTACCCTGTTCTACTTCTGTCGTCGCTACTCCTGCTGTTATCTATTACTTGACGGGCTGGTTCTCGAAATATCTACCCTGCCTTGTGATTCGTTGACGAGTTGATATCTGCATGAGCATCCTGTTGGCTCATCCCGTTGGCAATATGTACGAGTCCACTCCATCGTCGTTGGGTCTTCACCGTCTGAGCAGGCAGAGCCTCCAGAAAAGATACGAGTCCGATGAAGAAGATGTATCCGAATCTGATGCTGGTGGCCACGACTTTGTGCCTTCGCCTGTAGGCTCCCAGCGAGCCGCAACCTTCGATTCTGACCTTAGCGCCGATGAGGCTTCTCATGATGACCCTGATTCTGATAGAGAAGAGCATCTTTTGGCTCCGGATCCTCTCTCAGCAGGCAAGTGCCAACGCCCGGTGTCTATGGACACTCTCAAGCGCAATAGCGCTGCTACCTTCGGAGACAATACCTATGTCTTCGACCCCGAGGATGATATTGTCCTCGAGCTGCCTTCACCAGATAGTACCCCATCTCTCGCCTCCAGCCTCTTCTTGAAGCCCTCAATATATGTGCCGCCGACTTCAAGTTCAACACCGGATCT